TTTTTTTTTTTGCTTAACATTTGTGTAATGTTTTTGTTGTTCTTATCCTTTTTTCTTTTCTTCATTTTTATTGGTGCTATTGTTGTTAACCATTTCATCATTTCATTTGGAGTGTGAACCAGCTCATAGGACTTTAGATTGGATCTCTCCACTGCTTTTGTTTCACAAAACATACTTTTGATAAGGCGTCCATTTGCTTTATAATCATTATCTGTGATAATACCATATTTTTCCAGGTCAGTGAATGCCATGGACTTCTTTATATCCTTACCAAGTATGGGCACCTCTACCTCTGCAGTATGAGCAATGCTGCCTGCTTGTTCTCCATGGCAATCTCTAGTCACGTCTTGTTCTCTACAGCCTTCAACTCAGCTAGTGAAGGAGTACTGGCCATAAACAGGGCAGGCCAGGTGAGAATTCTCAGCAACAAAGAACATGGATGCTCTTTAATTTTAGCTTTTTGATAGTGAGGGTCAAAGATGCCATTATCCAAAAGAACCTTGATCTTATTAAGTTCAATAATTGTTTAGTAATTGTATAAATATCACATATGGTTGCAGATATCATGAAAACAATTTTAATTATGCTTAAAAGTGCTTAGAGATACAGTGTCTTCTTTAGGGTGTATTATAATTTGTTGAAAACAACAAAAAATATCAACATATACTATCAACTATTCTGTGAAATAACATCTATTCACAATTTCTCTTTACAGGTCTTGTCCATTTGTGCCAACCGGGACTCCCTTATTCGACATGTGCGCCATGCTCTTCACAAACCCAAGCTTGCCGAAAAACTGGACGTCCTGTTGCACAAAAATACACTCATTAGGCTGTGATCAAGAAACTGATTCTCATGAAGCTATATATTTGTGGAAACATCCCATATTGTATGGCATCTGTTCAATCATGTAGCATCTCTTATAGATTTGAATGGTCTAAAAGAAACTCAAGTTTAGTATTGCTAAATTTGGAGAGCATTTTTTCTTTTGATCATGAAATGTTCACTGAAAAAGTAATATAAAACACCTTGAGTAGTAAGTGATGAGAGGTTGTGGAGAGTTGAGTTTGGATAGATTTATTTTACATAAATATTGAAGGGGAATAACAGAAAAATGTCATTTTTATTAAGTGAAGCACATCAACAGTTGATATAGAATCCTTTTAGTATTGCAACCATTAGTACAGGTTTCATCTTTGAAGATCTCATTTTAGCTGTTGTGTTTACAACTCAAACCTGTTATGACAATCAGCTATAATTATTCTCACTGCAAATGATGCTACACTTAATCTATGGACATTTTGACATGTTGAAATTGAAGTATTATTTAAACGTTAATCATTTTATTTATGTTCATTTATGATCCTTGTGATCAAAATCATTTAATCATGGGAATGATGGGGAGTGGCAAAGAGTTCCCATATCTTAACTAGTTTTTTTACATGTACCATGACATCCCACAGTGGAGAGGAGATTTCATCACAACGAACTTTGTTTAAATATTCAAAGTCAATTCTGCTGATTTATGTGATGATTGTGGCAAGGAAAAGAAGAACATAATAGTGGATATCAGTGTTTTCTTGGGCAGCCAAGATTTGTGCATCTTCCTAGGAAGATGAGTCAGTTCAGTACGGTGCTATTCCTGTAAATACTTGCATTGTTTTTTTCTTTTGTGTAAGATATATATTTTATAGTTTTCTTGCAGTAAAATGGGTAATATATTGTTAGTATTATTTGATTGTGATATGTGGTAGGTAAACCAGTGTACTGTCTCATCAAACATATGTTTTTGTACATTTGATGTTGTTAGGTTTAACGTGCCAAGTGCATAGAGCTAGCTGCTTACAATAACATGGATAAAAAGCATATATGAAATGTGCTCCTAAACTATGAATTCAGGTTACAAAGATCTTTATAGACTTGTCTGATTTTGTGGACCATACACAGGATCTGTAACATGTTTATCAATAAAAATGTAGGGAAAAAAACTTCATATTTCTTAAACAATGTTTTGACACTGAAATTCTTTCTTTGTGTTATGTTATGCAAGCCCAGCCTAAAAAGCATGAGAGTATTAACTAAAACAATACCAACTTACATTACGTGAAAAAAGTTAAAACTGTATTGTCAGCTTTGCATTGCAATAAAGTTTGACTGGAATTAGTTAACAAGAGTTGCTTAATTAAAAAAAAATTTAATGCCTCAGTAACAAACCCCCGATTGCACAGCACATAGTATGTAACTACTTTTAAAAAATGTATGGTTTGCTTTCTTAAATATTAAAAAAAAGACAACATTTATCAAAAAATACTTAGGGCCCATTCCCAATGAAAATCAATCCTACTCTGCTGAATGCTACCAGATATGCAGATTAACACCCCTCCACTGATTTCCAACATAATTATAATCACCAGATCTGTATTCTACTCAATGCCAGGAGTAGGTGGGTTAATCTGATTGCAATCAGTGAGAGTCTCTGCAGAGTTGGATCGATCTACAAATGGCAGTTTAGAGCCCTTAGTAAATGAACTTAAATACTGCATTCTATTTCATTTTTCCACTAAAGGATTATGTGGATTATGCCCCGATTTCTGTATCTTTAGAGAAAAGTCCACAGTCTGGTATCCCTGGGTAGTCTTGCTGAGGGATATGACATCTATGCAAGGTCCAAAGTACTGAGGTAAGGAGTCCTCAGTCACACCTCCACTTGCCTCTATCAACGCATGAGGATACTTTTCTTTCACCTTACTTGCTGTGTTATGAAGCACCTAAAATCATGGACGTCAAGTTTTAATAATAACCTATACAAATAGAATGTTGCATACGATCATTTCCAAACATCTTGACATTCTTGTTCAGGAAAATATCTCTCAATAAAAAACATAAAAATTTGAAAACTATAAACTGTGACAAATACCGATAACAGATACAGTTTCACTGCTAACAGATATGAACCAACTTGCCTCTGGATGAAAGTTATCTAACATGACTACTTCACTTCCAGCTGCAGCCGCTTCCAGGGCTTCTTCTAAACTCCGACATTCTACCTCGATCTTAGTGGAAAATCCTCCAACACTTCTAGCATCTTTTACAGCCTGAAATGAATTCAAGCAACATAACTGATTTAACTGTTTTTTTGACCATGAGGACTTTTTTTTTTTGTTGTACTCATATGCTGCAGAGCCTACAGTTTTTAAAATTTTTTGAAAGAAGAGTTGTAAAATCAGTAATGATTTCATTCAGATGAGGCAGAAGAAATGTGCTAAGAGTGGCAGCTTGGTCTTACTGTGCATACTGTACGTCTTGCTAAAAAAAGGTATGCCTATAGCTGCCAGAATAAGGCTTCATTCACATGCAATGTCTATTTTCTAAATTCTATTTTCTATTCGCGGTATGTCTTATGATCACGGTCTGTGCCCTGAATATCCCGCGGCGTAATTACTGGCAGCGCGAGCCAGTTACTATAAGTTACTATAAGTAACTGGCTCGCGCTGCCAGTAATTACGCGGCGGGATATTCAGGGCACAGACCGTGATCATAAGATAGCGCGAATAGAAAATAGATTTTTAGAAAATAGACATTCCATGTGAACGAAGCCTAAGTATGTCTGGCGATTAACAAGAATCGAAAGAAGCTAATTTTGAGTTTGTTCAACAAAAATTTATTTCAAAACTTCTTTAAATTAATATAAATGAATCTGGAAATAACTGTAATATGTGGCAGTAAAAAATGAGGAGATGGCATATAAGAATGGTTTAAATGTCATACTCCCCTAATAAGCAATCAGCTACATTTCCTCTGTATCTCTCAAATTTGTGTTTTGAACTTTGAAATTATTTTGGTATCCCCATTTTTGAATTAAGCTTCATTTTGTTTAACATTTATCAATAGAATGCACATCTGAGAGTCTGAAACGCAACTAGTTTGGCAACATAAATTTTTATAATTAAGTGAGTATCATATACAGTTTGTATATTTCGGAATAAAGACAGACCTGAGTTATGTTCCCAGAACTCCAGATATGGTTGTCTTTGAGCATTATCATTGACGACAAGTCATATCGATGGGTGGAAATTCCCCCAACAAGCAGTGCATATTTCTCTACCATTCTGAAGCCTGGAGTTGTTTTTCTTGTACCTGCTATCTCACCATGCCAGTTATTTTGCTTAGCACATTCCTTGAGACGCCTGGCTAGAGTTGCAATGCCACTAGAACGTGTTATACAATTCAGCGCAACCCTTTCCCCAAGTAATATATGTCTGACTTTCCCAGTAACTTTAGCACACTGAAATATTGGTTTCATAAAAACTCCATCAGATACCAGCCACTCTACATTACAGTCAAGTTCATTGAAGACTGCCTCAAAGAAGGGAGCACCTGCCAGCACCCCAGGACTTTTACACAACAGGACTGCAGTCTCAATTTTTTCTCCAACAACAAAACCGCCGTAATCAAAGTTTGGGGTGTCTTCTTTCAACCATTCTCGGACCTTCTCCCTCAAAGTGACAGGGTGTAACATGTGTATATGTGATCTTGAGCCTGTCATTAATGCCATTTGTTTTCCAGGTCCTTGTCCTTCACATGGAAAGAATGAAAAATATATTAGGTTCTGAGATTATAAAGAAACTAAAAGCAAGGAGTTATAGCTCCTTGCTAAAAGTAAGCCCCGATGCAACTAGTGTATCCAACGGTTCAAGGACATATGCTTCACACGTAAGCGTGGATGCGAAATGGAGCTCTTTTCAGTTGAAGTGCTGAAATAGATGGAAACGAAGTAAACAACATGGCGGGTGCCAGTAAGTATAGAAATTATATACTTTACAACTTTAATACATCACAACCATGGTGTCTTTTCACCAGCATGAATGAATGTCGGTAACTGGACCACATCTATTTTTTAGCGAAGTTCATTCAAAGATTATAAAGCAAGATTCAAAGAGCATTCAAAGATTATAAAGCAAGCATTTACAAATGGCACTCACCCTATAACTAATTTAGTACATGTAATTAGCAACATTTGTCTGTTTGTTGCCTCAGGTTTCAGTCTTACATGCTACGTAGGTTAGGCCTCATACCGCCATGTGTTATACACTCTCGAGGCTATAAATGACATCACTTGCAAATGGAGTGCAGAAGTGCTCAGTAGTAGCACTGTTTAAAAATAATTCTCAAACTTTAATAAAGTCTTTTTGTTTTAGAATAAAAATGAATATTGACGTATATGCCAGAGTCCGTCCCTCGGGGCGTGGGGAAGGCCCCCCTAGCCTACAGATAGACAGCCAGAACAGAGTTGTGAGTGGAGGATCACATTTTACGCAAGTTCAATTTCTTCTTCTTCTTTTTTTTTTTTTTTTTCATAAAAATCTTTTTGAGTATTGTTGAGTATTTGCCATTGGCTAAGCTTTGGAGGTAATCCCTTCTTATCCCCCCCCCCCCCCCAAAAAAAAAGTATAACAAGTGCAATGAGACAAACCAAAAAAATTTATAACCTTAGCTATGACCTACTGGTAAATATATTATAGTAAAATAGTCCTCTTCTGCTATTTTATATTTATGATATTTGCCAAACACTTATCTTTGTGCTCCATCCCCTTACCAAAATCTTGGAACCACCAAAGTTTGTTAAATATACAGCAATATACTTGTAGCACTGATTTTACATGTATTTTCATTTAATCTAATGCGCATTGTGAATTGTCCAAGTTTACAGTTATTGACACCCTCATTTCAATATTGGACTGATATTGTATGAAAATACACATCATGGGCTGTATTATAGCTAACATTTCCAGCACTTATGCTTCATATAAGAGGTTTTGATGTATTATATTGTTTTTGAACAAGCTTCCAGACATTGTTCCGCCAAAGTGACACTCACTATGATGTCTACAAGAGAATAGTAGATCCTCTTCTGGAGATGATGGTGGATGGACTTAATGTTTGTCTTGTTATATTTGGGGAGAGCGGGTCAGGAAAGTCATCCACAGTGGCTGGAGAAAGTATGGGGAAGTCAGGAATAGTACCTATACTTATTGATCACCTCTTCATGAAACTGGCACAAGGTGATTTCTTTCAGGATCAATATACATTTGTAAATGACAAATTTTGCAGAGGAAATTTAAATAAATGAAAAATATATGCATTAATGATGATATGAGTGTAGGATTATGTATGTTTTGCTTTTTCTTACCATCAGTTTTTGATGTACAATGTGTTTGTCTTAGGGGATGGATACAATTATGAGAATAGAGGGAGTGCCAGTGTAACATTGCAGATATATGAGATATACAATGAACTTATCAAGGATTTGAACCAAATTACCACAGCATCTCATGACTTTCTAGAACTGGAGGAAAATGCAGAAAGGGGGATATTTCCAAAGGTATAGCAATAATGTGATTATGACTGCATGTGCATGAGTCGGTGTCCATGTGTTTTGTCATTATTCTAGATTATTAATTGACAGTTTTCAAGAACATCCCTCAAATGCAGCAATCTAACACTTAAATATGCCTCTGACAGTTCATTTTTAAACATGTTTTTTTACTTTCATGTGATAAACACAAAAATGTGTACATTGATTTTAGAGAGGTCAGAGTGTTCCTGTTGGTTCAGCTTCTGATGCAGCTGCTGTGTTCAGACAAGCTTGGAGCAGGAGGACCGACTCACATACTGATTTTGGTCCTGCCAAAAACTTTACATCTGTAATCATACGGTTTGAATTATCTATGGTAAGTTGTTATTAATGGGATTGATTATTATTTTGAAAAAAATGCCTTCAGTGATGCTTCAAACACCTATTAATTATAAACATGTCCTTATTTTATTATTAACATGTCCTTATTTTATTATTTAAGGTGAATTGTATGTTTAAGTAGTTAAATGGTTTAAAAGGCCAGTTCATGCATCTTACAATTTAAATACTTTTTTCAGTACACAAACAGTAATCCCCTGCCAAACAAGACCACTTTCACCATTGTGGACCTTCCAGGGGCAGAAAAGCTCACTGAAGATGTATCATCCTTGAGGCTGAGAGAAGGACCATCACTGAGTAAAGCTATCCATGCTTTCACTAATGTTGTTTCAAGTCTTGCCAGTCAACCAATGCCTAATAGAGTTATTAACTATGCGTAAGCTAACTTTTCTAATAAATGTCATTGAATTAAGAAGTTCAGAAATAAAAGAACAAATTTAGTCTGCTCTTTGGATGCAATTATATAGTTTATGTACTGTTGTGTAGATTAAGATGTTGTTTGGTAAAATGTCACTGGAAAAAATAATTCAGAGGGAATGTTTCTGGGATGCCTAAGTATTTTTAATACTGACTTGAAGGTGAAGTATAATTTACAGAAAAAAAATGCTTAGATGAATTGTTATTTTATTCATTGTGTTTTTAGAGAGTCTAAGCTAACTCAACTTCTGCGTGAAGAACTTGGAGGAAGTTGTCGTACCTGTGTATTATCATGTTTAAAACCTCACACTGACCCAGATATTTTGACCACAGTGGTGAGGACATCAGCACAGCTGGCACAAGTCAGAAACTTCCCTGTCCTCAATGACTACACTACACAGGTAATTCTGCTACACTCTTGATCAATGCAAATCTCAGAAAGTATGGCTTGGAAAAAATCCTGTCATTTGAAATGATCCGAATCATTTTTCTTAGATAATAATTTAAAACTGACATCATTTCAATAAAGACAATCAAGTCTGAATGATGATATTCTTGTACAGTATGACTTAGTCTTATAGGTTCTTAAATATTCAGTTGACCAACCCTTATTTTGAGGAAATAAGATTTTTTTCACACTAATTTTTTTTTCAAAAGTTAAAATGCAATGAGCATCGGATTGGAAAAATGACCAATTTACCTACAAAAGAAGTCCTATTCACAGAGAGTCACCAATTGCTAACCAACTTAACAATTTTGTCAGACCTGGCTTGACAAATTATTGAAAACCTCACAATGTTCATCTTAATTATCATAGTGTGCTTAAACAATTAAATCAAAGCATTCATAAACAAATGAGACAGCTTGACAGACATACATATACATTACCTGAAATGCCGGCATGTGAGATGATAGCTATACCTGTACATGTGCAACCAATGCTGTGTTCTATGGCCTCAATAAATGGACTGCTGACTAGAATTTAGCAATCACATCTATAAATATTTAGTGAAAAGAGAGTAAACATAATACTGATAAGGATGGACAAAGTATTAAACATTTCAAAACAGTCCATTAGAGGGCAAATATAGTGTGTTGTCATGGTTGTCTTATCTGCCAAGGTAAGCAGAATTATGCAGTGGGTTGGCACTGAAGGTATTGCTATCATTATACATGTACTAGCATACACCGAACAGGTAAAATAATTTTGTTCTTTAACTATTGGTATCATTTCTCATCTGAGGGTGAGAGAAAAGAAAACTAAAGGTTAGGTCAATGTATCCATACTGGTGTGGATTTATAAGAGTTATCTTAATTGCAAACATCTAGTAAGTGACAAGTTTTTTTTTTTTTTCTGAATAGTGTCTTCCATAATCACTGGATACAAATCTATGTAAGACCTGTTACATGATATCACATATTATCTTAATGCATAATTAATTACTAGTAAAAAAGAAAGTCAATTTCAGTGTAAAATCACTTTTTACCATACCTGCCCAGTAATTATATAATTGTTTTTGATTTTCTTCAGCACCTGATCACCCAATACCGTGCAAGGATAATAAATCTCCAGCAACACCTTGGCTTCAGTGCAGCCATGGCTAACCCATCACAGGTGACAGACATCAAAGATGAATTACGGAGGTTGCAGACAGAGAATGTAGGTTATGTCAGTCTTCAAGATGTCTAAGAAATATCTGTTGATTTAGAAAATATAGATAAGATAGCTCTCTCAAATACACATGCACCAACATATGCACACACCAGTTTTTGCTGAAATTATTTTGTAGTTTTGTTTTTGCAAATCATGTTTAACAGTGGGGCAATTAAAAGCACCATCAGTTCAGTGTGTATTGTAGAAGGCATTCAGTAGATAGTACCATATTCACTTGAATAAATCAATTAACATAGCTATTTAACATTTGTTCAAGCTCCAACTTCGAGATAAAAATGAACGCCTCCATCTGAAGATGGAACAAATACAAGGAAGATTTGGGACTCTAGCAGATACCAAGACTGACTTATCTGCACAGCTTCTTATGACAGAGGAAGAAAAACTCAAAGTAAGAGATGTCTAACATATCCCTTTAAAAGAATGCATAATGTTTACTTACAGTTCAGGCCCATAGGCAGGGGTGGATGAGGGGTTCAGAAGAACCCCCCATTTTGCTGGGAAAAGGTCCCCTCTGGGTAAAATTTTTTCTAAGTACATGAAGGTTTCATGGTTAAAGGTTCATTTTTTCAGAAAAAGAACCCCCCTGTTGAAATTGCTGGCTACAGGCCGGCAGGTATTTTGATAAGTAAAACCATTTACAAATTCATGCTTGCAGAGCATGTACATGTATCAGTGCATTTTGTTTCTGCATTGCCAGGTGTCTAAAACCTTAGTTGAAATGCAGATAGAGAACAACAAGCTGAGGGAAGAGGCAGAAGCTGCAAAGTTTGAGCTTACTAATAAGGTAACTAGAACTTACATCGATATCAAAGTAATCACTTTTTTATTATATACCCCAGTACCTTCTTTGAAGCACTAAATGTTTATTTTTAATCTGTATTATGTAGTTAACATGTTCCTTTGTACAGAATGAAACAATTTATAAAGATAAGATTGCTATATTTCAATCTACCAGATTCTCACTCTTGAGCATGACTTAATGGAGTTAGAAATGGAGCGAGATAGGCAAGCCAAGGCAGCAAGAAATGCACAGGACAAGCTTGCAGAACTAGAAAAAGACAGGAAAGAATTGGCAGATGAATATGTGGCTCTCAAAACCAACTATCTCACCTTGAGTAAGGAGCACGAAAAAGAGGTTAGAGAAGTATGTTTGACTGTTAAGTCAGCAAAATTTTGAAAAATTTCACACATTTTTATGAACAAATTCTATTTAAGCTGTTATGCTTATCCCATCTTAATTTCACATAATTTCATCCAACAAGGTGCAATGAATTAAAACATTGTTTATTTATTATGTAAAAAAATGGCTACTTTCCAGGCTGCAAGGAATGAAGAACTGAGCATGGAGCTGCTGAATTTAGTGAATACCAAAGCTGCACTGATAAGGCAAATGCAACAGTCACATCTGGCAGATGACAATGATCCAAACATGGAAGTGGACAGGATCCGAAATGTTGTTAGCAGACTGTCAAATAGACGTATGAAGGTATTTAAGGGACAGCTTCTCCAAAGAACTTTGTTTTATTGTGTCATGAGATAACGAACTTGTACATGAAGTATGTAATGTAGCAAAAGAAAGCCATTTAGTTCATTATTTTCATCTTTTTTTTCCAGCCAGAAGAACTGTTGGCAGGTGAAGAAGATAGATTGGTTGTGGAAAGAAATGTGAGTTATTTTCATTCAGAAACTAAATTAATTTTATACTTTTTGACATTCAGTCTTAGTCATTATTTAATTGAATTAAAATAAAGTGTGTTTTTTTATTTAGTCTTGATAATCGGTCATTGATATTACAGTTATTTGGCAAACAGAAGATGTACCAAAATCAACTGGATAAGATGAAAAGTCAGTATGAAGAGGAGCATGGAAAAATGGAAGGGCAGTTGTAAGAAAATGACTTGGCATATGAATTTTAATCAAAACATTTTTATTCAAAATTTTTTAAATAATTTTAAATAAAATTTGAGTTAAAACAAATGAAAGTGTCTGATTATGATATGTAGTGAATAAGATTTCAAAATGTGAACCTCAAAAACATTTTTCAGATGTATTACTGTTTGCAAAGATGCTGTAGAATAAAAATCATTTTTATTCCATTTTAAACCTCATATATTGTAGTGGTATTGTTTAACTGTAGCACATCATTAAAGAGAGAACTGCAAGATGCAAGAAATGAAGTCAGAGAGAAACAGATGAAGATATCAGAGCTGAATGCAGTGAGGATATTTTAGATGATTTTTGAAAAGATCAAAAAGTCAAAAATATTTATTTTGTAAGCAAATGGAATCAGCGAATTAAGATGTACATAAAATACATACCGTAATAGAAAATTCTGAGTAATGTATCATTTTGTTTGACCTAAAAGCAGCATCAGATAACATATAACTAAAGACCATGGATTTTTTCTCTTTGTCATTCATTTTTTTTTATTTTGTTCTGTTTCCCTGTCTTCCAGCAATTAATTACATTAAAAAGTCTGAAGGACCAAATGGAGTCAGACAACAACAGACTGCAACACAAGATGAAGGATCAGAATGCAGAGTACAGGGCCCGCCTTGTGAAATATGTGGAAGACATTGCAGTAAGTGAAACCTTGCACTGCTACACAACCTTTGAATTTTTAAAGTATATATTTATGAATTAGTTTCCTGGATTAGATTTGGGGATGCAAATTGTTTAGACATAGTGTAGTAATGTTTGAAAAGTTGAATATGTTTAAAGTCCTAAATGTGCCCAATAATGCTTATTAAATCACCAAATAACCCCACTTCCAGGAATATGTGGACCAGGGAAGTGGAGTTCCAGACCAGAGAAAGACAGAGGAACAGATGCAGCAGTTTGTGAACAATATGCTCAAAGATATCAAGAAGGGATTCAAGGCTAGGGAGGAGCAGTTAAGCCAGGCAGCCAAGGCATCCAGGAGACAGACTGACCATGTGGTTCACAAGTATGAACAGGTGCTCATTGCATACAGGTAAATATTTCCAATATTTTAATGCCCTAAAATATATAACAATATATTATGATTAAAGATACATCTGACAATTTGTCTTTCAAATAGCTATTTGTAAATTTTCTAAATAATTGATTGCTTAAGGATGTTGTAACCCTTTTTATCATCCAGATACTGAAAATGAGGTTTTTCCTGCATCTAATTATTCAATAATGCATCCGTCTTTGGGCTGATTTAAAACAAAAATCTCCTTAAAAATATAAAATATCAGCTTTTATATTTCTTGTGGCAATGTATAAGCATAGGCACCTCAAAGCTTTATTCACCAATTTACCACGTTTCTATTTTGATGTGAGATCGCAAACGGTATTGGGCGTAACTTCATCTATCAACAATAAAATCAGAACTAAGGCTTTTAAGAAAATTCACTGGCAGGGTTTTGGAGTGCTAAATGGTATCATTAAAATAGTGTTAAAACGGTGTTCATGGGTGCTCAGGTAAAGGGGAAATTTGAGAAATGGATTTTTCAATTTTTACTTCAAACCAAAATTGCAATTATGATGTCACGATTATGAAGGATGACACTTATGTTGCAACATTTGATGTTACCATGGAAGTAACTGACTCTCAGTCATTAAATTTTACAATAAAACATCTGTTGAATTTTTACTTTTGGTCAGTGTTGTTTTGCAGGCCTAACCTTTGTCAATATTACTTTTCTCAGATTTGCAAAACAACATATTGACCTTAGTTTAAGTTATAAACTGCATAATATATATGCATTTCAATACGATGGAACCCATCCTATCCATATTGATTGGATTTTATTATGTGCAAAACCAGTGATGGTATAATTTGCTTTGCAGGCAATTGCGACAGCAGGTGCAGTCCCGTGGAATTGCTGATCTTGACCTTGGTCCAGATGAGACTAACTTAAGAATGACTGATGCAGAAATTCACTCAGCCAATCAGAAGGAGATTTTCAGATTGAAAGAGGAACTCAGCACATTACAGCATAAACTGGAAATGTACAAAGTTGGAGTATGTTTTTTTTTTTTTTTTTGCTATAAAAAAATGGCCCACTTAATCTACAGTAATTGTATTGGGACTTTTCTTTTATAATTGGTGTCACACTATTAACCCCATTTGTCAAAAAATATTACTTTTTATAATACTAGATCTCAAAATCTTTCTTAATACCTTCAAATTGGCTTGCTAGATTTTTTTTTTTCTTGTTGCAGGTCCCTGTAAAGGGAGACTCCAAGAAAAATATAAGTTTTGCTGACACTAATGACAAGGAACATTGGGCTTCACTGAGGAAACAGCTGAGAGACTTCACTATGAATACCCAGCAGGAACTTGAAGGAGAAAGAGCTCAACTTCTCAGTAAGAACCATGCTCTGGAAGAACAGCTGAAAGAATGTCAGGATTATATTGACAAACACCTGGTTAGGTAGGCATCAGCATTTAATTTGATCCTTTATCAATTTTCGTGTCCTTTTCTTTTGTTGCATCTCATTCTTTTCTATATTGTGGCACTTGAAAACGAAATTACATTGCATGCAATTTATGTCATATGTTGGTCCTAAAGGATTTCAAAAGGCATTCAATATTATCCATCTTTTTATCAACAAAGCCACTAATTTTTTAAAAAAATTTTGATCATTGATTTGTAGGTACAAGCAAGAAATAGTGCGATTACGAAAGCTGTTAGGTGTAAAAGAAGATGGAAATATTGCCAATTCCAGCCCACTTGCATTTTACAAAAAGTGAAAACAGACTTCAATGCAATTCGTAGAACATACGGAAGGCTCTAAACAGTGCTGCAAAAAACTAGGGGTTTGCAACTAGATGCACAAACTAGTTCAGTTTTATAGTTAATGCCAAAATGCATCATGTGCACACACCAGTTCAGTAAAGCTTTTTTTTAACCAAATCAGGTCATATTGACACTTCTAAATGGGTTGTTGGAATCAAAATTAAACCAAAGTTGTATGCACGAAATGCCATTATTTTCATTGTTCAATATGTAATAATGTAGATTTCTTCCATAGTATCAGAGGCGAGATGAATAATGTAATGATGTCCTAAAGCATTGACACAGGATGAGTGCCATATCATGTTTTAGAAGCTTTGCACATCTAGAATCTCAGTAGAGCAGGCATCTGAGAATTGTAATAATAAACTTAGGTGAAATGAACAGCCTGCCTCTGCTCATTAATCCTTTTTCAGATCTCCTAAATGTGTACATGACAAACATCAATCAGAAACAACAGCAAAAATTTATTTTTTACATGTACAAAACAAATACATAAAATATTGCACTATCATTTCACATAAGTGCAATGATATAAAGATAACAATCCTTAAGTCTTACTTTTATTTCAAATATTAACTTTACTTTTCTGTAGAACAGATGAGAAAATCACATACTACATTCTTATGAACAAAGGATTGTGGAAATAAATTTATTATCATGTAATAGCCCCTGCATTTTACTAATGATTCACATACTACTCTAATAATGAAAAGAATAAGAACTTCAAATAGGAGCCACTCAAAATATAAACTGATTTTCTGTAACTTAGAGCTTAATGTAATATAATCACCATAGTTGGGGTTAAGCTTTAACTAAGCTAGATCTAACATCAGCAACACAATTTTGAGGAAATCACAAAATTAAGTGAAATGCTGTTACAATTATACTTACTAAAATAATTAAAAAAAGAAGAAAATTTGTTGGTGAAATTTAAACAAGTTATTTGTACTTATAGCCCAATACCAACCTCATTCATGAAATAAAACTCCAAAGCTGTATTAGGCAGCTCTGCTCAACTTTTGAAAAGGGACTATGTTAGACTGCTGCTGCACTAGTAGCTACAGAGCTGATTTTTCACAAAATGCCTATGCAGCTAATTTCATCATGGACTAAGATATTTGAAAGCGATACTGGGGCTATATATATTTACTTAAAACCAATTCTGGTGTCTCATGAATTCAAGTGTTACGAGGGAATATTTTGGTCAGATAGTACAATGTACCACAGCTGATGAACATAAATGTCTAAGGCTTAGCTACTGATATCAACCGAGCTTAGATGGAAGCTATGAACTTGTCCCTCACCCAAACTATTCATGAGATCTACCCCCAACAAGTCTTTCTCAGGCTAAAAAAAGGCAGGCTCTGGGCTTAAGATTTGATAATGATAATGAGCTGTTTAGGGGACCAATATGTTGAGTTCTACTGATGGATATCAATGAATGGCAAACTTAATAGAGCTAAATGAAAGTGTGTGGAGTAAAAAGGGTACTATGTTGAAGAATATAGCAGTATAAATCCAAATATCTTGCTCTTTCCATGCATTTCTCAAAATATTTTGACTTCCCCTCATACCAGTGTGACAGCATATTACAATCAATCTCTGAATAATAACACAAAATATATAACAATACAACGTAATAAGACAAAAAAATTTATATTCTTTCTTTGGGTATATATATATAATATTCCGGGGTAGAGCAAACACTCACCAATGTAGCCAAATGCTAAAACAGACTTAAACTGGCTAGACAAAATAGGGTTGATTTGACTTAAGTCAAATTTAAACAAATTGGAGAAAAAAAGTGATGAAAAAGTAATTAGCCAAGCGAAAAAAAAATTGCTAGCGCTACCTCAGAATATTGAAAATTACTCTTAACTTTACAGACTGAGCAAAGCACCACAGGCTATAGGGCAGTACCTTCATCATTACTGTCTATAATTGAAGATCCAGATGTTTCTTTATTGTCACCTTGGGTATTCCTTTTTCTCAAGGCATTATCAGCCACAGAGTCTGACCTTTGTGTTTGGTTTTCATTGTGTTCTGTTTCATTACTGCGAAGTTCAGAGGGACTTTCGGCCAAAGAGCCTCCAATATTTAATTCTTCTAAAGTCCTAATGACAACAGTCTGGTTGTTGTCTGCATTGTCAGGTTCAGTAGCTTGTCTCCTGTTGTCAGATTCCCTATCTTCATCCATAGCTTGGATGAGATCATTTTGTTGGTTCTCAGAATTGGGACTAGTATGTTCTCTCGTTTGTTGCTGGGCCTCCCCTTGTTGCTCTGGCGCCTGGTTTGCCTGGCCTGCCGCCTGCTGGCCTTGTTGACCATCTGCTATCAGTGCACCTAGGTTTTGTCTTAATTCCTGTGCTGTCAAGATATTGTCATTTCTGTCTCCTCCCCTGTCCGCTGCCCCAGCTTCATGTGGTGTTCTCATCAAAATTTCCTGAATCCTTGCCTGCTGTAAGATGGCTGGCAGTTCATAATGGTGGAAGAAGTACAACATTGAATGCTGAAATATGAAGACTAAATGATGAAAATTTCAATGATATGATATACAATGATATATACTGAAATTAAGTTGTGATCCCTTTTAAAATTTTTTCAAACACACCACCACTGTAGATTAATCTATTCCATTCTAAAATGTAAGATTTAACCAAATCTTATACAGAAATGAAAATCATCCATTTCTTTGTTTTTCATTTTTAAATATAAATGAAAATCAATATCAGGGGTAAATCAGAAAATATGTTCCTTTTGCAATGGCAATGGAAAGAATATATGGCAACAATAGAGACATTAAAAATTGAAAATTAACCCATTGCCATGCACAGGAAGGGTGATTGCAATGTTTAAACGGCCTCTGCCTACCTGAATAAACAACCAGGAAGTGATGAGTGCCAGACCACTGTACTGACCATTGAACCTGTAGTGGTAGGCATAAAAGGCAAAGTGGTACAGGTAGAAAAACCTACAAAGATAAATATGTTTATCAAAGAGATTGCGCATTTGAAATTCTTTTCTGATTAACAGTTATAGGCTTTGCTTGTTTAAAGTACTGAAATGTCCAAAGCTATTTTTCAGGCCCACAACTAACCCTCTTAAGATTATTACCTACAAGGAAGTTATGTTTTCACCAGTTTGTTTGTCCGTCTGTCTTTCTGTCTGTCTGTCATCAACATAACTCAAAAAGTTATGGACCGATTTTGATGAAATTTTCAGGAACTATCAGAAGTGGGCCAAGGAACAGATGATTAGTTTTTGGTGGTGATCTGGATCAATAATCAATCAATAATCAAAAATCAAAAAACTTAATCATTATAGAATGAAAATTTAGGGGTGAAACGGGTGGAGACTTTGCTGCCTTGGTGGAGGTCTGCGTTCTTGGAGTGCTTTTCTAGTGGCAAATTCAAAGATTTCAGAGGGAATCAATGACTATCAATTAAAAGCATAATATGCAAAAAAAATCGGGATTAAATTCAAAATATTCTAGCGTTGTAAAAAAGCTTTCAAATATAACAGCAATATGTTAAAATATTAGTGCAAACTATTAAAAAAGAAACCCAGGTGACACAATTTTTACCTAAGCCAGTGCCTCTTGCTGATATTTGTGTGACAGCATATGGCATCATATTGATCTGCTAACCAAACTATTAGTATCATATAAAAGGCTGTAGTGGTGTCATTGAAGAACTCAGACATGATGGCTTCCATACCTACAAGGAAAATTACCATTATTTATCATAGTACAAATATTGAAATTCATTTAAGTAAATCACTTCAATCATTCCAGTACTTATGTACTACATAACTTAAATGAGAATCATCCAAATCCATAAAAATGTTTCAATTTAAGACACTAGTCAGCGCAGGGCTGTTACTACTCCATGCTTACCTACTAAAGCTAGTATAACAGTCAGCAGCGGAGCTGCAGGAAAAGCAATTGTCACATTCATTTCCAACATTTGAAGGAGATCAACTGCAAAAAATAAAAATAAAATCAAAGACGACACTTGCTATAAGGATGTGAATATGTCAGAAGCACAATTAATACATTCAAAGCAAGCTCTATATATCCCTTAGATGCATCCTTAAGTGACGGAAGTTAACTTTCATTTTATTCCCATATTTAGTATACTGTAATTTAATTTTTCTCAAATCTGAGAGTATAATTTACAACTTACCAATAAAAACAAATATCTGATGGTGAGAGTATCTCAATAACATCGACACTGATAAGGTCTTAAATGGAAAAAAAGAAAGTATATTGATTGGAAAAATTGTTAATTATTTCTTTAGGAGCAGGTTTTCAAAAAAGAAAAGAAATACCAATAGGCTAAGCCTGTTCCACTCTTAATGCAACTATTCAAAACAAGAATGATTACTGTTAATTAATAAATAAAATTAAAGAAAGAAAGAAAGAGTGTGTCCGTGTTTTATATCTCAAAACTAAAGCTGACATCCTTTTTTTCACTATGACACCTTATAAAATAGTAAACTTACAAAGATGAGCATGATGAAAGCAGCAGCAAGGTATGATGTTCTTGCCATCCACATGCTGACAAACCTATAGTGCTCCCCAGTGACAACATTCCTCAAAAAACCTACAACAAATATAAGAAAATCAAAGTTTCTTTCATCTTTTTAGTAGATGCTCATTTATTAACATACTTAGTCATAATTTGGGTATCAGAACAATCCCCCCCCCCCCAAAAAAAAAAATTTTATATACAAATCATCCGCAGGGAATTGTCCTAGAATCATACTTTGTTTCGAGTCATAAAAACCCAGCTGGTTTCTTCCACAATTGAAAATCTCCAAAGAACCTCCCTGCATTAGACACGCTACCTTTGTTATCCTCTTGTTCAGCCAACTGTTTAACACTGGACATAAGCAGGTCATCATAACCTAGGAATTCATCTAGAATAAATCTGCTAAAACTGTCTCCAAAACATTCATCCTTCAGGGGATCTGGAAAAGAGATGACTATTGATCATACATGTTTCAGAACACATATATACAGGTGCAAACAAGAAATATTTAAATATGAAGCAGAAGTTTGTAGCTGTAATGGACAAAATAAACATGTAGATGGTATTTGTCATGATACATATTACTTTTTTGTGCACACAGGCACCTATGAAAGTAAAAGTAAAGTATTCTGTTTAAGAAATTCTCAATCTTCAAGTCTCTGGGACTCAACAATAAGGGATAGGGTTACTAACCTAGGGTTATTAACATCACAGTTATATTGAGCCTCTGCCTGGTCTTTGGGGACAGTCTCAAAAATCCATACTCAAGGGAATATTCCACAATATATTTCTCATCAGGCCACACTGAAATTGAACAGGGCACTCTTCACATATATGGGCATTGGAAATATGTACAAGTGGAACACCAGATAAACAAATTGTTCTGCTTTGGTAAGAAATAATAAAATTGCTTTTATAATCATATTTTCTATTACTAATCTAAAATTACAAACAGAACATACCTGCTTTGGCCAACATCTCTAGTTCAGAGAGTGTCTCTCTGAATGGTTGCATGTTCCTTTCAGGCTTTCCTTCAAAGGAGTAATCTATGTTTATTGTTGTATTGTCTGTGGTGATATTTTTATCATTTACACTGGCCAAAGGAAAACCCCCATCAATAATACTGCTGTCCACTTCAGATGGTGCAACCGGTTCAGCCAGTCCTGCATCTTCAGTGTCAGTCTTACCCTGTGTCCCTTCTATGTCTCCAACCTGTGGTACAGTGTCATTACCAAAAAGTATTCCATCTACATCAAAATTTTCATATTCTTTTTTGTAAGAGTTAATAATGCTATAGTTATCTGAAGCATTTTTGATGATTTCTACTCTCAATATACCATCTCTTGGCCATTCTTTTTGAATGTGTTGAAGGCAGTTCATTGGAGCTCTGGCAAATACTACATGAATGTAAGCTAGAATGAACAGCACCATAAGGGCCTGCAAAGAAAAACAGAGCAATTGAGACACTGTCCATCTTTTTCTGTACTAATTCAACTAAGAATTAGGTGGGTCATGAATCATGCCCAAACACATATTACATACTTACGTGAGCTGTATGAAATAGTTCAATTTTACTAATGACTGGCTGAAACAATATACCATATATTTTGATCAATTAACATTAGGACTGACCACCCTGAGCTTCAGAGATAACTTGACACTAACCTCTTCACAATAGCCTATCTTCATCGTGTCAAGTTACCTCTGACCACATTCGATTGCCCCCGCCGCCCGCCAATCAAATTTAAAGCCCGCACTCAATGACTCATTGAACGATCTAGCCAATGAACGCGAACGAGTCAAAGCGCGCTTTGTTCAAATCCAGACCAATCAGAGATAAGGCTCAATATCAGGGACTTGCCGTAACCTGTGGGCAGCACGCAAAATACATCATCCCTCAGTAGATAATGATGCAGGGCCTCAAACTGCTCTGGTTTCAATTCCGATATACTCATATTTTGCAAAGAATCAAGAGATAACTTAACACATTATTTTACGTAGTCACTCGTAGAAGACGCCATGCTTTCTTTGTGTACGGTTATGCACTCGGCACTACTCGGATGTCTCCGCACTCGACAATAACTTTTGTTGTTAGTATGGAGCTTGCGGAATCAGCCGAGGATTACCGATTGACGGTCAACCAATCAGCGTTTTCACCAAACTTTGGTGAAAAATTTTGAAACTTGGATTCGATTGGCTTATATAAACTAGGTCAAACTATTTTCGTCAGAGGTAACTTGACACGATGAAGATAGGCTATTGTGAAGAGGTTAGTGTCAAGTTATCTCTGAAGCTCAGGGTGGGACTGACACACCTAAGCCAGAATCACCTAGAGATTTTTCCCACCTATTTTTGCCAAGCACCTCAAGAGTGTGAATTTAGACTGCTACTGATAGTCAGCAAACTTTAAAAATATTAATTCTTTGTGTATGGTAGTTTTTGTTTAGTCACCTGTACAAAGACAAAGGAAACCCCTCCTAACCATGGGACTCATTTGCCCAACATATAAACAAGGTGGGGATCAGGTAGTACCAGTAGCAAGCATTTACCACCTAAGAACTGCGCCAAGTTGCTTTCATTGTGAAGACAAAGGATTTACTCATGAGTCTAGTGTTTCATCACAGAGATCAAGCAAGAAATGTCTAGCTGGCAGACAGTAATGGTAACAAACATGTCGATGAGAACAATTTACCCACCTTGACTAGCACCAGTGTCTCCAGCATGCGCCGCACTGATTTAGGAAATGCCCTGGCATATGTCAGAGATATTCTATAAAATAAAGCATGGAATAGCCGATCCCTGACATTGAACAAGGGATTTTGCTGCTGCTGTGGAGGCCTGTTATTATTGTTGTTTCCCACTGGCCCATTGTTGTTCTCCTGCACAGGAGGCCCATTGATTATGATAGGCATCTTTCACAAATTCAATCTGTAACAAACTTTTAAATAGATATAAATCAAACTGATGTTGAGTCAGTTGTTGCCAAGACTTTACAAAATGCAATGAATGACTTTATTGTATAATTACATTAATTTTACCATACATCAAATTCTGGTATCATTTTAAGCTAAAATAGTTGATACTAGCAAAAATGTTTTTGTCAATATTCTGTATTTGCTTATGCTCACCTCTGATAAATAATATATTAACTAGAGCATTTCCTCCTAAACATTCTTCAAATTATATTATGAAAATCTGAAAATAAAAACCTTAAACTGAGAACCATTCTAAGGGGATTTTGGTTTTTGTGAACTGTATAACACTGGGATTCAATTAGACTAAAATGATTTTCATAAAAAATCTGATTCATACAAGAGCATTACTTAAAGTGGAATAAGAATGGCCTTTTTATCAGTAAGATATCAATTGGTGATTGGAGCTTTTATTAAATACTCAGTAACTACTGGGTAATTTGAAGGAAATAAAGGGGCAAAGCAATTTACCAAATCAGGATATGTACTGGGGAACAAACATTCTAAGGGAATCCGTTGGGAATCTTTGTCCAAATCTCTGGTTGTTGGGATTTACTACACTTGGTTAGGGTCAGTACCGGGCTGACCCAGTTTACTTGGAACTAGCCCGTTCTATTTCTTGTCGAAATGATGACAACGTTATGAACGGGAGTTATACTATAGGGTAACAAACAAAAATGCATGCACTCAAAATAGATACAAAGTCATTACTACAGTGAGTGTCAAACTGATTGGTGCTCTGACCGCGCTGATGTCATAAAAACAATGACCTTATATTCTTATTCTTTTTCTCGTTATTTGGCATTCTGTGCAGATTAGACGTAGACGTATCTACACTAAAAACCCGTCTCCATAATTTTAGATAGACTTAGATACAAAACCATTCTGTATCATTTATACGGTTCACATTGTAATCCACCTTTTAGTTTGTCAGTAATCGTGAAAATAACTTACAACACAAACGTGAACATCTTCCACTGTCAGCAGTCCGATATTTACCCAGCATGCAATAAGTTGTAGTTCCGTTTGAGGTTTCTCGATTATTTTTGCGTTGAAAATTAAAATTAAGGTTTTATCAGAAATAAATTTATGCATCATTTGTCATCAAAGCGTGATTAAGTATTGATATTCTTATTTACCAACAAGTAACTCTGCAAACACTGCATCAAATTCAAATGCAGACTAATTCAGACAATTTGCCTGTAGCGCCACCTACTTACTGTTAATGTTTCTAGAGATGGCAGAGCAAAGCACAATACAAAGTGAAACCCTAAAAGAAAAAGGAGACTTGTATTCAAAATCCACCGAAGTAGATAGAAATTTACTAGAGTACGACATAGTAGACGCCACAGAGGATAAAAGCAATGAAAGTAACGAAAAATCAAAGGACCCCACAAATGTACATCATACACAACTGGAGCAAATGACACTGTCAAACTCCCAGGACAAGGAATCACAAAATGAGGAAGAAAAAGAAAGGGAATCTCCAGTTATAGAAGAAAAAGTGGTAGACATTATTTGCCCTAGAGTTAACTGTCCAGAAAAGATTGTAAGTTCTATTGAGCAATAAGAGACTGAAAAGCTTTTTGTACCTCTTGAAATATTTTACTGAAAGTTTTTGCGAGCAGATTCACCAACACACACACACACACGCTCGGCTGTCACCTTGATTGGATAGTAAACGGTTGTCGTAAAATCGCTAAATGATATTAAAAACCGGTGCATAAACTTGAAAACCACCTAGGACTACCTTAGACTGCCACATTAATCCAATACAATGCAAAAATAAACTATAACAAGTGGTTAAAGCCTTCAAACCGAATGTCGTAAAGTCCCCATATACCTCCATAGAGACAATAAAATAGAGTGAGCTTGTGAAACAAAAATCGACCAACTTAAACATAATAATCGAAATAAAGTACTGCCGGGCATCGGAGCGGCCTAAAACTTGGCACGCTTACCGCAAATACTGATGGCTACATCATCCCGTCGCTCGTTTGTTAATTCCGTGCATGGCATACGCACAATCAAACCGTATATCCAAATTCCACCTCTGATGTTTATTTCGGTCCTCTCTAACCTCCAATTCAGGAAATGACGTAACCGCAGAGGTCGTATTTGTCCAATGGCATGGCTTCTTTTTCGTAATTGGAGGTTAGAGAGCACTCCAATTTACTGTCTGTGGAATGTACTACCGGTACTTGTACTGTACCAGTATGTATGCGAATGCAAGAGAGATATACCTGTAGCCCGTAGGTGCATATATATGTAATTGTAAAATGACTTCCCTGCAGCTAGCTCATCCACTGTACTGCAGGGCTCTCAAATCTTTATCTTACGTCACACCTCCTCAAGTTGCACAGCCAGTATATATCAGGACTATCAATAGGTGTGCTAACACATGAATTTTTGTGCTAACTCCTGTAAAACCAGCTAGTTTTCCTTGCAACAGAGCTTTGATTTAGTTAAGATCCCTGTGCTCGTGTACCAGTTATGCCACCGTGAAACATATGCAACAGATTTCAACATTTATGCAGCAGTGTTATATGTATGTATTATATAAATTTATTATATAAATTTTCCCAATTTTAGATCATTTGTCTTGACTTGTCTTCAGAAATGGATAAAGCAACTTTCAAGTCCAGATCTGGGTAAGAAGATATTTATATAATTTTTGGAAATATTTTAAGTAACTGTACTATTTTTGTACTAGTACTTATTTTATGAAGTAAATTACATTGTTCATTTAGACAAGTACCAGTACTCAGTAGGTGACCTTCCTAAAAATTCTCACTGGACGAGGATTTTTTACAGACATCAGTAGTGTGATTTTGTATTTAAACTTTCAGTGATAAGTTTGCTCCACTTAAACTTGTGAAAAGAGCACTGGGGATATTTTGTCACACAAAGAGTAGAATAGATAAGCGGCACGAATACGCCCTAGTTGTCTTACAGGAAACACCTATGTGGGTAAGTAGACCGAGATAACAAAGCTTAAAGGCATGAATCTGGTTAATACTGTTGTATAAGAAAGTGTATGTCTTTTAATTTTCATTGATTATTTTGGAAAAATTGCACAAACCAATGGGCCTTTGAAATTGCAAAATAAAGACACAAATAGAAAGTATGGCACCCACCTGACTCTTCTCATACAAAGGGAGTGATGTGATACCAGGATCAGATTTAAGAATGAAGGAGAAAAGACCAATTTTTTTCTACACACATTTTTACAAAACAGTATTTGACAAGATTTTTATTGTTATCTTTTTAGGTGTGTGACTTCACAAATAATCCCAAGGAAATTATCAGCATTCTAGAAGATGTAATATGCAGTACATTTGAGACAGAAACATTTGACCTTAGCTGCTTGTTTGACCTTATGTATGTTAGAATTGATAACTTGTGGTTATAGATTTAAAATGCAAATTGTCATATAATATTGTTTACTTTAGATAAAAGGCCACTTTTTCTCTTAACTCCCATCTTGAAACATTTAATTGTTAACCTTTTCTCCTAATGTTATGATAACACTTTAGATCTGACATATTTTCCTAACAATTACAGAGCTGAGAAAATTAGTCTTCCAAAAGTTCAAGAACCCAGAATTATTCCTCCACCTTACAGCATAAGGATGCTGTTTTTGTATGGAAGATCCCACTGTGAAATAACAGCAGGAAATAAGGAGGTAAATTTAGAATCTTAAGTGAAGATATTCTTTTGATTTATTTGACTGACTGGTTTCATCTAGACTTTTTTTTTTTGAGGTTGCAATAAAGTGGTCAATCAAAGAATTGCTATTATAATGACTGTTGCTTACAACTAGCAAGCTTATTCTGTTTAACACAATAAGTCCATGCACTGCCCTTTTAAGTATCTAATGAAATGCTGATGTGAATAAATTTAGAGATATATTGTATATGTTCTGCCAGAATCAGAGGCTATTGCAGAGTTCTCCGCATTTCTTCCTGGATGCCTTCTACATTCATCTGCCACCCTCTGATGATAATCAGTGCCAGGTATGCTTCCCATAATAACAGTTTCAAGCACTTGTATTTATAATGCCAAATTCACATCAATCTTTAAAAATTACTGGTGGGCTGGTAAAATATATTTGTATTTCAAACAATTGCCAGATAACTTGTAATTACAAAATTTGTACCATTGAATTGTTGTACAATGACTTAATATTTAGAAGAGAAATTAATTGGATTTAAATTTCCCCTTATTTTGTGCTTTCTTTTGCAGGAAATTTTTAACACAATTTGTGATTGGGATGAACAAGGACTTTACTATGTGTTTGAAGCATCAAAGAATCCCACAAAACTGTATGATGGGTTTGCTCAACTTCTTGCACATCCACTTCAGAGACCCTTACAGAAAGATTGTGCATATAAGCTTAAACCTTCCATGCAGTAACACAGACTAGAGTACCATATCATGTGGTCTTCTAGTATTACAGGGTTTTTAACTACAAATATGATGGATGTGTTATTCTTCAGTTTACTGTTAGCTAAATTAACAAACCCAAGAACAATGAAAAAATGTTGGATATTATTTTCAGGGCAGTTGACAAGTAGCAATCTGTTTTGGAGAGTTAAATTGTCATTTTTTTAAATTTTGTTTCTGTTCTTCAGCAAAAAAAAGCGTCCTTGTTGTTTAAAAGCAAGACTTTGAACACTACACAGGATTCATAGAATTTACATGTTGTATAATTATGCAAAACATTAATTGAGGGGAAACATTACAGTCACAGTTAATCAACATACATTTATTGCAAAAGAATGACAGTTGTCTATTACGTCTACAAACAATTCATATGTTGCAAAGTTTTTACGTGGACTTACTAAAATAATTTTAAAGAGACTGCTTACCTACAAATATATCCATGAAACCATCTCTTCTTAAAAGATTGATAAAACTTGGATAAGAAATACTTCCATAGATCTTATTGTATGAAATCTAAATATGTATGCAAATGCAGCAACACATTTTTGTTACATTTTCATTTGTGAAGTTTGAAACTATTTCAATATGAATGAAAATTATGACCAAAAAAAAAGGTACCTGTGTGAACTGTACTCACTTAGTTTCTTTGCATGCATACTTGCTTACATTACAGCCATAAATTTTAATTTAACAGCTTAAAAAAATATTTACAATGCTGTGGTTAAAAAAACACACACATATATATACAAGAACATACAAAACATTTACTTTTCCAACTATTTTACAATGCTAGAGATACCCTGTAACAAAAACCATATTTTTTACAGTATTAATTTTCATTAACTGCTGCACTTAACAAAAGGACAATGCTTGACTGCAAATCTTTAATACACCCACAAACATTATTACCAACTTCAAATACAATAATTCCGACATCTAAACAACAATAACGCACTTAATCTGCCAAATTTCTTTATTGAGAAGTGCAGAATGGGCTTTTGTCTTGGTGATTGACTTTCTATTCATAAAAAAGACATCTAGGAATTTGGTACATAGCATGTTTATGATGTTACCTATACAACTGAAAGAATACAGATGACATTACTCTGCTAATGAGATGATACAATTTAAGTTCCAATTGCACTTACATATTTACATGTCACTGTCACATAGGGGTGTATGTGCACGTAGTACTAATACAACACCCAAACACTTTTCGTAAAATTTTTTTTGACTGCTTAAAACATTTGAGAAAATTTGAATTCACCAAGGACTGACATTATCTTCATAATAAAAGTATGTAATTTTCATGTGTGAAAATTGTTCAAATGCCCAGTGGGAAAAAGAATTTTAATACAGCACCAGATAACATCTCAAGTTTAAGTACATCTGACATGACATGATGGCAAATATCTGTACAAGTAAATAATATAAATACTCGATTCTTTAAGATGAGGGAGATCTTGGGTATTGCTTCTTGTCAAGCAATTTGCTTCAGTTCTCTAAAATGCTGAATAGCATCAAGCAGGAGTCCATACTACCTTCGTCTCTTCCAGAAGCAGACCAGCTGCCAGTTTTATTTGACTAATTTGCTTCCAAGGTCAAATTAGTGCTTCACCATCTAGAAAGATTACATGTTTCTTTTGATCATTGCCTAAGCAAGTCTTGAGATGTGTTCTCCAAGCAAGTTACCCTCACCAATTACCATAATCAAAGTCATCATTTCCAAATACCCAAAAATATCCTAAAATTGTCAAGAATACTACTGCATTTCCAGACATCACAAGTCCACATGCTGCCCACTGGATCTGAAATAAAATGGTAACACAAAAAAAATCAAAATGACCATGACAAGCTGTGTTCAGTGTGACTACAAAAAAAAATAATAATAATAATAAATAAATAAAAAAGCTGTGCCGACATCTTCATTAGAGGATTATAGAGAGACTAAATGGCAATAATAATCACACTAAAATTCCGAAGTGTCCATCCCCATCTCTAGGTCAGTCAATCTCAAAAGTTTTAACATCCTCACTCTAATTATCTAGGAGATGGCTGAAATTACAAAAAAAAAATTAGAATAATCCACCCCCAGGGACAGCCTTACCCACAGGCACACAAAAACTTCAAAGTTCCCATGAACATCCCAAACGATAGGCATATCAAATCCCAAAGTTTGAACTTTGTCACTCTCATGGTCTAAGGGAAGATGGTGGAAATTATGGATGCTAAATGTGTTTCTAGGACCGCATTCACATTGAGTTGAGCCATGGATCTATAAAGCCATGAACTAAATATGGCGGACGTTCATGAAAGGAAAACCGCCTAATCTTTTAATAGTCTCTCCGCCTCTCACGCCTCCCCATGTGCCGTCCCAATGGAGCCGAGATTTAATGACTGTACCCCCGCAGGGACGACGCATGGGGAGGCGTGTGAGAGGCGGAGAGACTATTAAAAGATTAGGCGGTTTTCCTTTCATGAACGTCCGCCATATTTAGTTCATGGCTTTATAGATCCATGGCTCAACTCAATGTGAATGCGGTCCTAGAAACACATTTAGCATCCATAATTTCCACCATCTTCCCTTAGACCATGAGAGTGACAAAGTTCAAACTTTGGGATTTGATATGCCTATCGTTTGGGATGTTCATGGGAACTTTGAAGTTTTTGTGTGCCTGTGGGTAAGGCTGTCCCTGGGGGTGGATTATTCTNGCCATATTTAGTTCATGGCTTTGTAGAGCCATGGCTCAACTTGATGTGAATGCAGTCTAGGACTTAAGTGGCCTGCCGTCGAGCACCTAATAGTCTATCACAAGTGAATACATGTATATGCTTGACGTTAATATTAATTTAAATACAACTTGTTTACACATTCCATTTAAAACATGCCCATGAATCACATTCACTTACAATGCTTGTATGTGCTAGGATAATTGGTAATCCAAAAGCTGAAACTACTATTCCCGTAGTTAAGAAGATACACATTTCTACAAAGGCGCTGCTGCTTTCAAGGCTATCTGCGTATCTTCTGGCTACCACTGTGGGAAGTGGACTTAATGCATAGAACATTAATACAAACATAGGCCACCAGTTGCTGAAATGAAAATTAAGGTATCTGATTATTTGCAAATAATACAGCAGTGACTTTGATTATTAAAATTTTTTAATGTTCATAGGATTTTTGGTGAGAAATAAACCAATCAATCTAACTGCACATATATTTGTCTACTACTGATAATACTATCACACTTTAATTAGGCATCACCACAGACTAATGTGAGAGAAGTTTGAGGTAAAAAGGAATCCCTTTGTAACATCTGCCATGTCATTATGTCAAATATTTAAGTCAATTTTTGGACAAAATAGTCCTGATTATGAGTACAGTATTAAATGTTTTGTTTATGGCACATGCTATCATCAACTAAAGAAAATCATTGGTGAATAACTCTGACCTTGTTATTGAACAGAAAATGTTAGACAAACACTACACATATTCTTACTTTGTCGAAGAAGAAAATGAAAAATTTTAACTTTTTTTCAGAAATATTTCTGTCTTTCCAATAAGAATGTGTAATATTGGCCCAAAATCTACGCCACAGTGAGGCCAGATCAATGATCTGGGTAAACTTTTTGATTCATCTTAAATAAGCCTAGGACTCAAAATACTGTATAATTGAGTCCTAGAATCGCCCAACTATTTGACCGTAAGACATAAAAAGAAAATTTTATAGCTTAGCCGGAAATTATATTTAATGTAGATGCTTCACCTATAGAGACAGCCATACTAATTACTGAATTTACTTACTTGTATTCTGGTAGTGCACATCCCAACACTAGAAGAGTGATGCCAATTGCTGCAGCAAAGGCAAGAGCCACTAATCTAAAAGGTACATATATATATATATATATATATATATATATATATATATATATATATATATATATATATATATACACAGAAATGTATATATATTTTTATATAATTCTTATATATAAATTTCACTGCAAATGAGAATAAAACTACCAGAGTTCATGAAAAAGCAATATCAAAGTTTGATATAATTGTTGTTAAAACATCAGGGCCCGGTTTCATAGCACTATCCTATGGATAAAAATGGCTGCTATCCTCTGGATAGCGATATCTAGAGGATAGTGCATCAACAGTGGATAGCGTTATCCAGGGGATAAATCAGCTTATCCAGAGGATAAAGTTGTCCGCTTGAAATAGGTGGGATAAATCAGCTATCATGCTGTTAAATCATCAAAAATGGCGAACCTGCTTGCTTTGGGAGCAAATCCTGAGATTTCACAGGCGTAGAATGATTAGAAAGAGAATTTAGATGTGTTTGCTTTTGATGCTTTGAGAGATACTGAATCAATTGATTACATAACAGACTTTATCAAAGTTGACATCGCGCCTGCTACGAACAGAACCCATGCAATCTCCATGAGGGACCAATTATCTTTTATTTTACTAAAAACATACCTTTTACATCGACGAAAAATAAAATTCTACATCCGTGGGATAAGTCAGTTATAACTACTCATTGTTCACTATGACACATACAAGAGTGCAATTATATTGAGGTGCAATGTGTTGTCACTAGTACATATCAACAAATTATTATGAGTGAATAGAATGATGCAAAATATACTGAATTCTATGTCAAAATAAATGTACTTACGCTGTTGGATCCAAATAAAAAGTAGCATGAAAAGAAAAAATATAAATAAATAATAATTTGGTTTAAAACTTATCAAATCTCATAAAATGAAAAATCCAAAACTCAATCTTAGTAAATAAAAGAGCAAAGGACAGATATTTGTATTAGATAAATAAAGGGATAACAACTACTCATTTTGGCCAAAAATGGATTTCCTGGGGTAAAGGACAATTTTCCCATACTTACCAATGGTAAATTAATCCATTCCTACATTTAAAGTAAGTCCCTTTTTTTCTAAAAAGTTTGGTTTTTCGTAATATTCTCTTAAGAGATTATTGCAGAGTGTAACCATCTATGGAGGTCATGCGATGTGAGGGCAAGCACAAATTCCAGAATAATTGTGTTTTGGTGGTAAAATAGAATTTATTATATTTCTATGAGTCAATTACAATGTATTTAAAGTGAAATATGGATATCTTATGAACGGTTGTTATCCCTTTAATATGTCTCCATCATAGTAAAAAACAGTTCTCTGGAGGATCAGTCCCATACAATGAAAGATGTTAATGGTCTAATTCTTTTAGGACTCTTCAAACAGTATATTTCAACTTAAAAGTAATATTCAATATTAATAGTGGAAATGCATTATAACACTAATTAAACAATCAATATCAACTATACAATCAATTTATCTATTACATGATGCTGGCAGTGAAACTCCCACTTTATATATATATATACAACCTAACCATACCTGTTCTTTCACTGAAGTCTAATTCTTTGTAATCAATTTTTGTTTTAACTTTAAAAAAATTAATGTCAGGAAAATGTTTATTAAAATTGGCAAGCTGAACTATGACCAGTTAGAAATCTAAAGACGGTCAACATGGGTTAGACCACAGAACAGAGATAGGTTTGAAGCAAAATGTTTATCATATTTGTGTTACATGAGATTGTTTATGATTATTTCTACTAATTCCCATTGAAACTGGACTGTTTTAACCTACTGAATAATAAAATTAGGAAACAAACACCACTTATCAGCATTATGATGATCAACGGAAGTACACGAAGTAGGAAGAGGGCACTGAATTCTCCATGCTTTCGATCAATCTAGAGGCTCAAAAGTAACATGGACAGAAAATTCAGGTCACAAGTACGTTTCAAATAAATATGTTCTAAATTTCTGTTTGATTTGCTTGCAAACACTTGACAAAGATGCGACTATGAATGACAAGAATGTTCCATAAAAATTATAAGCTTTTTTCATTTTTTCTTTTCAAATGGCGAAGTCAGTACTAGTACATAGAAGGAAACTATGCCTGTAGTACTGATTTATCACACATGATACTTCATTTTAACCTTTCTTGGTCTGATTTCTTTCAACATAGACTAATCATGTGCTTAGTATTTTCCAATCTCTTGTCATTCTCTGGGTTTTTCTGGAGGGGTGGCTAATGTTTTTTCTTCACCTCTCTTAGCACCATCCTTGCCAGACGTTTCCCGCATCTCCAGTGGCACCTAATACTAGTAGTAACATTAGGGCCTCAGACGTGGTATTTGACCCCATTCCCATAGATTTTAGATCGATCTATCCCTGTTGGCAGTCTCACTAGATTACTGTCAGCTTAGCCGGCTTAAGCGTCTGTCCTGCCTACTAAAAGCTGTAAGGGGGTTATTAACTATGGTGCGCGCTCGGCTGACTGCAATTTAGCGTTAATCTACATCTCTGGATGGATCTAAATCTCTGGGAATGCACCCTTTCACTTATGAGCAACTTGCGAGACTTTACATGAAATTGAATGTCTTGCAGGCCATTCCTGGAGATGGAGCTGTTAAATTTGGACAAGTCATCGAAATTAGAAATACAGAGCTTGAAAATGGCTCATTGGATTTTCATTTTCTCAATGGTTTTGGAGAAAGTATACCTCAGCCAAAACAGGAAAATTGACGTTTCCAGAAAAATTAATTTCTTTGCTATATAAAGGTTCAACCCACACTGCTTTTCTTTAAAGATTATATTTTTAGAAATAATATAGCTTAAAGAGAAGCATCAGTTTCTAGAGCCTAAATAAGAATAAAAATATCATTTTTAGTAATTTGAAGTTATTTTCTGCATACCTTGATCACTTCAGCTGTTAATGAGAGAAGAAGCAGGGATTAAAACTAACGTTTCACCTGACAAATGTCATAAACAACACCAGAGAACAACTATTCCAAGGGTCATACCTTCGACCCCAACCACCACTCCCCAAAAGCTTCAAATGAGGTGTTACACCTGTTTATGAATGCTTCAATTTCCTCTCACACCAGGTATATCATCTGTCAGAGTCAAGCCACAAGATCAAATAATTAAAAAAACAACATTCACCCCATTTCCATAGATTAGATCGACCTACTTTAGATCGACCTAACTCCCTTGGGGTTCACGCTAAATAGCTGTCAGCCGGGCGGACACGAAAGTTAATTACCTCCTTACAGCTTGTAGTAGGCAGGACGGACATTTAAGTCGGATTATCTGAAAGAAATCTAGTGAGACTCCCCACGGGGATAGATCGATCTAAAATCTATGGGAATAGAGCCATTGATTCAAATCGTTGACTAACAAGTTTTTTTTAATCTTGTGAAGCTGCTGCCAGAGGGTAGATGGTATCAGTTAAGGAGGCATCTCATTAACCAGAAGGATCATTGGTCCCAAGGTTTTTTTGGTCCGAAAAAGGTATGCATGCACCATGTATGACATTTACTTTATTACCAGTACAGTATGCACTTATTCATGCATTAATCTGGACCCTTTGGACTATTGTTACAGCCCCAGTTTAAAATTTGGTAGATTTAGTTAAACACATTTCTATAATTCACTTTTCTTGAAAAAAATTTGATAGAATGCACTTAAATTCCAAGGGACACAAAGTGGAAAGGGTCTAACAGAATTGCTCTGCACTACAAAGTATATGTACTACCGTACTACCGTACTACAATATACGAAGTTATGGTACTAAGTATATACAGATATATCAGATGCTGATGTTGATTGGAAAACGTGACCTTCACAGAAAGTTCATATGTTATTAAAATCATCATTAACTAATTAAAATCTACATATTGACATTAAAAAGCAAATCTGTAAGTGTTACTAATTTTATATTACAAATGAAGACCGAAGTTATCTTGCGAAATAAGTGCATGCTGTCTAGCTACACCCTAGCTGGCAGGGCATTGGGGAGGAATGTTTCTGTCTACCTCATGTATACCAAAACAGTCCAAACACATACAATATATGCTGCTTTAGAAACAAAAATGTTTTTCTGATGAAGGACATTAAGCAATGTCATCTCAACCTAAACTGAAAGAGAATGAAGCAGATGACAGATCTCACCTCTTATTCCTCCCATGACTGAGTGACGTCATCAACCTGTGCGTATAATCTCCAATACAGTATGTGAATTGAATTATTGGGATTATTTAAATCGGTTATGTAATTTAAGGACGGAATTGAATTTCACTATCGCTTTATATAATTTATGAGGGTTGAGAAATCAAATGCACCTATTACCAGTCATTCTTCACTTCTCTTTTCTGATGACGTTTCATTATCGGCCATTTTCAGTCAAAACGAGGATCCTTGTTCACCTGTGAGCATCGCTTTTTGAGTAAATCGTATATTGTATTTGTAGAAACCCCACTCCGACAGAAAAAAATGGCAGACGACAAAGGGTGAGTTTCGGCTTAACTTTGAAAAGCAACAAGGTTAAGGAGACTTCGCAGTTTTATCACCGAGCGTTCTCAGTCCAACGCCAAAAACCGGTCAATTGATTCAATTTTACTTTGTCATGATGGTTGTGTTTTTGACTTTTGTTCAGTAGATGGGTTTTTTCGTAAATTGACCGTGTCAGATAGGTTATCACATATAGTTTTAAAGAACTATCTAAAGAGATCAATGCCTTGGCCCGGTTTTATTTTACACACAACAGCCAGAATATTTTCTTTGTCTTCAGTGAATCCTGTTGCATTTTCTAAAAGATCAGTTAGTACAAAAACGTCAAAGTTTCTGACGGCTAGTCACTCTACTATTTGATTGAAAAGTTTAAATTAATATTTTTTATATTTATCTATTTTGCTATTTAAAGCAGTAGGTACTTTGTATAGTATCGCTGATAGCCAGTTTCTGGAAAAAGAGGTTGTGGAGATTTTCCAAGTTATTTTTAGACTTCTCTTGTTTGCTGACGTCATTGATGTTTAATGTGGATTGTGTGCCTTAAAATGATTCAAGTATATATGAAGTTAAATTATTAGTAAGTGTAAGGGTTCCCAGGATTTATAGTGTTTTATATCTTGTTTTGAAAATTGTTTTAGGCACCAGTACTTTATTTAATACATTTTCTATGTAACTGTTTCTCTTGCAAATAGATTTCACTTTGTGAATAATCAAATGCCTCTTTAAAGCTTTACTTTCATATTATCATATATTGGTAGGCAATACGCTTCACAGAAAAATTATTTTAGAAATTATAAAAAAAAACAGCATAAGTTAATCACAGTTTTATCACTTATTTTCTCAACCATGATAAGGCTATTTAAGAGAGGGGAGATCTATTGGGTACTCTGTTATCAGATAAGATACATAGTATTATCTTGATCATGCTATGATAATCAAAAAACCTCATCTAAAGGTATCCAAATATTGAAATAGTTCAATTTTTCAATTATTACTGTGTCATAAATGTTAGTTCTTAGTTCTGCTAGGATTTAAAAGTGCTCCACCCAACCAAGTGAATCCAATGAACCAGCACGAGTTCAATTTACAGTACATAAGATGAATAGGGTGCAGAGACATCATCTTTTACTCAGATCTAATACCAGAAGATTAGGGGTACTTAAAGGGATAATAACTCTTCGTTTTGGCCAAAAAATGAATTTTCCTCGAGTAAACAACAATTTTCCCATACTTACCAATGGTTAATGCAGGGTTCTCCCCAGGCCTTTATAGCGTATCGGCCCCGATACGCTATTTTTTTTGCCGATACGCTTCTTTTTTTGCCGATACGCTTCTTCGAACTCCGATACCCTTTAAGAGTGTGTGTGTGACCAATGCCTTAATGCCTTTATTCCTGACAGTCGCGACGTAAACCGTAAAATAAAAACGACTGTGTGCGTACTTGGATCTCTTGTGTGCGTGTTAAGTTGTTTATTTTTATTCTGCCTGGCGCAGTAATACAAGTATAACATCTTATGTTGAGAGCGCGGGACCTGCGTACTGACAAGTTGCGAATATCAACATCCGCTTATTAGTTTCGTCATCAATGTAATTCTGTGAGATTTGTTTGCTTTATCTATATTTTTGGAGAAATATAATAAATAGTTAATCCTTCATGTTATTTTGACTGAAGAATAGTAGCAGTCGTGATCATTTATAAATAAATGTATCCATGCGACAAGAGAAAATGTCAGAAAAGATGCAAAGCTATTTAATACATTAGCGCCTGTTCGGGACAGGTAAAAATTCAGCTCGGACAGGTGAAGTTGCAGGGTTGCCTGTCCGACAGACAGGTCATGGTTTATGAGAAATTTGGAGCAAAAATCTTTTAAAAATCATTTTTAATGCATACTAATGTCTTTTTGTCTCCTCCTACACGGTACTGAAAAGAATGACCTACTTTTGGCACAAAACACGTGCAGTCACAAAACGAAGTCTGAGCAAACTTACCGCCAAGTTATGAAAGTGAACACCCTCCAGAACTTCATCAGACAAAATTTATTCACATAACAGGCTCACTACTGAATATTTATTTGGTTAAAAATCTACGTGCTCTAGAGAGAAAGACCGTTACAGAAACAACACAAGTACTATGCTGGTTACAAAGCCAGATTGGACTAGATGAACTGGCTATATCTAGTTCGTTGTCCAGGCAACATACTGCCTGTCAATCAAATACGTTGTATGCTATCTACTCACTACAGAACGTGAAATCTTTGGGACTGAAGATCTTGTTGAAATATTGTTTATTTGCCAAAATATAACCTGAAATTTTGTATGATGTTTTCTTTAATGACTTTATCATCACCTATATTATTTACAGTTAAAAATTTAGTGCTGGAATATGATAAATTAACATTGCTGTCATATACCAGTGTGGTATTGATGTAAGGAAGAAATTAGTAATAACAAATATGAGAATTTAAATAAAAAGGGGAACTTTTTTATACTGATTTTATTTAACTCATATATTTAAGAAAATCAAACACAAGATAACCCCTAAAAAGTTAAATTGTTAACATAAATATAAGTAAAGTATTATAAGATGAATATTCTTTAATTTTTCATTGAACTTTTGAATATTTTAATAAAATTAATCTAACAGTACCCCCTCCCCACCTGCCACTCAGGGTATTTATATTTTGCTTTGGTTAAACTTCATGTGAATTTGTTATCAAATTTCAGATTTACAATTAGCAGACCCTGTACCCAAAATCCTAGGAGAAGCCCTGATTGAAACTTTATAATGTTAAATCAGACTTATATGCAAGATTAAATCTTCAGGAGTTCACAAGTATGAAAAAACAACTTTTTATCTAAAAATAAATCCACTTTAAGGTGCATTTTCCGGCTCATTTAATTTAATGGCAATAAATGCATTAAATGTATGACTACACATATTTATTTACAAAGTTCAATGGTATGAATAGAAAAAATATTAGTTTTGTTAGACAGGTTGGATTGAAATTCGGACAGGTGCTCATAAAAGTTAGTGTCTAGCCCTAGTTTTCCCCGCAAAATTTGGTCTTGCAAGTGGGCTATGTCGTAACGATTTAATGACAGCTTCAGATTGCATGGGATTGCACCCTTTTTGCATGAAATAATGAAAGTTTTTCCTCTGGAGGGCACATCCCCGGACTCCCCCCCTTTGTGCCTCGCTTCGCGAGCTTCGGTACTCTCGCTTAAAAAAAAATAAGGGCTATTTTCAAATCCTGGGGAGAACCCTGTAATGAATCCATTTTTACATTCAAAATTAGTCCCTGTTTTTTTTTTCTAAAATGTTTGTTTTTTTATCATAATCTCTTAAGAGGTTATAACAGAGTATAGCCATCAATGGAGGTCACGTGGTCTAAAGACGAGCTCAGATATAAGTAAAATAGATATAACTGCCGTTTTCGTGGTACAGCAGAATATGTTATATTTCTGTGAGTTGTTCACAATGTTTTTATTGTGAAATACAGATCTCATACGAAGAGTTATTATCCCTTTAAGTGACACTTTCTCAATAAATGATATGGGTCATTATTGCTATGAAAAAAGCTGCACTGCTTTGTGGTACTGTAACTGGCCTGTACAACAGCAATGTTTTAAATCCTGATTAACTTCCAGACATGATTTCTAATTTTAGGGATGATTTGTCCACTGCCATCCTGCGCCAAAAGGTCAGGCCCAACCGTCTGATGGTAGAAGAGGCTATAAATGAAGACAATTCAGTTGTTTCTCTATCTCAGGTGAGTTGTGTGCCATGGACATGTATAACAAAGGTCAAAGATGTTGCAGTGTACATTGATTTTATCATCAGCAGCTATAAATCATTATTTACCTGACAGATATTCTCTGCATTTCATTAAGTTTGTCAAATAATAGAATGAAGTTTTTCAATAAGGACACAACTGTCTAAATGATACTTAAAAATAAAAACAATGTTTTAAAGTTAAAAGGATAATAACTCTTCGTTTCAGCCAAAAAATGAATTTTCCTGGAGTAAACAACAATTTTCCCATACTTACCAATGGTTAATGAATCCATTTTTACATTAAAAGTTAATCCCTGGTTTTTTTTCTAAAAAGTTTGGTTTTTTGTTAAAATCTCTTAAGAGATTTTAACAGAGTATAGCCATCAATGGAGGTCACGTGGTCTAAAGACAAGCTCAGATATCAGAGTAATAGCTATAATTGCCGTTTTTGTGGTAAAACAGAATATATAATATTTCTATGAGTTATTCACAATGTTTTTATTGTGAAATATAGATCTCATACGAAGAGTTATTATCCCTTTAAATACTTCTATTTAAATTTATGTTTATAATGACTTGTTTTACATAATGAAGAGGTTGAGATTTGCCACTTGTATCACTACATTTACAACTAATTTTTTTCAGGGGAAAATGGATGAGTTACAGTTGTTTAGAGGTGACACTGTCTTGCTGAAAGGAAAAAGGAGGAAAGAGACTGTGTGTATTGTTCTGTCAGATGACACAGTTGCATCTGACAAGATCAGAATCAACAGGTGTGTCAGGAACAATCTTAGGGTGCGACTTGGAGATGTTGTGAGGTAAGGTTAGCTTGTTAGTAAAATTTTTTTTACGTGTATTTGTTAATTCCCTTGCATAGGTAAATCACAAAGATACACCTGATACCATGGTAGAAATAATTGCTTTTGTTAATTCAATTTTCTTGTTTTCCATGAAGCATTCAAGCCTGCCCAGATGTGAAATATGGAAAGAGAGTCCATGTTCTACCAATTGATGATACGGTTGAAGGTTTGACAGGGTAAGAAAAATATTCAGTCAATAGATGTCATAAATCAGGATATTAACTTGCTTTTATTTTACTAATGAGACATTAGCTGTTTAAAAACTGAAGCATAGAGAAGTTATATACATTGGTAGATTTCTACTCTGTACCAAATTAATAGTAAATAACAGCAGTTTTTGGAATGGTCGAGGGGTTATCTATTGTTCAAAGACTATTAACAGAGGTCATGGTGTAAATTATCGTTTTTCTAATTTTGTCTAAACTGTTTTCCAACAATCATAGGTATTACATCAGGATAGCCTTTTGATTTTTAAATTTTGTTGAATTAACTCTCAGCTTCTGCATTTTGATTGTCTAAGTATAAAGCATGTTTCATAGGAGGATTGGATTATTAGGGCATTGGCTTGATTTTTAGACTAAATAGGGGGAGGTGGTTTAGTTGCCCTTTGGAATCTTTGTGAGACGCCACTTGGCCAACTAAATTCCTTTCAGGCAAACGTATCCAAAACTGGTTAAAGATTCTTTGTGTATTTAATTAAAAGGCCGGGTTCTTTCTAGCTACAATGTACTTTTTTACCATTTTGATAACAATTTAGAGATTCTCTTTATTGGTTGTTCTATAATCTATTGTCCAACCATTTTTCATATTTCAGTAATCTCTTTGAAGTGTTCCTGAAACCTTACTTCCTTGAAGCATACCGTCCCATTCACAAGGGAGATATTTTTGTTGTCAAGGGAGCCATGAGAGCTGTGGAGTTCAAAGTTGTTGAGACAGATCCCTCTCCCTATTGTATTGTGGCACCAGAAACTGTCATACATTGTGAGGGGGAGCCTGTTAAGAGAGAGGTATAATGTTTTAGTAATACTAATTTTTTTTTTTTTTTTTTANAGGTTGTGTACCCTAAAATATTCTACTTGATCTAGCAAACTATAGTGACACAACATATAATCAATGACACTAGGTAGACCCCTATGATTATAACAAGTATAATAGCATAGTATTATCTTGATCATGCTATGATAATCAAAAAGCCTCATCTAAAGGTATCCAAATATTGAAATAGTTCAATTATTCAATTATTACTATGTCATAAATGTTAGTTCTTATTAGGATTTAAAAGTGCTCCACCCAACCAAGTGAATCCAATGAACCAGCACGAGTTCAATTTACAGTACATAATATGAATAGGGTGCAGAGACATCTTTTACTCAGATCTAATACCAGAAGATTAGGGGTACTTAAGTGACACTTTCTCAATAAATGATATGGGTCATTATTGCTATGAAAAAAACTGCACTGCTTTGTGGTACTGTAACTGGCCTGTACAACAGCAAATGTTTTAAATCCTGATCAACTTCCAGACATGATTTCTAATTTTAGGGATGATTTGTCCACTGCCATCCTGCGCCAAAAGGTCAGGCCCAACCGTCTGATGGTAGAAGAGGCTATAAATGAAGACAATTCAGTTGTTTCTCTATCTCAGGTGAGTTGTGTGCCATGGACATGTATAACAAAGGTCAAAGATGTTGCAGTGTACATTGATTTTATCATCAGCAGCTATAAATCATTATTTACCTGACAGATATTCTCTGCATTTCATCAAGTTTGTCAAATGATAGAATGAAGTGTTTCAATAAGGACACAACTGTCTAAATGATACTTAAAAATAAAAACAATGTTTTAAAGTTAAAAGGATAATAACTCTTCGTTTCAGCCAAAAAATGAATTTTCCTGGAGTAAACAACAATTTTCCCATACTTGCCAATGGTTAATGAATCCATTTTTACATTAAAAGTTAATCCCTGTTTTTTTTTTTCTAAAAAGTTTGGTTTTTTGTTAAAATCTCTTAAGAGATTTTAACAGAGTATAGCCATCAATGGAGGTCACGTGGTCTAAAGACAAGCTCAGATATCAGAATAATAGCTATAATTGCCGTTTTTGTGGTAAAACAGAATATATAATATTTCTTTGAGTTATTCACAATGTTTTTATTGTGAAATATAGATCTCATACGAAGAGTTATTATCCCTTTAAGTACTTCTATTTAAATTTATGTTTATAATGACTTGTTGTACATAATGAAGAGGTTGAGATTTGCCACTTGTATCACTACATTTACAACTAATTTCTTTCAGGGGAAAATGGATGAGTTACAGTTGTTTAGAGGTGACACTGTCTTGCTGAAAGGAAAAAGGAGGAAAGAGACTGTGTGTATTGTTCTGTCAGATGACACAGTTGCATCTGACAAGATCAGAATCAACAGGTGTGTCAGGAACAATCTTAGGGTGCGACTTGGAGATGTTGTGAGGTAAGGTTAGCTTGTTAGTAAAAATATTTTTTACGTGTATTTGTTAATTCCCTTGCATAGGTAAATCACAAAGATACACCTGATACCATGGTAAAAATAATTGCTTTTGTTAATTCAATTTTCTTGTCTTCCATGAAGCATTCAAGCCTGCCCAGATGTGAAATATGGAAAGAGAGTCCATGTTCTACCAATTGATGATACCGTTGAAGGTTTGACAGGGTAAGAAAAATATTCAGTCAATAGATTTCATAAATCAGGATATTAACTTGCTCTTATTTTACTAATGAGACATCAGCTGTTTAAAAACTGAAGCATAGAGAAGTTATATACATTGGTAGATTTCTACTCTGTACCAAATTAATAGTAAATAACAGCAGTTTTTGGAATGGTCGAGGGATTATCTATTGTTCAAAGACTATTAACAGAGGTCATGGTGTAAATTATCGTTTTTCTAATTTTGTCTAAACTGTTTTCCAACAATCATAGGTATTACATCAGGATAGCCTTTTGATTTTTAAATTTTGTTGAATTAACTCTCAGCTTCTGCATTTTGATTGTCTAAGTATAAAGCATGTTTCATAGGAGGATTGGATTATTAGGGCATTGGCTTGATTTTTAGACTAAATAGGGGGAGGTGGTTTAGTTGCCCTTTGGAATCTTTGTGAGACGCCACTTGGCCAACTAAATTCCTTTCAGGCAAACGTATCCAAAACTGGTTAAAGATGCTTTGTGTATTTAATTAAAAGGCCAGGTTCTTTCTAGCTACAATGTACTTTTTTACCATTTTGATAACAATTTAGAGATTCTCTTAATTGGTCATTCTATAATCTATTGTCCAACCATTTTTCATATTTCAGTAATCTCTTTGAAGTGTTCCTGAAACCTTACTTCCTTGAAGCATACCGTCCCATTCACAAGGGAGATATTTTTGTTGTCAAGGGAGCCATGAGAGCTGTGGAGTTCAAAGTTGTTGAGACAGATCCCTCTCCCTATTGTATTGTGGCACCAGAAACTGTCATACATTGTGAGGGAGAGCCTGTTAAGAGAGAGGTATAATGTTTTAGTAATACTAATTTTTTTTTTTTCTTTTTTTTTTTACCTCACAAAAGTTGACAATGTATTTTAGAAGTGTCTCATTAGCTGGTTCTTAGTTAATGAACTGTAAAAAAAAAAAAACAATATACACTCCACACATCAGAGCATATTTTATGACATGTTATAGGAAGAGGAAGAAGCCATGAATTCAGTAGGGTATGATGACATTGGAGGTTGTCGCAAACAGCTTGCACAGATCAAGGAGATGGTAGAGCTGCCTCTCCGCCACCCACAGCTCTTCAAAGCCATTGGAGTGAAGGTAGGGATAACTACTGATCTACATGTACATCCCTTGTATGTGATGAGGCATTTCCCACAGTATTTTACCTCTGATATTGTTTGTCTGTTTGTATTCCATGGAAAAGGAGTTAAATACACATCTGAAGTCACTTGGTAGGAGTAGTCTTGTTTTCAAGTTGGGAAAGCATTGTTTTGCAGTTACAAACAGGGGATAGCCTTATTCAAGATGAGATTTGAAAATTGCATAATAATTTTATCAGTCTGTCAAGTTATTAAGCTATGTTTTAACATTGCCCATAATATATGAATATTTTCGTGCTACTTTTCATTTCAGTCAACTTGTATTAACCACCTATGCTTTGTTTTTAGCCTCCACGTGGTATTCTTTTGTATGGACCACCAGGAACGGGAAAAACACTGATTGCAAGAGCAGTTGCCAATGAAACTGGAGCTTTCTTCTTTTTGATAAATGGTACATCACTTTTACCCTTTATTTGCATAACTTTAAAAAATATTATTAGTATTATACCTGTTTAGTTTGTGCAGGTTTAGTTATTTCGTACTACAGGATTTTGATTATGACAATCTATGTTAAAAATTATACAGGTCACATTTTGTGATTTTTAGGTCCTGAAATCATGAGTAAGCTTGCAGGTGAATCAGAAAGCAATCTCCGCAAAGCATTTGAAGAAGCAGAAAAGAATTCCCCAGCAATTATCTTCATAGATGAATTGGATGCTATTGCACCAAAAAGAGAAAAGGTCAGAATTAAACCCTAACCAGATATCTATTCCCATGTTATTCCAGTAGACATATGCATTAAGTACAGGTAAAGTTGCATTCTTCACATTAAAGGAAATCATAGATAGATTATTTCAGATAATTTAAATATTCTGTAAGCAAATTCAAAAAGATTTACTCATAAATTAATGTGATACTTATGTACTTTTTTGATTTTAGATCGTTGTAACCAATGAGTAAATTGTTTATTGTTCAATTTTTAAGACACATGGTGAAGTTGAGAGGCGTATTGTGTCACAGTTGCTGACTCTTATGGATGGTCTTAAGCAGAGATCTCATGTCATTGTCATGGCTGCCACTAACAGACCTAACAGTGTTGACACAGCTCTCAGAAGATTTGGTAAGTCAGAGAAAGTAATGTGAAATATTTGTTAGTTTCAGTTAAGAATGTTTGATACCATAACAGTATTAAAATAAATGGAGAAAAAAGAATTTAATTCTGTTTCTGCTGCACAAAATGTTTTTGTGATGTTTGTTGACAACCTCTGTCTTACCCCAGCTTGTGTTTTTACTAGCATCTGCTGATTTAAATCAGAGGAAAATCAATCGTATGCAAGTGTAAAAGAATTCCCTTTCAGGGACTACATAGCACATGTATACCACATAAATAGTTTTAAATCATAAAGATAAAATTTGTCATAAAATCTGTATAAAAATAAAATTCTAGATGAAATGTTTTCCGTCTTTAAGGTCGTTTTGACAGAGAAATTGACATTGGCATACCAGATGCAACAGGACGTCTTGAAATTCTCCGCATCCACACCAAAAACATGAAACTGTCTGATGATGTGGACCTGGAACAGGTAAAAAAATTAACAGGCATCTGTATTGACCTGATTGTTTTTAGATTGTCTGCCTGTTGAACAATGACATCTTGAAGCAGAATTTGTTAAGTTTTCAAAAAATATTTATTAAAAGCTGATTTATTTTATGTTTGTTGCATTCTTGGTTATTTCACAGTACACTTCTTATTGCAGGTAGCACAAGAAACTCATGGGCATGTTGGAGCAGATTTAGCTGCTCTCTGTTCAGAGGCTGCCCTCCAACAGATCAGAGAAAAGATGGATGTAATTGATTTGGAAGATGATACCATTGATGCTGAGGTGTTGGACAACCTGGCTGTCACCCAAGAAGATTTCAGGGTAAAATTCTTTACTGATTTTGTTTTCAAAACTATCTTTCTTTAAACATAAAAGGTCCATAAAATCAGACTTTGAAAAAATCAAATTTAATAAACCTTGCTGGAGATTTAATCTTCATTTTATTTCTCCAAGCCTCTCTGTAAATATTATATGACAATGATTAAGTCATGTTTGGAAGTATAGTTATTACAGTGGCTTTAATTTAAATGTATATTCAGTGGGCTCTAGGTAAGAGCAACCCTAGTGCCCTGCGTGAGACCACAGTTGAGGTGCCCACCGTGACATGGGAAGACATTGGTGGGCTTGAAAGTGTCAAGAGAGAACTCCAGGAACTTGTTCAGGTATTAGCAATTTATTACTTTTCCTATTGTTGAAACTTTTTTTTATTGTGGAATGTGAAGTATATCACATATAGGGGAAAATAATCTCTGTTATTGAAAAATAACAGAGATTTTTTGCAGAAACAATAGGTTTTATGTAAGATGAGATACTTCAAATACATTTCCTTGTATGCTGATGTGGTAGTTGATGTTTGCATGATACCAGTTTTTTTTTTTTTTTTTTTTTTTTTTTTTTTTTTTTTTTTTTTTTTTTTTTTTTTTTTATATTTTGTGTAACACAACTCTGTTTAGGTTTCATAGTTCTTTCTCTGACCACTTCTTAGTTTTGTTACAATCTTTAATAGTTAATATAATGTCACATGTTTAATACATTTCAGTATCCAGTTGAACATCCAGATAAGTTCCTGAAATTTGGCATGACCCCTTCCAAAGGTGTACTGTTCTATGGACCACCAGGTTGCGGTAAAACCCTACTGGCAAAGGCTATTGCCAATGAATGCCAGGCTAACTTCATCTCCGTCAAAGGTCCAGAGTTGTTGACTATGTGGTTTGGTGAATCAGAGGCCAATGTTAGGGATATATTTGACAAGGTACTTTGAAATGGATTTTGTTTTTTATATTATTTTTATTTTATTTATTTATTTATTTATTTATTTATTTATGTATTTTATTTGTTTGTCTTTTTTTTTTACAAGAATGTATTTTTGTAAGAAAATATTCTTTGCTATTAAACAGAAACACACTGTAGTGATTATATAAAAATATATTTTGAGAAAACAGTATAGAGGCATTAACATATTATCTGTAGGCTCGCCAAGCAGCCCCATGTGTGCTGTTCTTTGATGAGTTGGATTCCATTGCAAAGGCACGTGGTGGAAATGCTGGTGATGGGGGTATGTAGCCTTACTTTGTATTGTAAGATGAGTAAGAGAGAGAAAATTATTGGTAGCCTTTTCTTCTTATATTTGCAAAGATAGAAAGGCAGGTTTGCTAGTCTAAATGCCATGTATTTTAATAGAAAGCTTTCAGTTTGCCATATTTGTGTTACCTTTACCTAGGAAATATAACAGAGAAGTAGACATATTTTAAAGGAATTGTCACAATAATTGTGCAAGAAAACTACTTTGAGTACTTCTGAAAAGATAATGTGCTTATCGAAATGAGCTGGGCTGTCTTGGATCTTGAGATGCATGCTAACCACATTATGGCCACCTTTTGAACTTCTTGGAACAAAGAGCAAAAGTTTCCTAAAATGCACCACAGGTATGCTACAGTGTTCCTGCATTTCGTTTAGTAATTTGAATGAATGTTATTTGTACCCAAAAGGTGGTGCTGCTGACCGTGTGATTAACCAGATGCTTACAGAAATGGATGGTATGGGTGCAAAGAAGAATGTCTTTATCATTGGGGCTACCAACAGGTATGAAGTGGGATAGTATGATCATAGGCACTGTTGATTTCTTTAAGGCCAGTGTTTGTGTTGGACAAGCCACTACTATCCAAAATAATGCTCTTTTTGATTATTTGTCATTTTAAGTCACCCTACTTGCAATCATGATCATTTTGTCATGGAACGTGCTGAATGTCACTTATATTCCAAAAATGATTGATCACAACATTATGGATGGGTATGGTTTGTTCATCTCACACTGGTCTTGCTGATGTCAGCAATGCTTTTAGCCATAGCTGTATTGATAAAGTTATCCTTTATCTGAAAAGGTGGTGCTGCTGATCGTGTGATCAATGCAATCCTCTCAGAAATGGATGGTATGTTTACAAAGAAGAATGTGTTTGTAATAGGAGCAACCAACAGGTATCTGTAATAAGTGTACTCCACATTTTGAAGATTGTCCATGCATGTGCTGTATCAGGTTAAACTTATGGATTGGCCATTTGCATGGTAATACCTTCATTGTGATCTCAAGAAAGCTCCTGCATGGGTAGTCTCAAAAATCATGTTTTGATATGATTATAAGACTGTGCCAGAATATGTTGCTACAGCAGACACTGAAATGAGTGAGACTCCCAAGATTTCTGTTCACTTTTAGTACTTGTGCCTGTTTTAGCCCCAAAATCCATAATGAAAATTGGCTGGAAACACATCAGTGAGAAATCACCTGACATTTGTGCCACTATATCAAATGTAAAAGCACATTCTCACACAGTTTTATACATTATCAGTAAATATGAAGCAGATATATAGGTGCACCAATATAATGAAGAAAAAATCTATAATAAAAATCATTGAATTATACATGCCAACCTTAGCTATAGGTTTTAAAACTGAATTTCTGATTGCTACTGATTCAGCAAAAGCAAAATTGCTTGCTAACAAATTGTAGAGCATTATGTTTGAATTTGAAAGTTAAGATAATTGCTTGGCATATAATTGGAATATATAAATCAAAATATTAAAGAACCACAAGCTTTGCAAACAGATGTCAGCTGTGTGTGATTAATTGCTAATGTAAAATGGTGATGAAAAATCAACATAACAAATTTTGTTTTTGGCTAAAATACCTTACTGCTGTAAGCGATGCTTATGCTGCTTGATGTATTGCTTTCTAATATCAGTATAGTTGTTTCTGCCAGGAAAGTTTCTGCACCTGAAACATTTCAAATTTAGAAGAAAAAAATGTGCACTTTCATTTTTATTTATGCCTCTTAATATTTTCATTTAATGTTACTTGCTATGCTTTTAAAGTCCAATTTGTTTATCCAATTCTTTTGAATGATTAACTGCCACCTAAGGTTAATCAGAAACTTGTTCTCAGTGCTTCTTCAATTTTGAGACATTTTAACATTTTGTACCTTCCCCTCATTTCCATATTCCTGTTATATTGACCAACTTCAAAGTAGTATCTGGCTTGTGAACTTCCAGCAACAACTTTTGTTCTTATAGAAAAGTTGACAAAAGTAATTTGAAGTCTGCCATATTGTATAACAAGTCAAATTTAGTTGTTTGTCCATGAGTAGAGAACATTTCTACAATAAATTTTTTGTTTAACTTTGTTGATTGTGGAAAAAGCATTTAAAAAACTTTTGGGCACACTTGTTTTTTTTTTTTTTTTTTTTTTTTAAACAAAAGTCTACGCTTGTGTTGTACCTCTTAAAACAGCATTGATTTCCAATTAAAATTTGCAGTGCTTATGTCATATGGCTAGTTTTACTGAATTAAAGATAATTATAATGGGGAGGTAGTTGAGTAAAAGACTTCTGAATTGATATCACTTTTTATGGTTGTGTTATACAGTTGAAAAGGATATGCATTAACTTGTATTTTGTCTGCAGTTTGTGTGTTCTCTTTTTGAGTTTGCCCCCTAGGTGTCAGTGTTGTTGCTGGCATGTAAATTTGATCCACTTACCTGTACTCCCATCAATTTGGGAGTGCCAAGGCTTGTTAGGAGGCAGTACAAAATGTTGGCATGCTAATCCACTTGGCACTGTGGGAGGTCTTCTGGATGTACAGACCAGCTTGTTTGTATTTTTCCTGTTGTATTTTTTGCCAGTAAAATTCCTTTGTGAAAAAGTGTGTGTGTGTGTGTTACTTATGTATTTCATATTTCATGCACGTGATATAGTCATTTCTTTTTGAAGATATTTGACTTTAAAAGCAGAAATATGTTATTATTTAATATATATTATTATCCAATCTGTCAGTCAGCCTGTCAGTTTCCTAATACAAAAGGTAGAACAGGGCATTTACCCTGGTAGTACAAAAATGTGTGTGCCTGCCCCTGCTGTCAAGTGACAGAGGCTGTTGACAGAAACTTAATGGCTGGTGGTCACTTGTTTTTTGCTTTTGTGTATTATTCAAAAGGGTAGATTTAAAATATTTTCATTTTTAAGCCTTTATTTGCTGTGTTATTTAATCACACCCCTGTTGTCTCTGCAAACTGCATTTTTGTGACCTAGACTCAGTGTAAGAACTAAGATAACATTTCACTTGCATCCTTTGTTGCCACCTATTATGGAGTCCTAGTGACAAATTATAGACATCAAAACAAAGATAGGGTTTCTTCCATTTATAATTTGAGACAAATCTTTTTTTCTGAATTTTTTCAAAAGAAGGAAGGCTGTTGATTGATGTTTCACAGATTGAAGGAATCTGAAGAAAAAAGAATTCTCAAGGGAAAGGTGTATATGGGAGAAATTACCACCCACATTGGTTTATGCAGTAAAACATAAATTGTAGGCTTTCAGCTACTGCTTTTGTTTATTCTGTTCTTCTTTCAATTGGCATCGCAGTAAACACTTGGACTTTGTTGGTTGATCCAGATTTATGTTCACACCTCATCTGGGGGAGAGGATTAAACCAGGGCCAGAAAAAAATACATTAAAATGAAATTACAGCTTTTAAGTATTTTTAAAGAGGAGTAAAGAAATGGGATTTTTATTTGTTCCTTTTCAATTTTTTCTTTAAAGATGCCCTTTGTATTTAGAAAAAAATGTTCTTTAAAAAAGTTATTCAGCACACAAGTATGTGAAGTATTTAGATACTATGTCAGATTAATTTTTTTTTAATTATTTATAATTCTTTTCTTTTTTAAGTTGAACTTTCTGTTGAATTTTAGACCTGACATTATTGACCCTGCTATTCTGCGTCCTGGGCGCTTAGATCAGCTCATTTACATTCCTCTGCCTGATGACAAGTCAAGAGTCCAGATCCTCAAGGCCAACCTCAGAAAATCTCCAGTATCCAAGGTCAGCATAGAAATGTATACATTATTTGTAAAAAAAAAATGTGTAATCAAAGATTTTCTCACATTGACATTTTGCCAACAATATCTTTACAGTTTGTTAAAGCAATAATAACTCTTCGTTTCGGCCAAAAAATGAATTTTCCTGGAGTAAACAACAATTTTCCCATATTTACCAATGGTTAATGAATCCATTTTTACATTCAAAGTTAGTCCCTGGTTTTTTTCTAAAAAGTTTGTTTTTTTTGTTAAAATCTCTTAAGAGATTTTAACAGAGTATAGACATCAATGGAGGTCACGTGGTCTAAAGACAAGTTCAGATATCAGAATAAAAGCTATAACTGCTGTTTTTGTGGTAAAACAGAATATATTATATTTCTATGAGTTATTTACAAGGTTTTTATTGTGAAATATAGATCTCATACGAAGAGTTATTATCCCTTTAAGTAAGTAGTATAAATAAAATCTAAAAATGTGGTATGTGGTTGTGAATTTGGTGTGTCATTTCTGTGGTTACAGCCATCTGAGACATACTCAGGTAAAACAATCGTAGGTAGACCACCCGTGCAACCTATGGTGTGGCTGAACAGTAAATACATTCACCTTGTGTTAGTTATGCTTGGTTGAATACCATGAAGTAGAAAATGGTTGGAGACCATCAAAGGTTTCTTTTCCCTGGGGGCATTAAGATGTCCATTGAGGGCCAGTGCAGTGATAGGGTTACTTTTTTGTGTTTGAAATAATGGTCTGATATTCTGTGCCCCCAGGATGTTGACCTGGACTACCTGGCCAAGGTGACCCAGGGATTTAGTGGTGCTGACCTCACAGAAATCTGTCAGCGTGCTTGTAAGCTGGCCATTAGGGAATCCATTGAAGCAGAAATTAGAAGAGAGAGGGAGAGAGATGCCAACCCAAATGCTGATGAGGTAAGCCATATTGAATTTTATTTATATCATTTTTATTTATTTATTTTTTTGTTTTATTTATTTATTTATTGTATATCACCATAAAGCAACATTGTTGGTTGAGAATTTTTAATATGTTTACCTATCACTGTTCTCCAAACTGACATATTTCTGCGGGTTTTTAATAATGTGCAGAATTTAAGACTGATTGATTGAATAGTATATATATATGTATAGTCAAGGTTAAATTTCACAGTTATTCTGTTAAATTTATAGAACAACATTATAAGCTAACAGCATTATGAAAAAAAACTTGAATTTCCTACTTCTTAGTAACCTACCCAATGAAGAACAGTCAAAGCAGTTAGGCTTCATTCACATGCAATGTCTATTTTCTAAATTCTATTTTCTATTTGCGGTATGTCTTATGATCACGGTCTGTGGCCTGAATATCCTGCGGCGTAATTACTGGCAGCGCTGCCAGTAATTACGCCGCGGGATATTCAGACCACAGAAATTAGAAAATAGACATTGCATGTGAACGAAGCCTTAATCTCTTGGATGAGAACCAAGCCATTGTGTTATCAAGAAAGAAAAAATGCAGGATATTTACCTAAAGTCATTTATTAATTTATTTTAGGATATGGAAGAGGATGATGAGGTTCCAGAGATAGTGAGGCGACACTTTGAGGAAGCCATGAAGTTTGCTCGTCGTTCTGTCACTGATAATGACATTAGAAAATATGAGATGTTTGCCCAAACTCTACAGCAGTCCAGAGGCTTTGGAACCAATTTCAGGTAAAAGACTTATTTTAGAATTTCCTTTGGTTTTAATTTTGCTGAAAATCTTTTGAAAAACCTTAATAAAAAGCAGAAATTCTTTTAGAAGTAAATAACATGCCTTGAGATAACTCTGATTAGTTTAGGCAGTAGTGAGACTGGTTTTTCAAAGTATCTTACAATGACAACATTTCTTTCTACAATTTCTGAAATTATCAGACCACCCTGTAAGATGTAGATAGTTTATTATGTTTGAAGTAGGGAAAAGGGCACATTTTCCAGATTGTTATCATAAACTATTTCCTTACTGTACATGCTGAGACTCCAGCATAAATCAAAGGAAAACATTCTGTATGGTACTGTTATTAGAACTGATGATTGAACGCTTGTATCAATTAAAAATATAAATACCAGACAGGAAGAATGCTTTGATGAAAAAAAACCCTTTTTACTGGTTTTTATAGTCACACATATTTTACTGTTCAGTAAAATTAGATTAAGAGCACTAATAGTTCCATTTGATATATATATACAAAACTTTATTTAATCATTTAATTTCCAGCCATTATACTTTTCACGTATTGATATATCAGGGACTAACAAGTGCCTTGCACAAAGGATAATTGAAGCATTCTGGTTAAATAGTCTTTTTGGTGCTTATATCTAGATGCTAACCAAGAGTTTAAGATTGGATAGCTTGTGTAGTCATCGAAAGTAATGACATGATAAAGCAACCTCCTCTGAAATGCGTACATTCTTTAAGGAAGCACCTAATTTAATGTAGTTGCTCGATACTGCCAGTAGCAGAAGTCGCTATGGTTGCTTCCTTCCTGAAAGAGGGAAGGTGTAAATGTGCTTGATGAGCCATTTAGAGGGTAAGAATGAGTGATGCTTATTTCCGTATTTACTTGTTTTACTTCGGGGTGGTCTGTTTTGGAAAGTTGATTCATCTTTGCCGTAGACTGTTGATGTAATGGTGGTCTAAAGGCAATGCAAGTTACCTTGCCGCCTTTCATCAAGGACCACCTTTCCTCCAGTTTTTGGGTGGTCTATTTCACTAAAAAACAGATTGTATGAAGTGAGAACATGAAATATTGAGACCCAAGTTCATTTGCCATATTCATGATTTGGAGCTTGGACCAAATGTGTTTTACCTTCCTGGAAACTTTGTTATATCTAATACCTGCATGGTAGGAAACTAAGAGTTTTTGTATTGGAGTATCTGTGTTGTTAAATGGTGCAGATATTTATGAACTTACAGTAGATACACCATAAGGATGCAGGTATCTGCTTCTACCATTAGAAACATTTTTCAAAGGATCATTGCACAAATTACTGCAATTTAAAGCTGCACTCGTAATAAAAGGTAACCGATCATGGTGGGAGGGAGATGTGTTTTGTATGCAAAATGCCCCATCCCATCTATAATTTCAACCATAATGTGACCAAAAAATGCCCATTCACTGCACTCATGTAAAGTCTGTCCAGAAACCATTGGATAAAAGAGGATTTGGTTTCAAAATAAACCATAACTGTCAAACCTGTAAAGTTGTTACAAAATGACTTTCACCCCATTTCCATAGATTAGATCGACCTACTTTAGATCGACCTAACTCCCTGGGGGTTCACGCTAAATATCTGTCAGCCGGGCGGACACCAAAGTTAATTACCCCCTTATAGCTTGTAGTAGGCGGGACGGACATTTTAGTCGGATTATCTGAAAGTAATCTAGTGAGACTGCCCGCGGGGATAGATCGATCTAAATCTATGGGAATAGAGCCTTTGTCTCATTCTAAAAAATAAAATCCATATATTTGTTGTACAGGTTCCCAAGTCAAGCCGGTGGTGGACAGGGCCCAAGCCAAGGTGGACAGGACAACCAGTTCAATGATGAGGGAGATGATGACTTATACAGTTAGACTGAAAAACGTACAGTAATCAGAGATGATCAAGAATGAGAGCAATCTTTAAACAGATGAAAGAAAATGGACATGTATTATGAACAACTTGGAACATACTTGGAATGATTCACTATATAGAGTAAATCCAGTCACAGTCAGCCCTTTTATCAAGCTATTTTACTGTATTCTTTTCAAGCCTGTGGGGATGTAAACTATACGACAAGGACCTGAAAAAAAGTGCACAATACGTGAATTACAGGAAGGAAAGTTTATTAGCTTTCAGATGATATTGATTGTTGACTTCCCTTTTGTACTTTGTACAGTAATATACAATCCTTAATCCTTGCTTAATATATTGGAATTATTATAACAGGCTTTCTGGTGTACTATAAGAAACCCTGATTATTAAAATGTGTTGGTATCTATACTGAATCACTTGTAAAATATCAATCTTCAAAAAAGTCACTTATTTAACAAAGGATTCTCTTGATCCTGAGGGGATAAATGAAATTGCCTTTTCACTTCTTGTTAACATTGAAAGGAAGGATACCAAAGCGTTGAGTGTTTATTTATTAATGGCTGAGAATATTCCAATTGTGACACAAAGAATGAATAAAGTGTTGCAAAATACTCTTTACTGTTATGATTGAGATGACGGTGTGTGGAATCTTTTTGTCATTAAAGGCTTTTCTTTTTGGACAATGCTTCTATTTTTTAGGCTTGTCACAACCTTTTTATACACAGACAATTTGAACATGTTATCTGCCATCCTTGTAGTCTGGCGCATGCAAAATGAAGTATGCCCTTCGTAGTATTCCTCTGGCACTTGCCCCATTTTTCCAAATCAAAATTCTGTTTTATTTTTAAGTCATAGGGTTGTCATAAAATGCACATCGATTTTGAAATTTTAAATACTATACATTGTTTTTAGAAAATTCACATTCTGTGATATTTAAAGGAAGGCTATACGGGATTTACCCAGCGACCAATTTTTCCTACCTGCAGATCACTGGTCGACCTGTCCCTGCACTTGAATTCGATGTTTTGTCCCATTTTTAATTTAATTATTTATTTTTGAATGACTGGCCAGTCGTTAAGAACGCTGTCTTTCTGTACATATCAAAATGAACTATCGGCACTTTTCGGGCAATTTTACTTGAGAGGTTTTAAAATTTATAATTAAAGTTGGGAAAGATAAGTAGCTTTGCAGGATACGTAGACAAAATATAACATAAGAGATTTTTCAAACGCATACAGTAAACCTTGAGCAAAGTATATATTCTCATATTTAATACACCCCTTGCCCCTTGTTATTTTTTGTTGGTGGTGCCTATGTTGATTCTACGACAAGTAGAGCAATGTGTCTACTGCAATGCCAGCTAAGAACGTGCCGTTTAATGGGAAATACTGATTTCTTTTTTTTTAAGATATATATTTATGTTTGCTTTGAAAATGTGAATTTGTCATTCTTTATAAGGATCTTATTACTAAATTACTGATTATAATTTAAATACATTTTGATAAATGATTTTATAACTAATTTTCTGTTTGAACAGCTTGGGACTAGAAAATCTATCGCAAAATTTCGAGACCTGGCAGTATTCTGGTTCCCACACAAATTCTGGAAATAATATCAAACAGAACTCGTATTGAACAGAAAAACTCTCAGTCAAAATTAACAGGATGGCATTTTTATTTTTAAAAAACTTGAAAAAAACAGATAGAAAATTTAAACAGTAAATACTTCATTGAAACAAGTGTTCCATGCAATTTTAATAATTCAAAGGCACATGTATTCAAAAGATAGTAATTCACTTTAATTCCGTTATTCTAGATTTCCGAGATCATTTACAAGACTAAACCCATAATATAAAGAATTCATAAATGACTTTAGCTTACCATGTTTTCATTATTCAGTCAAAGAAGTTTTGTGATTAAATATAGTTATATAGGCGACACCACGACCTACATTACATAATTATATACGTTTTATTCGTCCAAGATGAAAAGTGTCTTATTGTGATGATGAGGAATTTAACAGTCGAATTTCCACATAATCAATGAAAAATGGCCACACGAGAACTGCCACAATTATGAAATATTTTGCTAGATTTTGAAATGACTAAAATTGACCAAATGATGTGCACATCTGTCGGGGTCCTGGAAAAGATAATCCATTTTCCTCTTTTTATTCAATAACCAAAATTCCCATGTAATGGAAATGAACACGAATCTCTCACCCTGGGGGCTCGCATCCCCCTCACTTCAACACATGTTGCACGTGCCCGTTGGTTTACGCTATTTATTGGGAAAGTGTAACAAAACTATTGCGCGTGCTATTGGTTTGGTGCTGATTACGCTCACCAATTAACGATGGCGCGAAACGCGATGTAGTCAGACACGGCGAGGGTTGCGGATCCCTTCAAGCTATTTTCTTTGGCATATTTGTCCCAGAAACAACATCCTCCAGGTAGGCTGTGAAATGCACCTTACCATAAACCATGATCATGTATAACTACTGTGTTTACTGAATATACCACCCTATCTTTCGTTGCTGTTCAATTTAGCAAACCAAACTTGGTATTATAGATCTGAGAAAACAAGGCTTGTTGCCACTATAAGCAAAGAAGTGTTTAGACTAGCGTGATCGCACAATATAGAGCATGAATAGTAGAATTTTTAGATTTAACAACACGTGGCAGTCAACAAAAGATTGTGTCGCAGACAATTGCTCTCCGCTCCCTATATTGTGAACTGAAATTGTGTTTTTCCTTAATTGTCAGTGGCCTTTGCGTCGCTGCTTTCAGAGAACGTGGCCTTCATTTCAACTGAACAAATTGACCGAAAATGTTTCATGTTATCTTAGGTCGCTGTCGTTGTAACAGTTTCTATAAATCAGCTATTCATCGTTAAAGCCAAAAAAATTACCCAGGTAGCTTTTTGAAAAACAAACCGCTACCAGTGCCCGTGTGGTCAGGAAACTAAAGTCCTCCTTATTTTCATGACAAACACGGCTCTTTCAGCGGTACGTAAATATAAATAATCGTTTGTTGATTTCCTCCATACTTACGCAGTCTAATATTTTAATTGGCGATCCGATGAAAAGCGTCATTTAAGCGCGTATTTTGATAGTGTAACAAAATACAAGTGTCGAGATTAGGAACCGGACTACCTGCGTTCTAGTCACTCTTTGACTTGTTTCTGCATTGTTTTCACATTCAATCATCTTAACGTTTCTGTTATACGTAGGATACCATTCTAATATCAATATTACAAAAAAAAAAAAAAAAAAAAAAACGAAAAAAAAGATCGCTTTCCTTTTTATCAGTTTTTCACATATAATATTTCTTTTCAATCCTTGTACAATTATTCTCTCTCTACATCCTATATTTCAAACTCTACTTAAATGCACATTAAGAAACTGATATCCTTTTTTAAATTACTTTATTTACTTCTCCTGCAGTTTGCCCAATATTCCGACTTAGTTTTTTTCTTGCAATGATCTGAATGTATCACAAAACAAAGGTTTTTAAAAGTCAATATAAGGATACCCTGCATTTAATATTTTTATTCTGTGAGAACAAAAAGAAACCAGTGCACATCATAATACACTAGAAGTGAAATGGAGCCTTGGACATCTGTGTCTTGTCAGCGTGTCTCAAGCGTCCCTGTGTCCCCGCTTAATGCATGTTGGAGTAGGCAAGGGTAAACATGGCTATCATCCTGCCACTGCATTGATGACATTTCTAGGTGGTCTAAACCCCACAAACAATAAACAATCTCATATCATGATGCAGATTGTACTGAGATGACAACCAAAGTCGGATTTAGCTTAGGTTTTTAAAAGAGAAAAAAATTTAAAGTACTTTTCTTACTCAAAAAGAGACGAGATGACATTCAGGTAGACCTACTCCACAAACCCCTTTTGTGTGTAACTTAAGTCTGTTACATTTCTATGTCGCAGCTGTACTTTTCCCCCCAACGTCCTTTATTCATGCTCATTTTGGACTAAGTGGCATGAAGGGAAACCGATGCTCCTTCCAGTGTACCTGACTAACAGCCTGGGAGGTCTGCAACACTCGGGTCGTGTTCCCATTATGCATAATTAAAACATCGCTTAGAAACATCATATTTAGAGGCTTCTCCAAACACACCTGCGCCTCACTTCCCGTGGCCTCTACTGCTCTCTGTGCTCAATTTCTCCACCCCTTATCACCCTTAATTAAATCAACCCCTCCACACACCATTACTCGCATTGAGACGCCACAATAGCTGAGCTGGCAGATCAACCGCACGCTTGTCGAGAAGAATATCGATCAAGGTGGATGTAAATATGACTGTTAATTGCGGGTTTCAATAAAGTCTTTTGGTCTCCTTGCGATCCTGAAGTGCTGAGAATATACATTCATTTGTTCCCCACTCCAGAGTTCAAGAAACGATTTATTTTTGCTTTACCGTGGCAAAACATACACGATAAAAGTGAGCTTTAGAAATCCTTGGTAGCTTTTTAGGATAGTAACAGTCAGCATACGTACAGCTCTATTCTAAGTTTAACAAGGAAAGAAAAGCGCAACCGTTAAGAAGAAAAAAAAACAGTTTTGTTTATCAACTTATATACACCATGAATAAAACTCTTCATACGCCCAATCAGGGACTAAAATCTTTGACTCTTAACCTCGTTTTTTAGTTTCCAGTTTTTGAGAGGATTAAATGTGAGTTTCGCACTTTTTATATCCTAACACCACAAAATCTACGTCAGTTGAAACTGAGTTGCTGGGCTAAATTTTTTTAAAGTTCGTTATGGTCATGCTAAGAAGTAATTAAAAATCGCGCGAAACATACACAACTGTCATCTCGGTTTGCTTTTTAGCCGACACAGTCTAAATACTGGCTTCCATTTATCATCGAATATTTACTTAACAAATTCTGACAAATTACTAAACATTTACACCGTGGCCCACCCAAGGACTGACACCTTGAAATATAGGCTTTTTCGTGTAGCTGGGACTTGAGTTTTCACTTGTTGTTTTAAGCTACAAATTCAGTCAAATTTTCACATGAAATATTCATTGTTTTCTTTGATAAACTTTTCGTTTCACTTTTGCGATTGAAAGTTTGTTTATCATAACTTTGCGACTGCCCAATCACAATTCACTTACCACTTCTCTGAAAGTGCCAATATGCTAATGTAACTGGAGCTCTCAGCACATATGGGGAGTACTGGGTCCTCCTCCCTGCAGTACACAACATTCAGGACTACCTACATCATGTTCAGCCACAAACTGCATGTCTGAGAACTTTACGACCTAGATCATCGCGGGAGATACCTGCCATCATAACGCTACAAACTGGAATTACTTCGGTCTTAGTACATTTATAAGTCATGGACCTTACAACGACAAAGCCGCTATGGCAAGCCTTGGGTGATCTTACAACAGGCTTCTACAAGGACCCGTTTCCAGAGGTACGTTTCTTATTTAGATTATTGATAAAACTTTTAACTGTCGTCGTAAATTACTGTATTCATTTTATTTAAGCACAAGATTTAACTTTCTTAACTGGTTTCCATACTTATTGTTTGCGAGGCAGTTTCCAAAAATATACAGGCTTGAGAAAAGGTTGCTGCTCTAGTTTGGCCACCGTGCAGTCATTGTGTCATATTAACTGGTACACTGCACCACCGACTGAACCTACTTAGTTCATATGAAACCCATGACATTTTCAAGATGAATTTCACTTAGATGAGTTTGCTTTCACGTGCTGCATGCTCAGCTATTATTATTATTATGGCAAACGAACAGCATAAAAAATTAAACAGACGAAACAAGTATTTTTAAATTACAATCAAGAAATCGTACAACTTGAAATCAATAACTGATAATTCAGTACATATTTGCAAGCTTGGGAACCCACCCATATCCAAAGTAACTGAAACATACATCAAAAATGTTTTCTGTAACGTTTTTATCAATTTTGCACGCTTGGATTGCAAAGCTGCTATTCTTGGCTAGGCAATCGCGAGCATATAAATTATTCCATCTTCATAAGGAACAAAAGTATCTTGTTTATGGACGGTGAAAGCATTCTCATGCATTGTTTATCAATCTAAATGTTTTCCTGTTTAGGTCTGTGGATAGGGTAAAGCATATAACGGATGCCGTTGCTATCATTCATTCGGGACCACACACAGTCAGCGTTAACTTCCTCTGATAAACGTTATAATAATATAAGTGTTAATTAACGCACCTGTGATTTTGATTCGTTCAAGGTATTCCGTGTGCACATGTATAATTTCTAAGTTTATTTGCGTTTTTTCTAAGACTTTCCAATTATTGGAACTAAGTCTTTTTTACCTTTTATCTGTGAATATTTTTCAATGAAAGAGCGAGCAAATGAATAAGCTGTGTACCAGTAACTTACAAGATGCTGGGTAAAAGTCACCTGTGAAAGTCAGTTTCAGTTGCCATTATTATTTAAAGTAGCAAACATGTTCGAAATTTCATTCAGTGGTCATGATAAAATAGATATCTTTTCTGCATTAGTTGGGGCTACGTGCGGTAACAGATTGTATGGCTAATGTTTTCACTAAACGTAAATCCGTGACCCGATGATAAAATATACCCCAACGTAGTGTGAAATTAAACACATAAACCTAAGATGTGGAAGTTATGTCGTAAGTAATATAGGCCCCTATATATATATGGACAGAATAATAACAACGGCTAAATGAAAAAATCACGTTTAGATAACCAGTAACAGATAAGACCTTAGATTACAAACAATACTTAATCACACACTTGATTTTATCTTAATCTGACCACTAAAATCAAAATGGACTTTATTAAATTATAACTACTTTTCCATGCGCTTCCATTTAATATTTGAGAAAGTCACAGAATTTGTAGGAACAGAAACATACTTTCCCTTGAATGCGCTTGAACTCTTTAATATCTTTAATAACCCAAAGAAATAATGGGAATCCAAATATCCTTTACATCTAGAACGAGAGATCTATGATAGCAAGGATATGACGTTCTGAAAAAACGGCACCGGCTTCTGAAATATGCGATGTATTTACTACGCACCAGGTGTTCACTATCGTAATCATGGAACCATTTGATATACAATGTATTAATGAACAGCTCAGGTGTAGTAATAACTTTTGAAAAAAAAACCCCACAAATGATTGTTGTGCTCGTTTTACTGTGAATATGTGAGTAGGGGCCTACTTTTTTTCTTTGAAACGGCTTTTGTACGATTATGATATTTTATTTGTAAAAATGCCAAACAAAGAAATATTTTCACATTAGTAGTTAAGAAGGATAATATTTATCTGACCAGTTTGGTCAGTCACCGGTAATTTTCTTTCCTATGGCCAAACTGCGAGTCTCTGTGAATCTATGGACGTCCGGTCGCAGATAGATGGCGCTGGGTGTTAACTATCCATATGTCCGAGAATGTTGGAAACGAAGTGGACTGAATGGAAAATATGTAAAGATTACTAATGAAGTAAAACAAAAAAGTAAAGACGTAAACGTTGTAATAAAAGGAGTAAGGTAAAAATGTAAAAGGGCAAGCTTAACGGTTCTCTTTTTTGACAAAGTTGACGGTGAAGTAGCTTCTTTTCGAATTTACATTTTCAATACTAATTGGTCGTTACAAAATTCTTTCAAATAAAATCTTTTCGTTGTTTCTCTAATTTAACCTAGGAAGTACAAGATGTCTGTTTCTTCCCTTAAACGCTTTCATCCTTGCTGGTTCATTCATTCCAAATGCACCACCATATTTTAGTTTTCAAACTCGCTCAAGTTTGAGGCGATTCTAATGGACGAATCAGCAGGAAAACCCCGAATATAAACATCGAGCGGCGTTTACAGCTGCAACCTCGCGCTCAGTGCTGCTCTCGACCATGGTTAGGGAAGATGTGAGCCATTTTCTTTTGTTTATTTTTCCAAATCCTGCCGTCGAGCTAGCGCTCGTTAGCGTTCGCATATGGAGTAATCTGATCGGGTCCATGAATGCATTCACTTCTCCACATACCACCCATGAAACAGATCGGATGACTTGCACGCAGGCTCGCCTAAGCAGAGCTCCATCGGAAGTGCCCGTTGATATGAAAATTGTACTCTTTCACAACCAGTTTATATACTTTGATAAATAAAGTTTTTTTGTTTGTATAAAAAATCTCAATTAAGTAAGTCTATTTTAAGATTTCTGGGATATGCAAAGCTACTATTTTGTTCAGATTTTAAGACATATGGGCGATGGATAAAATTACTTAAGTTCTAAGATCCCCCATCAATTGATCTTATCTTGACAGTTAAATAATATGCTGGCTTTCATCGTGGGAAGGAACTCTGACTCCAAAAGAAAATTGAATGCTGAATTAGTGAAAATCATATTTAGTTGAGAAAAATATGGGGAAACGTATCTGGCATTCTTGGTTTCCATTAAGAAAATAATGTCCGATCCCATTTCTATTACTGTGACAAGAAATAATTTGATTCACTTGGTATATAAAGTAAAATGATAAATAGGGATAAAGCACGAATTCGTGAAGTCAAACTAAAGCATACAAAAGTTACTATTCAAATCCCTTGATCCGTCCACACTTTTCATCAACAAGCCTTATTTCCAGTGTAATTGTACATTTCATCCTGTCAAAAGAATGCATGATTCAGTGCCGTTTGTTCCTGGCCAGCTTGGGTGGTCTTTCTACTTTGGTGAGCTGTTGCTAGGCAACTAATGTCGGGCTGCAGTTACATGAGCTGCCTGTGGGCTTAAGAACCAATCATCGCCGCGCTCTGCGCGCCATCAATCACGTCACCGCATTCCCGGGGGCGGGCCTTGTATGCAAATAACCAACATTGTGGATTTCGATTCAAGCTGGTCTACAGATGTTATACGAACTGTCTCGTGGATTTACGCAAAAATTCATTGCTTTATGAAGAGAAAGCGATGGAAGGCTGGTCTCATCCAGCTTTTAGACCCTCGGAGGTTCGTGGAATGTGATATTTTTGTGAATTTCTGATATTTTGAAGGGGAATTTCCGCTAATACTCCATGTGGGTCACTCGGCTTTCTACTGGACCGCTCACAATGTCGGTGTTCAATGCGGTGTTTTCTTCGTAATTTCAGGGTACCACAATGACCGTACCTACTCGGAGGGAAGCATTTACACCGGAGGATTCAGAATTATGTACAAGAACCAGTTGGGTGGACGCTAAGACGGCGTACAAAGAGATAAAGAAGGTTAGTTGTACTGCTTAATGAGTGTGTTGGCGTCAATATGATCACAACGTTGGGGATAGCTTCACGTGTTCCTGATAAAGTGAGAGTGTTTACACAGGTCAGATAGTAAAGAATAGACGTATTCTCGAATTGCATATAGCTTCCACTTGATAACGAGCGGAGAGAGGGTTTGTGTGCGGTATTTTGATGAATACTATCCTTGGAATTTCACATTTATATTCCTCAACGTGGGGCGGGAAGGGTGAGACCGTGGTGCACTAAGCCTTCAATACAGCAATCACTTTACCTTTCAAGACGTGTTTATTTAGTGATTTGGGTTCCTTTTACCCACTCCTTTAGGTTATGTGAAATATCCTTGACTGAAAGAAGGAAAAACAGCAATGCTTTCTTTGAACGGTTGTTTGAATAAACACGGACATATTTTGAACTGGTGGCTTAACAGATTACACTGAATACATAACAAACTTGTGTGTTCCTTTCAGTCGACATTGAGGGCATGCCGCATTGAATATTAGGTCACAACGATTGAATTCCCCTTTATTATTCCACTACTACTGAAACTCCTATAAGGATTTGGTTACAGGACCTGATAGATATTGGAGTTAACATGAGCAGACAGTTGTGTGACGGCCACTGTAGTTATTCCCACACATATTTTAACCACAGAGTTGTATAGCCTTAAATGCTAATATTGCTACAACATGGATCTACAACTTGTATTTAAGTTTCCATTCCCTATGAAATTATTATATAGCAGAGCCTTCCTCTTCACTGAGCAGAAAGGCCACACAGACGAATGCATATCATGCTGGGTGGGTCACCTGGTTCAGCACAAAGAATGCACAGATAACATAAAGAATGGTTCTCAGTGACCAGTGCAACTAGCTGAGCCTTAAAATAGGATTAATCACAGTACACTGTATGATATAGCCATGATCTGGTCAATTCATGATACTGGGTTAAACTTCTATGGTCAATATGTTATGGGAGGGTTACTGAATGGCAACCAATAGTGGTTGTTCTAGTGGAATAAACCTGTTTTTATAAGCTTAAGAATACTTTGACAGAGACACTACGTAAAATGTTGTTCTTCCATTCCAAATCTAAAAAAGTACAAATTTAGATTAAGAACATTTGAGCATTTAGTCACAAATGTGTTTTTTTTTTTTTCAAATTCTTTGATGTTTTTGGTCTATATACATGTTATGTAATCCAAGGGACCAAGCGGTAAGCATTTCTAAAATTTGTTTTCTGTAAACTGTTCTTCATCCTCCCACCTGCTGTCCAAACTGACTTTCATGTAGTGGACACATGGTTTATTTCACTGGGAACATTAACCACAGAGTTGCAGTTCATTCTCTACTGAAGAAATTAACCATAAACTCCGTTCCTCTGGCTCTGTTTACATCAGGAGCAATGGAGAGTAATTCAAGAGTTTGCAAATGTATAAACAATGGACCATCAAAGTGAAGTGACCGAAGAACGGTTAGGAAAGGAGAGTAAAGGCAATGACCAGCTGTAGCACATGTAAAAAGAAAATAATCTTACTTTTGACCCCAAGTTATGGAAATGGCTTTGGTCAAATAATGCATTTGAACCTGTAATGAATAGCAACAAGATAAATAGCTACATATGCTGTAAAGAACTTTCATGCAGCATTATTATTTTGGAGGAAAAGAAGAGAAAGCTTAGAAAAGCTTAATTTTCATGCATAGAATATTAAAAGTATTGTTTTAAAAGGTTTCTTAGATTTTTTTCCCAGTTTTGTGGATTTTATTTAGTCTTTTTGTTTAAAATAAGTGCTCTTGCTGACCAGCATAAGTAACTGATGGGGTGCCTATTCACATGTAATGCTTCACCTAAGATTTGGTTAAAGTCAGTTTCTGAATTATATACGACTGACAAAGGTTTGAATTTTCACCTTCTCACAATAATTTTCGAGATTTACTTAGGTTCACTGTTATTTAATTTATTGTCCCTTTTCTAAAATTATATATTATATCTGTATCTATCTATCTACAGATTTATATGTCTTACTGACAGTTTTCTTTTCTCTATCTGTTTCAGGGCAAAGCCAGTGGGAATACTTGTGCATTATGGTTAAGGTGGCATTTACAAAAACAATTATTCAATCTTGGATGTTTTATTGAAAGACACTGTGGAAAAGTACTCTTTGTTGGATTATTATTACTATGTTTATGCTGTATTGGACTCAAAACTGCTACAATAGAGACCAATGTGGAAAAACTTTGGGTGGAAGGTAAGTACAAAGGCATGGACTTGTGTCTTTACAGGAGTAGAAGTCTATTGCTTATATTATAAAAGCATAGTTAACCTATAATAGTTTTCCAGTCAAGTTACAAAGATGGCTTCCATATTTGAAAATGGCCACCACCTCTACCAGCAGGGGATAGGTCAGGTAGCTGGCAATAAGTGCAAATTCCAAACCAGTTCACACAAACTATCCAATTCCAGCTTGACCCATATTATCAAGGAAATTGGATGGTTCCAACTGGAAAGAAAACTGCATGTGATGATGAGAGTAACACCAGAGTCCAGAACTTTGATCAGATACCTTAGTCAAAACTGAGACCTTGCAAATTAAGGCTCCTTAAATTTGATTGGTTTTATAATTTCATGACTATGATTCTTTCACCCTGCATGGTCACAGCATAAACCTTCTGGCAAATTGCTTCTTTTATTTTGATTGTGTCTCAAACCTTAAAGAGAAAGAGGCTATTTCAAGGTGTTTGCAGAGCAAAATAAGTTCTCTGGTGGTCTGGTGTCTATTTAAAGTAAGATCTTATTTAGAATGATGCTTTTTTTCAGTATATGGATTGACTTGTTGGTTGCAAATTCAGACTTTTACGTAACTCTGCACCCAGCAAGTCAGTTTACATATAATCTTGCCCATTTCCCAGTGCCACAGTGGTGGTGTGAGGGGAAGTGAGGAAATTCATAATCAGCAGGCAGGTTTAGTTGGTTGGAAAATAATCCAATCCAGGTCTGGTTTCTCAGCATTCTCCTTCACTCTGCATGTCATTCTGCTTATTTTGGCCTCAACATGGTTTACCTTCTGTACTCGGCCATGACTTGTTGGGATTGACATTTCCCAACTGTGGCCGGTGTATGGGGTGCATAGGCACTGATTTGTGCTACTGGCACTTGTCACCTGTAAGGCCCCAGTATATTTTCCCTAACAGTTTTATTTACTCTCTTATCAATCTGGATTTCTGAAAACTTTCAAGCAATTAAAATCTGGTTGTTGAATTGTTATGTTATAGTATTGGTTTTGAATAGAAAGATTGTGAAGTATGGATAGATTAGATTTCATTGAAGGTGTGATGTGTGATATATGGAACTTTTCATGTGGGTTGGTTTTAGCATGGAAATTGGAAGTTTTAAGCCTTTTTGCAATAAAGGCTTAAGGAAAACTAGGTTTTGCCTACTACCTTATACAGCTATATATTTACATATACCCTGGCATGTAGTTGTTCATGCATGAATACATGACCTTCACTGGTAATGAGGCTTCTTGTGTGGTCCATTGAAAAACACCACAGAAGACCTCATTGTACTTGTGTGTTTACTGGGAGACTGTGGTAACTATATAAGTGATGGTCTGGTACCTTTCAGTTGTCATCTTTCTGTGAGCTGTTATTACCTTGATAAAACATGTTGTAAATTTTATATTTGACACTGGCTGGATGTTATTATTGGATTTAAATGAAAGCGCGATGACAGGACTGAAAATTAACATTAGATTTTCTTACTAAAGAATTACAATTTTGTTTTATTTTCTTGTTTGCAAAATGTGAGGTAGGTTACCTATGTCTCTCTCAGTTTAATCTAATTAGTGCATTTGAGAAAACATCAAAGGCCAGGTTGTTATTTCTCCGACAGGACCCCCTCTGAACTGCTGGCTTGGGTATCTGGCTGAGGTCCTGTAAAATCAGTAGAATAACACATACAAATGCCACTATTTGATGTGTAGTAAAAGTGGTATTTATAGGGCAGCTTAGGATGTCGACTCTGAGGATGATAAGCACTTGAAGTAGAGGTTGTGCATAGTATATGTGTTTACTGATGTTATTATGGACCATTTGAGCGATTGTGAGGTGCCTAATCCTGTTGACTTTAATCCAAATGTCAACAGTTTAATCTACAGTACAGCTCTCTTTCAGCTACTTCACTTTTTAAAATATTATTACAATTATTTAGACAAATATACATGGATTATTAAAGGTGTTCAGGGGAAATAAAGAAGTTCTTTCTGTAATTTTCTTTAGATACTAGAACATATTGTTAGACCTTGTTTTTTTTACAACTTAAAGCTTAATCTTGACTTTTTTCAGTTATTCACAGCTTAGTTTAATTTTTTATAATATCCTCCTGGGTGTAATCTATAGCGGGTATACACAGGACCAAAACATTTGAAATTTAAACATGGCTGCCATGATTGTGGTCCCCCCAGTGAGCAGGCTATATGGGTTTGAATGCAAGCTGACCTCTCCTATACTTACCACTTTGATCTTGAGCTCTGAATTGAAAACTGTATTGTGCAAGAGGCAACAATGACAACAAAGGAACAGAAATCTGGCTTCCAGTAGGGTCCAATTCCCCTCACACAAAGTGACCTCTTTATAGCAAAATGATTTGCTTCCAAATTACGAGTGTATTTGTTGAAAAGTCTGAGATGGCAGCTGGCAAGGAAAGGAGGAACTCTGTAATAAAAGTCTGCCTGATCATTATGAAATTGATAAATTCTTACATAATGAACCCAATGTGAGAAAAATAATACAGAGCATAGAAGGGCAATAATTGTACAGTTGAGTAGATAAAAAAAGGTCACATTGGGATTAATAAGGAAATTGTTAGAAACTTTGGAGCCTTCTTAATATTAGTATGCTCTTATTTTAAATAGGCATGGTATTGGTTAAGCACATGCCTGAAAAGGTGAATTTTAATTGGTACAGTAAAGAGGTGAAAGTTTTGAAATCTCATTTTACGACAGTGTTCTATTCATTATAAACAGTGGCAATATGAGGCCAAGCATAAATTTTCCACACTAAGACTTCACCTGCTTCTGCATAAGATAAATTCCCAATACTTTCGTCTTGTTAAGCTATCTAATGATACCACACATGGCTTAATCACTACTTGAAATGGGATTTCCATTCTGGATTTGTGAACTGCAGGCTGGGTGGCACAGGACTACCTGGTAGGGCAGGGGCTTTAGGGCTAGACTGAAAAATTGATGATACTTTTTTCTGAAAATTTACTTCTCCAATTTCCTATATTTACAGCAAACATGAACATATTTTGTCATAAGGTAAGCAAATTGTGAGATAAAATTGATGTGTCAGTTTTCTTCCCTGTTGAAGAGGGTGTCCAGGGAGGTGTTAAGGTTAGATGAATGGCCACCATGATGAGAGCGATTTACATGTGGCACAAGTTACACCTCTCAGATAGTGATTCATGTACAGTCTGCTGCTGCTGGAGATGTCTTATGTTCACTTTAAAAATTAAGGATCTTTGTGTTCAGGTTTTATCTAGGAATTGAAAATAAAGTTATATAGTTGAATGCTGACTGTAAAAATGAATACTTTATTTTCATTGAATAATTATGCAAGGTATTGGCATTGGCAACATTATATATATAAAAAGAATTTGAGAAAAAAGACAGATGGATGCCTTTCTCTACAGAAAGTCAGCAAAGTATTTCCCATGATATGTTTCCAGTAGTTTGTGTGACAATAAACTAGCAATATGTCAGTATCTTCCACTCATAAAATGTAAGGTAGTGTGGTAAAGTGGCTGTCCTGGTGGCAGTGGGACCCAGGCCAGGGCTGCCAGCACTGTGTGGTCTGCAGTTTGTCATGTCACACTATACAGGCCTGAAATATGAAGGCTGTTTTCAGAATCCTGGAAGAAAAAAATATTAATGAAGACCATATGTTGATGTAGAAAGGCCATTAAGTGAAGGCATTAGGCATTCCTGAAATTGTATATCAGGTTTATGGTCTTCATAGAATTTGTCAACAAAAACCCATAATGTAATGACTTATAAAAAGTGTTGATTTAGAGAGTAAATTTAGACATGTTCTCCATTACATGAGAATGTGAAAATACATGTATTATTTAAAGATCTAATATGTTGTTATGTTGTAGTGTAACCACTCTTTGTAGGGGATATTAAAAAAAAGAAGAAAAAAAAAACAATTAGCAATATTCTTCTGTACATTTTAATTCCTGCAATCATTAAAATCTTGTGAAAATGACAATAAGGTATTATATTTGTATAGTTCTCTGACTGGTTATTATCAACACATTGGCTGTTAAAAAAAAAACAGTGAGGACCTTGAAGGTCAAAAGATTAAGTGTTTAAGTGAAACAAAGTTAAAGAATTTTTTTTTGATTGAGAAGTATGCTGAAAATGAATATGGTAATTATGGTTTTATAATGGCAAGGAGTATATAATCAGATTAAAAGATAGAGACAACATCAATTATGGAAAAGTATTGAAGTAAAGCTTGGGTGAGAAGCAATGCTGAGATAAACCAGAATAAATGGTTTAAAAAATTCCATTTTCTGCACCAAAATTGCCTCTGTGCATCCTGACATTCTTTATGTCTGCCAAGGCAGGGCAGGCCAGGCTGGGTATCAGATGAAAGATAATGGCCAGCTTTGAATCCAACTTTATCTGCCTGTGATGTCACATATCTAGGTGGTCTGATCAATATGATGAGGGTCTGACTTACTATTCATACACTGCTACACAGAAGGCTCGGTATACAGGGTTCTAGGCCCAGATTAAAAAGGTTTGACCTTAACTATGTAGATGTATGGTCTTTCCAAGCACTTCAGGAAGTACTATTAAAAACATTATGGATCTGAACAAGGTATATTAAAGTTACTTGGCATTTAAAAAGCGAAGTGTTTTAACACTTGCTGCATTTTTCTTACTTATTTATATTCATGCATATGTGAAATAAAACATACTCAAAAAAATCATTATGTACAGGATCTCCATGGTATATCCAAACTCTCTCAGTCAAAGCAAGGTGTTTCTCTTGGGAATTGTGGCTTAAAGGGATAATAACTCTTCGTATGAGATCTATATTTCACAATAAAAACATTGTGATTAACTCATAGAAATGTAATATATTCTGTTTTACCACAAAAACGGCAGTTATAGCTATTTTTTCTGATATCTGAGCTTGTCTTTAGACCACGTGACCTCCATTGATGGCTATACTCTGTTAAAATCTCTTAAGAGATTTTAACAAAAAACCAAACTTTTTAGAAAAAAAACAGGGACTAACTTTGAATGTAAAAATGGATTCATTTACCATTGGTAACTATGGGAAAATTGTTGTTTACTCCAGGAAAATTCATTTTTTGGCCGAAACGAAGAGTTATTATACCTTTAAAATTTGGGAGGGGGAATAAATCCCCAGTCTGTACATACAAAATGGACAGAAAGTATGTGTAGCCAGCCAGGCAATGTACAGGATGTGGAATCCCTCAAGTTGTCAAGGGAGAGATGCTAAGTTCATTAACTTTATAGCCTGCAGTCTAGGGGGGCTTGACTTGGGTTTTCATCATTTCTCAAGTGATGCAGTCCCGGATGGGCACTGGGGTTTAGGACAGTATTCTCCAGAATTCTGTTACCACTCTGGTATGGGTTCTTTGTACTTAATGTGTGGCACTGGCAGGGTACCAAATATCTGGCTCATTGGAACTGTAGGACCTGCTTCCTTTAGGAAAAAAATTACTCTGATTTAGAGTTGATTTAAAACTAGCTGTGTTTATTTTTGGCTTCAAAATCATTTTACTGTCAAAATTTATTATAGAAGTTTGCCAAAAGAAGGGATGGTTAATAGGGTATAGGTTTTCATCAGGTTTTTGAAGGTTGTACAGGGATAGAGACTTGAAGAGAAAAGGCAACTGTCTACTTATTGATTAACAGAGGAGAGAATAGTCACAAGGTTAAAGCAGGTTTCACATAAGTCAAACATTACTACTTGTTTTGGCAGTTTGGCATGCATAAAGCAAGAGAGCTGTTAGGTGGTGAGAATGCTCTTACTGTTTTCCTTGTTAAACTGTCCATGTGTAAATCTTAGAGCATACAGAGAGAAAAAGAGAGACATTTATTTGAAAATTACCAACTCTGGAAAAAATGATTAAAAAACTTATGGATATGAATGTCAAAGTCCAGCACAAAAGATCCTTCCCATCTTGTTGTGCTTGTAAACGCACTTCAGAGAGCAGCATCTTTCTTATAAATCATATCGAAAGTTTTCCTGTAGGCCTAATGCTTTCCATGCAGTGCCTGCGTCATGGCTGGCACATACAGACCACCTCCGAGTAGGGCAACCTCTAGCCTACAGTCATATGGAAGCCAATTTATTTATGAAATATGGGGCAATTTTCTGGAATAAGTTTGATGTGGATTTTAAAGCCTAATCGGGGTTATTTGGAACAAATATTTGTATAAATCTGTAACCAGAGTCAGAGGAGTAAGGTCTCACCATTATTTATAGTAAATATTTGAGATCTGCTGCCCCATTCAGCTTCACAGCCCACACACAAATAGACAGCTTATTACAAGGCGCCAACTAGATATTAAGATGGTTTTCTTTCTCATTCAGTCGTGAAATTGGTGAAAAGTGCCAGAGAAGGGAGGCATTCTAATAGCATAGGCATGCAAATGTTTTACTGAATGGAAACGTGCTTTCTTACAGAAAGACCAAGAAGTAGCTCTGTTTCATTAGTGACATCCAATCAACAATGTCAAAATATTTGAAAAGTCAGTTGTGATTATGTGCAACTAGGATTGATTTTAAATTGCACACTATAATTTCGTGAATGCGAAGAGTTTAAAGAAACAGAATATAGTATAAGAAACAAATTTTCCAAAGTGTGACAGTTTCCTTTCCTGTTTGTAACAATATTTTGAGTGCAATCATTTTTCTTTTGTAGTAAATCATGTTAATATAGTTATTAAGGAATTTTAAGATAGATTTGTTAATCATTTGGAAGATATAATAATGTACTTTTTTCAAATTGCTCAATTCACTTTACCATAATGAAATCCATATTCGATAATGTTATACTGATCATGACAAATGGGTTTCATGAAAATAACACATATTTGGTTTGTTAAAATCAAGTTTAGTAGCAAGCACCTTTTACTCATAATATTTTTCTACTGCCACCATGTCCAGACTAATTTGAGATTTTTATGGAATTAAAGGGCAAGACCTCCTCAGGCACACTTGACCCTATTTATTTTCATTATTTTCATCAGAGGTAGACATCTTCATTGTTAAACTGAACTTTGTCAGTCAGATGTGTCTGCCACAGTGTCTTTGCTCAAAGCAGCAATGTAATAGTGCAGTTCGAACCAGACACTTTTTTGTTTTTATATATGTTTATATATGTTTTATAAAGTGTCTTACTTCTAAAAGTTGTTCCTTATTTTTAATTTCAGAGGGAGGCCGTTTGGACCAGGAGATAGCTTACACCCAAAAACATTTAGGAGAAGGCAGTGGGATTACAAATGAAATTGTCATACAGACACCAAAGAGTGGGAAAAACATATTATCAAAAGACTCATTATTATTGCATTTACGAACAGTATTAGCAGCTACTCAGATAACTGTAGATATGTATGATATGTAAGTATACATTTGTTTTTTCATTAAACAACAAAAAATTAAGTTTTTTTTGCATTTTACATGTACAATAATGCCTATACTGTTTACAATTGACATTTTTTTTATTCGTAGCATGCCACACAGCTTTCAATTCAGTATAAGGTTTCATTCACATGCAATGTCTATTTTCTAAATTCTATTTTCTATTTGCAGTATGTCTTATGATCACGGTCTGTGCCCTGAATATCCCACGGCGTAATTACTGGCAGCGCGAGCCAGTTACTTTAAGTTACTATAAGTAACTGGCTCGCACTGCCAGTAATTACGCGGCGGGATATTCAGGGCACAGACCGTGATCATAAGATAACGCGAATAGAAAATAGATTTTTAGAAAATAGACATTCCATGTGAACGAAGCCTAATAACAATGCAAAATTATTCTCAAAAGGAAGGTAAAATAAGCCAAGACATTGGGGTTATTGTTAGGATGGCAGTTAGTGAGTGTACACCTTAATAAGACCTAGCACTCCAAGTCATCTAACAGGTGAATGTCTTTAATTAGCTTTGTGCTTTACAAACTAACTGAACCATTTGGGATTCCTAAAGATATTCTGCAGCTAGTGGTAGTTTCCTGAATGTTATGTTTGGAGCACTAGTAAAGACGGGGAATTCATACCTGTATAGACAAGGGAATAAAAGAAACCTTTGAGCACAGATAAAAAATTTGATAACATTTCACATGCATAGTTGATTATCAAACTGTTTTCCCTATAGAGATCTAAATTGTGTGAATTATGTAGAGAAAGTGAACATCCTTCCATGCCTTAGAAATATTTTTGGGAATGTAAAAGCTATTAAAAGATAAATTTTGTCCAATCTGCAAAAGATTCTCTTAAGTTCTGTAAGATAACCATAAATTTAAATGTATTCCAATCCAAACAAAATGCCCCTCTTTGTGGTCAGGTCACTGGTCAGTAAGCAACATCAAAGCTTTGTCCAAATTTCTTATTGAAATCTATGCTAGTTCCAGTGTACACCTGACAGCTAGGTAAGTTTAGACAGAGATGGATTGTCTTGGGGTTAGCAGTCAGAGTGCTCTGCCAGGTATGAAGTCAGTGCAGCAGCAAGGTGGGGGGTCCAGGTGTGCACACTAATACACACACACACACACACACACCAACAGAGAATATACTGTAGATACTACTGTCTCAACAACACGGCTTCATGTTGGGGTCTGGTGGTTTCCTCAACACATTTTGAACCAAATTAGCTGCAAGGATTTACTTGGTTCATGTCTTAACAGTTGTTTGATTATAAGATATTCAGTACAGAATTCCCATTGTTTTCAATCTTCAATTTCTCTATGCTGAACTAGAAAAATGTAAATTTCAAATTTGTTTATTTTTATGCGTATGATAAGATTTGTGGAAGATAAGAAATAACATTTGGTACTGTTTTATCTCTTGAATAGAAACCTAAAGAAAAGATATCAAGAATTCTTGACAGCAGTAGACAAGAAGGTTATGAAGTTGATTAAAATTCGGACATGCTGTAAATTTTATGGACTAAAACAGCCAAATTCTTGATCTTTTACAGTACCTGGAGGTTTAGTGATCTGTGTAATAAACCAAGTTTTCCTTCATTTGAAGATAGCCTAGTTGATCAGGTAAGATTGCAAATTTTTATAGGAAAATATTTATTTGGAAAAAAATTGGAAGTCAACATTAAAAATGCATAAGGTAGAATTAATGTGCCTAAAAGAAATAATTTTGTAATGAAGCCGCATGAAACACCAGAACACTTGGTTACAAAATGTTGTTTTTAAAAACCGTTCTGATGATTAAATCGGATAAATGGTTATTAAAGTGGGTGGTCTCCTGTTTGATTTACCACAGTGTTAAAAAGAAATTAGAACCAATTTGAAAGACTTTTTTCTTTTCAGATGTTAGAACCTCTGACTCCTTGTGTGATAATTAGTCCATTAGATTGTTTCTGGGAAGGTGCCAAACTTCTAGGACCAGATCATGCTGTGAATGCAGGATCGTAAGTAAAATATATATATTATTTTCCTTAAAAGGAATTGTACACAGAGTTTCATTTTTCATAGGAGTTTTTCATTCAGTGTGGTCTCATGTCACCAGAGGGTATAAAGGTATAAAGTTGAAAAATAGTAAAAAGCTTTGAACTAACTGACACAAAGAAGCAAAATTTTCTTTTTTTATCAGACAGTGAGTAAACATGACTGATTGTAATGGCAGCTCTTGGCACCTACCTTTAACAAAAATAGGGACAAATTGAAAAGATGGGGTATTGTTATTGCAAGATCTAGTATTTCAAAGAAAAAAAGTGGGTTAAGGATTAAGTTTGAAATATGTGTGAAAATAACTTTTTCCAAACATTTTGCTCTATTTTCTGTGCTCCATATTTTAGGCATGTGCATTACAAAGAAAAAATACAATAATTGATGACAACAATATGCATTATGAAATAAGGAAAATTTTGAATTACTATACTTCATTGTATGGGCTTTTGATTTTATGGATTTTTTTTTGTAAAAAAGTTTAGAAAAATCCATCCAAACCAAATGATAACAATTGACAGGGAGTAATTTCAATGTTACATGTGTTGGCTTGCTAAAAAAATAATTGTTTACCCACCCAATTTCTCAGTTTTGCAGTGCACTGGTCAATAGTTTCTGCTTGATGGAATGTACACAGACCTTGGGAGAAGCATAAATAAATATTTTATAAAAAATCCTGACTTTTGATTTAAAGCGGTTTTAATGGCAGCTATTGTTTAGTTGATTGTAGATGCCTCTCATGCCTTTTATCCCATCCATTCAGACGGTGATTTATCAGTCCAGACCTCCTGTTTTTTCTTTGAGATGAAAGAAAATTTAGGTGGCCAAGTGGGGATGGTTGTTTGGGAATTTTGGCTAGAAATTGAAAAATGTTTGTGAAGAGGGCCATTAGTGGCTCTCTACTGCTTATTGAGGTTTACTCAGAATATAAACACTGGAAAGGGAAATTGGTGGAAATCAATCAGTGGCCCAGTGAGAAAATGAAGCCCAGCTTCCCCTAGTATGCCTAGCTTCTCAGCAGCCTGAGAGCTGTTTATACTGGCTGTAAGTTAGAAGCACACATGCATCTGTGTGAATAGTCTGACCTCCATTTTGCTGACACTTATATGGGAACATTTTTCTCTAAGAGTAGTGCTGTGGCTTCAACTGTAGACCATGTGAAAAGAACTGCAGCAGACTTAAAGCCACTTCAGTTTTACCTAAAAAAATTCAGTTTAAAGGATGTTTTAGATTTATAAATCTTGATGTAACCTAGGATAGGCATTTGATAAATAAGCACTGAATGGAAGTGCACTTTACAGGTCAACATTCTCTTACCAAACCCCAGGAAATCTGATTAAAGGGAAAGAGTTTATGGGGAAAATGTTTACATCTGTCTTGTGCAGTGTTTGTTAGATTGTTCAGTCATGTGTGGGAACTGACAACAGCCGGGTGGGAATGCATCATCTTTCTCTAATAAAAAAAATCACGATCTTTGTTTGCCATTACCATGGATGTCTTTTAAACTTGATTGTTAATACTTATGTGCGATTAATTGTACATTTCCAGAAGTTTTCAGTTCGGTGGCTTAAAATGGACCAATCTGAATCCAGAGCATTTGTTGTCCCAGCTCCGCTCCATGGGGAACATTTTTCCAGTTCAAGCAATAGAAGATTTTCTTGCTAGGGTAAGAAGACCTGTATTTATTAACTTGGAAATAAATTTAATACTCAATGCTCTCTCTCTCTCTCTGCCCATCTCTAGCCCTCTCTCTTTCACCAGATTTTTATGTGCATCTGTTTTCTAGTGAAAGGGTAAAGTGTTTATTTTATCGAAATAAATTGAGACACAGTAAATAAACTTGTCACCACACAATTTATTTTCCTATGCTGCAGGTTCTGTTCTTTAATTAGGTGTCTGGGGAGACATGGGATGGTGGTTGGTAAATTCACACCCATCTCTAAACAGTCTGGCATTCTTGTTTGCTGATAACATGATAAATGAGCAGCCATGATTAAATTGGGTGGAGCCGGGCTGACGGGGTCTTTTCCTGTGTGTTTTAGGCAATTTTTCATAAAAGGCATTTCTTAAGAGATGAACATTAATTGAATTTTTTTCTCTTTTTTGTGCTAATATAAGTTGTACCATCTTATTGCAGGCTGGAATAACAACTGGGTATGTTAGAAAATCCTGCTTGGATCCCACAGATCCAGAGTGTCCCTTCACAGCACCAAACAAATTATCTCAACAGGTGAGCATTAGCAGTTCTTGAATAACTGATATCTGATATGTTGTAATAAAAAACCAATGTGTGTGTGTGTGTGTGTGTGTGTGTGTGTGTGTGTGTGTGTGTGTGTGTGTGTGTGTGTGTGTGTGTGTTTTTTAAGATATTAAATGAAATATAATTTATAATTTCAGGAACCTGACATAGGTTCAGAGTTGACAGGGGGTTGTGATGGGTTTGCCACAAAATATATGCACTGGGAGGAAGATCTGATTGTAGGGGGAGTTCATAAAAACAGAAGTGGGCACATAGTCAGGTAAGAGATAAGTTGTTTTTGTGTGTAGGGTAATAAATTAAATACATCATGTAAGTAATAGGTGTGGAAAGCAGGCAGATTTTTTCTCAGTTCAGTTATTTTTATTTCTTTGAATTTGCAGTGTCTGTGCATGTGTGTGTGTATGAGAGAGATTTGGCTGGGCGAGGTCAGAGAGGCATATGGTGTCCACCTGTCTCTTTATATGACATTATTCTGACCTTATAACAGAGTGGGGGGGGGGGGGATATAGCCTTGTTGTTCTACTGCATTGATGAAGTTGCACTATTGATGACAAACATATGATACAATATTGATGTAAAATGTTCTGTGCTCTAACTCAGTGGGATAGACACTGGTAAAGCAGACTTGAAACTTTACTCTAAAGGTTAAGCATAAAGCAAAGCCTGTCTTTATACCCAGATATACAAGCTCAGTACTTGAGTGTGAAATACAAGACCGCCTTGTGAGGTATCTTCTTCGTGGCTTGTTTGTGCTGAAATATTTCACAAAAAGTACTTAGATATGTGATTAAGAGGCAAAAGGCAATAAAATGAATTCCATTAAAGCTAGTGAGTAATTGCCTTAATGTAAAAAAACAGTAAGTGATGAAATATTTTTGTTTCTAGCAAAACCGTAAAACAAGATTTCATCATTGATATATGAAAGACTTTTATTGAAAAGAAGTACATACATAGACAATCTTTTTCGAAGGCATCACCTTCTCCCAGTCCTTAACCTCAGAGAGTAGTTATATTGTTCATAATGCCCCAGAAGTTACAAAACTGCCGAGATTGTCTGCTTGATTATGTCTAAAGATGCTTTTTATATTTGTGAGAACAAAGGTATTTATCGTAATCTCATGTAATGGCTGTCAGAAGTAGGTGTCTTCTTTCTGTTCAAAACGATCCAGTATTGTGCTTGATCAATAGAAACAAATTTTCAGTTTGACAACAAAGACGTGCCTCTGATCATGGCATGTTAAGATACAATTCCCCAGGGGGAAATAAGAAACCTTTGGTATGTGTCAGTTTTTTCTTATTCTTTTTTTTTTTCAAGAATACCTCTTGTCGTGACAAATGTGGCCCTCTTTTTGCTTTTCAAGTTTAAATAAAAGTGAAGTTAAATATTGCATTTTTCCCTTTTTTGTCTATGCTTGATGTTCTCTTAAAAATGCAGTTATTTTTTTCAGGGCTGAAGCTATACAGTCCATTGTTCAGCTTATGGCTGAGAAACAAATGTTTGAGTACTATGAAGATTCCTACAAAGTCACAAGCATAGATTTTACAAGAGAAAAAGCCAGAGCTATCTTAGAGGCTTGGCAAAGGAAGTTTACTCAGGTAAGGAACAATTCACTAATATCTGCTGCCATCTAAGCATACCAGATTCTGCCAGAAACAATGCATTTCATGTCACTAATTTGTCTTTTCAACAGAATTTAAAAAAAAGTTTCTTTTTGGTTTAATGGTACATCATTTCCATGAGCTTTGTGGATCATATACCTATCAGGCATTCTAAAAAAGTATATGTTCATTATTATTTTAGGTTGTCCAGGAGATGGGAAATGGGACCCAGGAAGACAATCTCCATGGTTTCTCCTCTACCTCCCTACTGGACATGCTGAAGGAATTCTCAGAAGTCAGCTATGTCAGGGTAGCCCTTGGTTACATTTTTATGGTAAGTTCACTTATTTACTGGGATGTGAATCAGTATAAATTTTTTCTTTATTCCACATTTTCGTCTTCATATTAAGAATTGTTTCCTTCTTTATTTATATAGATAAAATGGCAAACGCTCTAAGAGAAGTATTCAGGAAAAATTGAATTGCTCAGAATTTTAGTAAAGGAAAAAATTAATTGCCCAGTTTTTTAGAAGTTTCTTTTTACATAGTCACATTGTGTTTTTATTTAATGACTATGTATTTATGAATGACTACAAATTTTGTATTTTCTGTTTTTTTCAGCTGGTGTATGCAATTATTTCTCTGATGCGGTGGACAGATTTTGTGCAATCACAGAGCGGTATAGGTATGGCAGGTGTCCTCCTTGTAGCTCTGTCTGTGGCAGCAGGTCTGGGAATATGCTCTGTACTTGGCATCAGGTTCAATGCTTCTACCACACAGGTGAGAATTTATTGTGCAGACCTAGAGAGAGATGCAATTTACACAGTGAGGATAAGAAATTAATCAAAGAGTGATCACATTTGTAATGAGCTACATTGATTAATTGATATGTGTTTTTCTAGTAGTGAAGGGGCTGATGTTCACATGTTTGCAGGTTCAAACTGTTTATAAGAGAAGATCTGTGACAGTGACTCTACTGTACAAATGACTTATTTTAGTATCATGCAAAATTTGGCCACAGAACACTTCGTTCATTCTTAGCAAAATGATTTCCCCTGATGTGCATATAGTAATATAATCCTGAGAAAAATAACCAGGGCAATTTCTGTGTTGAGAAATAACAAGGCTTAGTATGGTGGTCCTAGCAGGCAGCAGGTGGCCTGGGAGGGATGGGCTTTGAAGAATAACTCCAGGTTCACAGATAGCCCTGATACTGATTACACACCAGCCAATGGAGAAGGAAATAGGGGAAATAGAATTTACAGGGTTGAGAATATGTATGGTTTAGTAAGGTGTCACTTAACCCCAGCAAGATTATGATGTTTTGAAAAGGGGTATCAGTTGCTGTTTGTCCTCCAGGTATAGTTTTCTTATCAACCATAGATGCAGTAGTTTTGGAGTATTTTTGGCTGTGACTTTCTCCGGGACCCACTTAGAGCTGAGGCTGATTTGAAACATGCATGTCTATAGATAGGTACAACATGGTGGATATTATTTTTATATATTTTGTCTATGTGCAAGCAGATTTAAAATTTTTCCTAACCTTATTTTGCGCCCCAATGCAGATGGCTGCAATATTGCAGGTCAGTTGCAACATGGCACCATACAAAGTTGGAACAATTGCATTATGGGCCTTGTAACAATGGATTAAACCAGCCATATGAAGTGAAAGCAACAAAGCTCCTCCTAAACTAACAGATTCCAAGTTTAAATTTGATCCCCACGGTCGTTTCTTAATGGATGTGTGCTGACTTAATGAAGGGGGGTCCTGCATGTGGACACAGACTGTTGCCTTCCGATTATTGGCCTTCATGAGGGGATAAATTACCACTCCATCCATCACATTGGGTCCTGTTCACATTTGGGCATATCATTGGTATAATAAGTGAATAAAATGGCACACTGATCCTTGTCCCATCTTTTATCTGTAGGTGTTGACTGTTGACAATCTAATTATTTGGCTAACAGTGACCAGGGGGGCATTCAAAATACATGGGTAAACAACAAGACAAGGACACAGTTGTGTACTATGAAAACTTTTTCCACAACAATCAGCTGCCCAAAAGTGACAACCGTGTGCACATTCATGTGGAAGAAGAAATATTATGAAATTAGTGCGGGATTCTTTGCGTTGTTTTGTCAGGCCTAGTCTGTATTTGACTTTGTCTGTTTTGTCGTTTGGTCTCACAATGAGGCAGGTTATGCCACCTGCCTGGCAATATGACCCACTCTCTTGCCACGCCATGGTGGTCTGCCTAAACATACACATGGAAATAGTTAAAACAGGGATAACCAAACAATTTAATAGATCAATATTTTTGATATGAAAGTAAAAATTAGTATGAGCACATTCTTCTATTGCTTTTCAGAAATTTTAAAATCATGCTGATTCAAGTTTGACAGCTCTTTGCAGTATTATTTTTTAATTAGAATATCATTACATTATACATGGGATTGATAAGAAATAACCTTTTCTATTTTAGATTATCCCCTTCCTTGCCTTGGGTCTTGGAGTGGATGATATGTTTTTGCTAGCACATACATTTGCTGAAAATGCTAAAAACAAAGAAATCTCTTCAAAGGTAGGTTTCTGATTTGTCATAGTTTCTGAAGTAAATTGATATTTTAGCTATTTTGAACTTGTTCCTTGACAGTATATTGATCCAGAAAACTATAGAATGGAGCATACATAAAATGAACCAGATTAAGTTTCTTTGTCATGGGCTTTTAATAAGCATTTCAGGCTTTTTCGGATGACATTGAATAAAATTGTCTCCTATCTGTAGCATACCAAGTAGAACCAGTGTTTAGAAATTATTCAAGTGTGAGGACAGATATGAAAGTCGGGCACAGTTGACTGCTTTTATATGAGCCATCTCCAATTCAGTAGAGTTGAAATTTATCCACATGAGCAGTTTTTAGTGTAAAGTTTAAGGCTCTACAAGTCACCATGGTTTATGGCTTCAGTCACCCAACCACGCTTGGTCAGTAACAGCTTTTGAAATTTAATTTACCGAGCCGTATGCTGTATATTGCCACAGGGTAGGTTCTAGCCCCTCAGGCTAAACTAAAATGTTCTTTCATAACAGTTTGTTGTTCACAAGCCAACGGCTTTGGCAGTTTATTTGAAATAGTAACTTTAAAAATCTAAAAGAAATAACATTGAGAGAATGTGTTGACTTTATTGCTGATGCCTGTAAGCAGCTGGTGCTAATCATAGGAATTTCATATTTTTTGGAAACTGAACATCCATTCCATGACATTAAATAGGGCTTTTGAAATGCATTTAAGCCTGGCAACATCTTTCTCTCTGAATAGTATTCACATCTAGTTCTGGCAGAATTGAGTTCTTGACTGCCAGGGTGGACAGTGTAATATATTGCCTTGAATATTGCCTCAAATCTTCCACCACATTGTGTGGTAAGGATACCTACCAACAATGGCTTCACCATATGGAGAGAGGGCAGCAGTTTAACCATCTGACCTATTTAGAATAAGTGGGATCATTAAAAAAATACAAGGAGTCCAGAGAAGGAACCTTTTAAGTTTATTAAGATAAATCAGCAGTCAAGTAGAATACCTTGGCATGGTTTAGAAGAGACCCATTAATTCATATTAAACAACAGTCACCTCTTTAATTTGACCTTATATAGTCTACCACAGTACCAGTGTGTGTGTGGGGTTTCAGCTCCTGCTGAGAGGGACACTTGCACAATGCACCCAAGTTCACTTGAGCATTATGGGTAGCGGAGCCGCCATGATTGTTCTTGGCTGTCTTTGGTAATTGGTCCCACCCCACATATCCTGTTTTCTGTAAAAACAGCTCCCTGTTTTGACTCCCAGAGCTAGGTACTTTTCCACTGCAGTAACATAATTATTGCATAATTTCATTATTTCAATGCATCACAGAAGAATTGCGTGAAGTAAGTATTGTCAGTTCTGATCATTTCAAGGAAAGTTAAGATGTCACTGTGAACTGTTGGTGGTTTTTCCTATTGTTTAGCAAAATGTTTTTCTTCTTGTAAAATTTGTTTTTGTTGTATTGTGTGCATGATGTTACTTAGTCTTAGTTAAGATCTTTTATGTGTCATTCTTTTTGGAATGAAGTAAGTTGTTAATAATTATACATTTTTTCTCAATTGATAAACCCTTAATTTGTATGACTGTTTAATTTCCATTAAGATCCATAAAATCAAGATGAAAAAGTACTTTGAGTACCAAAAAGTGTTTTAGGTTTGTCTTATTTGATATATATTTTTTATATTCCAGGAACAAACGGGTGAATGTTTAAAGAGAACAGGGGTGACGGTGTTATTGACCTCCATTACCAATGCTTCTGCCTTCTTCATGGCAGCCATTATACCCATCCCTGCACTCAGGGCTTTTGTCTTACAAGTAAGTTTAATTTAGAAAATGCTGATAAAAAAGTTTCATTTTGATTTCATTTTTTAAATGGTATTTTTAAGAAATAAAGTCTAGTTTTATTCATTCTGTCACAAACTTTGAATGCCAAAAATTCCAATGGACTGATTTTAAAGCAAAAGTGGCTAAAGAATGTAAATGAAGCATGCTGCATTTGATAAGTTTATAATCAGTTTTTTAAAAACTTTGTAAAAATATTATAAAGCTTTTCTAGAGGAAAAGACAGTAGTTTATTGAAAAGAGTTTATTGTGTGAATATTGGCAGTTATAAGAGGAAAAAAACCTAGTTAGCAGTTCATTATATGCACACTTCATGGGGAAATAGTATCTTGGTTTGAGACTGGAGTCAGTGGTGCCTGGTGAACATAAGAGGCGGCAGTATAAGTGACTACTTTAACATAGCCAACTGTGTGGGGACTTAAAAGCTGAACATTTTGAAAAATGAGACAGGAAGCTAGCAGAGCCTGGGTGGTCAGATAGAGCAGTAAATGCATGCTTTGGGCTGGGAAATCCAATAGAAGACTACAGCCACCTTATCACATTAAGTGCTTTAAGTAGATAGACTTACAAGCTCTTTGGCTCCAGTCAGTGCTAAAAATACATCTTTGGAGGATGGATGCACTAGCATGTAACATTACAACACAAGTTTTAAGCTAGGACACCCAAAGAGGGAAAGGGATTTGATGGATTTAAAGTCTGAGCTGCTTTATGTGACCTAGACACCTTTAATTAAAAACCAAAAATAAGAGAACTTGTAGGGTCGACAGTCATGGCATTTTCATTTTTCATCAGTTGAACTCATAAACAAAGCCTCCACTGAAAGTTCAAGCATGGCAATTACCTTGTTTTTGCCCTCCGTCTCCAGTTATAAGATTACATCAGCAGCTATTATATGTGATTCTTTTTGAAGTTGGAGCCGATCCTTTCAATTGAATTGGAAACCTGATAAAAAGCAGAAGTTGTCTCACCTAGGGCCCTGACAAAGGACCTGGCCTAGGCTTATGTAGAAAGCTGGCAGGGTCACTGTTTTGTGGGAAGACTCTTTTCTTCTCTGAGAGTTTGTATGGCAACTGATCTATAGTGTGCGGTTGATCCTACTTTCAAATACCTTCCGCCTAATTTATCTTTGCCTAACCCAACTTGACTTTTTATGCATTTTATAATTTTGCACCATAGCCAGCTTTTGTGACCTACCACAGTGGCAGTTTTCATTATTGATATTCTTGATGGACCATCCGAACACATTTGCTTTATACTTACAAAGAATTACTGTATTTTTGAATAAAGTATATGTATGTGGTTTTAAAAGTTAAAAAAAAATTTCTTTGTAGGCTGCCATTCTTGTGATCTTCAATTGTGCTTCCATTCTGTTGGTGTTCCCAGCTATTGTTAGTGTTGACTTGATACGGAAGGAAGAAAACAGAGCAGATGTCTTCTGTTGTTTTCCAGGGTAAATATTTAGTTTTTAAGTAACTGTTTGCAAATATATCTTCAGTTTAAATTCATGATTCACATTTAAAATTAGTTTGAATTGATGGATTGATGTTGAAGTCTACAACTTAATTCGTGTTATTTTCTAGCTAAATGTTTTGTTCTGGGAATTTCAATATAAATAGATTTTTGAAAAATGTGATTTATGTGATGAACAAATTATACATTAACTCTCTCCATTTCAGAACAAGTACAACTGATGTTGTTGAACTGGCTCCACGAGAACGCCATACAGAGCATGTGGCTCCCCCTGTCTACAGAGAACCCAGTCCACCACCCAGCTACCAGACTATAACCCACACAAGTGCTGGGGGTGACCATGCAATCACAGTGCTGGGACCACCACAAAGTGATTCCCCAGTGTCAAGACAGGTGTCACTGTCATCAGGTAAGACTGTACTTTAAGTGGTATCCAAGTACCACCTTAAGATCCTGCAGAGAGCACAGGCTTTATGCCCATACATTACTTCATTTGAACTGATGATTAAGACTTCAATCTTCCTTTCTGTAGTTTCATTCTAATCTCATCATACTGTAGACTAGAGAAAATCTTTGAAGCAGATTTCTGTAGGAATTTTGTAAAAGAGACTATGTATAAAAATCAACTTATTAATGCATTTAAGTTTAAAGAAATGGGTACTCTTTCTTCAGTTGGCCCTCCATCTGCCTCTTCATCACGCCAGTGCCTGACACCTGACGAGGGACCTACATGCCGTGAGCACTGTGCACAGACCCAACAGGAATGTTGCCATTTTTCACTCACAAGATTGGCCAAGTCTAAGTATGGTCCCATGCTGGAAACTACACCTGCTAAAGTAAGGGCTATTTTGATGATTAAATTTCCTTTTCTTAAATGTGTTATTTTCAGTTTTTAAAGGCATAAATATGGTTGCAACTTAAGGAGAATACCACATGAGAACAGTTATGGTTGCATTTCTTGTAATTCTATTTTAAAAAATGTTTGGATGATTGAGAATGGTTAAATGCACAAAAATGTTAAATAATAGATGGTAGTAATAACTTTATGAATTATCTCCATCCCTTTCAGATTCTGGTTGGAGTCTTGTTTATAGCCCTGCTTGTGTTTGGAGTATGGGGGATAGTCAAGGTTAAAGATGGCCTAGATCTCACTGACATAGTGCCAAGAGATACGAATGAGTGGAAGTTTCTGGATGCACAGGGGAAATACTTTGGGTTTTACAACATGTATATTGTGACAAAAGTAAGTAGCACAGTTTGTATCAGTATTTTGGATTTATGTATAGTGATGCCATGGCGACATGTTTACCATGACAGATCAAAGATCCAGATGCTGGATGAAAGTACCATCTTCTGTCAGGTCAATGAGTAGAAAGTAATTTATATATTGTTGAGAGGTGAAGGGCCATTTTGACTTTATTTTCAATTGTTTGCCCACTGACCTGTTGCAGTCACAGTCATTTCTTCCTCATTACTGTCATAACGCTGCTACTGGCAAAGAATAATTTCAGTAACAATCTTGACCTTTTTATTCATTGAAGATTACAGGATGGCCCAGTGCAGACACATTAAGTAGGCAGTAGTTCTCACCTGTATTCAAAATAGCTGCAAACAATTTCATGCTCCTGACATTGACATCAGCTAAATTTCTAAAGTAGATGGTGTCCTGAAGCTAGTCATTCTTTTCTTTTCTTTCTTTCTTGCATTTTTATTCTGCTTCAGTAAATACATAATTAATGGTAACATTGTCTATATTTTCCAGGATAGTATAAACTATCCCAACCAGCAGAAAATGATGTTTGCTTTGCATAAAGAATTCTTGAAGATCAATAAAGTTATCAAGAAGGAGGATGGGACTCTGCCAGATTTTTGGCTAGAATTATTCAGACAATGGCTGCTTGGTAAGAAAATTTTAAACACTGATGGATTTATCAGTTTTAACCGTAAATTTTTTTCTGTGGGATTCATTTTATTCATTTATTTTTTGTAGCATTCTTTACTATATCATTTGTCTTTGTCATTATGTTGAATGTAAACATTTTCACCCTGTGCATCATTCAAAGTTTGGTTTGATCAGATGTCTAATTTTTAAAAGAAATGTGGCAGTAGCATGTAAGGCAACTTAAGGTATCCATGCACCATTTGCATAAGGAAAAGCAGCATGAGGGAATTTCAGTCATCCCAGTCTTTTTATATATGATACACATATCGGGTGTCAAAATTAACTGACTTGCTGACAAAGATGTAATATGTTTAAACTTGAGGAATAAAATTATGGTGACAGTTATTCTCCAAATAAATGAAAAACAGTACTAGTATGAAGTGGTTCAAAAATTTTTATGAGAAAAAATTGAATAGTCAGCAATGTCAGCCACACACGAAGCAATTTGTAAGAAACTGTATCTGTGGGTTTGAGAGTGACTTTGACTTGAGTGCTCCCTAATGGGCTACCAATTTCCCTGTATTCTGTTTGGTCAAGCAGCTGTGGCAGATGAAACCATTAGATGTGTGCCACTTAAGTTTCTGACAGTTCAGGTACACATGACTTTGTGTACACCTTGGGATCTGCACAACCAAGTTCTTACAGTGAATTGTTGGGGTACTCAAACATTTTCATTATTTGTCTGCATTCAGCCGCTTGTTATCTTAAAAATTGAACTTTCTCAATGAGAGTCAATCGTTAGAATAGTTTTGCATAGTTGTACATTAAAGTATCTTTTTGTTTCTGCTATTCACACTATTAAGAAATGTGAGACCACACACTAAGTTCAAATTCCATGCTTCCATTCAAGTTCCCCAAGTGATTGCCATTTTGGCATGGTGCTTACAAGGCACAGTGCACTTTCTGCACTTTTTTTCTTCATCTCCATAGTAATACAGTGGAACTTAACCAGTCGGGAGTAGACTGGTTTAAAGCATGAATGAAAAAGTGTGTAAGACTGGGCTTTGTATACTAATAACACTGGAGCAGAAATGCTGGGGAAAAAAAAAAAGGCCACCTTAGGTTTAACTCAAAGCAAGTTCTTTTTTGCCACAAATTATGTATTTTTAGTTTTATTTACACCATCTACTAAAAGAAAAACTTGGAGCAAAAGTAGTTGAAATTGATTTTGTTGGAATTGGGGGTTTTCATTTCTTAGAAATAACACATGCTTGCATTGTTTGGCAACATATTGCTTTTCTCAAAAATTAGTTTATCATATCACATAGCAACTTTTGGGTCACACCTTAAACAAGAACAGAGAACAGAAGTTCTTAAAGCGGGCGTGTTGTTTGACACATTTCAATCACGCCCTATTGTTATCAAGACCTGGCAATTAAGAACTGATGAAAAAAATAGAGAAGTCAAATTTAGGCAGTAACAAAGTCTTGGTGTAAGATGGGAGGGGCTTCGTTCAATGTTTTCACTTACAGTGTTATTTGAATAACACATATTTCAAATATTTAGGAGAACATTTCAGTAAGATAAGATTGAAACCATTAACTTTCTATCTAAAAATAAAGTATTTTGAAGAACCCATCTTGCTAAGTTTCCAGTCAGTTAAAATATTTATGGAATCATTTCACTGAGATAAACTTGAAACAATTTATTTCCTATCTAAAAATAATGTATTGAAAAAACAAAGTTGTTTTAGTTCCAGTCAGCAGAAATGTTTTTGGACTGTTCATTGATACAGGGGATGGGTTTTTAAGTATCAAAAAAAGTTTTTAAAAAAGTATTTTAGGACAGTTAGGTACAATTTAAGTAGGATTAGGATGCACAGGTTATGAGAACATGTTCAAGAAATTTGTTGTGAAGGAAGAAGTGGGCATTTTTAATGATTTGTTTTATGAGGTAACTTGGGTATGTTTTGCTTTGGCCTAATGAACTTGTCACCAAATTCATGGTATATTAGAAGATTTTTTAAAGTGTTTAGTTTTTTCAATTACCAAGGGAGAAATGAAATTGATTGGTTATTACTTAAACATAGATTGTACTTTGATGAGGAAAAGTATGATTTATCTTTAAACTTTATCATACAAACTGTAGCATAGTAAACCCTTACTCTTTGTAGATTTACAGCTGGCATTTGATCAAGACTGGAGTAGTGGCTGCATTACCACAGATGGCTGGTTTGCAAACTCCACAGAGGAAGGCAGATTAGGATATTTGTTACTGATACAGACAGGGGATGTGGATGACCCATACAGGAAAGAACAGGTAAGACATGTTTTCACTCTTAAATATTTTTGTGTGCAGGGAACCATGTTTTCTGCAATACTGGAAATAACATACAGAATAGACTACAATGTGTTGTTTATGAAATAAAATCTAATGAAGAAAGAAAAAGAAATAATATTGTGTACTTGTTGTTTTTAGGCTGCCACTAGCAGACTTGTAAATGATCAAGGCATTATCAACCCTCAAGCTTTCTACAATTACCTTACTGCCTGGGTTACCAATGATGCCTTGGCCTATGATGCATCTATGGCAGAGATCAAACCTGAACCTCAGCACTGGGTCTACGATCCTTCAGACCAGATGGAACTGAGAAGTATGTAATAAATTAATTAAATGCTTGTAATGTTTACTGGTACAAATATATGTAAAATTTGACCGTATTTGGTTTTTAAGATAAAGAGATGGTAAGATTTGACCATATTTGGTGTTTAAGGTACACATATAAAAAGGTGTTGTTAACCCATTTGTAAGGCATGAAAGAAAAGGCACACACAGAGAAAGATTAAAAAATTGATGATAACTAACCTTATTTTATTTTCTTTTACAGTTCCCAAAGCCCAAGCCATTTTGTACAGTCAAATGCCTTTTTACTTGAACAACATGGTGGACAATCAAGATGTCATAGCCACCATTGAGGAAATTCGTAAAATTTGTGACTCTTACACAAACAATGGACTAGCAGTTTACCCATCAGGAATACCATTTACATTCTGGGAGCAGTATTTGCATCTTCGTTTCTACCTCTTATTGGCTCTGATCTGTGTCCTGGGGGTAACTTTTCTGGTGATCACCCTGGTTTTGATGAACCCCTGGGCAGGATTTATGGTGGTAAGATAATATTAAGTGTAGAAGACAATATTTATAATATTTACTGTATTGCTAGACTTATGTTTCACAAGCAGACAAACATTATGTAACCACGCACTGCTGGAGGATGTAGGTTTAAAACATACACATATATCTCAATATCAATGCTGAGATGGGATGTGATAGCTTTGGTCACTGCAGTAACCCAGACTGGCAGTCTAGTCTTGTCTTGTGACCTAACATCCAGCTCACTTGATAAATACCACACAGCACATGACTCTCCACAGTACTGATCTAGACCTCTTTTCATGAGGAGACCACTTGATTGGTTATTTATGCATGGGCATGAAGTCAAAAGTGATCCACTTGGGTGGGACTCCTGTGTGTCATCTGTTAAGTCCAGGGCTTATACAAAAACGCTCAGCACATTAAGTCATGTTGGTTTGATTTGATTTGTTAGGGAATCGTCGTTGCATGATAAAGAAGCAATATTGGAATTGTTCTTAACAAAAGAGAAATAGATATTATGTAATAGATACTTTTAAAAGCATAAAAGTAAAACTTATTTATACCATACCAGTTAGCAGTGTGACAATATGACTGATGTCCATGGGCATTCCTCACTAGCAGGATTAAGTACAGTTTTGTCCTGTTGAAAAAGTAGTTGACATGCACACTTGTCACTAATGGATAGCATAATGTGTTCTCACTGCGAGTTAATATATTGTGTGTGGTCCCATGTCAAAGCCGCAGTCACTGGTCAGTTCAAAAAGTAGTTCTCACTGGGAGAGATGACCCCAGGCTGACCACAGGGTTAGCACTATGGTAGACCACCAGCCATTTGTGCCAGACTGGATTTTGCTTTTTTTTTTAAATGAAAAGTATCAAATTATTAAAAACCCACTAAGTGATGGTAATTTGGTCACACCAAAATGCTGTTGTCTCAGCAGGCCAACTCATTCCTCAACCTTGCCATCCTCGACCACACACATTGGTTAGTTTCCTTGTCTCATATGTGCTGCCATCTTGTCATATGCCACACAAACTGAGAGCTTGAATGAAAAGAAAATTAAATATAATATGACACTTTGTGCTCCGTATTTACTTTGCTCAGCAAAAAAAAAATTAGTCAAAAGTTTAAAAAATGGATTATCATCTGAGATATGTTAAATTGAAGAAAAGACATTGAATATGCCTTTCCCTTTATATAATGTATATGATACAATTTTTAGATGTTTCTGGATTTTTCAGGTGATGGTGCTGGCCATGATAGTAGTGGAACTTTTTGGTTTCATGGGTCTGATTGGAATCAAGCTCAGTGCCATCCCTGCTGTCATTCTCATTGTGTCGGTGGGCATTGGAGTGGAGTTCACTGTGCACATATGTGTGGTAAGTTTACTGACTTTATATTAACACAATTGAATAGAAAACAGGTGATTATAAAGTTAAACATTTTTATAAGTATATATTGTGGTCTCTATGCTCATGTTGCATCTGTTTTTTTGCAGTATGATGAATAAATTTTGTTAAATTAATTTATAAATCCAATCTACATAAAAGAGTCATTGTATTTTTAGGGTTTCATCACTGCCATAGGAAGCCGTAACCGGCGTATGCGTATTGCATTGGAGCATATGTTTGCACCAGTGATTCATGGGGCCATATCTACTCTGCTGGGTGTGGCCATGTTGGTGGGATCAGAGTTTGACTTCATTGTTAGGTGAGTGGAGAACTGGGGGCAGGAGAGACAAAGTTTTGTGCTTTAGATTTGATAGGAGTTCACTTCTGTATGTTTAAAAGAAGTGAGTGTGAATAAATTCATGTGTCCTAGAGTTCATGCTGTTGAATTAAGAAAAATATCATGGTAAATATGTAAAAGGAAGTTATCACCTGCATCAAGGTTTTAACTAAAAGAATGTCGAATGTGATAGACCTTTTGTATGTGGTGTTGTTCTCCAATGTAAGCTAGTCTATTTTGGAGTGAAAAGGTGATAACCACACGATGCTGTAGTTATTAGAGCAGAAAGAGACCACCCAGGCAGGAGTGTGTTGTGTTCAGGTGATAAAAAAAGAACTGCAGTTTATGATCTGTTTTATGTGAACCATGCAGGCGTACCTCATCTTTAAAATTGTTGAAGTTCATAGTTCAAAGCTCATTTTATAACTTCAGGTTTGGGTAAACCTGCCACAATCTTTTTTGTCATTTTTATGAGCACGCATATTTTTTATGTCATCTCCCAGCTGCGAATCTTTGGGAGGTTGTCATATTTTATAGTAGTTAAAACTGCACCCAGATTTTGCTGCATCCTGGACATTAAGCAAATAATAATTTATCACTTGGTGAAACACACTGACAAGTGTTATTTGCTCAGTACAGGAATTTTAAGAATTGAGGAGAAATTTTAAAAATGGGTGATTCAAAATATGTAAAAACTTTGTGTTTGCTGGCAACTTGTAATTTTTAGTATTAAAGTTTAACACTTAGGAATAAATAACTTGAAGAAAAGATGGAACAGGTATTGTTGTACTTAGATATGACATATTTTACATAACAGATAGTATGATGCATTTTATTGAAGCCATTACGAAAGTAATGATAAGTAATATGGCACTGGTAGCAAATACGTTGAAGGGGTTCTGTTGATTTTGTATTTATGCGATAAAAAGTTCAACAGTCTTCCTATATTCATCTCAGATTTGCCAAAGAAAGCAGTGGGTTGCTAGGTGCATTTATTTAGATCCAAGGTATTTTATTGAGAGCAGACTTCTCAGATTATGTCTGCCAAGGTATCTTAGTGAGAGGACAATTATGTATAAAACTGCAAACAAAAAGAGACTTAGGAACATGCCAGTTAAAGGTGTGTGTTTGTGACGAAAATCTGGGAAATTTATGACAACAGTAGATTGACTGAAGCCACAAAACTTCCTGAAAGCCACAAAGCTGGTACTGTTTAGGAATTAGTGCAGTAGACTCTGTTTATTACCACCAAATATGCTGGAGCTGGAGCATAAGCTTGCTGTCATTAGTAAATACATATATAGTGTAAATTCTGCTGCAGTAGCTGAGAGCTGGATTTTTCTGGTGTTTATGTTGCATGTTTTCTGATGAGCTGGGCTGTGTATAGTGTTCTGTGTGGTCTGTGCTGGTGAGATAGGCAGTAGTGCCAGCTACACAAATAAACCCCAGAGGTCAGCAAAAATGGAGGGAGAGGGTATGGCGAGCATCAGTGTCAGCTGATGTTTAGACAAGTGGTAATACTAGATTTCTGCTTATAGTAGTGGATGTTTTTGCAAGCTTGGTTATGGGTACTTAAGTCCCAATGGAAACTAAACTTGGCCAGGACCAAGACTTTTCCAATGTATTTATTAAATATACAGAGGAAGGGCCTTTACTTTTATGAAATGTCACACACTGGGGTATAGGGCATCAATCCACACCTAGAGCTCTATATGGAGAGGTAGTAAAATTCACTTAAAACTGCACCCTTTGCCACAATGAGGAGTTTCAAGATCATTGAAAAAACTGCTGCTTTTATACAGTCAAGAATAGGCACCCAAATAAAACAATTTAAAATGAAAAATGTCACATCTGCAGGGAGGCTTGATTTGCTGAAGATGTACAGAGCTGGCACCTTATATAATAAAAGTGCCAGGGGATTTCATTACAACATCAGGCATTTAACATATTTCAACAGGACAGTTACATTCTTTTTTGTTGACCTCATTAAAAATAAAGAAACTATAGAAGTTGAGGAGACCCAATTATGATTGTATCCTTCATTATGATCTTTTTTGTTTCAGGTATTTTTTCAATGTGCTGACTGCGCTGGTTGTGCTAGGTGTGCTGAATGGACTGATATTGCTGCCAGTGCTGCTCTCAATATTTGGACCTAAGGGAGAGGTGAGAGGTTTTGAGTAATAATTTTAACAGTTGCCACTGCTTTTAAAATGTCAGTTCTACACAGTTATTTCACACATTTGACCTCGTGTCTTGTACAAATTGTGTTGATGTTAAAGAAAATGTGCAAAAATCCATACCATGACAATTAAAGAATTTCCTGCAATATATAGCACAGTGCAGGGAGTTACTAAGAAAGAGCCTTTACAAATATTAAAAGTCATAGAGTTTAACTATTTTGAACATTAGTTGGCAACTAATTTCACTTTGAATTTGTATTTTTAGGTTCAACCTAAAGACAATCCAGATAGATTATCCACCCCAACCCCAGAAGCCACACCCCCACCCCAGCGTCCCCCTCGTGCCCTCAGTCGCAGGGTGTATCCAAGAATGCCTTCAGACATATCACTTACCACTATATCCGAAGAACCTACGCAGTATTCATCACATGAGATCATAGTTTCACCAGAAGTGGTTGTAGAGACGACCATTGGGGCAGATTCAGGGACCCCAGCTTCTTGTAGTAGTACTTCAAGTAGCAGTAGTAATAAAAATGTAAGTAGATAATATGGTGGATTGAAATGTAATTATTCTCAGACTTTCCATATTTATATTATGGTTCACTTTTATAATGTGGTAAGGAAAAATAGCTTGAATGGCAACATTTAACCACTGAGATCTCCATAGAGCTGAAGATATTTAGCATTTTCCTATCTATAAGAATGTTTGAAGTTGGATGTATATTACGGTATGCTGTAAAACTAGATGTTCCATTGTTGAATTCCAGAACACTTCTTCATTACCCCAGTCTTCACAGGGTATCCGCCATGTCACTACTGTGAGGACGAAAGCTACAGTAAAAGTAGAAGTACATCATCCTGTACCAGGTAAGCTACAGTAACAGCATTATCCAGTTACAGTGAAGGAACATCATAACACTGATACAATACCAACATTAAGCACTGGGTTAACTTATACTGCATTGTGCCCATTATTTGTTGGTTAGTTGCATTCAGTTTTACATCAAGGATGAAAAGTATAGCCATTTTCTCCTGTGTTAATGCAATAACTGTCTAAATTGTGTGATAAGGCATCCTGAATGGATAAATTAGGGAATGATATAGAGATGATGATTAACAGTTCTGCCCCTTATAAGGAGTGTATTGTTATATAAAGGTGATTGTGATAAAGAATGATTATGGAAGGTGGGATAGGGATGTGTTAAGAAAAACCTTTTGTCATGTTTCAGGTACAGTAGACCAAGAACACAGTTACAAAAGTAAAAGAAGGAAGTTAAAGGAATTGGAAGGGTCAGATTCTGATTCAAGCAACAAGTCATAACAGTAAGTAAGATTATTAAATGGAAGTCTTTAAGGACCAAAAAAACATTCAAGCACAGATTTAGAATCTGGAAAATAAAAAATCAGATAACCATTTTAAGAGAGTACATAGTTCTTGTTTCAATTTCCCTCCAAATTGACAGAGTCTGGCAGAGACGGGTTCCCCAGTGATGTTTATGTTTTCATGACTAATGAAAACAAGACAGAACAAGCTCAGCTTGGTTGCAGTCGTGATTTCTATTACTTAAATGTCTTAGTAATTGTTATTACAAAATATTGGATGTCTTTCCAAAGCATCTGTTCAAATAATGGAACATGTCTAGAGATGTGTCTAGAGATGTCCTGGGTTTATTTGCCTGGAAGCTAGATAAAGGTGTGAAAGTAACCTGTGCCTACACACAAATTTAACATCTCCCAAGGCTAAAATGGTGTTAAGGATGTAGAATTATCAAGTGCATGTTGCCCTTTGAGTGACAGTTAAATGCATGGGAATTTTTATTTATGTTTTAAAAAGCTTCACGTAAAAAGGGATAATCACAAACACCTTGTGAATCTTGATTAAATCCAACTGGATGATAGTAAAAAGATTTCCAGACAGATTTATAAGATTTTGTTTTGTTATTTCAGGTTGTTTGAGCAGCGTCTGATGTCACACCATCCATTTACCACTCTTTGGTGCTGGACCTCACAGTGAAAGCAATATTCTTTGTGTATGGACTTAATTTAATTTTTATATAGGTTGTTATGTGTAATTTAATGTCCTTGTTTTATACAGAAGTGTATATACACAGATGCTATATATCTGTTTGTACAGTGTATTGTATTATGTAAGCTGAAAGAGGGCATCAGTTGTGTGTCAGCTGATTTAACTAGTTCCCAGGTACCAATACAGGAATGTAAAATACTCGTGTGTTAACTGTAATATACTCATGTGTATTAACTGTTACATACTGGTGTGTATTAACTGTTGCTTATTCATGTGAATTAAGTGTTAAATACTCAAGTGTGTATGTAGTGTTTCCACATTGTAAAATACTCATGTATGAAGTATCAAGTACTGTCAAATACTCAGTACTTTGAGGTTTATTGACCACTAAGTATTTATTTGTCAATGGGATATGAATAGGTAGCATGGTGAATGTTGCCATATTTTTATCTGGTCTCTTTTCATAGAGATTATTTTATTTTTGTTATATTTGTATAGTTTTCATAGATTCATAAGATTTAGTTTTACTTTATGGTACCAGTAGCATCATCATCATAGTTTTTTTTTACACATATTTTATGTCATAATATAAGTGGCTCGTCTTGAGTAATGCCACCCAGTGAGCCAGCTGCAGTGCTGCATTGTCAGTTTGACTAAGGTGTGGCTAAGACATGTTTTACATGTACATTATATTTTAAATGTATACTTATGTAAATTCAAACTGAAATCACCATTTTAATAATTAAGTCTTGTTGGCACATAGCCAACTCTGTGTGTAATATCACTTGTTGTATTATGAGCAGCACTGCCCTATGACAGTGTGTCCGGTTGGAGTAGATGGACCACCTTTGTGTTCACTGGGGGGCACCCATAGTTTAAGTAGAATGGGTTGTGCCTTGTTTTGATTAGGGGCACCCATATTTACGAGTAGAACGGGTTGTATTATTATTGTTGTTATTATTTATAGTATGAAATGTGTGGCTGATCACACAGCTGCAATCAAACTCTGTAGTCAGTGAAACAAAGTTCTCTGTATTTGCATAAATTTTTTTTCAAATATTTTTATAGTTGCCTTCTATAGTTGATTTCATGCCCCAAGATTTTACAGAAGAAAATTGAAAAACCTCCAGAATCCTTGTAATTACACTTTAATATATTTACATTGTGTACAAACTCTGAGACTGTGATAGCAGAAAGTCAGAATATGGAAAAAGTAATTATGCTAGTATTTTAGCCATGCAGATCACCAGACAGATGGTGTCACTTGCAGTTTGCCATCTTGTCTTAGGATTTAGCATAACAAGTACTGGTGTAGGAGCAGAAGGTATTGGTTATGTGTTCACCCATCAATTCATTTTAACTATGCAAAAAAGACGAATGATAAAATAAAAATATTTTATGAATATGAAATGTTCTTAAGTTTCTTATTGTTTGTGGATATTTCACCATGTGAAACCTATGGCCCTGTAGGACAGGCTGTCAAGAGAACATGGACTAATTAGAAGTTGTAAATACCCCTTTGCAGTTGCTATCGGTTTCTCTGGTAAAATAATAGAATAAGTGTGCACAAAAAGATTTGAATAGTACTTGGTCCTGGTTTCCCACCAAGTAAGTGTTTCTAAGCAAATAGTGATTAAGACAACTGTTACAGAAGCTTGCCAAGCCCTGCAGGGAAATCTCATTCTAAACTATTGTCTGCCTTGTAAACACAGCAGTCTTATAATGAAGTGAAACATATACCATGTCACTGAACATCGCACTTTTTAACAACTTCCTCTTGAAGACTCTGCCTCAGCCCACCAAAGCAAAAAATAAAAAGAATTAAAATTGCACGTGAAGGGTGACATGGTGTATCTTGAGATTGACAGATTGAAGGCAACCATGGTTGCTCTTTTATCTAGAAAATGGAACAGCAATTCATTCAGAACATTTGAATTGTACGCTTTGAAAAAGAAGAAGGTTTTTATTGGACATAGGATAACATTTAAACAGATTTTTTGTTAAGACCAATTCAACAATTTTAACATGATTTCATGTTTGGTTATAAAGAATTGTTGGAATAAACCCTGTAAAAGGTTTCCCTGATCATGGCCGAAAGTGTGATACCATATTCTGACCTTTTTTTCTCTAAAACGAAACTTATCATTGTTATTGTACTATGGAAAAAGTTTTCACAAAAGCTTAATTCAAACAGCGATCAGACAGTATGTAGTCATGTCATGAAAAATATTTAAGTCCTCTATTTTCAATTAAGAGAAGTATGGAAGAACAGGTTTTATGTACTGACATTTCACATAGCCTCCAATTATAAATAACTGAATCTTAAACACCAATGATACTATACGGAATTTTTGCAGCCTTAGTTTACCAAAATGACATTTATGCAACAGACCATTTACCAATCTCAGAAAAAATGGAAATATCCTAGAATAAGTTTCTAAATATATATAATACATCTAGAACTGCAGACATCATCTTGAATGAGTACACAGAGTAAGTTCTTAGTGTCATTTATTGACTATTGTAGAAAATTCCTGTTCAGAGCCTTACAATCACTCCTGAAGGAAATCTATTGAGTCAGTTCCCAGCATCGACACCTCAGTCCAAGGACAATCCTTTGCTGATCAGGAAGGCCTCTTGGGTTGGTTCTCTGCCCAGGAAATTTTTCAGTAACACATCACCATCCTAGTAAACAAAAATATATATTACAATATTTGTTCTAGTTAGAGATCAATCAAGAGCCAATTCAAACTGTTAACCTCAACCAATTTTTAAAATAAATGACAAGATTGCATTATTGAAATGTTTTTTAAAATTCAACATCAGAAAAATGGGGTACTAGTAATTTACCAATGATGCCACAATTAAGTTGATTTGATGAAATTATCTAGTTCAGTCTAAACTTACAACAGAGCCACCTGGTTTGAGTATATAGTTCCTGTAGTCCATGCCAACTTTGGGGTTCATTATGCCTTCCTTCTTGAAGCGAGAGTGGAACATGTCCATGCTGAACACCTCACTCCACTAAAACAACAAAAAACTTGAACTGATACAGTTTTCAAATTTTACTCTTAATAATTAATTAGCATAGCTCATTTATCAATAAATATAGAACAACCATGTGAAAATCATGATTTATAAATTTTTAAGCTGATATGTGAAGAAAGGTTCTATAATGTGCTAACATGCTTCTCTAAAGCAGTGCAAATCTGTATAGTTTCCCTCTGCAACATTAGGGTGCCCTTGTCACAGCCCACTAGAGCTTCAACTTTTTGAACCTTATAATTCAATAATACAGAGTATACATTTTATAGCAATAAGGACAACATCTGCAGAAGACAATACGCACCATGTAGCCATAATACTGTGCATCATAGCCATCTGCCAAATGGCCAAAAGCTGCAGGCATGTTAGTACCTGGAGTGGAGGGAATGTTCATGATTTCCTGAGTCAGTTCTGCAAATAACGTTGCAGTATCTGCCTAAAAGGAAATAAGAAGGTATTTTAATATCAAGATAACTGATTAAAAATTAGCAAGAATGTAAGACTGATATTAGTGAACAAGTCTTAAGAGAACAATTGTCTATAATATACTATATTAAATTTTCAGCCTATAAAAACAATTCAATGAACTGCAATATATGAAGTAACAATGAGAAAATATTTTCTGTCAAAGCTTTGCAAATGCATATTTTAGGGTGTAAAACCTAGCAACTATCAACATGTACCTTTGCACGGGTGTGGATATTTTGATCAAATGTTGCCAATGCAATCTGCCTAAGATTGAAAATGCCAGCATTTGCTTTACGGGACTTGGTAAGTTTTTCCATAAGGTCATCTGGAATGGGACTGTTGTCCTTGTAATGAGCAGACATGCGCTGCAAAGGTTCCTTCTCCCAGCACCAATTCTCCAACATCTGTGATGGTGCCTCCACAAAATCACGTTCCACACTAGTGCCACTAGCAATGGTAAAATTTACTTCTTAATTGTAAATTCAATACAATAGCTTCTGTCCAGCTTTGTCTGTTTCACAATTATTTCAAGCAGAGATTTAGTTCACTGTGCCTCTTTAACCATATGCAACTAATTGCTACAATATATAATTTGTTTTTATGTTTTTATGGACAGCTTACCTGAACATTTTGAAGTCTGCTTTAGCACAAAGCTGGTGCATTACATGACCAAACTCGTGAAAGAAAGTTTCTACCTAAAACAGAAATACCAACAGTTATCCTACCTGAACATGACAAAGTCAGCCTGTCCACATATATCATGCATCACATGACCAAACTCATGGAAATATGTCTCCACCTGAGAACACAGAACACATAAATGTCTTAGTTGTTCTCCCTTCTGGTCATCAATATGTAGGATGGCATATTCTCAAGCTTTAGTGAATGTTTTATCTTTTGACTTCAATTTACCAAGTCATCAGAAAAAAAACTACTATTTTACAAACTGTGGCGTTGTTGAGATGCTATATTGACCAATATTAATTGACAAATATTCTATCAGAATCATGGCTTCAGCAAACATGCATGACAAAACTGCCTCAGACACATAATTATAATTCATTTTTGAAGAAAGGAATTGATTTGTGTAATCAACGTGTCACTTCACAACTTGTGTTCATCGAAACATAATGTTGGCATTATCAATGAATGGACACTTCTTTCACCATTTGATAAAATGAAATGTTGGTGCATTTTTGGTTAGCATAACCATAACATGAATGAGGCAACTAATAATGCTTTTTTTCTAGAGTACATCTTTACCTCATCATGCTCAAGTAAAGATGGCTGATCTTGGGTTGGTTTTGTAAAGTTTGCTACCATGGCAGCCACTGCTACCTGACGTTTGCCATCTCCACCCATACAACCAGCCTAAGGGGAAAACAGAGAACAAAAAACATTTCACTTTGTATAAAGACAGACCAATACAGACAAGCCTGAAAGAGTGTGAATTATCAGAATGGTAATGAAAGGATAATTTTGCCAAAGTATAAAAATCTTAAAAGGACTAATGAACATGAAAGTTCATAAATAACTAAAACATTTCCATATTTACACAGATGCACTTATTCCTATCAATCTTTGTAACAGTTGTCTTCACCTGAAGTCCAAAGCATGCAGCATGGCCAAACTTTCCATCCCTAGGAAACAAGTCAAGGTAGAAATAACCAAGCAGATCTCCACTTGCACTGTCCTTCACACTGTACTGTAAATACAAAGACATAAATAAATCAGAGACTTTCTACTTATATTGTTTTTTGCACTACACTGTCCCATCTTTAAGTGCACCTTGTTTGCTTGTTAAAGAATTCAACGATACACTTTGCTTAGAAAAATTTTTATGTACTGACTCTGTTTGTGTCTCAAAACCTAACTGTTTAAAGAGACTGACTTATAGGAAAATAATAAAAACATATCTTTTACCATTTTGACATCTTCATGCCAAACCTTGGGGTTGGGGATTTCTTCAAACTTCAAGCAAAGTAGCTCCTGTAAGAAAAGATATATATATATTTTAAAAATATTTAAAAAATCACATATCCAAATGTATAAATTATCTCATTTTAAAAAAAGAGGCAAAAGCAGTAATACACAACATATGTTGATTTCAACTATATATGATATCCAAACTTCATTTGTATATAGCTATCAACTTCATCATCAGACAGACGTGGTAGAAATTCCCCAGTTCATGCCATAAAATAATTGCCATCAACATCATGCATGTTTAGGCAAAGAATATTCAAGATAAAAGCAGGAAATGTTATTACATGATGTTAGATCGCATTCACAACGATTTGAGCCAGGCTTTACAAATCCTGAGACTAATATGGCGGACGTACATGAAAGGAAAACTGCCTAATCTTTTAATAGTCTCTCCGCCTCTCACACGCCTCCCCACACGTCGTCCCTGCGGGGTACAGTCATTAAATCTCGGCTCCGTTCACCATGTGGAAGCGACCTGAGAAATATTAAGTGCGCATGCTCATCAATTAAACTCGAGGTGAAGAAAGCATGGAGGCGATCGAAGGAAAAAATCTCTTCTGTTCTATTATCTCTCAAAACAGAGATGAAAAAGAAATGAATTGGCCCGTAGAGCAGCAATGAATCGGCTATCTACGGAGATAATGTCACCAGAGATATTCATGGAGATACCTAGCCCCAGTAGACGTATGCAGTCTTGTCAGAGGGCGCAGTTCGTTCTGATGCTGATGTTTGCCTTGTTCCCTACGCCTGATCGAACTGGAAGGGGGGGTGTTTTCATGATTTTGATCCCGATTCATAGCCAATTCATTTCTTTTTCTCAGGTCGCTTCAGTATGGCGAACGGACGTTAATGACTGTATCCCGCAGGGCCGACGTGTGGGGAGGCGAGTGAGAGGCGGAGAAACTATTAAAAGATTAGGCGGTTTTCCTTTCATGTATATCCGCCATATTTAGTCTCAGGATTTGTAAAGCCTGGCTTAAATCGTTGTGAATGCGATCTTATTCAAATCTCAGGAGAATGATAACGAACGATCAGTTGGGGTGAATGCAGACATCCATACTGGCAGATTTTCATTCAGACCAACAGTAATCAAAATGCTTAATTCACAAATAAAACCACTAGTTTTCGTACAAGTTTCAGAAGTACAGCAAAACCAATAAGATAAGCAATGAGCTCACTGACCTGGTATATTTCCAACAATCCCTTAGTGACTACATGCAGAGGGTAGTATTCTTTGAGTTTTGTATGATCCACTGTGTACTGCCTCTCTTCAACCATGCTCATGTAGTAACGAAGGTCCCACATGTTGAACTTATCATCAAATTCATAGCCATATTTCTCACACTGAAATCACAAAGGTTCACACATAAATGCATTCTTCTCAAATCAAAATTTTGCTAATCTCTACCATATTCATTATATTTACTAAGTACGTTTTAAAAAGACAAATTATTGTCAGTGTGGTATTAAAGTGCAGGAACATGACTGGCTGACAAAATTAGAAATGCAAAACATTGTGAACACTCAGCATTTATCATTTAAATTGCACACTACCTCCTCTTTCTTGTACTCCATGAACACCTTCATCTCTTGATCTTTCAATGGTTGAAGCTTGACAGCTAAATCTTTCAGAAAGGTCTCCACTCTCTCTGGTGTCTTGGCCATTCTCATGTCTAAGATGAATGCAGCATGGTTGGGGAAACCAAGAAGCTCTGCTTTCTGGAAAATCAAACAAAAGAAAAAACTTGCTATGAGCATGCATGTTGTTGTCAATAAGATAACTCTTGGCTCCCCTACACTTTAAATGAAATAATGCAAATAATTGCTTTGAACAGCACACCACCACTCATTATCAATGTATACAGGGGTGGTATATGTAATAATACAACAATCTCTGCAGTCTTTTAATAAGCACTTCAATATATAAACTATACCATACATTACTATATATTTAAAATAATACCATACTGTCAAGCATAAATTCTGATTACTTATATTAACAACAATTCACAATAAAGCCAAATGTTACCTTATGTCTCAGCTCAACAAGTTCTTCCAAAATTGGAGTATTCTCTTTCATACACCTGCAAATATATTATTCCTTTGTTTAAATATCACAATGATAAATATGAAAGGCTACAATTCAATAAATAATGAAGCTTTTAAATGTAAATTATCCACAAGAAAGAAAATGTAATTGATACATGTACATACACCTCTCTCACCATGTGGCATTTTTCTCCTTAAGCAATAAAATATTTCTCCTAAATTTAAAGACTTTTACATATATGTTCTAATTACACAGATCACTCTAAACCATACCTGGTATTAAAAGCTGTCTCCAGTCTCTTCCTAGTCTCAGGATTCCTGGCCTTTTTCATACATGGGAAGTAGTGAGGGTACTTTAGGGACACTTTGCACTTCCCTTCCTCAGTCTGAAATATGGGAAATACAGTATCAATTATCATTCTATGTAATATGAAGTCATGACATCTTATGAACCATAACTTCTTTAATTATTCAAATCTAATTCCATCCAAACCTCATGTACATACAATTACGTACTATATGATGGCATTTCCTCCCAGTCAGTGACTCACTCATTCTAACATTTGCTAGGTACATAGTACATGTATCTAGGGTCTATTCACAATGGTATTCACTATTCAATATATGGTCTTAAGGGAAAAAATCCTCTTCCTTATCTTATAACACACTCTTGTACACTATTTTGCACAAATATAAAAACATAATTACCTTTTCAAGTCCATTGATGAAGTCATCTGGTAGTCCAACTAAAACCGACAAAAATACTCATATAACTTTCAACCTGTTATTGATTTGGTTATTACAAGGTTTAAAGGCCTTTTGACATTTAACATTATATCTTTAACATTTAACATTATATCTCTATGACATAGCTATACAAAATTGACAAAGCTACCCAGAGAACCATAGCTAGCTACATGATGCAAAAGCATCATCAGTGGCATATATATTAAACCCTGTTACTTTCACTTTCCAATGTTTAAACATGACATACAACAAATCATCTCCAACTGATCAGAACATCAGATGGGTAAAATCAATAGTTGAGGAAGGTCAAAAGAATAACATCCCAGCAGGCACACAACGTTGATTCAACGTTGAATCAACGTTGTGTGCCTGCTGGGATATAACTATCACAAAGTAATCTATATTCAAAATGCAACATTGGTCAATTTATTCTGAAAGCCAGTTGATATTTTACATTAATATATGTACCATATAATTTCAATAAGTTACCTAGTTCTTCAGCAGTGAATTCAAGTATTGTGTTCTCCTCATTACAGTACTTATTAAAGTCTATGCTCAGATCACTCATCCGTTTCTTGATTTCTTTTATCTTGTCCTGGACATCCTTAGGAAGATGGAGACCTAAAATATATTGGATCATCAGACTTTTTTCATAAAACTCAACACTGATATCTAAAATGCTATAGTGTATTTAACATTTACTTTTTCATTTCACACCTTAATCTTAATTGCCGTCATGTTTTGGCCTACTTCTTTAAACTATCAAAAACAGCATTAATAAAATACATGTAACTATAGCAAGGGAGTTGAAAAGAAGCATGCCGAGTGGCAAGCAAGTCTTGACATTTGATATTTTTTGTATGTGAAGACAAGAAGTACTTTCAAGAGTAACTACAGAGTAACTACACATCTTGGCCTGCCCTACTTTGTCTCAATGTGCTCATAACATATGCAGACATGCTGAAAACTTCAGAATGGCCGGGCATTTGGACCGGCAGTAATGAAAAATTTGTCGGACCGAATGGGCTTTTGTCGGACCAAAAATCACCCTTTTCCTTTGAGACAAATACTACCAGTATGATTAGGGGTGCTTACTTTGTTTGTGATAGGTTTGAAATGGAAGGGAAAAAGCGCTTTGGGTTTAATATAATTTTATTAGTGAAGTATATCAAATGATAACTGTAAATTCACATTTGCTGCTCTTTAAAATCTTGTTGGTCCTTTGGACCGACCAAGTCCAATTTTTTACCAATCCAGACAAATTTTCCCGGTCATGACAGATCGGACTGGCAGTTTCAGCATGTCTGCATATGGCACAGGTGCTGAACTAGTGGATGTCCTGATTTTGGCTTACATTGGAAGGCTGACTAAGGGCAAACTAAAATTGGGGCATTCAACGTATATAGTTGTCCATCTCTAAATGGTATGAAAAAGAAAAAGGTATTGCACAATATGAAAAGAGCCTATAGATCTTACCATTCCTTTTCCCCAGCTTGATCTGTTTCTCCAGGTATCTCTTGGCCTCACCCTCAAGTTCTGATCCATGCCTTTTCTCAAACTCTAGCAGAATCTTAAACACATCTTCTCTCATGCTTGAAGATAAGATATATTTGATATATTTGTGCATGTGGCAGGACACAAGTTTACTTCTGATTGCCAGGAAATAGTATATTTTTCTATTGAATTATCTTAGTAAGTTGTTTGGTAATTAAGAAAAAGCATATTAGACTTATATTACACTTAGGCTTTGTTCACATGGAAAGTCTATTTTCTAACAATCTATTTTCTATTTGCGGTATCTTATGATCACGGTCTGTGCCCTGAATATCCCGCGGCGTAATTACTGGCAGCATGAGCCAGTTACTTATACAAAGCTGTAATTAATTCTCGGCTGTGCTCGCATTCTATAAAATCTCATCCTCCGTTGCCGCATCGCTTGCCATCGGACCATGACGGTTGCATTCGTATCTGTCGTGTGTATAGCTTCTTCATCTTCTTCGTCTTGTTGTTGCACAAAATCGACAAACGCGTTTTTCAAAGCAACCGCGACCGCCATTAACTTTCTAACTTCCTACTGCGCATGGGTCAAGGTATCAGAATCTCCTCCAAGCACAGCCGAGAATAATTACAGCTTTGGAAGTAACTGGCTCGCGCTACCAGTAATTACGCCGCGGGATATTTAGGGCACAGACCGTGATCACAAGATATACCGCGAATAGAAAATAGATTTTTAGAAAATAGACTTTCCATGTGAACGAACCTTATATTAGAAAAGACTTGTCATACTTGGATTTAAATAAAAGGTAAAAAATATTAAAAGATCTAAAGTCTTTATTTTGAACTTCAATAACATAGGCAGTGTAGTGCTAGTAAATAAAAAGCAATTAGTCTACATGGTACCTTGTTTCTACATCAAACTCTGATATCTTCTTATCTGCTGCCACACTGGCATCCCTGAGTGCTTTGTCTGCCGACACATTCTGAATAAAATCTATCATGTTGCGCTCAACTGCATATTCACGGTTGTTGTCAGCAAGAGCCTAGAGAATTGAAATATGAAATAAATAAAATATATAAATTCAAAATCATTATTGTCTTAAACATGTACTATTCATGATTTTCACATTCCTTAATGATAATAATGGAAAACAAATTGACCATGAAAAAACTATATGTGATGACATATCATGGAATATTCATATACAGAAAATGAAAAAAGACAGTGGACAGTAAACCTGCACTTGCAAACTCCGAGTAGAAATATAATAATGCACATATAATCCCTCACTTACACTACTGCTCCACTGTATGGAGCAGTAGTCCAAAAATCTATGAATTATACCAGAAACAGAGGCACAAAAAACATTCTTCTTTTAATCTATTTTAAGACTTGAACTGGCTCATCATTTATGAAGGAATAAATTTTAGAAAAGTTACAACGATAAACAAGTCTCAAAATGGCTTTTTAAAGCTTTAAGTACATGAGTAACTTTTATTAACTACATGTGTATTACGAAAGAACAAACCAGATCTTCAGCAGTTATATTTGCCAGGTGGAAAACATAAACATAATGATGTTTAATCAATGGGCCCGTTTGGAGCTCTATTTTTTTTTGTTTTGGAATAAGCTAGATAATGGCATAAGAAATTTGAAAACTTAAGAAACTTTTAAATCAGCTTATATAAATTTTTGGTAAAAATGTTTCTTTTTTAAATTGTTGTTATTGTGTGTGTGTGTGTGTGTGTGTGTGTGTGTGTGTGTGTGTGTGTGTGTGTGTTTTATTGTTATATTTGCTAGTCATAACAAAATCTTTTAATATTTTTACTAATTTCACAGATTTTTATTTGTGTACTGGGGAAGATAAATATTTAATGCACAATTTTTTTACCTTCGATAAGTTAAAGTTTAATAAAAATAAAAATAAATTAATAATATACCCTGTATGTGTGTCACTCACTGTACGCAATTATATCCGCAGAACATATTTACCTTGAAAAATATGCCAATTCAGCACAGATTACATAACATGCATGCGATTATGTAACTGTTAATGGATTCTCTTTTCATATGCTTTTTCATATACTTATACAGTGCATGACACTCACTATTAATAATGCAACAACTTTAACAACAACTGCGGAAGATCGGCAAATAGTGGAAAGAACTAATGAAAACCAACAAAGTGCACTTACGGCCACACGTAACGAACCTTAATAACCCTATCATAACTTATCTCCTCAGGCTTAAGGGCACCGACGGCATCGTAGACCGCCCTGGATTTCTTGATCAACTCCTCGGCTTTGACAGGGATGTCCTCTGCAGTTAAATCCCATCTCAAACGGTTACCAGGGGCTGCCATGTCTGCTTGTTGATTCTGAGCACAAAATTGACGATACATGTTACATGTAAAATAACGAAAATTGCAATCGTTTGTAACTTTAAATCGAACTCGAATCGGTACTGGTTTTGTGAATGGACTGAGTAATCGATACACCTTTGTTGCCATACACAAACCGTGTCCACACTAACGAGGCTTACCGAATTATGTTAACATCTGCCACTAGGGGAATGTTATACAAGATAAGACAAAATTAAAAATTAAATATAAATCATACCTTGAATTATTCATATTAAAAGATTTCACGTATCATTGATACAAGTTTTAAAAGCAATAGCGTGTAAAGATATATTTAAATGAATTGATTCGTATTTGGTAACGCATTTCACAAAGGCTGGTTTATCTTGTGTCGACAACGAAAACAGACGGCAAGTGTTCGCAATTTTCAACAATCACAGCTGCTCCGTGGCAGTGTGATTAGAATGTACAGTATGTTATTAAGGTTATTATAACTATTTATATGATTAACATGTTTTTTTTTAAGAATTTTTTTTTACTATTATAGTATACTACACTACACTGTCTACTAACATGGCCTGCGATACACTGGTCTAGCACATACCTGTACATAAGTTGTAATTATATCGGATATAATTCCCTGTGTAGACTCTACGGAGCTTTGTTAGTATCATATTAACTTTTTTCTATTTTCATTTAAGTTTTACTATATGGAATTTTTACCACGGTGAAAATAATTTACACCGCGGTGGGAATTAATTTTCACCACGGTGGAAAATAATTTTCACCGCGGTGGTAATTCCTGGCCATCTCGGCCCGGGTGATGAATTGGTAATGAGAACCTTACATTTGCCAGATTCCGTCACGGTGCATGCTATTGTTACATACACACAAGGTTGGTGGATCTGTTCGTGGGGCCACTGCCGTTAACTTAAGTTTCCCATCTATATTTACCACCTATATATATATATATATAATTAAAGTCCCGCTTCCAGTTTTATGCAAAGGGAATCCCATTGTTATTACTAAATACTTAACGTTATTTTTGGACAATGTATTTTTAAATATTTTTTGTGATGTGCTTCTTAGATCTTATCTTAATAGATGTAATCTTGGTTTCTTCGAAAAGGTTTCTTTCTACCAATATTCCCAATAATACGCAAGTTATTATAAAGGGAAAAGCCACGTACAACATTGCAGCATTTCGGTGATTTTTAATCTATTCGAATGACCGCTTCCTCCAGATTCCTGGGATGATTGGCACATAGACGGTTAAACCACGTGCATGTGCATGTGCTTGTCTTTATCAACGTCCTTTCCAGACATCTGGTAAATGTTGGATTCGTATAACCTACATGTATGCATTACCCGGGCCGAGATGGCCAGGAATTACCACCGCGGTGAAAATTATTTTCCACCCCGGTGTAAATTATTTTCCACCGCGGTGTAAATTATTTTTCACCACGGTGAAAATAATTTTCACCGCGGTAGAAATAATTTTCACCGCGGTGAAAATTCCATAACATAAAACTTGAATGAAAATAAAAAAAAGTTAATATGATACTAACAAAGCTCCGTAAGACTCAGTAGACAGAGTAACGGTTGTACCAAGGACTCGTAAGGGCGAATGAGATGTAAGCTCATTGGTTGCAAGGCAGTAGACTTCCTTGATTGTACTGGGCGTAGTGTAGTCTTAACGTCAAGCATGCTTTAATCACTTTGTATGAATGGAATAGGGCACAAAACATAACTCATAAAGTGGAACTGCCAGCGCTCTGGATAAATGTGAGCACCCCCTTATCATCATTTAATTTCTATTTACCTGTGACTATGATCTACTAAAAGTAATCCTGCACACTGCTTCAAAGTACTTTTTAAAGTGCTAGTGGTTTTAGCCACATAATTTTTTTTAGATCTTTATAATATAAAATATTGCCATTGCCTCAGTGTGATACATGTACTATTTTTGCTCCACATTTTATGCATGTACTGTAAGTATGAAGCAGAATATGACATTACCAAGCACACAAAGTCTGAGACAGTCAGTTGAATTGACTCAACATAATCCAAATAGAAACCAAAGATTTTTGCTGCTTATTGAGATGCTTTTTGTAAAGTTGTGTCCACTCATCAAAGCTCTGTTATTAGTAAGTTAAGAGTGCACTAAACATCACCTTTTTGAAATGTGTGAGTTGTATGTGTCATACACTGTAGTTGCTGGAATATAGTGTATGTGTAAGTTCACTGCACACTCAGCAAAATTTTTGCAAGAAGAAAATCTGCTACTGTGCAAGGTTTAATTAAGACTTTGGACCCATCAAACTGTATGCTGGGTCCTACAGATAGAAACAAACAGCATTGATATTTGTTACACTGCCTCAGGATGTGATCCTGCTTGATGCTTTGTACTAGCAGATCACAGAGAGATAGTTTTATTGTAATCAGATACACCATTGCCATGGTTATTAAGTACAAAAAAAGTTATACAATAGATGATGGAATGTGATAATATTATGGATAAATATTTATCATACCCAAAATGGAATTGTCCTCTGACATTGCTGTAGTTGATCTGATTAATTGTTATTAGATAAGATATGGTCACTCAGTAAAAATGTTCTCTCTCTTTATTTCAGTAGCATGTATTCTCTTATATTCACCATGTACTGATGGAGGATGACTTGCCTAAAAACGCTGTGCAGTACATCTCAGTTAATTACACTCCTACTGGGGGTGGTGTTCATTACCCTAGGATCATGCAGAGTGTTGCTTATAAAATTCTCTGCAAATGAAGGTGCATATTTTCATTTATCTTACAAAGAAATTTAGTAATGTGTAAATAGCCTTTTTATGACTATTTTATAATATTTATAGCATGAAATTGCCTTCAGAAGCCTTGTAATCTTTAACGTTATCCCCTTTTCTCTTGTTGATATGCACTGCACAACACTGCAAACTTGCACCCCATTTCCATAGATTTTTAGATCGATCTTTCCCTGTGGGGAGTCTCACTAGATTACTGTCAGCTTGGCCGGCTTAAGCGTCTGTCCCGCCTACTAAAAGCTGTAAGGGGGTAATTAACTATGGTGCCCGCTTGGCTGACTGCAATTTAGCGTGAACCCCCAGGGAGTTAGGTCGATCTAAAACTTAATCTTTATATCGATCTTAATCTCTGTGAAAGCACCCTCGGTCTCTTAACAATGTTTTATTCAATCATTTTTTTATTCAAGAGGGCAAATATGAATATCTCCCAGTGAGTGTCAATGTTGCAGCAGAGTTCATTAAGTTGGTAGTTTGCTCAGGCCTGTCCATAAGACTGTTTTGGAAAGGTAAGTTCTTGGACAAATCTGACAAAAAGGCATTTGGTATGCTTAATTTGGACAGTTGGTTAATTTAGGGTGAGTCCTGCCCTTCAGAAAATTCATGAGTTTGAAAGTTCATTGGTCCAATTTTTTGTTAACCTTTTAAGGTTTATAGTTTGAAAGGTTTTGTGAAAGTCATTGTTAAAGACATCTATTTGAAAAAATATCACCTGTAGAATGTTGAATCTTAAGACATGGGGGGGATATAGGGGTGGGGAAAGGGCAAAAAGTGGCAGATATGCCCCTTCTTTGCCCTACCCCCCCCCCCCCCCCCACACCCCCCCCCCACCCACACACACACACACACACACAAAAGAAGGCAAAGAAAGAAAAAGGTGTTGAACAAATGAACAAGTGAATTGTAACAATTGGCCTTAGAGAAACTCTTATGCTACATTTGGTGGTCTTACACATGTATGACACTGGATGCTGTGGTATGTAGGTGGAATTGGCATTGAAATTAATTAAATAATTTATATATTTTTCAGAGGAAAGATCTTGGAGAGATATTCAATGTTCCAGAAAAGAGGATGTTCTTAGTTTTGTTAAGTGGGCAATACCAGGCCTGCTTTACTTCATTGATAACCTCATTGCTTTCTATATCATCAAATATTTTCAACCGGTATGATTACTTGAATTTATTTTCTTTTAAATATGATAATATGAGTATGTTTTAAAACCTTTTTTTAAGTGGTTGATTGACTTTAAGGTCTTTAAAATGTTATGTATTGAAACTGATGCATTTTCAAAATATTAAAAAAAATATGTTGTTATTCACAGGCCATGGTAGTGCTGCTGTGGAATTTTGGAATTATTTCAACTTCGGTTTTATTCAGAATTGTTTTAAAGTAAGTGAAATTAAAAGTTCAAAAGGCTGTAAGTCATAATTAATTACCAGGGCACTTATTATAATAAAAGGATAAGGAAGTCAATAAAGGATGTTTGCATACTAGTTTATCATCTAACACAGAAATATTGGAAATAAAAAAAGGCATTATTTCATAAATATTTTTTTATATTTATGTGTTTGTATTTCTTTTCATTTTCAGAAGAAAGCTGTCTAGAGTTCAATGGTGTTCCCTGGGGATATTATTCCTGTCAATAGTGCTATTATCCAACAAATCTGGATACAACATGGATCACCAAAAACATCATGCTGTTAATCACCTGATCACCAACACCAGTGTCAACAGTCATATTGTGTGCCAAGCTGAAATCAGTTCAATCACAGAAACTGGGACCAAAGAAGACAAACCTGTCATTGACCTTAAAAGTATTCAGAAAGCAGGACTCCAGTTTCATTTTCATACTGGGCATTTACTTATACTTGTACAGTGTGTCATATCCTCCTTAGCAAATATTTATAATGAAAAAATATTCAAAGAAGGCAATGGGATGCAAGAAAGTATATATGTGCAGAATAGCAAGCTGTACTTATTTGGTGTGATATTTAACTCTTTATCGGTGTTGGTTCATGGTGTGTATAGAAGGAAAGTTGCCTCATGTGGATTGTTCTATGGACACAACAAATACTCTGTGGCTGTGATATTTATCACTGCAATTTATGGATTGACTATTGCTTTGATTCTGAAATTTAAAGACAATATGTTTTATCTTTTATCAGCCCAAATTACAACAGTTGTTATGGTGGTTATGTCCATTTATTTCTTTGATTTTAAGCCAGATTTGGACTTCTTTTTGACTGCTCCTATTGTGCTGTTTTCAATACTTGTGTATAATCTTTCCAAAACTAGTGATATGGCTTCTCATGATTTGCCTCAAAACCTCACTTCTAGAAGTGAACACACAAAAATGCCTCACACTTTATATGAAATGCAGCCACTTAATGTGGAATCTGATGATCCAGAGACCTGATTGTGAACTAGTACAGTAATTAGAGAAAGCACAGTGGCCTAATTTCAGGTAGAAAACAATTTTATAATTTAGAAATAAGTTTTATTTATGATATAAAAATCAAAATATTTTTATAAAACAATGAAAGGTATGTGAAGTTGTTTGTTGCTTTACATTCTAAAAGTGCATTGCTGTAAATGTGTTAAACATCAATAAAATATCATGGAACGTTTGCTGGATGTTTGTTACTTATAGTCAATATAAAAAAAGCAACAATAAGTAAAATTTGAGTTGCAGAAATGTTTATCTCAAATTGCCAAAGAAGTTAATATGCATTACATTTATTTTTCTAATAACTTCCATGTCTACAACCGACCCATCTTGTTTTTATATGTAGAGCGTTATAACATCGATAACTACGTTTTTCCTTTTTAAAGTTAAACTCGCATGATGGTGGAAGAATGACACAAATGCTTATTAAAATTAGACCCGTCACAGTAGTTCTCCTTGATGGTAGTAAGACTCACCTGACAGACAGACGTAAGGTGCCATATGTAGGTACCGTTTCTGTCTGCCACTTTGTAAAATGCACCAACAGATGAGTTTGACAAGCCTCTGCTACGACTGCATCCAAGATAATTTACATGTAGGCTCCTTTGATGAAGTTGTTCTGCAAAGTAAGTTGATAGAAAGGCCCTGGTAAAAGAGTTTTTCCAAAACAGGTACGTCTGCCGAAATAGGCAAAATAAGCACGTCTATGCATGACTGCCAAGAATGAAATTGAAAAGAGGCAGTTTGTTCACAGTACAGCAATTTTTTTTTATTATTTCAGAACATATTTTAGGGGAAGTAAATGAAATCAATGAAAAATTATGCAACAGATCTTATTTCCTATTTGAAAATATATTTTCCAAAAGTCCATTTAAGTATAGAATTCTGTTATTTACATTGTTTAAATTCAATGTTGTTCTAGCATGTTCATGTACAGTAAAAAGGTACAGTAAACAGAAAAGGTAAACAGAAGTACATATACTGATAAAGCACAATCTGACATGAATCTTGTTGGTATGGACAGTATAATACAAAACAATTTAACTTGGATTGAAAATATTTCACTGTTTTTATATATATTTAATAATTCATCATTGTTATGATGTATCATGGAAGGTAGGTGTGGATCAATTGTGTTGTTTGATCATGCAGTTTTTAGATTGATCAACTGATCAAGCTGGCATCCAGTTTAGGATCAGATCTTACAATCTTATTTCTTTTTTACTCTGATTGTAGGAGAGCCATAGGTGTAAGCTGCATTTATAACCATATTTTATATCATATGTACACATAAGTCAATATGCATAAACCAGTTGACAATCTGTCTGAAAATTACTTCATCCTAGAACTACAACATGTAATTGGCTTAAACATAACAGATAGAGTAAACAAAACTGCTCCTTTTTTCAGATCTTCCAACATTTATCTTGGGGAAGCTTGCATACCATTTGAGTCCATACAACTTATTGAGGTTTAATGGACTGTGGAAAAGCAGAGGTAAAACATGTGACTTAAACTTGAAATATATTTTCTGGTCTTCTGACACGTGTTCAGAAACAGCCACATTAGACTGCTCTCTTTAAAAATCATTGACAAGGTTTCTCTTTTTTATTTAGAAAAAGTGTAAGAAGCAATACATACTTCAATACTTGTACATTTGAATAAAATCTGGAGAAAATCATCAGTGGTTGTTCAAAAATGTGAAAAACAAAAGAGTTTAAATAATACCTTTTTTTATGCACATTGTAACTATACAGTTCCAATATTCCCTTTGAGTTAGACACTCTGGATCATTTTTTATTTTGTCCTAAGCTTAAATAAACAGCCATTGCAACATGATACAGCAGAAAACTTGGAATTTGCTATACACCTGTATAGGTCTTGGTCTGTAAACTGTGCACTAATTTGAGAATGTAGGCAAACTGTCCCACTGCATACTGTTTCACTGTGTGTTGTTTATTGTCTCCCATGATGTCACATTCATTGTCAATTGGTGAAGGCAAAATGTATGTCTACATGTAGATGTATCAAAATTAGGCAGATGAACAGATTATTTACTCCTTGGTACACACTGCATTATGATTAAGGAAAATCGCATCTGTTCTACAAGCTTCTTGTAGTTAAAAATCTAATCACAGGTTTGATCATCACAACTTGACAGAAAATGCAGTCTAACAGACAATTTTACACGTGAAAATTATATTTCTAATTATAGTGTTTCCTTTTTATACTCTTCAAGTTTCCTGTTACTTGTTTGGCAGTGAGTAAGAGAGCTGAAGGAAAACTGGAGTTCTAGTTCAGATATGACAGAGGACAAATCAAATCTATATTTATTGATATAAGTGTGTATTTATTCTATTTCAGGCATAACCAATGAAGCTGTATGGTTGGGGCATCTTCAAGAGATAGGGTGTTCACTCCTTGACTCTGTGTTTAGACATAGCTCAAATTACACAAATTCCATGAGTAGAAGAGCCATTCCTCAAGACAAATTTACAAAGTGGATATTAGGAAAAACACTGCACTCTTACTTGATGGAGGATCCAAACTTATGTAATTTTTTTTGTTGTTATTACCATTTTTCATTAATAATAATATCAAACAAATTAATCCCAAGTTTAAGTAAATGATTTGTTATGTTTATATATTGTATTAAATCATTCAGGTAGCTAGGTAAGTCATCCAGTCTTATTATTGCAAGTCCAGTATTAGATTTTGAATGTTTTTGTATTATCGATGATATTAATTCATTCATTTTTTAATATTTCTACAGCTTATCCAAAACAATTTACTTTTTCAGCACTTTCCATCACTAATCTAGATAAAGTGAAACTGCTGCATACTCCACTTCTGTGCAGCTCTAAAACCAGACAACAGTATATGGAAAATGTTGCTGTGAGTGTTGAAAAAAGGGATCTTCCACTGCAGTTAGAACTCTGTGCTAGACTGACCTCTGAATTGTCCATTTTTGATTCTGATATCTCAAGCATATTGGGAAACGACATGTTGCTAAAAGCTTTATGTAGTAATCTGAAAACATTAACAGTTGTAAGGATGAGACAATCACCCTGCCCTTTAGAGCATCTAAAACAGATGTTGGTAATACTAACTGAGCAGGGAAGTTTAGAAAATTTGGTGGTGAGTGTTTTACCAAGTGGTAGTCAAGAGCATAGGAGCAATTTTTCATTTTCTGACTTTATTCTTTTGACATCAGACCCCAATCATCTTTCTGGGACTTCCAGTATAATGCAAATTTATGAACCTGTTGAAAATGACATGGAAAATATCAGTGATCACTGTAACTATGATAATGGTTTGGAAACCTGTAACCATGATGATGATCTTTATAACCTTGCAGTCTCCGAACAGTCTGCATTTATCAGAGGTGGAATCATGAACCCATCATTTATCAAGCTGTCCAGCTTGGATGTGGAACTCTTATATCTAAATGCCTCTGAGTTGGATGATTTGTCCAAAGTTTTACCAAGATGGCAGTCTTTAAGGAATCTTCATATTCTTCTTGATGACAGCATCATCCATAATGGTAAGGTATTTCATAACTATTTTTTGTCACTATACATTGCAGAATCACTTAATTCATTTTCATTTTCAATATTAAATAATGTCATTGTACTTTAAAAAAACCTTTTATGTACAAAACGCTATGTTTTGATCACTATGTGTCCCTGTCACTATTGCCTCCACCATCGGTAACATCAGTTCCTATAACTGTCTGTACTTTCATTTTATTGTAAATTTACTCTGTAGCTTTGTTTCATTAAAACGGTCATATCTTTGTTTTACTTCTAATTTGCTGATTGGTTTTGTATGTTAATAAGGCGGGATTCTTTTGAAAATCAACATGATTATATTTTAACAACTTCATTGATTTCTTGTTTTTTTTTTCTTTTTTTAATTCTTTCATGTATTTTGACAATGTTCACCCTGTAAGTGCTATAGCATATTTTTGTTTTACTTCAAATTTGCAGAGTGATTTTGTTTGTTAATAAGGCATATTCCTTTAAAAAATCTGCTTGATCATATTATTTTTCCATTTTTTTTTTTCGTAGAATATGAATCGTAGTTATTTACATTTTCGGTGCTTCAAGAGCTTTCCCTCCAACAGTTTGTGACAGCAGTGGGGAACAGTTCCATCACTAGCTTATCCCTGGAGATGTCTCCTGGGCCATACTTAGACACAACACTCAGGAGGGAAATTAACTTGGATTTCATACAGAGAATAATGAAAGAGTAGGTTCTCATTATATTTTGCTTGAAAATTGATATAAGCACATAACCACATTTTCATCCTACTCTTTTGTGCCCCAGCAGGATTATTTTTACATTTTTACAACTATTTTACAGGAGCAGCTAGTTCTAGTTTCATGTGGTAAATTTTCCACTTGAGATGTGTGTGTATGTATGTATATGTTACAGGTGTGGTAGATTACAGTCTCTGGATTATCAAGGTGCCTTTGGTAGTGACATGCCTTATGTGACTGGACTCTATGACTGTGATGGTATGTATCCACTTACAAACTGAAGATATAGTATTACCCTTTTTTGTTAACTACAGAAACATAAAAAGAACAAGTACCATTGTACCAGTAGCAAAAAGTACAAATGATTGAATAGTATTATAAGAGTTGAATTCTGCATGGGTTATACTTATAAAATGTTTGTAGTTAGTTTGGAAGTTTAAATTAAAAAAAAAAGATATTAGCCTATTAAGAAAGTGTTTGGATTTGTGTTTTGTTTTCAGTGTTGTCTCCTAATATTGTGAGTTTTGGAATCTGTGAAATTGGTACTTATGTTGATGGTACTGGCAGAACATTTGAAGATGGCTCAGTCTTCAGTAGACTTCTCCAGCAGACAGGACCTGGGTTGCAATGTTTCAAGATAGAGTCTCAGGGAAACAGAGAGTCCTGTAATATCATTTTACAGACCATTGCAGGTATATTTAATCTCCTGTCTATCTGTAAACTTGCCATTAATGATAGTTACAATTTATAATGCAAGTTCACAGAGTCTACATTTAGCTGTGTTTTTTTTCTTCAAAGGAAAGAGGGAACTGGAATATTTGAGGTATAAGTCAAGAAATCTCCATCATTGTGTGTCCTCTGTCACACAAATGATCACAGATCTCCACAACTTGAAGATATTGGATCTCCCGGAGTGTAACATTGATGATCTCTTCTGTGAGTATATTTTTTATACTTGATTTAGATTACACAGGTAGTTCTGTCACCAATATTAAGCTAGTGATGGGATTGTTACTGCTTGGGCTAGCCATTATATTTGTAAGTGTGGACTTAGTTGTGATTGTGGTAGGGGTGATTTTTTTACTGAAAACTGCAAAATGTGGTAGTAGTGTTTTGATTCTACATTAGACAGGATGTTTTCTTTTGATTGTGGTTATTGAGCTTAATGTGTTTGTAAACTCAGGCACAATCGCATCCAAGAAGTAGTTGTAATGCTTTCTGGCAAAAGTGTGACACAAGTTCATATTTGATTTTTTTTTTTAATATATATATATATATATACTAATAACTTGTAGGAAGAACAGCTTAGGTGAACAACTAGTCTTTACTAGTGGAAAGTGGTGAAAAAAGGATGGACATAGCATATTTTCTTACTCAGCCACTTTATAGAAGCAATACATTAATAAGCCTTAAGGTAGTGGTGTTTGTAACAAGTCCTAGTTTAGATATCGATTAGCAATTAAAATTTTCATTTTCAAGCAGCTCATTTCACTGTAAATTAATAGAAGTAAATATCTGTGGAGTGGTCATACTTATAAGCATGTACTGGGCAGGTGGTACATACATGTACTCAGGTGGCACGTACACAATTTTCAACTCCAGAACGTCTTGTTCACTTTTAGTAGGCTACTAGAGAGTGTTTTTAAAGCGTTTGCCTTTAGATAAAATGGGTATTTTTATTTTCCTTTGAAGCTGCTTTCAAAGACAGGATCTCTTTGCCTAAGTTAGTAGAAGTGTTCTTTTGCATTGTATTCTAGAAATGTGTTGACCATTTCCATGCCATAAATTTTGCTTATGATGTTCCTGTACCCATGTCATGGTGATCAGACAAATATCAAGAAAAGGAAATATACTGAACAATAGCTTATGTATAATGGTACTTGGAGTGGGAAATCTCAAACTGGAGTTAGTCACTATGAGTCATCCTAACTTAGCAGTTGCAATACCATGTATAATGGATAACATGACAAGTGGGAATTTAAAAGAATTGTTTAAAAGATATTGGAGGGGGGGGGTCAGTTAATTTGTTAAATGGTTTTAGGCTGATCATCTACAATTATTTCATTATAAAATAAGAATGTAAGAAATTTAAATTGTTTTAAATTACGAGACCTTTTCATTTTTCTCATAACTTGACCTTTTAGATATGGGGGGGGGCAATTAATACATGTTACTGTTTTAGGCTGGTTTTAATTGTTGTCAGCTAAAATCATTGGACCTTTTATGATTTTGGGAATAATTTGACCCTGGTTATGGTGTAAAGTATATATCATAGTCACTTTGTAGTCCCCAAATGTTTATTTCTTCCAGTGAGTGTTGGTAAATAGAAAGGCCATAGACAACAGAGGAATGCTTTCAGATGATATATGTAATTATCAAATTAATATTGCAGTTGAATGGATAAATGATTTCTTATTATGTTGCTTTACTGGAAGAGCTCAAAACACTTTCAGTATGGTTATTCAGTTGTAAGGTTGCACTGCTATTACATTGATTGAGGTATTAAGTGATTATTCTATCATGGTATATACCTCTCCCTTATGGTAACCAGTCAAATTAAATGTACCTGTAGCATAAAATTGTGTTCTCTCCCATTCAGCCACCTTTGTGATAAGTGGGAGAAATTGTAGGTGTTGAAGGCTGAGCCAGGTGTACAGCCCTGCTAGTTAGCCTCTAGTATCTTTGTTTTTTTTTTATTATTGAAGATGAAGTACACATTAGTCATCATGACCACACAGGCAGCTGGGCAGGGACGTACAAACACCGCCTTATATAATCGCTGTTAAATGTTAACTGATATATATATTTTTTTTGCACCATCATTAGCATCATATGTATGTATGTATGCACATGTACGTGTGGGCTTATTTGTTTTTTAGCATATACATTCATGTGTACGTGCATCTATGTGTCTGTGACAGAAAAAAAAATTAAATTATACAAATAAAATAGAACAATTACATATAAAAATGTCAGTCCCTACTTTTTGTCAAAAGCTACAGTACAGTGAAAATTTGTTCTGTGCTTTTTTTAAACTTGTGTTGAGCAGAGAACAGCAGTATGTTCTATAGACAACCACTTGGTTAACTGGATCTATGCACTGTATTCATGGGAATTTTATTTGAATGTGTGAGGTCTGAAAGATGAGTTCAGCAAAGTTGTTGTTGTGGTAGCAAACATTTAACGTTTTCCTAACAAGGTTAATGATGTGGTTAACCAACACCCAACATTTCATTTATGGCAAACAGTGAACAATTACAGATGTAGAACAAGATAATAGAATCAGATTTAAGTGTATTGTGGAATCATGATGGATCAAAACATTTTTCCTCTGATCATATCCCACCCACTATGATGGTGTTACAGAGCCCTTAGGGCATGTCATGGTTCTATAAATTTGTATATGTAAGTCTCAAAGGGTATTTTTATCATAGCAATGAATCAAGAATGTAAGATAGTTCTTAGGGAGTGTTCCCAATGAAACTCTATGTAGATCTATCCAATGCCACGGGGACTCTTGCTGAATGCAATCAGATTAACTGAATAACATACTTCCTCGAGCAGCTGGGGGGGGGGAATGCAAAATCTGAATGAATAAAAACATGTTCACATCTTTGTCATGTGTGAAGTCTTTTATCATAACATTCAAATTGATACTTAAATCTGATCTGGATGGGTCAATACGTGAGTTTTTATTATTGCATGAATGGGATTTTCCTCTGGGAAGGGATTGTAAATCAAAGAAATCTGGTCGAGTTCAGAAAACATGAAAAACTTTCTGACACTTTACCTGCTTGATTTAGAAGAATTTTGCTCCCTTCTCTCTTTTAGTTAACAAATGTACATTCATGTAAATTAATTTTTTATTTGATCTACAGCCTTTTATTAAAAGCTGATATAAGATCTTTATATATAATGTTTCTTCTGATAAGAAGCAGAAATTTAAAGCACAATCCAATGTTATGGTGTACACCTTGTCAGAGAACCAGTAGGCATTTGCATATCATTACTGCTGATGTTGTTGTTTTGATATCCTTCTTCACAATGTGACACTTTCACCCCATTTCCATAGATTTTTAGATCGATCTATCCCTGTGGGGAGTCTCACTAGATTACTGTCAGCTTGGCCGGCTTAAGCGTCTGTCCCGCCTACTAAAAGCTGTAAGGGGGTAATTAACTATGGTGCCCGCTCGGATGACTGCAATTTAGCGTGAACCCCCAGGGAGTTAGGTCGATCTAAATCTTAATCTTTAGATCGATCTAAATCTCTGGGAAAGCACCTTCCTTGCTTCCTCAAAGCACTGACCCTGTTCAGAGTCTTCATCTCTTTTGGCTACATTATGAACATCTGATGTATGAAAAATGTGCTTTACTGATAATGATAGAAATACATATATAATTACTTTCAACATGATTTTTGTCAATGAACTTTTACGAAGATAAAGTTGTGATAGAAAGTATTATAATGTTCTTTGTATGTTATAGTGTTCAGTACCTGTTAGTGGCGACTGCCTGTGAGCAGATACCTGTCTATGCTGCCCACTTGTCACAGTGATGGATTAGTTTTGGCAAGTAGCTGTATTGTACACCCCCACTAAGCCTACAGCTACTTCCTTGTTTTTTTTCTTCACCTACTCTCTTGGTTTTCAACGATCTGTAAATTATGTGACAAAAAAGAGGTACTTTTAATGATATTTAAATGTTTAAAACATAATAATAATCCTAATAATTTGATTGTAAATGGGATGGTGCTTCACCTTACTGATATTAATCTTAGTTTTCACTCATGTAAAGTTAGGGACCCCTCCCCCCCCCCAAAAAAAAAAAAAAATAATAATAATAAATAAATAAAATAAATAATGATAATGTATACTTATTTTGTCTAGATATTAACTTGAGTTTTGAAATACATTTATTGATTTGATTTGATTTGAATGACTTTATTGTATATGAATGCTTTTGAAGCCTTATGTTTGGACTGATTTTTTCCCAACACCGTTGTCAGCGTTATGTACATTTTATGTGTTACTGTGTGTGTGTGTGTGTGTGTGTGTGTGTGTGTGTGTGTGTGTGTGTGTGTGTGTGTGTGTGTGTTTTAATTTATTTCACAATAAAAATAGTAGGTTTGCACTTTTAGAAAATTCAAATGTAGATAATTCATAAATATGATTTACCCAAGACAGACTTAATCAAAGCTTTTATTTTATTGGAACTGCATGATGTTATACAACTACAAAACCTAAGAGAAATCATATGAGATAAACTTTTTATCGATAAGGGAAAAACTCTTTGTTCAGGAATAGACAGAGAAAACAATCAAAATAGACACAAAATGTCATACTGTTTGTAATAGACTATAACTTAACAGAACTTAGGGAAAAAAACAACCAGTCAAATATCAGTGGATTTTTTGTCAGCTTTAATTCATTGCTCCTGCTACATGTATATCTGCCATTATTTCTGACCCTACTTTCCTTAAAATATCCTGCAAAATCTCACTTTATGTTTCACTAATTAAGTCATGAGAGTTTGGTCTAACATGTATTATCCCCATTACATGCTTACACATATCTCCATGCCATTGGAAATAATGTGTGCATTTACATCTGTAATAAGATTTTCAAGAGAAGAGTACTGGCTGATAGTTCCCATGACAGTTCACCCTCAGCCTTAATGATATTGGTTTAGCAACTCTAGGGGTAACACAAGCAGTCCTTTGCTTAGATAAGTCTCAGTAACACTTGTGTCTACACTTACATGTCCATTTCTTTGTTGTAAAAGAAACATCACTGATATATGAGATACCCTATGCATGGGAAAAAGACAAAGATGTTCCATGTTTCTGCAGTGGCAAACAGTATTTGTGTTCTCTTGCTTTTTTGTTATTTTTTTTTCTTATGAATACGTTGCACAGATTTACCTGCAGTCTTTTATGATTGTGGTTATAGTGGGCATCACTTTTGCTTTGTTTATTAATTTCTGTCCTTATAGCTTACTTGATAAAGAACATTGAATATACTGGTGTGTATATATATATATATATATATATATATATATATATATATATATATATATATACTTTTTAGTTTGTAAAATGTATTTCAATTAAAAAAAGTAAAAAAAAAACATTCAAAGTAGATGAAATACAAACTTTTTGTATCATTTCTTTTTCTTTAAAGTAACCGATAATATATCATTTATTTCCAGTTACCCCCAGTTTAATTGAGGCATTGGCCAAACATCCCAGTCTAGAAGAAATACTTTTGAGGAACAACAAACTGGGTAAGATTTGTGTAGTTTTTATGTGTCTGTTGGTCTGACTGTCTGCATGTATATATGAACCCTTAAAAAGGGATAACAGCTGTTTATGTGATATTCATATTTCATAATAAAAACATTGTAAACAACTCATAGAAAAATAATAATCTCTATTTTTCACCAAAACAGCAGTTATCACAATTATTCTTGAATTGACAAAACATGTGGACCATCATAGGTGGCTATACCTATGTAATACAGGGTGACCCTCCCCCCCCCAAAAAAAAAAAAAATAATAATAATAAAATAAAATAAATAAATAAAAAAATAATAAACCAGAACCCATAAAATTTTTAATAAATCCTACAAAGGTCCATCAAATTTCAAGAAATTTTCAGTTTTCTTGGTCGCTTTGCATAAAAGCTATGTTATTTTAAAAAATATGCTCTAAATGGCTTTTGAGGCATTGGATGCACACTTACATATGTCACGAAAAAATTGTCAATTTCTCAAACCACAGGCCTACCCAACTACCAGACTCGGCACCTAAGGATCCTGAATTAACCGGTATATCGGACCACACTACCCGTTTTCAAGGTGTGTGTCAGATCGCATTTCGGAGTATCAGCCAGAACACCGACAGGATGAGCCCTGACATGCTCGGCTGTCACCTTGATTGGATTTAAACTATTGTCATAAAATCGCTATATGATTTTAAAACCGGGTGCATAATTTTGAAAGCCACCTAGATGAACCTTAGACTGCCACATTAATCTAATACAATGCAAAAAAGCCCTATCAAAAGTGGTTAAAACATTCAAACCGAATGCCGTAAAGTCCCCATATATCCCCATAGAGACAATAAAATAGAGTACTCTAAAGTAAGAGTACAGTTTAAGGTTGTTCAGCCGAGCGTGGATGAGCCCGCAGTCAGCTACAAAATTTGCTCTGGGGTATGATACTCCGAAATGCGATCTGACACACACCTTAAAACGGGTAGCGTGGTCTGATATACTGGTTGATTCAGGATCCTTAGGTGCCGAGTCTGGTAGTTGGGTAGGCCTGAACCATTTATCCTTGAGATACCCCCACAGAAAAAATCTGGTGGGAGGATCCAGTCTGGTGAATGCCATGCCCACTCAAGATCATAAGATCATAAGATGATCATACACATATTGAAGTTTAAGTCAAGCAAATTTCTTGAAATTTTAGGAAAAAATAGCAGGGACTAACTTTGAATGTTGGAATGGATTCATGAACCATTGGATTGAATGTTGGAATGGATTCATGAACCATTGGTTAGTATGGGCGAATTGTAGTTCACCCCAGGTAAATCCATTTTTTTTTTTTTTTTTTTTTGGCCGAAAAGAACAGTTGTTGTCCCTTTTATGTCCCCTCATTGTCATGTCATAGGAATGAACTGTGCATTGCCCGTAAGTCCCAATGTTACCAATGAGGAGGAGGAGGGGTTGAACAAATGTGCAGATATATGTTAGGATCTACTAGTATACCAATAGGATAAAAGGATAATTACAATGGCCTTTTATTAACCATACTATGATACATTGATGGAATTCCAACTCACCTTTTCCCCTAGGGTTGTTATTTTTCACTGACTTGGCTCTTTCTGCCAGCCAGCTCAAGTTGAATTGTCATGCATGACGTCACACACAATCTTTCTGAAGGTGAGAGAACACTGTTCAAAAAGTACTAAGCTCTGAAACATATGATGTACAGGTGCACTAGAAAAAGAGCCATTGCAGTGCTTTTTTGAATACCATGATTTTTATGAGTGAAAGGAGAAGAACTACATGAAAGTCTCCTAGAATTTTCTTTCTTGGCATTTTATAACTATGTATCATTTACATTATCATGTTATCTAGTGTAAAAGTTCAAAGGTATTGCGAGTTTTTTCTGTTGAATATGTCATGCACCCTTTAGAATGATGGACTAGGAAAGGTGTAGCAAAGGAACAGGAATTAAATCTTCTTGCTTTTTACACTTGTTTATTGTCAATCACAGCAGCATCAAAACAGTGTGTTTTCAATATAAAAAGTTCAAAGCAAACAAAACTTCACGTTATGAGCGAATGCATTTCTTTGGACAAATAAGTTAGAATTTTATCTGATAAATACATATAAAATATACAAATTGATGTGATTAAATTTTTTAAGTTTTTCACATGTAAATAATTTTTCTAACCTGTGTTTTTTTACTTTGGAAGAGCTAAGGCATAGATCTTAAAGCAAAAAAAAAAAGTTGGATAGTAGACCAATATCAGATAATGACTTTGAAGTCATGCTAATCAGTAAAGCCACCACAATAGGTTGGTCCCAGTCATGTAATTGGTCATGTAATATTGATGTGTTTAAGTTGCTGGTTTGACAAACTTGCATTAAATAGAATATATCTTTCCAAATTCTATAACCAGTGGTTAAGTGACTCTTAAGTCTGTGGCCATGCCACGTGCATGGCACACACTGCACTATGGGTGTCATCCAGGGTTGAGGTGTTTGGCTGGTGGCATACAAGTGTCAACAGTTTGATTTGTGGGGACACTAACATACAATGCCTAAAAGATTATAAGCACTGGGGCTTTTTACCATGCTGTATGGTGAGCCCTAGGACTATGAACCCTAGATTAATAGCTTGGTGTTTCCCAATGCTGAGTGACTCATACAACAGCCCCTGAGACAGATTAGTGTATAAACACACAAACTTGTTGTACAGTTGTAATTAGAGGTGGTGAGGTGGGAAAGAGGTCTTCAGGCACTGTTTTCTTGAACTCTAATAAAAAAAATTAATTTTCTGAGCGATGCGCAAGTTGTTTATAAATTTGTGTGATTCCTTTAAGGAAAGAAAAATTGAAATAGTTGAAAGCATTTTGCTAGCTGCAGGTTAAGTTTTTAACTTCTTTGTCTTTCAGTTGCTCTTTTCATTGGATCAAAAAGAAATCATAAAATAAGTTTAAAGGGCTTTTTTTATCCAAATTAGTACATATATGCTCCTTGTTGAATTTTTTTCATAGGTTTTCTTGTTGCACAATACTTAAACAAAATTCATGTTAAATTTACAAATTTGTTAAATAAGGTGCAAGTAGGTAACCTGCACTCTTCAGACTCTTGCATGTATACAAAAATCTGTTTGTTCCATGGCTCTTACAATCACTTTAGGTACAAATCGTCATCACAGTTTCTACTTTGCACCATTACTTACCAAGATGTTCTAGATGGACTACACCATGTATTTGGAATTTCACTTTATTTCATGTAAAGATTGACACTTTTAAAAAGTTTGACAATAGACCGTGATGCTTATGTGACTGTATGTAAAAAGGTTTTTATCATTGTTTACATTTGGTGACTCACTGTTTCGTTATTTGTGTGTCAAAGGTGACTTTCACATTATTTAAACTTTTCAAAAGTTACACGAGTGGGACATGTTTGCGCAAGTTATTTTTAGATCGTATGAGGTACTGTTTACATTGCAATAAAATTTTTGGTGTTTTGAATTGCAGATTATTTGATGCCAACTCTGTATCTGGATATTTCTATTTCTCTAGATAAAATGATTTAAGATATATATTTGAATAAAAATAATTTTCAGAAGAACTTTCTGGGTTGTAGGGTTGTAAGTGTTTTTCAGAGTGTTTTTTTCTTTCTTTTTTTTTTTTTTTTTTTTTTTTTTTTTTTGCAAACAGCATACAGAAAGGTGGTTGAAGCATTACAGTGCTATGGAAAAAAAAATGAAATTTGCTATTTGTACCAGAAAAAATAGATGTGTATTAATTTTATCTGTTAAAAAATTCCCTTAAGTAGGGTTTGTTTTCTTTGCAAAATTTTATGTTTTATTTGTTATTTAACCAAGCTTATCTGGCTGTATTGTTTTGGTTCATTTGCTAAATATATCTGTTGGCTGTCAACTTGTGTTGCAGCTATTATTTTGTCTTATTTGGTTGAATCACAAAAGAAGTGTGGCATTCTACATACTTGTGGTTCCTCTCTGAATGCAGGATTTACTCCATTTCACGGACAGCTTGATTAGTTATTTAGCTGTTTAAGACATTGATGATTGACAGCTTTTTCAGGCGTTAAAGGTTTGACAACAGAACAAAAGAAGTAAACTGAAGCACAAGGAAGCAAATTCAAAGTAAACAATGCAGTAATTATTGTATTCAGGCTAAGGTGCTGGTCATGCTCTAGGTTGTTATATTAGTTATTGTATTCAGTGGTTTATTAAGGCTCATGCCTTTCCTTGTATTGTGTGACTGACTTGTTTTTATTGACATCAACCAGGTGTTAAACATATGCCAGGTAAGCTCTTGTTTGTAGGCATGCTAAAAATCTCTTTGGTGTCTTTCATTTGATATAGCTCTATGGAGCTGGTGAAATATCATTGGGTTTTATGTGATATCCCCCCCCCCCCCCAGGTTGGTTTTACTAGACTTTTCTTCTGGTCCTCAGGGGAACTATTCATCAGCCCTTTAGGATTCTGTCATAAATTTAATAAAGACATTTACACCCCTTACTAGAATATTTATGCCCCTTAAAATTGGATAATTTGAAGATATGAGCAGGTTGACTCTGATGAAAATGGAACTTTTTATACTGTTTATCTTTCACAATAATTTAATTATATTGGACACGGAAGAAGAACATGCCTAACTATTAAATGAGCACTCTATGGCCAATAGTTTAGTTAAGTGAAAAATAAAAGGTTCTTATATTATTATCATTACTTTGGGTGTTTACTGAAATAAAAAATGGGCAAATTCTGTACATTTGATGTAGGTTGAGTAAATATGTTATAATAAAAGTTGAGGAAGTGTGTTGAAGTTATGACAGTTGATTTATGAATTAAGTGATTGGTGAAATGAATATTTGATTTCTTAAAATATATATTTCAAAATGCCATTTTCAAATGAAATTTGAAATGAACTAATCAAAATTGCTCGTTGAAAAAGAGAAGAGAAAGAAATGAGAGATTCAATTCCAATTTTATGATTTATGAATTAAAATGATTGATGAAAATGAATATTTGATTTCTTAAAATATATATTTCAAAATGCCATTTTCAAATGAAATTTGAAATGAACTAAACAAAATTACTTGTTGAAAAAAAGGGAAAGAAAGATTAAAGATTCAATTCCAATTTTTATGTTAGATGAAGACTTCAAAACCCTCTGTTCATGAGTCCAATGACAACAGTGACACACACACACACACACACACTAAAAATCACCCCTCAGTTACTGCTCAAACACTTCCAAAGGAAACAAATTAGTAGCCAAGAGCCCAATAACTTTGAAGTAGACAAGGCAGTGAACTGTCCAGAGACTTGTCTATGTTATTGGAATGGCAGTGGTTCTAGTTGTGGATCATGAACATCAATCAGGATTGACATCCACCTGTGCTCTAGTCTCTGCCAGTAATCAAGTTGTGGAGGCACACCTGGCCACCCTATCAGATCCTAGGAGGTGATTTTTTTAAAGTAAATTTTCTGTAGTAAATCTGGTATTATCAAAGGTTGGTAGAGGGATTTTTATGAGAAATGATTAATCCAGAGCTCTGGCACTGTCCTGGAATCCAATCAAAATATGCTAGCTGTACAGGGTAGCATTATTTAACCTATAAATCACCATATCAGTTTTTTTTTTTTTAAAGTGAATTATGTGTTTTGATAGTTAAATTATTTTGCATGACTGGTGGATTTAAGTAGTAAAGACAATATCTTCCATTCTTTAATTGAGGAAGTGCTTTAATTGAGGAAGCATTTTTGGCTGGAAGACTGGATTATTTATCTTAGCTTGAGGAAAAAAGTAACAATGACCATGTCAGTGTGTACTGTTATAACATAGTGAGCTGGAGTATGTACTTTTACTTGAAATTCAAAATAGGTGCACTGGGTGGGTTATTGATGCAGTTTCCAGGTTACAAAGGATTTGGAATGTGATAATAAAATGTTTTATATTCCCATTTTTATTGAAGAGATAAGTGCTTTACTCTGATGTTAAGTGCACTTTTAATTTTGATTTTTCTTTCTAAATTGAATGACATTGAGGTCTCTTCCCCATCTTGCTATAATATTGTGTGCACCTGTAGGTACTTTCACCCAGAGCTGATAGCTTTCAATGTAATTTACACACCAGGAAGGATTTCTTCGAAAATGAAAGTAAAATTAATGTAGGCAGTAAGTGAGAGCTAACCAGCAATTCAATAAAATGGTACCTTATGCAGCTTTTCTTATATTGCATATTTGTTTTCTCAAAGTGGTATTGTCAGATATGTTTTTTTTTTAATTTTTGTATACCCTTTACTATTTAAAAACAAACATGCAGGATTTTTACACTTGTTGGCATTTCCTTTAATTCTACACATATTTTTTGCAATCAATTTTTATGAATATCATTGATCACAATGGATAATTAAATAATACATATTTTAAGAAGTGTAATGTAAGCAGTCCAGAGTTAAGTATGAAACATTAATCTTCCAGGTGATGGAGCACTGCGAGGGCTACTGCAGGTGTTCAGGAGGGCACATGCTGGGGAACACAGTCAAACTAAACTACACACCCTAGACATCAGGTAACGTCAAGGGAATTTACTCTCTTTTTAGTAGGGTCAGCACAATTGTGCTGGAGGTTATCAGGTGTGTAAGCCAAATGATATATTACACAATATTAATGCTAGTAATTGATGGATATATTAAAGCATTAATTTTGTTTACTATATATATATTTTTTCCCTGATAACCATAGAAAATGGATAGAATTGATAATGAAATGTACATGTATCTTAATATCGAGGGACTGAAAATGTTATCATTGATGGTAATAGAAAAATTATAATCTAAAATTGGACCCCCCATCCAAAAAATAAATAAATAAATAAAATAAATAAATAAATAAATAAGAACCTGCCTTTTTTTCCAAAATGTATCAAGAAGTGATTATGTACCTAGTAACTGCAGCTGTTTTAGTACAAAGATAAGGATCATCAGTAAGTGGGATTGCCCAAGAATTGAAAGCACCCCTGTCAAGTTGGTTCTGTTGTGATCATGTTTCACCTTGTCAGAGCAATGATTACCTGAAAGTTCTTAACTCACACCTGTCCCACTACTTCTTATTTGAAGCACCACCTACAGTCCAGTACTCAAATAGTGATTGGCTGTCAGGTGATTCAGCATAAAGTACAAGTCTGTGGTTTTTGGCAATCTGTTATCACTTCATGGTAATGGCTGCCAGTTGCCAACTTCTGTTTATTTTTTCTGATCATTATGATGACACTTCACACATTTGTGAGAGCTTCTCAGGGAAGGTTACCTAGAATGGTTGACTGTAGACTTAAGTGATGGTCTGTAAGGGTACATAATGTAGGGCTAATGTAAATATGACTGCAAAATTTGTAAACAAGTTGAGATTTACCTCAAGTCCATGCTTCGCTGTAGCATGGAGAAGTAACCATAAGGCAGGTGCCCTACAACCTTTCATAAAACCAACTCTGATCTCTCAGACATGTTACAATTAAATCCATCCAGACAGAGATGCCCTTGCCAGAAATGCTGGGTGGAAAGTAACTAATTACACTGAGTGTTTTTAACCATACTTCCTGCTGTTCTTTTTTACCCATTTTAAATTCTTTATTGTTATTATTATTATTTTGTTTTTTACTATCCAAAATGATGAAATTAGAAAGTTTTCAGTTTTTGTTAAACATTGGTATCTTTTATGTAGCTTCTTTTCTACAGTCATTAACAAAAAAAAAAAAAACTCTTAAAAAGAGTTTTACTAAGAATCATTAAATATGAAAATCTGTTTCTGAAACCACTATAATAACTTGCAGATAATCTCATTTTGATATTTCACAAAACACACATTTAATGTTGCCATCTTAATTTTTTAAGTGAAAGGAAGTACTGGAAGATGGTGACAATATCAATTTATTAGATAATCCTTGATATCAAGTGTACCTCTCTAAATGTACATGATATTCTTGATCAGTTCTGAACCTATGCCATTTGGGAAAATTATTCACTAAAAAAAAGTAACAATATAATAGACCCATCCCCCCAAATAGTGATAAGATTAGGGTGTGGTACTTCATTTTGGATATTCCCATGCTCCAATACTTGCAAAAGAGGTGTATTGCCCTTTGTTTTGTTTCAAAGCACTGGCTTTTCATGAAAATCCAGGTTGAAATGTTACCTGCCCCCTTGATAAGTGCTAGCATGTCCATGTTGCCAACCAAGGCCATCAGGAATTTAACAGGCATTTGACAAAGACATCAAAGTGAGACATATCAGCTAATTGGGAATTAATTTGTAAGATAATTAGGTTGATACAACTAAATAGTGTTAGCATTTACATGATAATAGTGTAATATAACAAATCTAAAAGGCATATTGCCAAACTGAACACATAATGTTCACTGTAACAAAGGGAACTATCATGATGGAGTTTTTTAGAACTTTGGGGGATTTTTTTGATGAATTAAAATTGACATTTGGAATTTCCTCCTATGGGTATATTTATTAGGTTTGGATTATTGCCAAAACCATCCACTGTATTTGTTTTTTATCTTACATGCAGCTTTTGTCAATATTTAAGAGATAATTATGTGTGTTCTGTGAAATCAGGAAATGCTTTTTTGGGTGCCTCATTTAAAGAAAGTCACAGTAAATATGTTTAGTATCTTTTTTTCAACATCAAGGATATGTGAAATTTAAGATGTGTTGAAGTATTAAAGAGGCTAAATAAATTTTAGAAGTAATTAAGCAATAAGTTGGAAATCCCCTGTGTAGGAAATCCCCTATTAACCATGTGACGTAGCTCATTGTCAAGTTTCAAAGATGGCATGATGCCAAACTTTACCATACCACTCCTGGATGAAGGCTATGGGTAATGAGATGTATCTGTATTGCCTATCTTGGCATTAGTTAGTGTCTATTTTGTTTTTGTGAAATATTTCTCAATTAAATATTTTCCTATTATTGTATTATGGAGCATTTTTGTTACTTAATGTTTTTAGATGAATGGGGATTTTTATATGCAAGTGTAGGCACGAGTTATGATTATCTTAAACCCCCTTTTGCTTAGTTTCAGCAAGCGATGTTTTACAGAAGAATGCCTCACAGAGTTTGCCAGAGGACTGGAAGTCATTGCTAAATATGAGAAAAGACACATCCTTTATAGACTGGCGTATATTCAATGTCATTGGAAACCTGGTTTAAAACCATGGCAATTAACTCAACAAGATATCAGGCAAATTCTTTTAAATTCTGTTCAATTTCCATATGGAAGCCTGCTTCCAACAGAAGCCTCAACATTATTTGGAGAATTCTTGAGTCAAATGTGACTGAAACTTATTAACACTGATGGTGGTCATGAATTCTACATTTATCAAGTAAGTTTCATCATCTTTTGATAGGCAATCCATTATTTTTTCATTATTATTTTACATTAATATTAATTTTCTTTTCTTTTTTTGCTGATGAAAAGTAAATGATTTACTTTACGAAAAGTTGTGTGCGTATCATTTTAGGTACAAAGGTATAGCTAGGCTGTTTTGGGCCAGATACTATGGGAATGTTCAAATGTTTGGCAATGTTATATTAAGCGCGAAGAGTGGAAGATTAATTACATTCATACTTATGCTAAGAAAAAGAAACTAAAAACAACTGTCAAGTCAGTTTGATCTTGTATTCATTGTATGAAATTTAATAAATAATAAATGGCAATGATTTAAGCATGAATTTTTCAGTTATAAGCACCGAAACTGTACAAATATTTACAAAACTGAGGTACAAAATGATATGCAACATGCTGCATACTTAAAAATGAACATATTTACAATGCAAAAAAACTCAATATCACTCTTATTTACAACAACCGTTTTAAACATATATAATCACTGATAGCATACATTTAAAACATCTTTTTAAAACAAATGCTGTCATATAAAAAAGAATCTGATCAACAGATCCATTTTATAAGAAAAAAATGCTCTCCAAGCTTTTTCACATCGAACAATGCAAGTCACATTCAACAGTTTTTTTTCTTCAAACAGACAAAGTTTGTGCATATGTCACATATATATAAAGTATTTTAAAGCCCTCCAGCTTATTAGCTCATGCTTGTTGAAATCATGACCTGACATCCACTGTTCACATGTTCCATTATTTGTTGCTTGAGGTACGCAACTTGGTCTCGGAGCTGGCCTGCTGTACTTGAGAGTTCAGTGTTAATAGATTTTAAATGGTTTACTCTTTCTTCAAGGCGCGAAATTCTCTCTAATTTACGCGTGCGGCACTTTCTGGCAGCAACACGGTTTCTTGCCCTCTTCCTCTCCAACTTGATTCTTTCTTGGCTCTCCATGTTTATAGGTGACAGTGGAGGGGTGGTGCCAAGGCATGGGACCGTCTGGGGCTCTTCCTTCAGGTGTGTAAGCTGCATATTCTGTGGCATAGCATAGTTTGGGTGTGACTGCTGCATAGGTGGAGCATAAGAGGCTGGAGCACTCACCATGACGGTTGTTCCAGGCAGAGAAGTGCATGTTGTGGCACTAGGGGCTGTCGTACGCATAGGCTGGAGTGTTGTCAACGTGTGGGAAGCAGAGGAAGGCACGGTCCCACTGCTGGAACTCTCTTCGGGGTGCTGGTGGAGTTCTGCCAATGCGTCGACGAAGCCACGGGCGTAAGCCTCCTGTTCTTCTGTAACGTTTTTTGGATAAATAAACTGGGTCGGTGTAGGAGTGGTCACAACCATACCGTTCTGTTGGATTATCATCCTCTCGAGCTCTGGTGAACCCAACTTCAGCAAATTGAGATCTGGCGAGTTCAGAAGGCCTCCGAATTTTTGTGCCTTTGTTTTACCGGCACCAAAGTCTAAGGTCATAGCCTTTTTCAAGTCCTTTACAGCACTTCTGTTGTTAGCCATGCCGTCTTCGTAAAAAGTAGTTTCCATTGTGTTTCTTTCTCAGTAAGGTGCGACTCGGCTTCCTGATGAATAACTTTGTTTTGATGATTCAATTGTCTCTGTGGTACGTGTACGTGTGTTCACAATAGCTTACCACAGCTGAAATGTCTGAAACAACTCTCTGATTCACTATTTCTGGCCGTTTGGCGCTATCTGTCCTGCCTGATTTCAAAACGTGTTTATGACTCAGAGAGTGTACTCCTCTGTACTTATAGTGGTGAGTAATACACTATATTTAGAATGACATCACTTTTCAGTCAGCCGATTGGTCAAAAATGACATCACTGCCATGTGACTTGAATAGACATTCGCGGACTTGACCTTTCACCCCGGCAACGTGTTGCATTGTGGGCCGCAAAATCCATGACGTATACTGTCTGCGTAACAGTTTTGCCCTTTTATGGAAAGCGGGATTTCCCTTTTAGTTGGATGTGCCCTAGTTTCTAGCAGGTTCGGAGCGCAAAACAAATCAATATTCATATCGTGACGTGGCAGTAAAATCGGAAATGACCTAGCATTCTTAGTGTACAGGTATTCTTGTTTGTGTAAACATTCGTGTTAAGGCCTGCCATAATTTATAGACGCGCTTTTCAAGTAACTTCACGGTATATCATAAATAATGTACATGTACCGTATGTCTGAAATTTGTGGAACTCGGTGATGCCATTTTATTTAACAAGACTGTCTTTTTTTGCTTTGATAAGCAGACGATGCCTTTAATTCCCATATTCTAAATATACCGTGAAGTAAGGTGAAGGCCAATGAGTCATATAAAATTCCCCGGGTTGCAAAATTTCCGGTCAACCCGCCTCTTACTCCGAATCAAATTTTACGCAAATGAAAATTGAAAAAACATTTTTTCAGTGGTATTCCGCAATATATAGTATATATTGGAGGTGCGTTTTTGACATTTTACCCTAAAATTAGGTGCATAAAGTCAACATATGTGTTAAAAAGAATTTTTTTTCTCTCGCTTAAACCAGCCTTACCCTTTTCTTAATAATTATTGTTTTTTCTGTTGTTACCACCTATTAAATTGAATGGTTGGAAAGTTAAATCCGAAATTTCAGCAAAAGCATCATATCAAATTTTATCAGTGGAATCATATTATTCATATATACTAGTATGCATACAGTGTATAAAGTTGCTTAAAGTTCTTATGAAGTATATGCCCATCCACACATTCCTAGTATGCTGTGCCTGTGAATCTTTGATGTAGTTATTTGTTCAATGTGTCTCTGCTATTCAAATAAATAGTATGCACTCTACTTAATTATTTTCATTGTTTATTCCTGAAATGATCTTGGCTCACGAGCTTGAATTTTGTTGTTAAACACTTATGAGACACTGGGAATCAAAAAGTTAACAGCTTTGCTTATCAATCTTTTAACACTAAAAAATTCCCCTGTGAAAAGTTAAGTTGTAGTTTTGAATATGCCATTTTTTTATAGTGATGAGGGTTTTGCATCTCAGTTGGTCTATATAGTCAAAAAGTTGAACAGACCATATTGAGGCTCTATAGTCTGAAATTTTTTTAATTTGAAATGATTTTTTATTCTCCAGTAGTTCATTGGTCTTACCCTGATATCCAGGTTCTAAGCAATGCTATACATCTTCTAGTATCTGAGCTTTTATGCCAATGCATTGTTAACAATTGTGGTAAAACTTGGAATAGTCCTTTATTGCATAAAGTTTATTAGTATTCCAAATGCCCAAAATATATCAGTTAAATACCAAATGCTGTATCAATTGATAACTGATCTAAACTTCAACAGTAATTAAATAGCAATATCTTTGAAAGTTTTGAGCCAATAAACCTAAGATCATTGTATTTTTTAACTTAATGAACATTCAAATCAATAAACCTACAAGTCAGTTTCTTAATTAATATTTTTTTCAAAATTTCTACAAACTTAACCCATTTATTAAAAGTAATTAAGTCAAGTGATGAGTATTAGGTGCCAAAATCTGAGCATATATGTGTATATATTATTTGGGAGCAAACAAGCTATAGTTATATATGCAACAAATTTACTAAATTTTTTTTCCAATTTTTTGTAGGGAACTAAGTTTTATTAAAAAATGTCAAAAAGTAAATTGTCAACCACCAAGTCCAGTGTAGATATAACTACCCAATCCACATCTTGCTCGCCCAGTGCAGAGGATGACAGCTTCAGTGACACTGACATCACTGTCAGAAATGAAGCTAGAGAAGACATTTTCTCAGAAGAGTTTGAGCAACAGGTGCCCTCCTTTGTTTTTAATTTTTTTCTTTGAAATAATAATAGTTAACATGACTTACAAATGTATTTTTGGAGATTTCAAGGAGATTAAAGCATTCCAAGCCAGGATCTTCCAGCAAAAACTCATACATATATTTATCTCTCAAAATACGTGTTTAAAGATTAAATTTTTTTAAAATAAGTTCAACGAGAAGCAATTCATGCACTTAGAATGCATTCAAAATCCTGGCTTGGATTGCTTTAAGTGTGTGTGTGTGTGTGTGTGTGTGTGTGTGTGTGTGTGATAGTTTGAACACTCATAGGCTCAGAAATGACAGGAAATGAAATTCTCAGTGCTAAGGTTCCCTGGCCCAAAGTAAAAAAGTTAACATTGTTTTTGCTATCTGTATCTGTCTTAAACATTTATTTTTCCAAAGGGAATTGCAGTATACCAGTGAACCTCTCGACTAATAATAACATGATAGTTTTGTAGTAATAAACATTTGGATTTAACCAGATTTTGGAATTGGATGAACATGTAGTGAATCTTTGGACTTTTGGTACACACCTTGTGCTTATGAATGAAGCATAGAATGGCTTCTACATATTTATATTAATTATGTTTCTACTATTATATTTCAAATCTTTGTGTATAAGGACGTATGTCAGTTTACTTATGCACCTTTAAAATTTTCTCCAGAAATATAACTTTTTTTCATCAGATATACTTAAGCATTGTTTGGAATGCTGGAAAACTAGGTGTGGCCTATTATGATGTAGACACTACACAGATCTATCTCATGTTGGACTGCAGAGAAACTGATGACTTTCAGATCCTAAATAAAGGTAGTAAAAGGGTTATGGGGTGTGTGTCTTGGGAGAGAGAGTGTCTTGAAATGTTTAGAAAGCTATGACATTTGTACTTCAAAATGTGTTTGACATTAAGATATTACAAGGCATAAAGGTAAGAGAGAGAAAATGCACAACATGTTGTTTGCAGACATATCTTTTTAACAGAACTGTTGTGAGAGAATAATCATTAATACCCTCTAGGACATTTAAACCACCCAAAAACTGCTTACCCTGAAATACAAATTATACAAAAATTATACCATTTAAATAATGAAACAAAATTATCAATAGATTTGAAAATAAGAGTTGATAGCAAAAACAATTTAAAAGAATTGGTATAAAAGATAATGTTGTGTATTAGTGATAATGGTATAAGGTGGTTGATGATCTTTATTTTCAGTTCTTTCACAAGTGTTACCAACTTGTATTATCACTAGCTCCAAACAAGATGACAGACTGTTGAAAGTTTTGCAGGAAAAATATCAAGGTAAAAAGGATCATGTTTAATTTTAGAAGTTAAAAGATATCAAATTAATGTGATTCAACATATTTTGATTACCTAAAAATGTTTAAATGAAGTTGGCATGTTTAAAAGGTCTCTTGCTGTGAAACAGATCTCCCTAAGTATTTAATTTTAATTTCAGAGAAAGGTGTGATTTTGTATGCATGCTTATTGCAGTGTAGGTGGATTGCATTAATTCTCACCATATGTATGGGCTGTACAGGTATTTCCTCACCTGTAATGGCACTGTAGTTAACCATTGTCCTAAATTAAATTTAATGTATATGGAAATGTACACGAGGGCTGTTAAAGGCTAGACTATTTGGACAATTATTATAGATGGTGATGTGATATATATATATATATATATATATATATATATATATATATATATATATATATATGTCCACGCTACTGGGTAACAGCAGGGGGTGATCATCTTTGAAAGTCTGTCAAAATATTCCTATGTGTTGGATTACAATGGGGGTGCTTTCATGTTAAAGGGGGTGGATGTGTCTTATTAAAACAGACAATTTTACGTTTCCAAACATTGCTGTGTATTTTAAACTTTTTAGCCAAAAATGACACTAAAACAGTGCTTAAATCTGGCACAAAGTCATATACCAGTCCGTTTTCCAGCTGTATATTATAGAAAAAAAAGCTCTCAGAAAATTATTGTCATATATATATTATAATAGTATTAATAATATTATTCATTAAAAAGAATTAAATATTTCATACATGTAGAAGATTTTGAAGCAACAGCTGATTTTTTTTCTTTGTAATACATTTTTAGGCGAAGATAATGATGAGAAAGATAGTAATGTCTTACAGTTCCTTCCAAGTGCTGACTTTAGTGAGTGTAAAATCGTCAAATTATGAATATAATGACCTAAAAAAAATTAGACCAGATAAATGTTTTCACCTTGACACTTTATCAGTCAAGTCAAATCAATTTGTCATTTTTATTGATGTGTTGTTAGTTTTGTTCTATAACAACTAATTGCTTGAATCGTGGAAAGATTGTCATTGGAAATATTTCAAACAAAAACACCATGTCATTGTAGCTCTTGAAGTGTGCAAGAGACGTCTGCTTACAGTAAACCTCCCAGGAATACCAGACCATTTTGATGAGTCTCAGAAGACACTATATCTCTCCTCTCTCGTGCCAATGGACTGCACTAATATGGTAAAGGGATAGGATATAAAAGATTACAGACACCGAAGTTAGCTAGTGATGGTCATCGTTTTTTTTTTCTCTTAATGGGTATAGAAAAAGGGAGGCATAATATTTATCTTTTTTATGAGACAAGTTGGAATTTGGGGATTGATTGCAGTATTTAATTTCCTCTGTAGAAAATTTATTTCATTGGTTATATGCAGTTGAAAGTTAGGAAACAGTGTTGTAAACATAAAGTTAAAAAGCTATGGAGTGTTTTAGAAAAGAAGACAGCTTTAGGTTTTGTGGTATTTGATGGCTACTTATGGGGGATGTGGTTTGGTGATTGCAGACAGACAGCCCAGCCTCCAAATTGTACTGTTAAAGATATATGATAATGAATTTTTGCTGTTATTATTCTTTATTCTTTGTTAATTTTCCAATTAATGAGATAGTAAGTGCATCATAAATTAATTAGTACAATGTGTTCTATTAACCATATTCCAGTTAAGTTAATTCTGTATGTAGGGACTTTTATCAACCTGAAGATATATATTTATATATATGTTAAAAAGCATTTAACTTTCATATTTTACATAAGGATAGTTCTTTTCCACGTGTCTCTATGCGAACAGTGTTATAAAAGTTAAAAAGAATTTGATAACAGTTAATTAGCTAATAACCTGAATAACAAGCAAGATTGAAATGAAATGGGGATGTAGGAGTAGGCTTTACAATTACGTAGTACCCACATCATATCAAAGAGTCTCCAGCCACATCAGGTTGCATGGGTAACCACAATTGATGTTGTGGCTGTCACGGGGTTGATAAACCCAGTGTGATGTTTGTGGTAATATGGGACCTGGAAAACTGTCACATTTGGGTGTCATTGACGTATGTATGTGTAGATGCTGCTATAGTTTGATATGAATTATAAAAAAGGATTTCATTCTTTGCAGCACAAAAACACATTGCATTCACTAAGCAGCATAACTGGGAGGTCTAACAATAACTAATATATATAACCATATGTCTTGAAATAGAATGGATATGGACAGAATAATATACCCAGTAACTGAATTAATTGTTAGACTGATCATGCCCTTTTTTGAAATAATTTGTTATAAATTTCACTATGCTAATACAAAACTGTAACTTTAAAATATTCTGTAATGACTATAGTCCACATTTGTAAATCAAGGTTCGTGCCACAGGAGCACTGCTGAAGTATCTAGAGAAGTGCCGTGTAGGTGTAGAGCTGGAGGGAGCTGATGTCAGAGTGCCAGTGCTGGCTTTGAAAACGTTTTCTCTGTAAGTAGATCATTCTCCTTTGTTTGTCAAAAATCGATGGAGGAATTTTAATTGAACTAAAAGGTTGTTGTTTCACAAGAATTATTATGATCTTGTTCATATTTTAGGTCATTGAATCATAAATATGGATTTTAAGTTTTTAAAAAGCAGGAGTTAGGTGTTATCAAAGGAGCTAGTTAATGATGTTTTTTTACTTTAAATTTAATAAATGAATGCTTATACATTCCTCCTGTTAATATGTGCAACATTTATAATTCTTAAGAATCAACATTCATAATACTTGAGAATCGTAAATAAATACATTAAGTTCTAGGTAAAGTTAATGTTTTCTTACACTTCATTTTGTTCAATTTATGTGTCTTGGCTCAGCCATAATTTCTTAGAAGGAGGCCATCAATTATCACTGTGATAAATGATGTGTAGGCGGCTGTCCAAGAAAGAGACCAGTGCAAAATTAAAAGTCAGTGCCACAAAAGATGAGATTAGCAGGGTTTTATTTTGATGTGCTGAGTGCCATAATAATAGGGTTAAATCTCCCAGTGATGGGTTTACCTGGCTTGGATCACTTAGTGGGCCTTGGACTGAGCTATCTATTACCTTAATCTATGACAACGACTCAGCTGTCATGCAGAAAGGTCATGCACATGTAAAGCGACCATTCACTGTTGAATATAAGACATAGTAATGTTTATCTCTAATATAATATAAGAGTTTCTATCACAAATAATGTCTCAGATAGTTGCCAGAGATAAATTAGACAAGAAGATTAAGTTAGATATATTTGGCCTTTCTGTACTTCTGACATTTCAAACATAAAAAAACAGTAAGCTATTTTCTTACAAGTTGTTTGTCTCACTGTGATATTATCTTTCATGGTGGAAAGCAGCTAATATCTAAATGACATCTCTACAAAAAGTGATATTTTGATGAAGTTTCTAGATTTTGAACTAGATTTCTTTTAGCCTTCATAATTGGTTTCAGCTATGGGTCTGATGTAGATGATATACAGACAAAATATTAAATATATAATATGAGAAAAAAAAGGCTGCTTCTTACTAAAGTAATCAAGCCATTTTTATTTTAGCTAGGTCACTCACCTAAGGAGAGGTCCATCTGTCAGTAAAATCAAGAATGTATAATGCATTCTTGGCAAACTTAATCTTTTTTTTTTCTTTTTTTTTTTTTTGGGGGGGGGGGGTAAATTAGTCTAATGCCTTTCCTTCCTTCATCTAAGACCCCACTACTTTAGATCGACCTAACTCCCTGGGGGGTTCACTCTATATAGCTGTCAGCCGAGCGGACACGAAAGTTAATTACCCCCTTACAGCTTGTAGTAGGCGGGACGGACATTTAAGCCGGATTATCTGACAGTAATCTAGTGAGACTCCCCGTTTAGATCGATCTAAAAGCTCTGGGAATACAGTCTAAGTTACACTGTAGATCATGTATTTGACTAAAAACTTGAAAATATGAATTATTCAAAAAATTTTTACGTAGGTAATGGAAACTGTAGACAATCATGGTCAGTAACTGTGTGAGGCTAATAACTTGAAGTTTTAATGGCACTTTACAACTGTAGCAAATTCTTCAAAATTAATCTGTGCCAAGTCATGTTATCAGTCCAAATAGTGTTTGATCATGTGTTTAATTGCTTAATTACTATACAGTGAAGGCCCACACAGGTCTCCATTGTCTGCCAGCCACCCAGGTTGACATGTTCAGCACTAGCAGCAGAGTGGAAAACTTAACTGTGGTAACTGGAACTGATTACTGAACATATGTTAGGCTAGAGAATTACCTGTGAACTTCATTTGATGTGGGTCCTTTAATGTCCCAAATTAAGCCAGCGACAAGGGTATCATTGTACCTTATCCTGGCTGGTGCAGGAAGTGCTCACCTGGGCAGCAGGAGCACCTGTTTGATTAGGGGCTATATAGATATAATCTTTTTTCATTATTTGTCCTTGTCACTAAACAAGGCTGTTGACAATAAAAGCAATAATTGCTTTCATGTCCAATAATAAGTAAAGAATTATTAAGAAATTGAATGGCATCACACTGCATTTGAACTCTGCACTTTGATGATACATCTTGTTATATTCAATAAAAAATACCTATCTTTCTATCTATCTATTTTATCTATTTTCATTTTTAGAGATGACATGATGATTATTGATGACAATACATACTGGTAAGTATAAACTTGACTGATAGAAATAACCTATAACCAGACATGAGCTTTTTCCGCGGAAACGTGGAATTCCACATTTTTTTATTCAATTCTGATGGTTCCTGAGAATCGTCTTGTCTGAGATACGATAAATGTTCAGAGTTTTTTTTAAACCTAGGCTCATGTCTGTATAACTATTTAACTATTTATTACTTTTTTAAAGTGCATTTCTGAAATTTATCATATAAACCCTATAAATTGTGAATTCATTTTTGCAAAATAAAGCTTATAAGCCATTGTTCATTTTCATCAAAGATCATACATTTTAATATCTTACATATCTTTAGTTTTGATATGAATTTTTTCAGTGATTGAGATTTTCTGTTTTATTTGCTCCATCTGGCTGTGTTGATAAAGACTTCAACAATATTGAAATCTTCCAAGTCACAGTTGTGGTGATTTGCTCAAGTGGGGTGAACCATTTACAAATTGGTTCAGTCAGACAAATTGATAACAGGGTAGATTAACAGGCCCTATCACCACCACTTAAAGCTCTTCTTATGACAGTTACTATATTATATTCAAATATGTCCAAAACATACATATACCTATATTTATATATGTGTAAGACTAAATTGGCTATGGTAGATGGCATTGCAGATTATTCACCCAGATAATTCACCCATGAGATATCACTTTGTGCTTGTTGACAGAAGACATTAAATGTTGCTTTTTAGTTAACATTTGATAATGCATTTTAAGCTCATGACATTAAATAGTGCTTTTTAATCTGACGACATTAAATATTACTTTTTAGTTTTTTCTAAATGTAATTGTGTGCAAGTGAACACAAGAGAAAAGATATTTGTTCTTCTCTTAGTGCACTGCAGATTTTCCAAAAGGAACTCCATCCTTCTGTGTATAAATCTGGCAGTTGGAACAGTGCCAAGGAGGGCCTAAGTCTGTTTGGTAACACCATTAAATAAACTACTGAAGACTTACAGCAATTTTTTCCTTCGGGATTAATTTCATCCTGCTGCCTTGTTGGTTTAAATTATACCAGAAACAAATTCTTTTGTAGGGATTTTTTACAAGTAATAAAAGTCATATTAATTTAAAGGATATTAAGATATCCTCAAAATGTTGATTGAATTCAAAGTTGCCAACATGACATAAAATGATCATTATAATTACTCAGTACAGAATCGTTAAGAATTGATTCTACTTTTCAATTCCATTTACATAACAATATAAATGTACCATTTTCTTGTAGGAATCGTAAACAAATGTAAATCAAGAATTGGTTCCATGATGCTAAGGTAAATACTTTTTACTTACTTCAGATATTTATTTTTTAAAATTTAATATGATACCAGTGTATAATTTAAATTTTTAACAAAATTTCAGCATGAAATAGAATATCTGTTCATGAATTAACTATTTTGTTAAATTTATTAAAATATTCATTTTTTAGGCTTTGGTTTCTGAGGCCTCTTAAAGATATTAACACTCTAAGGCAGAGACAAGATGCTGTTGCCTTTTTCTTCAATCCCAGAAACATTGAGATAAATAACTCACTGCAAGATTGCCTAAAACACATCAATAATACTCCTGTAAGAGATTCCAAAATATCTTTACTTTGTACATTTTATATGTGAAGATGCAATTGAAAATATTTATTTATTATTTTTGGTGAATGAATCTGTGCAAGGTAAAGACAATCCAGTTATATATGGTATCTGTTTTGTAATTATGAAATTATAATGATAACCAGTGTCATTTTATGTGTGTGTGTGTGTGTGTGTGTGCACTTATGTGTACCTATAGATGTATATATGCATGTTTGTCATCAAGCGTACATTTGATTATAATCAGTGGAATCTACATGTTTTCAGAAAATTCTCAATCGAATGAAACAAGCTCAAGCTTCAATAGGGGATTGGCAAGCATTGTACAAAGTAAGAACTCGCATCAGCATGGCCACCTGCATATTGAGCACACACATAACACACTTTGAAATTATGATTTGAAGAAAAGACTCCTAGTATTCATCAACACTTATTCTGTGCACTATTTGTTAAGTATAAAGTTTTTTTAAGACTATGAATAAGGTGTTATGATTACAGGGTGGTTCATAAAAAACAACCTATTTTGTTTTCCCTCTAAAAACAGTGTTAAGGAGGAAACGGGGAGTCAATATAGACACTGTAATCTTTCAACAGGATAGCGCACCACCACATTGTTCAAACTGAATGTTGGAATACCTTCGCATATATTTCCCTAGGGACAGACTCGTCTCATGCGCACTGACTTTCCTTGGCCACCCTACCTGCCAGATCTCAATCCCCCAGATTTCTTCCTTTGGGGGTACCTTGAGGAAACAATTTATGCTAACAATCCACAAACACTAGATGCTTTGAGGACCAGCATACATTTAGGGAGTTAAGGAACATTCCGACTGTCATGACAGTAAGATTTTTATTGACAATTTCAAAGATCATGTGGCTGCTGTTATTCAGCACTGAGGAGCATGGATAGATCACATCAGTTATTGAAATTTTACTGACTTAAAGGTTTCCAGTTTCTGCAGAATTAGCGAGGATAAAAAGGTCTTCCTTATGGAACAATTTGGTTAAAGAAAGTTGGAAATATCTAAATTATAGCAAAATTGAGATGGAAAGTAAAATAGGTCATTCTTTATGGACCACCCTGTATTACATTTTAAAAATCAGCATAGACCTTATATAATATGAATATAGACAATAACTTGAAATTGAAAAAAATGTCTTTTCAGACAATTTACAATGCGATTCACATAGGTGATATCTGCCGTGCACAGGCTGACAAAATTGACATCTTTGAGAAGGTAAGCTATACGGTGGTTTGATTAGACAGTATCTAACAGAAATATGTTCAGAGTCCACAGGAGACCAAGTAGTTCCAGCAATATTCACTGCTTTTTTTTTTTTTTTTTTTAAGCTGAGCCACAGTGTTTAAAAGACTATTTTTTCTGATTGAACAATATTGAACACAAGTTTTACACAGGCAGAACTTATAGTATATTTTACAGGGATTTTATTTCTTTTCAGATAAGTACAGCATTCACAGAAGACTTGCACAGGATAGCAATTTTGATCAGTAAAATAGTAAGTATATCAGTTAGAATGCATGTAATGTTGTAAAAAGATCTAAAGAATATGAATGATCTTGAACGAATAAATTTTTTTCTTATTTTGTCATTTAGTGTTTTGTGGTTTTATAGGTTGATTTTGATGAATCATTCGCCCAGAATAGGTTTGTGGTCAAGCCAAATGTGGATCCAACACTGGATGAAAGTAAGCTAGTTTAATGCTGTCATGGAATCAGATATAAATTAGTGAAGGTAGAGCCTCTAAATTTCAGAGGTAGAATTTTTCTGTATATTTTACACTTCTTGCTTGTATCTTCATTTGTTTATTTGGAAAGCATGGCTCTTGTGTCAAAATAACAATCTGGTTCAGTGCTTTTTAAGTGAATAAACATTCAGGTGCCAGGTTCATGATATATTACTCTGTATCTAAATGTCATTAAAATGAAAAGAAAAAAACATATATTTGACACCATTAAAAATTGGAAAAATTTTAATATATTTGTTTCTCAAATCTAAATGAAAATTTAGTAATTCAATTTCACTTTTTTTCTGATTACTCTTTGTGTGATGTTTTAGAAAAGAAAACCTATAATGGTCTGCCTGATTTCATGACGACAGTTGCTCAAGAGGAGCTGAGTAAACTGAGTGAGGACATTTTGGAATGTAATGTCATTTATCTGCCACAGGTAAACCATGGTTTATCCGCAAAGACTTGTCAAATTCAGCCTTTCACTGTCACTAATTTCAGTGATGTTAGCCACTTGTTTAATATATAGGCATTTTTCCCATTCTAACAGAAACTGTTCTGGCATTTTTCAAGTATTTCTTTGTCTCTTCCATACCTTACTTTGAAGCAGACTCTTTTTACTATCATCAAAGCACAATTGTTAAAATGACATTTTACAAAAATATTTTGAGGCACTGAATATATGATTTTGTTGAGAAATACAATTTATAAACTATCCTTGAAATCCAGACTCAAGAATGCCATATAGATATATATTTTTACAAGACTTTTTTTCTTCACTACTGTACTTTAGCTAAGTGGAACAGTTGCACATATGCCATCTTATGGAGAAAGGCATTTTTTTAGCAGGGCCAGTGAATTCATTACTAAAAATGAAAAAAAAAAACAAAACAAAAACAGCACACAATGTCTTATCTAAAAAGAAAACCAGTAGATTTTAAACAATGACATGCTGTGAACTCAGTCCTTTTAACAGTGTGCCATCATAATTTCTTTTTGCTTAACTTGATTTTAACTAAAAAAAAAGGATTAGGTGAAAACACTGATTTTCTTCAATTGAATATTATTATTATTATTATTATTATTATTATTATTATTATTATTATTATTTTATCTATCTTCATTGCATTTAAAAAAAAACTAAAAATCTTGCTTGTTGTCATATTGTTATCTGCATTTTAGCTTGGTTATCTACTTGCCATCCCAAAGAGTAAGTTTTTAGAGGAGAAAGAATACCAAGTACCAGGACTGGATTTCATGGTAAGAGCTGTCATCATCACACCTGACATTTTTGTTTTGTGATCCAAATATTTTTTTTTTTCAGTTTGAATAGTATTTATTTTCTGTGTATTTTAGATTGCCAGTCATTTGCATTTGTTTTATATCCTTTCAAACAGTGATACAGTGATAGGTCAGTTTTGTATGCTAAGATGCTGTATGAGTGAAAACTCCCACTCAATCATGTGTTACCTCTTGCTCTGGGCTGTGTGAGATTACTCACACTTTGATGAATATTACTTGCATTTCTTCCTGGTTCTGGCTCATAGACTGCACAATATGCCTTTAAGCATGCACAGTTAGGTCCTATTTCATCTATGATCCTCTCTTTTATCTCTCTTTCTGATGTAATTTTTTTTCTATTTTCTTAAAGGGACAGTTTATACAATTTTAGTTGAGGTGAATCTTTATATGTTCCTGTTAAGTTGCTTGTAATTTTGCCTCAAAGGCATTTTATATCCTTTCTAGACAAATCCTACTTAAACTTAGCATTTGTCTGATTTGTACATGATGTGAAATACAAAGAATACATACTGTATAAAGAAATGGACTTAAATGTCTGTATGATTATGTTCTTTTTAGTTTGAAACTTGACATCTTGAGAAAATTATCCCCGATGCCAGCTAGGAAAGTTCAATCTTTTATTCTTCTCAACAAAACCCTGTGAATGGTTCCTTTAATTGAATAGAAACTTGATTTATTAGCTGGGCATGAACAGGGTCTGTATGAGGCCTGGCTGGTTGCTATAAACAGCTTTGTCCAATTTTGCATAAAAATTCATTTTTTCCTATTTGTAAATATGTTGGTATTTTCTTGATGTTCAAGGAGAAAATTTTGTTTTGATCATTAAGTTACTGAATTCAGTTAGAGAATGTTGAAAATATCAAGATAGTTTTGTTTGTTGACTATGGACTGTAACCCCATAGTCCATTTAATTGCATGGCATTTGATAAACCTGATGCTTCACATTTGGATAAAATAAGTACATCGGTTTTAAACTCATTTCCTCTTCTATGTCACTGAGAGGTTTTAAAATCAGAATAAAATGTTGTGACATATTTCACCCCAACTGAAAGTGAAGTACATCTTGCCTTCACACGGATTAGAGTTTTTATGTTCCTCCAGTGCAGTGCTCTGTATTGTGATTTATATTGCATTGCTAAGATTTTGTTGTTCTAAGTTTCCTTTAGTGCAGTACAGTATATTGTGATATACGTTAAGCTACTAAAAATAGGAACCCCATTTATTCCATATCTCTGTTAAGGCAGCCCACTTGTTATGAATCATTGGCATTAGCAGCAAATGTTCCACATAACTGATTTATATAACAGTTGTTTACTATGATACAAATCTTAATCTCCTAAAAAACAAAACTTCCTGGTTTTCTGGTGCATTCTCTTAGGAATTATAGTTAACAAATATCATGAAATTATGTTTATGAATAATATGAAGGTTTAACATTTTCAGTTTTTCTCAAATGATACAAGCTATTTCAAGAGTGCTAGAACAAGAGGTATGTTTGGAAATTTTTAATTTAAATTAATCAATGAAATTTGTTACCTAGAGTAAAGGAGGTCAGTGCACCCATCATGAAATGTGAAGAATTTCATGTACTTGACATCTTTTCAGTAAGATATTAAATTATATAATTGGTTTTATGAATTCAGAACTGGACCATCTACTTGGTGACACGCAGTGTGATATTACTGGTGAGACAAAGATTCTCTAGCACATCAATCTCTGCCAGATCCTAGCTGTCCTTCTCTAACACAGCTACATCTGTACCCATTTTGTAATATCCTATATAATTATCTACTACATGACTTTCCTATATATATAAATATTTGATAAAATAAAAATGTATTCTGCCTTTCTGATAATTCTGCCTGTATTTAAAGAGGACTCAAACATGCGTCATGAGAATTAAACATTAACTATTAGGTTAATCATGAAAGTACAGTTGTATAGCACAGAAACTGTCTTCTTTGAAAGTTCTGTACGTCTAAGTTTTAAAATAAAAGTCTGCTTCCTCATGTCTTCAGCAAATGCCCTCCTTGTTTCATTTAGTATTTCTATTTTCAGATCATGAAACTAGCATCATGCACAGACTACAGAACACCATCCTAGAGCACTGCAAGGTGCTGCTGGATATCATGGACTTGACTGCTCATCTAGACTGGTTTGTTGACTAGATAAGCAGGATTGCTAACATTTCATCCCCCAAAATTCACAAATCAGTTATTTTTTATGTTATAAATAATGGAATTAAACATGAAAACAAAAGGCATACTAAAGAATTAATGAAATGTGCTTAAAATTGCATAAAATTAGTATTCCTTGACCAGCTACAAATCTTGTGTAATCATGCAGACAATGGAATCAGTCAGGGGTGGAGAAGTTTCTCTGGCCATTGCCCACAGTCAGATGTGTAACATATGTTTGTCTCTTGTTTTGTAAATACAGTATATTCTATGTTCAATATTTCAGTTTGCTAGCACTAGCTACATGTGCCAGAGAATATAATTATGTCCGTCCTGAGCTGACCACTGAAAATATCATTGTGATTCAAAGTGGCAGGTAGACAAAGCATATTACACAGAAATAATCAAAGTTAACCTTTACAATGCAGATAAAATTTATAGTAATTTTTAAAAAAATTTAATTTTGTTGAAACTTTAAAGTAGAATGACAGATGCTGCTTCTGTGGATAGTTGTGTTCATTAGCTTTGTGTCTATTAATTAGCTACTGAGAATTTGTTATATTTTCTGTCCAGGCATCCTCTTCAAGAACTGTGTTGCAGCCCTTTTGTTCCCAATGCCACAATGAGTGGAGGAGACCATGGCAAGATGAAGGTTCTCACAGGGCCCAATGCCAGTGGAAAGAGCGTCTATCTGAAACAGGTTATATGCACTTTAAGAAAAAAATTCGATCTTTATTTTCGTATTATATTTTTTCTCGTGTAAAGGCTGCCTAGAAATTTGTCTGAATTTGCTGTTATGTGGGTGATGTGTACATGTATGCACATGTGTACCAAAAGCTGTATATACTCATATTTATGCATGTGAGTATAAGCATATACATGTACTAGAGTTTTATTGGTCAATTGCTGTGGTGTAGTGTTAGATGAGATTTTGAATGAAAATCTATGTATTCCAAGAAATTCATAACACTGTGTTTTGAAGCTGGATAGCTAATCTCTTATTAAACTGTCTTAATGAGCTCATTATATTTTATAGGGATACAATTTATATCTTGTTCATTGATTGTCTTGTCTATTTTTCTGAAGGTTTTTCTTTCAAAAGGAGACCAAAGAAAGAAAGAAAATGTCCACATTTTGATGTCTGCAATTTCATTGGTTTAAAACTCACTGCATGTGATAGGGACATTTTGTTTGAACAACATTGCCTATGGAATCTACATCTATTCTCTTAAGTCTTATAGCCTTAGTTTCTATTGGACTTTTAAGGTGTCAAGAGGCACACATGCATAATATACAGTAGTAAACTTTTTCTTTGCAGGTAGCCCTCATAACATTTCTTGCCCATATTGGTAGCTATGTTCCTGCTGAATCTGCAAGAATTGGTCTTCTGGACCGTATTTTCTCTCGTATCAAAACAATGGAGAGTGTCTCTGTGGGTCTTTCTACATTCATGATTGATTTGAACCAGGTAGGCAACAATAGCAGTGAGTCCAACTTGTTGTTATATGTCCTGACATATTACACTTTTCAAGTCTAATCCTTCTGCAAAGTATTGAAGTAGGTTATGAAGCAAAAACTTATACTTTGATAATATATTAAAAATTAAGTATAATTTATTAAATCTATAATGATAATGATAATTTTTTTTGAAAGTTTGCCTTACTTAATGATGTCAACTTTTTTTCTTTAATTTAACAAAATACAGGTATCAGCAGCAATAAACAATGCCACACAAAATTCTCTGATCATTTTGGATGAATTTGGAAAAGGCACAGAGACGGTATGTTATATTTATACCAATGAAGGATATACAAGCATTATTAGTTGTTTTTTAAATTATACCTAGCCTAGCTGGCACATCACCTGTTTGAATGATTTTTCCCTATGCCCATTTCCACATGCCCATATATTTTAGAAACCTCAGTTAACCTATGAATGAAAATTGGGCTTATATTTTAATAATAATGAAACAGTACAGATGTACTTTATTTCAGTTTTGGTCAAACATGATGTGTGTGTGTATGTGTGTGTTTATATGTGCCCTCAAAAATATACTTCAATAAATGAACACATTTACTGCATGTTAAGAATATGTGATGAGGTAACCATTCTATTTAGCTATTATTATGTTGAATATGTGTCTAATTTGCAAACATATCTTGTGTATTTCAGACTGATGGTTTGGCTCTATTATGCAGTTGTTTAAAGCACTGGTTAGCACTTGGTTCCTCCTGTCCTCATGTACTGGTCTCAACACATTTTCATGGACTTATTCAGCACAGACTACTGCCAAACTCTCAACAACTTAAATTTCAGGTTTATTTGAATTTTTTTTTTACCTCATACATAATATATTACCATGAAAGATTAATTTATTATTATTATTATTATTTATTATAACATTTTTAGAAAAAATACTTTCAAGTTTATTTTAGTGCATTTTTGTTTTTCTGATTATTGCACAATTCTATTAATTTTGAGTTGCTGGGTGAATTATTAGTGAAAAAAATTCCACTGGTGAAAATGTACATATGAGAGGTTTTATTACATTTAAGGTCTGAATTGGCCAAGAGAAATATTATAGCTTTGCAGGATATATTTAGACATAGAAAATATGGCTTTAGGATATTTTAAACATGGATATTATACCTTTAATTGCAAAAAATAAAACTTATTTAAAATTTGTTTAGATAACAAGTTACTGCTATGATATTTTTAAAAAAGATATCTTGGTTTTGACAGTCAGTTCTGATTTCTTAAAATCAATTAATGGAATGTACCAATAATGGGAGCACAACAGATGTCAAATCAAAATGAATTTTTGGTCATTAGCAACTGTGAACTCACTGTATTTTGAGACAGAAAATTCACCCTCTTTATATAAACAAAGGAATATACAGAACATGTGACTGTGGGAGTGATCTCATTGACTACACCTGTCAGTGTATAACTGTACGCCACAGTTTTGGCTTTCATACTTAAAAGGCTAGATTTGATTACTCTGAAGGAGATTAATTGTTGATAATTGGTCAGCTCCTGTATATTTCAAGTTCAATGGTTATATACTTTATGACAACACTCCCCTATATCAATCTGACCATGAATTTTATTTTTGGCAACTGCATATTTTAAATAATGCATTATGATTTGGCACTTTTCATTATATAGAAATCAGCACTTTAAGTGTACAACAAGTATACTATATTATAATTATTTATGTTTAACATGTGGCATCTTCATTTTCTCCAGACAATGGACATTGTGCAGAATGAAACAGAGCTGGTTTTCCTGTATCAGCTGATAGATGGCAGCACCAACTGTAGTCAGGCATGCCATATTGCTGCTCAGGCAGGATTACCAAAGGAAATAGTCAGCAGAGGACTGGAGGTACAGTACAGCCACAAGTTATGATTAATAATGCGAATGCACTGACATTGTTGAATTAAAGGGCTCCTTTATCATTTGGATGAATGGAATGTTTTATTCAAGTTTATAAATAGGAATTGATAGTACGTGTTCTGAATATTGCGCACCAGATACATAAATATAGTAACGTTACCTTATTTATTTAACATGCTGTTGAATCTTTTTTTATTTATGCTTTTCCAAAAGAGAGTCTCCCCCCAACTCCAGTTTCAATCATTTAAAAAAGGGGGATTTGTCATGAAATCATCATAATTTGATTTATTTTTTAAAAATCTTTAGTTGATGATATTGATTGTTTTAGGTGTCAGAGTTATTGCGGAAAGGAGAACCTGTCCATAGACAAAACACCTCCATCACCCTGGCACTCTATAGGAGGTTGTTGTCTGTTTAGAATAAAGACTTGATTGTAAACATAAATATTTATTAATCTGCTGGATTTTTACTGATTCAAGTTTTAAAAAGGGAAACATATCTACATATTTTAATTCATATTTGAGGATGGCTTTTTAGAACCTTTTTTATTTTTGAGTTGAACTGAAGAAAATGGCCTTTCACCTGAGAATCTTCCTTGTTATAAGTCTCGGCTTAATGCTTTTATTTGTTTCAGATGTGAGAATGTTGTAAACAAGTTCTTACAACTGGATTTGGAGAAAGAAAACCTAAAAGCTTTTCTGCAAGAGTTTGTCATTCCTGCCAGCATAGACCTTAACTAGAAGCATTTTGTGCTGTCAAAGTGAAAAGAAAGATATGAAAATATTTCTGAAAATATAAACTTTTCATTTTGCCCTTTGTAATATTTAATTATATGTTCTACACATAGTTAAATACACATACACATATGTATCTTTCAGTAAAGAAAAACTTTATGTGTAATGGACAAGATGGTCTGCCCAGTAAATTTAAATTTGATTCCATTGTTTTTATTCCAATTTATCTGTTTATAATTTTGTTAAGTTTTGATATTTTTTTTTAATATTCTGCCAGGTTGATATCTACTTGTTTTGGATCCATCTTTATATATGATTTTCAAATGTGTAACTTGATATTTGTCTTTTTTAAGGTTTTATCTTTTCATAATTTTAATAAGTTTGACATTTTAAGTCATGGCCATGTTTATATATATTCATTGGTCCATTAATTTTTTACAAAGTTTACATTTTTTTCTTTCAACATTTACTCAACATGTACTTAATTATTAATTATTTTCACATTGTATATCACAGGAACTTTTTTTTTTTCTTTATGTTGAAGATTGATTTTTTAACTTAATGGAAAGTTCAGAATTTAAATATGATATATTTTAAAATGATAATAATTAATAAGCTCCTTTGTATTGTTTTCTTGACATAAAAATACTTTATATACCATGTCATATTACAAGTTGGAATTTGATTGGCTTTTGATAAAAATTTTATTTGTATTTTTATTTGTATATTTGTCCAGTGTTAGACAATTAGATGGGAATTTTAAATAAATACCAAATACTGATTTTTTTCTTCTCTGTCAAAGTGAAAACAGCTTTTAATTTGTGATAAGTGTTCTTGCAAGTCCATAGATGAGGCATATGAAAAATGCAAAAATATTAGCCGCGTTCGTTAACTGTGATGTTGTGACCGAGAAGAGCGTGTCATCNTTTTTTAAAATATTCTGCCAGGTTGATATCTACTTGTTTTGGATCCATCTTTATATATGATTTTCAAATGTGTAACTTGATATTTGTCTTTTTTAAGGTTTTATCTTTTCATAATTTTAATAAGTTTGACATTTTAAGTCATGGCCATGTTTATATATATTCATTGGTCCATTAATTTTTTACAAAGTTTACATTTTTTTCTTTCAACATTTACTCAACATGTACTTAATTATTAATTATTTTCACATTGTATATCACAGGAACTTTTTTTTTTTCTTTATGTTGAAGATTGATTTTTTAACTTAATGGAAAGTTCAGAATTTAAATATGATATATTTTAAAATGATAATAATTAATAAGCTCCTTTGTATTGTTTTCTTGACATAAAAATACTTTATATACCATGTCATATTACAAGTTGGAATTTGATTGATTTTTGATAAAAATTTTATTTGTATTTTTATTTGTATATTTGTCCAGTGTTAGACAATTAGATGGGAATTTTAAATAAATACCAAATACTGATTTTTTTCTTCTCTGTCAAAGTGAAAACAGCTTTTAATTTGTGATAAGTGTTCTTGCAAGTCCATAGATGAGGCATATGAAAAATGCAAAAATATTAGCCGCGTTCGTTAACTGTGATGTTGTGACCGAGAAGAGCGTGTCATCATCCCCCCCCCCCCCCGCCCCATTTAACAGGTTCTCATAATGCATCAAAAATATAGGTCAAGGTCACAGTCATTTATGTTGTCCGTTTTATTGTCTTTCTGTGTTTCTTATTTTTATTTTCGGCTCACGAAAATTTAACATTCACAATATTGTTCTTTGGTATAAATTTTGAAGAAAATTGAGTGTTTTTAGGCAGTTTTATGAAGGCATATGCATTTCCTTTCGTATCGAGACTACACCCCCACTCTGATGACGTCACGTACAAGGATTTTGGAGCAGTAGTGATGGTACATAAAAGAGAAATATGTGTTTCGATTTCTTGCCTATATAAACTATGTATATGATGTCTAAAATACAATGATTGGAAAAAAGAGAAAGAGAGTAGTTGGAAGTATTATCAGAACCAGGAAATCGGCTTTACGGGACATAAAGTCGGTAAGTATCGTAGGTAAAGTGAAGAATATGTTGCTCATAAATGCAACCTCTACTATTTATATGATATCTCATTGTAAATATTATTTATCTGTAAATTTTAAGACTTACCCTTATACATGTGTGTCTCATTATATGTAGTGTTGCCTATGTTTGTAGCTTGATCATACGACGTACATTATGGTTTACATCAATAGAGTTCTGTTCTTTTCTGTACCAATCACGTGTAATCGTTGAACCGTTTGGAGCTGTATCATTCCTTTTAAGATTCTGATTGAAAACTTTTACTAAGTTCACAAATGCAGACACAATGCTGTCATTTTTTTTAGTTATGTTTTAATACATTTCATAGATACGTTCTATTTAACTTGAACTGTATTACTGATACTAGTGTATTACTAGTACTTGAGTATGTTACATGGCCAGCCATTTAGATATAAGATTATGAATAAGGTGTTCATATATCCTCCTTCCTTGCATTGCACTGTTTATTTAGGTTTTTTTTAAAAAAAATGTGGTAGAATTATCTTTTCTGTGAGCAAAATGACAACCTAAACTGAGAAGACTCCCAGAAGCTACAGGGAGAACCACTCCCATTCAGAGAGTACTCTTAGTTAAATGAACACCATTCAACTCTGTTAGCACTCTCCATTATTATTTTGTTTTGATAGATTTCTTGATGATGATAATATATTATTATTTTTAGTTTTTCCATGCGAATAAACTACATATAAAACTATATTGACAAAATACAAAGAAAAATGTAGTATTAATAATGGTAATAATTGATTTTTTAGGTAGATCTGATTTTTATTCAATTTTTGTAAATCTCTGATAACTGATCAAACCAGCCCTTTGCAGCACCCATCATTGACACATAATTCATATGCTTTAGCAATATGCCAAGTATTGTAAAACAGTCCTTGTTCATCAATTTTCATACAGATTTTGGGAGTATGCAAAGGATACAAAGTTCCTTCCGGGCCTTACAAGTGTTCTCTCATGCCTCACAGTCAATGTATGAATGCAATGCACCAGTTTATTCACTAATAAATGTATTAACATGATAACATCACGCCTATTGTTGTTAAATTCCAATACAGTAATAACATCAGGATGGTCAGATACAGCTTGGATGTTTTCCAACCTATCCCTCCAACAGTAATAGTAGATCTACTTTCAGAATGTTGTCAGCAAGAGCTCTGTCTCCTGGTAGCTCTCCAACTGCACTGTTCTCCATGTCTGTTTCTTCACACATTTTAACAATCGTGCATTAGCAACCAGATTGTATTAAAATAATTGTCACTATTGGCTCATCCCCAATGAAACTATCAGTCTACATAGATCAGTCCAACTCTGCAGGAACTCTTGCTGAATGCAATCACATTAGTGGATTAATAAACCTTCCCCTGGCGTTATGTAGAATACGGTAAAGCTGGTGATTATATGAGTACCCTGGAAACGAGTAGGTGTTTTAATCTTATTGCATTCAGTGAGTCTCCGTGAAATTGGATCAATCTACTTAGGGCGTATTCCCAGAGCTTTTAGATCGATCTATCCCCGCGGGGAGTCTCACTAGATTACTGTCAGATAATCCGGCTTAAATGTCAGTCCCGCCTACTACAAGCTGTAAGGGGGTAATTAACTTTCGTGCCCGCTCGGCTGACAGCTATTTAGCATGAACCCCAGGGAGTTAGGTCGATCTAAAGTAGATCTATCTAAAAGCTCTGGGAATACAGCCATAGACTGATAGTTTCATTGGGAATAGCTTTATTTGTTTACACTGCTCTCACAATTATATCAGTATACTACTTAGTACTGTGCATCAGTGGGAAAGTTGCCCAGCTCAGTTTCACAGAAAATTTAGTTGACTAGATTTGGTCATTATGCTCCATGTCCAATGTCTATCTTGGTTCCATTTTTAGATTGTAGTTGTTATGGTGTTACAAATACTAATAAAATCACACTTTTGTTCATTGTGTGAGCTTCCAAACTGTCAAGCTTCAGACTTCAGTCTGAAATTAACTTAATTTTAATATGGGCATTTTTACAATCCTGGGCACTTTTCAGATATTCCCACATATTGCTAATTAACAAATTACATACATATGATCAAAGAATTCTTTTATCACTATGTTAGAGAATGGTGTAAGTGAAGATAAAAACTGAAAATAGAAACCAAATATCACCACCGAGTCCGAAGTTATGCTAAAGCAAAGTCCGAAAAATGACCAAAGATTTTTCCCGTTTTAGTGATATGAAATAAAAAGCAATCTGAAACAAATTAAAACAGTGTTTGACATTGCATTTTTTGGGATTATAAAACACTCAGTAGTATGGTGGAAGCAAAAAAGTTTAAATATTAACAAGAGAGAGGTGTATCCTAGAAAAAAAAGTCTTTTAATAGCATGCTGGTATTTCCGTTAAACGAAATGTCCATTCCGAAACAAAAATAAATTACTTTCAGAAAATATATCATAAAACATACAGTATAATTAACCATACTAATCATTATTTGAATGTATTGGTATTGTTTGTATCAAATAATGAAATCTGTGCGATGATCCTGGAGCTTGACATGGAGTGCAAAATAACCCTACTGTGCTTTTCCGTTAAATTTGTCCATTCCGAAACATTGGGTTTCTCTTACATAAAAAGAACATGTTGACACCTAGCCTGTAACAATATATATTTCTCTAAAGCCTAGGACATGTGATATTTATTTTTATATAAGAAAACCCCAGTGCACAGAAACACATTTAATTGTGGCCTTTTTTGAGATGCTTGTTAAAAATTGTCCATTCCGAAACAAAGTACCTTTACATTGCCAATGTTATAAACAGAGAGAATTCTGTCTTTAATGCTGTATGTTTCACTTGACATAAGCAAATTACTGTTGGAGCATCATGCATATGACATAAAAAATAATACAAAAATATTTCTTCAATGGCATCTTTTTAAATTTCTATATATATCCTCAACAAAAAAATTCATTTTTGCAAGTCAGCATCTTTTCTTTGGATCTACTAGAACTTCCATTGCATATTTTCCCAAAGTTCATGTATTTCAAAGTTGAATTAACAATTAATTGAAGAGATTATATCAGTATAAATAGAAATAAAGGCAATTTGGATGCTTTGTATCAGAAAGGACATTTTTAACACATTGTCAAAAACACTTGTTTACTCTTTGGTCTGCTCATTTATTTATTATTCATGAGGAAGAGGATGATGGGAAGCACATCAAATTTATGTAGAATATAATTTTGAATAATATGGCTTACCTTACTTTAAATATTTCTTACTTATGATGTACATAAAAGTATTCAAAAATAGTTATGAGGCTACACATGTTAAAGTTGCGAGAGTCAGTTCACTGGCATGGTTAACAGAGGCGCTTGCAGGCAGACACAGGTTATAATTAACTTCCTGTGATTATTTATAACATATACATACATCATGATGCATACATATATACCATTTAAGCAATTTCGTAAATGTTAAATAAATGTCCATTCCGAAACACAGGACATGCCTAAAAGGACATATTTAAAAATGTAATTTCTTAATTTAAACATGGACTTGTCAAATAATATTTTATACAGCTATGAGCTGTAACAAAAGGAAGTAGAATAGGGTATAATGGAGTGTAGAAGACTCTATTTTATGTCATGATCAAATACTAATGGAGTAACATTTCAAAAAAGAATCAAAAACTTTCCAAAATGACCAATTAATGTAATAAAAACAGTTCAGTTTTAATCTAGTTAACTCATATTTTGTCCAGTGATTGCTTCACCTGTACCTTGTAAACCAACGTACTATGAGATCTTAAGGAAATTTCATAAATGTTAAATAAATGTCCATTCCGAAAAAAGGACATGTCTAAAAGGACATTTTTAAACATGTCTTTACTGTTGGTAAATCTGACATTGTCAAATAAGATTTTATACAGCTATGAACTGTAACAAAAGAAACTGGAATAAGGTATAATGGCATAAAGAATACCTGGAATATATCTCAGAATCAATATTTAATAAAATAAAATTCCAGTAATGGAATTTCTAGTACATAATAGACAAAACAAACACAAAATGTAATAAAAAGACTTCAATTTTAGTTCAGCTTCCACCTATTTTGCCCAGTTATTCATAGACTTTACCTAAAACTTATAAACTCAAATACTACAATATATTAAAACAATATCATAAATGTTAAAACAATGTCCAAAATTTATTTTAACATGACACTGCAATTAGCACACACGTCTGTGCAAAATAATATTTTACACAATCATGAAGCATAACATAAGGAACTAATGCAAGGTAAAGTGAAGTACAGAAGTACTCAGAGTATCTCAGAATCATGAACTTCATGGAGTCACATTTAATACTGAAACAGGAAAATTACAAAATATCATTGATTCGTCAAATTTTGGATATTTTCATCCATTTTTTTGCAAATACATAAAAGAGCGATACTTTCTGTAAAACTAAGTGGTTTTTTGGAGATCAATACCTTAAATTATCATAAAAGTCACACACTTCAAGGTTTAGCTTATGAAAATTAAAAAAATGATTTTCAAAATTCAAATAATCATATCTTTATACATACACAAGGTTTTATCTTGGGATTGTCATTTCTTATACCCTTCAGGTCTATACTTTCAAGAAAAGTACAAATTTCAACACAATAATGATTTCTATTTTTGACCCTTGGTGGGAAAAAAAGGAGCCCAGGATTGTAAAAATGCCCTTATCAACCTACAAATACATAAGCCATTGTACTGAATCTGCCTGGCTTATAGACTGTTCAGAATAAATTTTATCAATACCCATTTTTTTTTTAATTTGGAGCAGACCAAGTACATTTGAAGACATCCCCTGCACATGCCATATCATACCAACAAACTGCATGGCACCTTGGCCAATTAACTTGGTCAATTAACTTGCCCAGTATGCTGTTAACAAAACAAACACCATAAAGAATGGGCCCAGCCAGGGCGTAATAAACATGGGGTCGGGCTTTTTATGCATGGGACCAGATTTGGTCTGGGCCTTTGACATAAATTTGTGGGTCCATCAGCATGCAGTTTAAAAAGTCCAAAAAGGTGGTCAAAACCATTTCATCAATGTTTTTATCCAGTATAATAATAATAATAATAATAATAATAATAATAATAATAATAATAATTAATATAAATAAATAAAAATGCATTTAACTTTTTGTGTTACATAAAAATGTGTTTAGTTTTGTATATTTCATTATAATTTGCATGCTGTGACAGTATGAATGCATGTACTATTTTTTGTATTCCAAACCCAAGGTCACTGTTGTGTATGAATACACTACCTCCTGTGAAAAGTAGTTCCATTTCATGAAAAATGGTCGTCTGCTAGTTTTATTTGCAAAGAACAATCCACAAAGTCAGGAAAATAAGGTATCATCCAAAGTACTTCAACATTTAATTTATTTGTGTGTTTTAACAACAAACTGGTGATGAAATGTCTTTGAATCTAGAAGTGGTAAGACATCAAGAAACTTGACAAAGTACATTTGAGATATATTGAGGTATATCTAAGCTTTCATGAACAGCTACAAGATGAAGAATATGAAGAATTGTTGTGAGATTTGAGTTGTTCTTCACTGACAAATGGACAAGAAGTTCAGGGATTAAACAATATAAAATGTTTTTCTTGTGACTTAATAAAAATACAAATAAAGCATACTATAAATTCCATTAAAAAGAGTTCTTCATCCATATTCAAAATCCTAATCACTAATGGGTTCATAGAAATTTGTCAGTAACAGTAAAGTATTAACTATAGAAAATGTCTCCACTCTACATACATTTTTACTAAAGCACAGCTGTGTGCTCACTGAATTTAAATATGCTTAAAAAGTTTTTTTTTTTTATTGAAATAAAGGCAAACATATTTATGGATAAAAACATTGTAAGACTAATTAACTTTCAAATATTTTACATAATAATCATATCTATCCACAGTTAATACATGTTACTTACCTTGTTTCAGTTCAATGTACTTGAATGTGTGAACATTGCCCAGCCACTCTCCCACCACCAGCTGACCAGCAGGGTTGATGACTACTGCAGTGGGACGCCACAACCCATCATCCTCAGTGACAATGTATCTGATAAACTGTCCCTGTGGACTCAGTGCCACTATCCTGTGGTTATCCCTGTCAGCAATGAAGATGTGACCATAGCTGTCTGTGCACACTCCACATGGTAAACTCAGTTTACTGCCTTCTCTGCTGCCATCATACTTGTACAGATGATCACCAGTAGGTGACAGCACATGTACACAGTGTCCCAACATGTCTGATATCACAATGTTATCATTCACACTGTTCACTGTGATGTACCTTGGGTATCTACACATACTGAGTGGAATAGTGTTCAGGAGCTGTCCACTGTCTGCATGGAATGTGAAGATGGACTTCTTTCTATTGTCACAAACCATCACATGACCTTGTCTGTTCAGTGTAATACCCCATGGTAACTCCAGTAGACCCTGACCCATGGTTGTCACCTGCTGACCTCTGGTGGAGTACACTTGGACACATCTGTCACCCCATGATGTTATATACAGGTGACCAGTCTGTGACACAGCCACATCATATGGTTCGTTTACTTTAATGTCAAACTTAAATTGTCCTCCATGTGTGAATACTTTTGTTCTGTTGTTTCCATTATCCACAACAAACATGTGTTCCTTATCTATGGCTAACCCAGTTATGTGTATTCCTCTTCTATCATCTTCCAGTTTAGGTCTGAAGGAACGCACACATTCTGCCTTCTCAAAGAAAACATGAGGATGTGTAGCTGATGTTGTATTTGTTTCCTGTTCAGCTAATGGAGGTTGTGTCTGTACTGTCACCTGTCCTGATCTTGGATTTACACCTCGTCTAGACTGCCCTAACATGGCTTCCATTCCGACAGTAGATCCTGTAATATTTCTGTCAGCGATTGCTAAACTTTATGTTCACTTCTGGTGCTGCAGCTTGGAGATCACAGTAACATAAACACTTGCTCCATATACCTACAAGTCGGTCAGATTATATCTCTTTCTTTGTCAAATATGTTCAACATTATCCCACAATCTCCCTCCTGTTACTTCCTGGCTGTTGAAGAAAATGGCGCCTGTTTATCACATACAGCACTGACTCGCTTAGGAGAAAGGCCAGGACAGGACACAGAATGGCGGCAACGGCATCACAGGCCACGAGAAACAAAACGGCATCACAGAGCAGTGGATAATAGATGACACAGCGAGTTCAGGTGCCAGTAGAATGTCAATTTTAAAACAGTTATCTGCAAGGAATAAGGATTGTTCTATAATAATAACAATGAGAAGAAGAAGAAGAATCATGGTATGACTCCGACATCTTAGTAATTACCAAAGGTCACAAGAATCATCACATAAAAAATAAAATATAATAAAAAAAAAAAAAAAAAAATAATAATAATAATCTTGAGATTGCAGACTAACTGGCTAGGGGACATAAGATTAAAAGTNGGGAGGGGGGATTTTTTTTTTTTTTTTTTTTTCGGAGAACGGGCGAAAATCGGTGCGCGCGCAGGATGTCATCCATAAAAAAAAAGTGTGGCCTTACCCCCTAGCAGCCTCAGTAGGCATGACAAATATCTAAGCCTTTTAAGTTAATTGCAATTTAGCGCGAATCCGCTTGGAGATTAATCGATCCCCAGTTAGTACGATAGGGTCTGGGAATGGTCCCTTAGAGTAGGCCATTTGCATCCCAAAGCTTCAGCACATAAGCCTGTTTTATTTGCTTCAGGAGAAATATGCTTGCTTTCAGTAACAGCCCAAAAGTGATCAGATTTTTTTCTGATTTGTCTTTGCAGGCAAGTAACCAATGATAAACAAAAGACAAAATCCTGCAAGTACAATGTATTTGGTATGGGCACAATATTTACAGTTTTTGTTTGTACAAGTTGCATCTTTCTTCATGATATTGTTTTTGCACAACGAGCACAGCTTTGTTAATGTTGCACCAAGAGCACAATCTTTTTAATTTCATTCGGGTCTTGTAGCTTACTTTAATTTACTTTCCTAAATTGATAGTAATGCCATGACTTTTTTGATCTGTTGTGTTGCAGTATTGCTTAGTTTTTTGTCATTGGCAAAAGATTTTTGGTTGTACGTTTTGCTGACGATAACCTCACTTTTTGGTTTTACGTTTTGCTTAAGATAACCTCACCTTTATCTGGTGAGCAAAAAGGCCTTGGGGTGAAGGGGCTGCAATTGTATTATTGGATGTTATATAACCACAATATCATTTTGAGTATTTGGTATCATCAGTGCAAAAGGCCTTTCTAAGGTATATAAATCTTATTTGTTTGGCAATTTCCTTAACGTTTTGTTTAATGCACAAAATGATGTCAAATTGATTATCCCTTTACACCTTGTGATAGATTACCCTCAAAATAATATCAGAAATTAATACTTCATAGAATATCAAACAAGATTACCTGATATTTTTGACCAACATAATTAGTCTTAGTCCTAACAGTCACTGTCATCTGCTCCCCCTTTCCTTCATCTCCCATTAACAGTTACTCACAGTCACTTCAATAATAAGACATTCCCATCAAGAGAGAGGGGTCTTGCTATAAAAATGCAAATGACTTGATAGATAACCCTGACAATATGAGTGTTGCAGTATTTAACTCTGTGCACATATAAGAGTTCTGCCAAATGTCAGTCATATCTTTACAAGAAAGCTAAATGTAAAACTTATTTTCTTATGTGCTGTTGACATTTGTTAATTTTCGAAATAAGATGAGTTACTCAAAATGGTATGTACAGTAATTGTCAAGTAAAAATATGTGAATAAAAATTTAATCTGTTTTTTCTTTTCAGTCGTCTGGAATAGGCAATCCATCAGTATACCATGCCTTAGTAGTGATATTCTTGGAGTTCTTTGCATGGGGGCTGCTCACAACTCCCATGATATCTGTAAGTAAACCAGGTTTCCTTTCATAGAGTTACTATTATGAATTGTGGAAAGTTGTCTATTATAATGTATGTTTTTACAGCAAGAATTGCATTAAGTTGATGAATTGATTTAAAACATGTCTGAATAGAAGATTGCTTTAAACCACCCTGACTGATGTTTGACACTTTGTGTCTATTTTCAGTCAGATGAACACCCCATCTCTTGTTCAAATATTCTTGTATAAAATCACCAGCTTTTCTGTATTCTACTCAATGCCAGGAGGAGGCATGTAAACTGTAAATCTGATCAGATTGCATTCAGCGAGAGTCCCCCATAGGTTGATTAATCTAGGTAGAAAAATAGTTTTATTGGAATTGATGAGCCCTTAGATATAGCTCTTTTTTGTACAGGAGCCAAGTAACAGATGCTGTGCCACACTTAAATTTGAATATGTATACTCAATACTTGTATGATGATCAGTCTGTCAGTTAAATTAATATATTTCACTACCCCCCCCCCCCCCCCAAATGTGGGCTCAATGAAGCAAAGGTATATCCTTCTGTGATTTCAAATAAGCAACAGCTGTTGGATCTCAGCAACCCAATCAATTCAATAAAATAGTAACTTTTCTTGAAACAAATTTCCAGCAGTTGTTTGATGTATAAGCACAGCAGACTTTGGTTTGAATGATTTTCCTCTCAGGCCTGCGTATATCACAACATATTGTCCTTATTTATTTCAGGTGTTAGATGAAACATTTCCAAAGCATACTTTTCTGATTAATGGACTAATACAAGGAGTGAAGGTATGGGCAGAATGAATGGTGAAATAAACACCAATACTCATTCCTATCCTCAGAAATTTAAAATAATTTTTTCCAACAGTTTTACTTCCTTTAGTTTGAAGACTATTATTCATCTCATGATCTATACTTAGTAGAAATACCCAATATTTATGTATTTGTCATTGTTTTGCTCTAAATTATTTTCCTGAAGTTTGAAGAATATACTGTAATGTATTTGGTGCATTATGACTGATCTTCTGGAAATGGTATGAGAGCATACTAAATCCTGCATTTTAGTGCAGCCTTGAAAATCAATAATGTTAGATATTTGTACTTTGTGGAGCACTCAGCTTTTATACATATTAATTGTTGTCAGTGAGCATACATTCTCGCAAGGATATAATTATATACCAGAAATGTTTCAACACAGCCTTGATTATGATATCATATAAAATAGGACTTAAAATGGATTGAATGCTAAGCCTTGTTGGTACTCAATTTATGATGTTGTAACATGATTTATAACAAACCTTTTTTTTTTTTACAAAATCATAAGGTCCCAAGAGTTTAAATAAATTACGCATACTATATTATTACTATAGTTAAACAATGCAACCATTTTTACCACTTCTCTTTTTGAAACTTAACCACTAAACGTTAAATAATCTGCCTATAAATTGCTTTCAACCTGCATCATGTGAATGCATGGTGGTTTTGTACACTGGCTGAAAACCACTTCAGTATTTCCACTGTTCTAGGACATTATCTTATTCCTGGCAACTTCTTTGGTGAGGACACTGTCAGTTATTCACATATATTGTTTATATGGACATGCTGTTTTTTTTGTAGGTGCAGGTGTGGCCAGACCATACATATTGATTCCTGTATTTCTGTTTTAAGGGCATCCTGTCATTCCTGTCAGCTCCTCTGGTGGGGGCACTGTCAGACATATGGGGTCGCAAGCCATTTCTGTTGCTTACTGTCTCTTTTACATGTGCTCCTATACCACTCATGAAGTTTAGTCCTATGTAAGTAATTTGCAACCATTAACTAATTGGTGCCCTTTTAAATGTGCATACTCATAGCATAGAGTTTTTTTAACAGTTCATTATGTCATTTATTGTTTTAGGTACGTACTGTATTTTTTGGTTACAATTAAGTAAAATATCATTATATTCAGTCATCTTAGTGTTGGGTATTTTATTTTAAATAAATGCACTAGCAACAGACTTTCATAACATCTGGTACATAAATGTGTGTGTTTTCAGGTGGTACTTTACCATGATCTCAATCTCAGGAATCTTTGCTGTCACCTTCAGTGTAGTGTTTGCCTATGTAGCTGATATCACAACAGAGGAAGACAGAAGTGCTGCTTATGGACTGGTCAGTGAAATACATACACACAGACATGCACAGACATACAATTTTTCCAATTTCATACAGCAGAATGCTCAGTTCATTGTTTGCCCAAACACATGAAGGTTACTGATCTCTCCTGATGATACCTCTGAACTAAGATCTGAGTATTTGTTTCTTGAATTTTATAGGTGTCTGCAACATTTGCTGCAAGCCTTGTGACCAGTCCTGCCATTGGTGCTTACTTGGGTCACATGTACAGTGAGAAGTTAGTTGTGGCCCTAGCCACTGCAATAGCCTTACTAGATGTGCTCTTTATACTTGTGGCAGTGCCGGAGTCGTTGCCAGAAAAATTACGACCGTCTTCCTGGGGATCACACATCTCTTGGGAGAAGGCTGATCCATTTGGTGTAAGTAGATTTCTTGTGGTAATGTAGAAAGTAATATTAGGCCTACAAAATCTCTATGTGGAGCATTTTCTCACATTTTCTCTGGTGCTTATACCCTTAGTGACATTTATTCTTCATATTCATTGTGCTTTAAAACTCATGTTTTAGAATCAGTTGAATATTTCATTAAAAAAACCCATAAACAATGTAATTATGTCAAAGTACATAGTTCTAATTGTAAGTTGAGAAAAGACTTAACTGTCTATTAAAGTTTCTTTTTCCCTGTTCTTTTCAGGCTTTGAGAAAAATTGGTCAAGATCAGTTAATACTCATGTTGTGTGTAACAGTATTTTTATCCTATCTACCAGAAGCTGGAGAATACTCCTGTTTCTTTGTATATCTAAAACTGGTGAGTTGATTTGTTAGAAATCTACATGTCTCCACACATGAATTTTGCACCATACTGCTTGATATTTGCTAAACATCCACAATATTTGTGATACATGCTTGTATCATTTGGCCAGCATCCGTACATGTCCGTAATAATCCGCAGAGGCACTTGTTTCTCTTCCCTAGATTTTTGAGATGTCCAAAATTTTGGTTGTGGATGATATGCGCAGCATACATACGCAAAACAAAAGTAGTACATTTGCAAAACATGCACTGTTTTCTGCTCTTATCCACAACTCCAGGGTAACCTTATGTAGAGCAACCCTATCACAAATGTAAATGATCTAGTTCAAATATTACAGATTTGTCAGGATTTAAGCATTTCTGTTGCGTCTGATTTGCGAACATCTGCAATGGCATCCAGTTTTAATCGTGATACATATACAATACATAATATGTTCGTAATTCATAGTGTTCTTATCAGCATACTATTACGGAAAATTTGTCATTTTTGGTCAATTCTGTTGCGGATGACTACGAAGGCCCGAATCCCTAGAATATTTGTATCCTCAATTCATCCTCTCGTCAGTATGATCTGGCCTTACACAATTGTAAAAAAAACTGAATGTACAAATGCCTACAATTTATCCCATAAGATAATTTGTTCAGTAATAACAGCATTTTTTTCAATCTTTAAGTTGCATGTAGTGTATACTGTACATTTTTCCAGATAATGGGATTCTCAGAAGAAGCAGTGGCATCTTTTATAGCTGTTGTAGGGGTGTTGTCAGTGTTTGCTCAGGTGAGTAAGGATAGAAAAGACACTGGAAATGCTGTAAAATATAGTGCTTTGCATAAATGAAGATTTTTTGTAAGTTTTTTAAAAACAAAAATACTATATTAACCCCATATGTTTGAATCTATTTTCAGACTGTTATCCTAGCCTTCTTAATGAAGTACCTAGGCAGTAAGCATGCTATTATAGTGGGACTTACTTGTGAGATGGTGCAGCTGGCCTGGTATGGCTTTGGTTCACAGCCTTGGTAAGTAATACCATCCTGTTTGTCATATTGCAATATGCCAAATTGAGTCTTGATATTTAATGGTACAGTTGGATAAGATGAATATTTATGTATAGTATGTAGTAGAGTAATAAGATGCTTGTTTACCAGAGCGGAGGCTTGTATCAATGTTTTAATGCTAGAAAGACAACGTTGCAGGTCAGCAGGTCAACTTGTGTTGGACTCTAATTATTACCAAAGTGAATAGGGCACCAGACATGTTTTATCACAGCAAAAGGCATACTCACTCACAGATGTCTTAATCTTACTTGTTTCAGGATGATGTGGTCAGCTGGGGCTATTGCAGCCATGTCCAGCATTACATATCCAGCCATCAGTGCATTTGCCTCTGCTCACGCTGATGCTGACCAACAAGGTAAGTCCAATAACACATATGACCAGGTCATTTATCAACCAACTTTGTTCAATAGTAACTGCTTTTATGTTTTATATCCAATTTGGTTGACTCAAGAGTGGGTAGTTTCAGGTTTTAGATGTAAGATTTACCCTGAAGAGTGATCAGAAACACTTGCAAATTTACTGTGACAGGCCATCTCTATTAAATTGGTAGACAAGGGTGTGAGAAGTGAGCAGGACCGAAATCTTAGTTTATGTCAGGTGTTTAATCTTATCATTCCAGGTGTAGCCCAGGGGATCATCACAGGAATCCGGGGACTGTGCAATGGGCTGGGACCAGCGCTTTATGGATTTATCTTCTTTCTGTTCCATGTTGACTTGAATGAGATGTCATCAGACGCAGAGAAGCCACTCATTCATGCAAAGCCAACTACCACCCTCCAGCCTCTCACCAATCAAACCTCTTTTGTTCACATGGAACCAATGCCAAATAGGACAATAGATGTGAGTTCTTTTTTTAGGTCCACTGTAACAAATCAAAGATTATGCCCAAATAATATTTGATTTGATTTGTTACATTTGGTGGAATTGATAATGTTTTGGAAATTTTAATGATGGCATTACCTGTTTATTTAGACTAATGTCAGTAGGATGTGAAGTAAACTTTGCAACGTGAAAAGATTATCCAAAAATTATACATGATTATAAAAGAATTAAGAGGTGAACCTTAATTGCACTATCAGACTGTTAATGGTCCTGATATATAACAATAAGGCTCCTTTGTCACTATCACATGCATCTATTAGATCTTAGTCTTGTGTTTGTAGCTTTTTGAATAATATTTTCTCATCCTAACATTCCTCATTATAACACTGGTGATTTTCTGCCTTTTTCCTCTGTATTTTGGCTGCAAGAACATTGTCATTTATTCATGGCTGCAGGTCTCTTTTCACAAGTGTTTTCACTCACAAAATTACCACCTTGTCCAGTGACAGTCACAAAACCCTATCCAATTTACTCGACATGTTCATTTGGTTAGCAGTTTGGCAAAAAATCTGTTTTACTGAATGGATACCTGGTTCTCCAGCTTTCTGATGCTGGTCTCCTTCATCTTCGCGAGTTCTGTGTGGATGATAGATCCAAATTGCAGTACAAAGAAGTTTTATGCAATTTATTTGTCTTACACAGTCGTTTTCCATGTATATGGCAACTTAAAGCATCTATGAAATACTGGTAGCTCTTGCCAACGCTTCATTGTGTTCCAGTGAGCTATTTGCCTCTACACTAGTTAGCTGCTTTATCTTCTTCTATTGACCAGTAGGGATGAAGTAGGTGCAAATTCTGATGCCCTTACCTGTGATGTTAATCTATGTCCAGTTGCAACTTTTTATCAAGAAATAATTTTTAGCTTTTTATTAGACTATTTAATGACTGTTGATTTTGTATTATATTTCACAAAAATAGATTGTCTTAATAGATTGTTAAAATAATTACATTTTTCTATTGAGTTTAAACCTTTTTGTTTCTTTTCAGTCTGTAGTTCCAGGTCCTCCATTTGCTTTTGGTGCCATTCTAGTCATCTTAGCCCTCCTTGTGGCAATATTCATTCCAGAAAATCCACACACAAATCTAAACAAAAGAACTTATAGTCATGACAAAGGTAAAACTAAAAAATAAATAATCTTGCTTGTCAATTATAGGTTTACTTATCCTTTAATTGTACTGATTTTATTCAAAACTTTGTTTTTGTGATGAGTTTTATAAACTATGTGAATCATTTGTATTTGTTTGCTGTTAGTTATTCATTTAAGATGTGTACTTAATTTAATATCAACTGAAGTAAAACGTAGTATTTTTCATTTCTAAAATATTTCTATTATTTGCATTTCAGAAGCCTTAATATCCAGTGAAGAAGAGGCATGACAGTGACAGTTTAGTACACTGGGTCTACATTTGCCCTGTCCAAATTATGTGCTAACATTGTGTTGTTTTACTTGGATACATTGCTGGTACTAACATTTTGTTCATAGACATGGGTATGTTGCCCATGCCAACAGAACACCTGTCAAAGTCTCTGTCATACAATACTTAGCAGTTTGTAACGCAAATTCAGTTCAGTAAGGATTGATGGATCCCTTTGGATCTTTAAACCTTGCAGCCTGTCATCCTGAGCAAGTAACTTGTTGCCTTGTCAGTAGTGAATGAGAAAGAGAAGTGAAGCTCACAGGTATTCTGTGAATCTCAAGATAGAGAAATAATTTTCATAATATTATGAGAACCTGCTGCACTGGCAGACAGAACAGTAACAGCAAGGTTATTAAATACATTTGGATTACAGCATGGTTACTTGAAAAAAGGATCCCTGTGTAAGACAAGTTGATTGCAATAGCATAGCCGTTTTCATGTATTTATGTACCAACATTTTTTTTCTGTTGGAAATGGAGACCATTTTGATACCATTTTGCTGCTGTCCCACCGTGTATCTGACCTATATTCTGTATGTATGCCACCTCCACAGTTGTACGCCTTACTAATACTAACTCAATACATGCAGTTGCTCTTCAAACTTTTCATGAGGAACTGCAAAATACTGGATATTATTTCTATAGCAGAATATGAAACAAAACTTGCATTTTATCCAGATGAGGACATGCTCTTCACAGTTTAAGTCTAGTTGATGAAAAAACTGACATGCAGGTGGATCAGGTTGCAGGAAACAGGCAGGATGGATTTGACTAGAACATGTCACAAAAGCCATACATTTAAGCTGAACTTGAGTTGTTGTTTGAAAAACTAAATTGTAACATTTAAGAAACATTCAAGCAGTGACTGATATGTGTCACTGATGTTAGAAAAGTGCTTTACTAGTGCATTGACCAGGTAAATGGCAGGAAGTAAATGGATGATTGTTGTAGTACCATATAAGTTTTATATTAAAAAAAAACATCAATTAAATTGATTTTAATTTTAAAAAAACAAGTTTTTTTGTTATTTGTTGTTATTGCCTTTTCATTTTGGGTGTGAGATGGGTAGGATGTTTTGATGTTTTTTTAAGAGGAAGGGATAGGGATAAATTTTTAATTTTTCAATTAATACTTTAAAATAATATTTAAAAGAATGTTAATATTGAAAAAGAATATTTAAAAATGTGAAGGGATGGGTGTTGGTGGTTTTTCAATTTTTTTCCAGTTGAATAACAAATTAAATGTGCTTTCAATGTCCAAAATTGCTTCTGGTTCTGCTGCACAAGAAAATTGAGCAGTGGTATTCAGGTTATAACAAAACTCGGAACTAAATTTTGATGTACAAAGAGGTCAATAAGAACTGCTTCATAGGGACAAAGGAAACCAAGGGGGCATCTCGATAGTCCGCAGGTTCACTGTCCGGAAAAATGGTAACATTTTTATCATTTTTTAATCAAGGATCCATTGGTCCGAAGGTTCTATAGTGAACGTTCGGACCAATGGACCTTCATACTTTTGAACCCTTGGACTATTGCCACAGCCCTAAAACCAAATGTGAGTGGTTTCTGTACTATGCAGGACAAAGGTTCTTGCCAGTAAAATTGTATTTGAAAATTATAGGAATTGTATGACAACGACTGGTCTCTTTGTGGTGTAGCTAAAGAAGACATCTTGCATATTTTCTTTCATTGAGCTATGAGTAAGACAGCCATTCCACGAAAAAGGGTACAATTCTGAATAATACCTGTCGCAGCTTATTTTCGGTAGTAAAAGCATCTGCAATTTTGCTTTTTTTAGCCTTTTTTAGCAGGACCCGATGTGTTCTACTTAAAAAACAACAATTAATATAGTACCACTTGCTTTGACGGGAACCCCGGGGGTCTATATGCCGCAAAAAGCACGATTTCGACGTGTCGCTTCGGTATTATAGCTGATTTGCCACAAGAAAAAGTTTATATTTTCCCGTGTTTTAGTGTTTTTAGTCCCTAACTAATTTGAATTCATGTTTCTTTTTATCATACATGGTGATCNGTGGAATGGCTGAAGAACATTTGGGAAGAATCAAAATCTTATATTTTCAATAGAACAAGTAATGGCATTATCTTTATCATCAATGAAAAATGTATTCTTTTTGGCTCTCTGCCAAACTCATCCAGTCCAATAAATTTATCCTGTATGTACAGCTTTTTACATTCACAAAAATTTCAAAAAGAAAGATGTTAATTTCCCTCCTGAAAGAACAATTTAGTATAGATTTATTGCATTAAAAATCCCAAATTTCACTAACTTTGAAAAAAAAAATACAGAAATTGGAACAATATGTTTGAGACAAACCAGTTACTAAGTATTTATTTGTAGTTGTTTCTCTTATTTTTAAAACTTGAATTGTTTTGAAATTCATTTTTTTTTTTAAGATCCAAACAAGTGAAAGTGAGAAAGTTGGGAATTTTTCCGTAGTACGTGATATCATTGGTCCAAGTTAGCGTTCATGAAACCAAGAAGTTATAAGAACTTCTTGATGAAACCGAACTCCCAATTTCTCTCTCTCTCTCTCTATCTCTATCTTTCCCACGCTTTAGATAATGACAATACACAACATAACAGTGTGCGGCTGAGACAATTCGCATTGTGTTTTCTTTGCAAAGAGACGGGGTCTGTGATCATAATCAGTTAGACTACCGAGCACCTCGCCCCCGTTGCGGCCTGTGTCATAAACAATGCTTCAATGTGTAATCCCTGGTGGATTGCAGTCAACAAAAACTGTCTCCAGTGATTACTTCACACGCAGTCAATGAGGAAAACAAATATCAGTATTTCTTATTGATAATAGCGCGGTCAATGTCCACACGTGCCTATTTCTGTATACTTTTGTGTAGACCAGACCACTTTGCTTTTTTGAGAGTAATAGGCGTCGAAAATAATAAAGAATATCGATAAGACAAAAATATTAGACTCCCAGGCAGGATCGGCAAACTTTGTTCCGCAAAGATTTGAGTAAGACACAGTTCATATCACCCGATACCAAACTAGGACCCACCTAACATTATAGGTCCTAGTACCAAAGAAAAATATATTTTTCATTAAGTTTTTTTGAGATAATGAGCCGAGTTATAAAGTGACGAGATGTGCAGAGCACACTGTATACTTTTAAGTCTCCTTTTGAGTTGTGGTGCACGGATAATTTGACTTGAAACATTTGATGGTAAGTGTCTCCGTTGAAAACAACCAAAGTGCCAACCTGAATCAAGGAACCACCAGGTCGTAAGGACATCACACACGCACTTTCTCTCCCCCCCCCCCCCCCCTCTCTCTCTCATCTCTCTCTCTCTCTCAGGTCTCAAATGAACAGTTTTTACAAATGGCTGTGATACTGAAATCCAATCATGATATGCTCTAATTCAGGCCAGGGAGAAGATAATAAGTGGCGTAGCTTTTTATCTATTGGTGCGAGATACTGCAGGAGACGGTTATGATCGCCTTTTTCCATTAATCATTTTATGCCCAATGACAATACGATGGCTTTTCACGTACGGTAAAGCCTTCAAGGCAAGGCAAAGCAGTCGGATATACAAAAATTCATCTTGAAACCCCTCCTTTACAGTATTTCTATTACAGGGGCGGATCCAGAGTTATTTTCTGACAGTCTTCCAATTTATCTTTGTTGATCCATCCTCCATTTTTGACCGTCTTCCGACAGAAAAAATTAGATACCCGTCAATGTAAACTTGACAAATCTGACCGTCTTCCGGAAGACCCAGAAGACGCCCTAAATCCGCCCCTGTATTAGATGGCGCAGAACTCATCATTATTCATGGGAAATATCTGACCGAGATTATTTGACATAACTTATATGTACCATGAAAAGTACCCGTGTTTGTTATTAAATCATATCAAGGGGCAGATCCAGGATTATTTGAAGGGGGGGTCCGGGACCCCCCCCCCCCATGACCCCTCCTCTAAATCCGCCACTATCATATGATGGTTCATAATCACAAAACTTGATTTATTTCAAAACAGAACAGAACAGCGATGTGCTACCTTCGTCTTGTTGTGCGGAATCCACCGTTCAGCAAACGTTGACTCGTATTTCCCTCCAATCTTTTTAAAGGCTACCTTTTTTTATGACAGAGATATGTAGAAAACTAATTAAACGAAGGGAATTTATTATCAGCCGTTTTGGTTCTTATACCCTTATAGTAGGTATACCTAGCCTTCTCTATTTCCCACGACTTTTAAATGTCTGTCACGTTCTTTTCTCTGTGTTACCAGCAAAGCAGATCGAGGGGATTAGTAAAAATAAAACTGAATGCAATCAACTAGGAGGCCACTATGTCAAAGTTACCATCGTAAACAAAAACAAAAGACAAAAGAATTGGACATTATTGAGACTAGTCCCGGTATCCCTTGAATATCGATGCATGTGAACACACTTAAAATACTAAAAAAAAATCACATCATTTCAATATATATATATAAATATATATACATATCCCTTTTTACATAGAATTTTTTCTCTTTCTTTCCAAATCAGAGAGAAGGGGGATCTACTTAAAAAGAGAACTTTTTCATTGTAAGTACGACGAAAAATCAAACTTAAAAAGTTCTAAAAAGGTCATTGTAGGGTCACGCACTAGACCCCCCACTGTTCGCCGGCCTCTCTCATCTTTAAATTTTTGTCCTACTTTTATCTCATCTCTCAGCAACTACTTAAAAGATCCTTTTATTTTTCAACAAACTTGTTAGCAGCCATTCATTTGATTGCAATTAGCGTGGCGCTTCGAACTAACAAAGATACCACCTCTTCGCTCAATGCATTGACCTTCCCAGAGGTTTAGTGTTCAGCTGACTTACGTCACCAAACAGGCAAAATTTGTCGCCCAACTGTCTTCATGCTCTCCTGCTTATCTTAATTGATAGGTGTCAATCTGAAGAAGAATCTTCGGTGAATTAGAAAATGCGCGTGCTCAGAGCTGTTACACATGCGTAATAGCCCTAATTGCGAGCAAAGCTCCGCCTCCTCCACGGACCGATTTATTAGCGGGGAAGTACGAAAAGTCTTCAGATAGACTCAAAAACTTCCAAATGGCAGCGTTTTATCCCCCGTGCTCAGGTCTTTCCGAAGAGCTGACAAGATTGTTTAGGTAAGAATTCGAGCGTTTGAGATGTAACATTAAGTACGTCTTTCTTAGTGATGCTCGAATTGATTTGCTTGAAGTAAGAAAAATACAATTTTTAAATTAAAATTGAGAAGAAAACTTTCGTTACTTCAAATATGAAATAATCTTATTTTCAGCTTGCCACCTCCGAGCAGAGCCTCAGTTTGCTTAAAGCAGGCAGATGAGCAGTCGTTAGTTGATGTTCGTGTTCCCCGTGTAGACAAGGAATTTGACATAGATCCCTTTGATGACTGGGAAAGAAACGGCAGGTCAAGTGACATTGACGAGTTCGACAGGCTGTTGTGGGCCCTGAGAGAGAACTGCAGTGCCAACTCCGGGAATCAGCGCCGCCGGACAAGTAGCAGCGGGAGTAGCCACAGCGGCGGCCGCGCCGACCAGAACCAGGGGATGGGGCGCAGTGTCTGTGTGTTCTGCCGCAACAACAACGAACCAAAGTCGTGGTTTACCAGTCACCGCCTGAAGGATGACCAGGGACACGTCGTTTGCCCTGTCCTGTCTGCTTACACCTGCCCTTACTGTGGAGCCACTGGATCTAAGGCGCATACTAAGAAATATTGCCCAAAGAGAACCCCAAATACTTTACAGGTTGGTAAAATTTATTTTTACTATATGTTATTTTCCCACGCATCTACTAAAATATTTTGGAGATCGCATTGAAACATTATATCTGCTTTGTTATTTTGTATCTTCTAATATTACTATCACCTACCAATTTTTTGTATAAATGAAAAAAATTAATCGGACAAGAAAGTGAACGTGAAAAGGTATAGGGAATGTTCCCCCCAGTTATGCACATGGTAATATCATTATGATATTCTAAATCTCACCACATTAGAAAATGAAGAAGTTGAAATTTTATTTTGTTGAATATTATTTGTTTCAGGAGATTGGGAAAGCCACTGCCTTGTGTTGAAAGGTCCATCAAGTGGTTAAGTTATGAAGTGGGAGGAATTATCCAGGCAAAATGTTTTTATACCTCTATAATTTGAACTGTCATCACAGGTTGAGAGCAGTATAAGTTTGTGTCCTAAAAACTTGTGTGCCACTCAATAAATGCCATGTTTAATTTTTTCTTACTGTAAAATATATATTTTAGTAGTTTTACACCTATATTGATTTGTTATTTACAGTGATTTGTAGTCATTGTACAAAAGAAACTTGAACGTATTGTAGTTTATAATAAGTATTACAATTAAATGGCAATAACATTACTGAAGTACATTTATTAAGACTGCATGTTCAAGTTGAAAACCTTTCAGTAGTAATTTTGTAGACAGTGTAACCTCTTAAGCAAATAGGCTGAATTGTAAGCAATATTTTCCTTTATCAGTAGTATTTTAGTATTCATTCATAACATTTTTCAGTGATTTTGAAAGTTGAATAGCAGTTTTGTTCTATGCAATTTTTTAATCATTCCATTGGAGAACATGTACAGGTTCCCAATTTTGTAGTTATTATATATTTTGTTGTTTTAAATTTCCCCAGTGGGGAAGAATTCAATTGTTATTAGCATAGGCACATTTATTAAAGAGGCATTCTTAATAATAAAGTTTGAATTGACATTTCAAAAAATGACTTGGATCTTTTCTTAATAAAAAAGAACTATGGCCCCATTCAGAATAGGAGGGTTAAATGTAGCTGACTCACTTGAATACTTCCCCATGTAATATCTATTCAGTGTATTAATGGATTAGACTGCAAGCATTGAAGGGGTACTATATTTGACCCTCTGACTAGTTATCCCCCTGTGTAAATGGGGCCTATTATCTTACTTGCCCTCTTTTTAAAAGCTAATGCTCAAAGAAACATTAAATTTGTGGTCTGGTGAAGGAAAAATGAGGAATTAATTCTATTCTTGCTCAATTAAAATTTTGGCATTTTGAAGATCCCATGAAAATTGGAAAAAATCTTGGAAAGGGATGTAATATGTGGATTTGGAACATTCAGAGAGGCGCATCCTTCTTGTTGAGTTGATCCAGCTCTGTAATTACCCCTAGAGGTGTGTCATTCGGTTAAGCTGATTGCACTTAGGCACCGTTCACATGAAAAATCTAAATTCGTAAGATCCAAAAATCCATTGGCGGTATCTAGTGATCACGGTGTGCCCCCCGAATACCCCGCAGTATAATTAACTAGCAGAGTGAGTGAGTTAATTCCAAAGCTGTAATTAATTCTCGGCTGTGCTTGGAGGAGATTCCGACACCTTGACGCATGTGCAGTAATAAGTTACAGAGAAAGAAATTGCGGTTTCCCTTAAAAATGTGTTTGTCAATTTTGTGCAACAAGACTAAGAAGATGAGGTTCATATACACACGACAGATTATGAGTGCGATCTGATGAACTCCACAGTTTAGAGATACTTCTGCGCATGCAGCAAGGTGCCAGAATCTCCTCCGAGCACAGCCGAGAATTAATTACAGCTTTGGAAGTAACTCGCTCCCTCTGCTAGTTAATTACGCAGCGGGGTATTCAGGGCACAGACCGTGATCACTAGATACCGCCAATGGATTTTTGGATTTTTAGAATTTAGATTTTTCATGTGAATAGTGCCTTAGCATTAGCCCCAGGACTGACCCAACTAGTATGATCTGAATGCTCCCTTTGGAACCATTCCCAGTCCCTATCGTACTAACTGTGGATCGATGTATCTCCAAGATGATTCTGGCTAAATTGCAATCAACTTATATGGCTTAGATGTCTGTTATGCCTACTGAAGTTACTCAGGGATAATGAACTATCGTTAAGTAGCTTCAGTAGGTGTGTCAGACATCTAAGCCGCTTAAGCTGAAAGCAATTTAGCGAGAAGGCCCTTGGAGATAGATCAATCCTATTAGACTGATCTAGGTATGGGAACCCAGTCTTAGGGCGTATTCCCAGACATTTAGATCGAGCTATCCCCGTGGGGAGTCTCACTAGATTACTGTCAGATAATCCGTCTTAAATGTCTTTCCCGCCTACTACAAGCTGTAAGGGGGTAATTAACTTCCGTGCCCGCTCGGTTGACAGCTATTTAGCGTGAACCCCCAGGGAGTTAGGTTGATCTAGTTTGGATCGATCTAATCTCTGGGAATGGGGTCTTAGTGTCAGCTACATTAAACCAAATGGCCACCTGAAGCAGACACTTCCTGCATAGGAATTTCCTTATGGATGCATTTCTTATCAAGATTGGAATATAGCTAGACCTCCTTTTTTTACAGTGCATTAATTTAGATCTGAACATGATCTGTGAAGATGTGACACATTCACGCAGTTCCAAAGAGATGCAGCAAGTGACACTTCGATTTTGCGCGGAAGGGGGCTTGCTGCAAATGATATTCAGCTCATAAGATATATGTTAATTTGAACAGCCAATGTTACCAAAAATTAAACTTTGAAAAAGATTAAAACAGTCTGCAAAATGAAATGATTTCTAATTTTATTTATGTCCAGACTATTCACAAGTAACAACCCTAGTAGATTAGCTGGTACACCAAGTGCTAGAATTGACTTCTTGGTTCTAACATATGCATACAGATCTGCATGTTTTTCCACATTCAATGCTAGTCACTTAATTTACAAATGAATACACTTGGACTAGCAATACCTTACAGCAGAGCTAATCAAGTAAACGGATAAAACTTTACTAAAACCAAGCTACATCAAACAGACCTGACCTGGTCCTTCCAGTGTGATACTCAAAGAGCACCACTGAATTAGACATAAATGCCCCTTGTTTCAATGTGAGAACATGAAGGGATCAATTCATTACTTAGTACTCGGAATATCAAAGATATGCACAAGTCACTGGATAACTTAACTAATACTCAACTTAAAAGGAACTAACTTAACTTTTGTGAAATAGAAAACCCAAACTATTCACATTTTACTTCATATTAAGTGTTTTTACCTTTCCCACATTAAGATGTATTAATCATGATAGTTAAATTTAATGGTCAATTGATTGCACAATTATGAGATAGCAGCGATTGTACCTTAAAATGTTCTTCATCTTATTTTCAATCACTTCTAGGCGAAATTTCTCTTTTACTACAACAACACAAAAAGACTTCTTTAAAGAGCTAATTCTTTGTAGCTAGAATTCACTTGTATCACAGTAGAAAGGAACCATACAGTTACAGGTAGTAATGCAAGCTATAAGTAAATAACTTAGGCAGGCACATTGTACAGCCATATAGTAGTGAAGCTTAAAACATGCTACTTAGAGACTGATTTTAACTCTTCAGTTTTTAGTTACTTAAAACTAGAAAAGAAGCCCCATATTTGTGATGAAATGTCTTATTGGTCTTTCATAATCAACATTTTACATAACCCTGTCATACTAGCCAAATTCTATACAGGATATCAAGAAGTCATCCAGGATATGCAGATGGTGTAATGCAATCTGAAAGAACTGAATCTTTACTGCTTCTACTGAACTACTCAAGTTCCATACACAAGCAGGGAAAATAATTAAGTCTCCATTTTTCAACATGTCTGTGACTTTCAACATTTGAAAAAAGATCAAATTATATGTATATTGCACAAATCTCATTAATTGCTCACTGTTTTATAAATTAATCTAAAAAAAATTCAACAAAGAGTTACATTGTACATGTGCAATTTACAAGCTTTAGATTACACAATCACATAACTTCAGTATCAAAGGTTAGTCTACAAGGCAGCATGTTAACTCTCATCAGGACCTATAGCAGCAAAATGGTAAGGTCCACTAGTCACTAAGCTTACTTACCCTTGATTTCCAAATCAATTATGACTTTTCTATAGACTACATTAAATTGTTTATTTTCAAGTTATAACTAAAGCACCATCTACACAAAGTGTGTCTTACTGTTTGGATAATGATACATCCAAAAACAGAACATTTTCACGAAAGAAGTCTGATTTTGACCTGAATAAAATATGAGGATATAAGAACAATTATTTTTTTTTAAAAAATCCACAAAATTGTTAAATTAAGGTCAATTCTCTCTTAAAGACATGTTACAGCACCCAACTCCTGAAGATGAGTGTTCAACCTTCTTTAATTATGCTTCACATATGTATGCTCTCCTTCCTGCTGTTCTGCACCACTTTTAACTGATCTTCACCTAACTGGGAACTGCTTCTGCAGCTGACTTACACCTGAACTTTAGTTACAACAAAACATGAGACGGGGTTATGACTTACAAACACCACTACACATTGTATTCTTCAAACTATTACAACACAATGTAAGACAACTTTTACTACAGCAGTCATTCCCACTCAGGTTGTCAGCTGTGTAGGGTTGGTGTGGAAGCATCCATTGGTTTTGGGAGTATTTCTCTCAGCATACATGTCCATGGTAACAAATCTCAGTCCTTCTTCTTCTCATCCTTGCCCTTGACAACATCCTGCTTGCTGTCCTTAGTTGTCCCGTTTTCCTTCACCTCCTCCTTCACCCTCCTCAGAGCATCCCACATCCCTCCCATGAACACTGCACAGAACAAGTTCTCAAATGGAAGGAATGGATCATGGATACCCAAGAGGAGAGAGGACAGACGGAAGTAGATGAAGAAGATCACAATGCCGAAGTGGATAACAGCGTGGGGTGCTGTTAGGTAGTTCATACGCTCCAACACAAAGATGAGGGCTGCCGCAATACAAGCCTTTGTAGTGCTGCAATGATAATGTAATTACATGGAACACTGTCATGATAGCATTATAAAATCAATCCTTACTCTCCTTGCCCATTATTGAGGATTTTTACTAAAAGAAGCAGTATGAAGAGACATTTTCAATTCATAATTCAAAAGACAAACTTTATTTGAGTGAGAAAACCCTAAGTGATAAAAATACATGATACAGCAATTGCAGTGTCATTACATTGTAAGATATCTTTTGTTTCTAATTAAAAAAAAAACAATGTGGGCCAGTTGTGTTATGCATTAGAAATCATATATATATATACATATCTAACACTATCTAATTCAAAATCATTTTCGGATATATTGTCATATAAGAGTACAAATGAAGCTCCAATCCTTTTTTTTTTCTGATTAAAATAGGTTGTTTTCATTAAATCATATGATTTAACTGTGCACATATTCCACCAACCCCTGCATTATACTCACAACGATGGCTGAAGGAGCTCGTTAGTGGTAGGGATCCACAAACCTCTCACGAGGCGTTCAAAGTTTTTGATGACATAAGAACCACTTCCTATAAAAATTATGCACAATTCAAATTGCTGAGCAACTGACTTGTGGTCCTCTTTGATGATGTGTCCTTCCCATTGAAAACTATGAGGAGTAATTTCACTTTTGTTTGTCTCAATCAGATATGATCTTCCCAGAATTAGAAAATATCTCTTACTTAATGCATTTTCATCGCAGTAAAATTAACAGAAATTTTGCAACCTCAAACAGTAAAGGTCTATTGAAAATCATTCGCTGTTATGTCATTGTCATTGGGAAAGAGTGCATCACCACAGAGTGCCCAGGAACAGATGGAATCAAGACAAATACATTTCAAATCTTCATTGATTCCATCTTCCTATAATCTTTCAACAAAAGCTTGATCAAAAAGTAATCAATTTAATCAAGTCTTTGTCGTTTTCAAAGTGATGAACATAACAAACCTTATGTACTTACAATGTTGGTAATAAAATTTCATTAACTGTTGGAATCCACACTCCTCGTACCATACGCTCAAAGCTTCTCATAAAAGCAGCACCACCTCCTACAAAATCCAATGTGCTCACAAATCACACAACACAATGGTGGGAAAGGAAAGTGCAGGGAGAGATGCAGGGTCCACAGTGCAGTCTGCCAAGGACAGTGCAACACTGGGGGGAAGGAAACAGCACAAAAGTGCAGGTAAACAGATAAGAAAACAGAAAAGAAAGAAAAATTCAAACTGCTACTCAACAAAATAACAACATGATAAACATATACAATGGTGACTTAAAAACAGTATATTGTTCTGATGCAACACTTACTAAGCAAATAAGAACATGCAGATGTGTAACAAAATGTCTTTGTAACTTGCTTCCACAATGAAAAATCAGATTAATTACTCAGCCATTGGAAAAATTATACAAAAAATCTTAAATTATTGTTGATGTGACATCAACTCCCTTTCATACTTTCAATGATTCGTAACAGTTGCAGATGTCAAACCACTGCCCAGTTGTAACAACTATTTCAATGCTGACCACTGCCCAGCAGTTGCAGTTATAACAATAAATGCAATGTTTAACCATTACTTACTTGTAACAGCTACCACAATGTTCATCCATTCCCAAGCTGTTACAACTAACAATGTTCAGCAGTAACAATTAACACAACACTTAACTGCTGACCAGCTGTAACTACTAACACAATGTATAACCATTGCCTAGTTATAACAACTAGCACAATGTCCAAACATTGCACAGCTGTTACAACTAGCACAATGGTCAACCACTACCCAGTTTTGACAACTCCAACTGCACCCCCACCTCCAACAATTGACAGCACTTGTGAAGCAAGAAATATAATAGAAACATTTCCATTATGAAGGCCATGACATCTGACCGACTTCCTAATCATGTGAAAGCTTGTAAGGCTGATTATTTGTTTTCTGTTGCATTTACAAACCTCGTGACACAGCGATTATAATCATTAAAAGGTAAGCATTTGGATGAAGCTTTGCAGTGATGGCAACTCCGTCATGAACTTGTTTGGCCCTCCGAATTTCAACAGCAAGGAATGCAACTACACGGAGGGGCAATAATCTCATAGTTTTGTAGCAGATATCCATAGGTGAGTAGTTGATCAAGTACCTAATAATCACAGGGATAAAGGGAAAAGCAAATTACATCATTGAACAGATGTGCAAAGGGTTGGAAGCATTGAAGACTGGTCTACAAAAACTAACAGAGTAAATAGTTTATGTTTTATGTAAGATCTGGCAACTGGACCTGCTACAAGCTGGATCAGAAATGAAAATAGATCTGAGAATTTAAAAAGAAAGATTTAATAGTAGACTGAATGGTATATTATTAGGGCAGCAATGACAGCAGCAGATCTGAAAAAAAAAATGATGTAGCTATAAGATATAGACTTCTTAATTTTATGCTCTATCTGAGGATGAAAAATTCTAAATAAATAATAATTAAAAAATCTGTAGGAAGGTAGTGCTAAAATACAATAATGGTGCTAGTCAAGCAGTCAGTAGCAACTTGGATTGCACAGCCATTCTTAGACTAGCACACTGCAAGAACACACCAATACATAATGTTACCTCTAAACAAACAGATCATAGGCAAAAATACAGGGTGGTCCAAAAAGATGTATCCATTTTATTATCCCTATCATTTCAAAGAAAATTTACCCTGTTTCCATGTAAGATATGGCTTTTACGACCAACGCAAATAATGCTGAAAGCTGTGCCTTCGGAAAAACCATCAGTCAGCCAATCGAAGACCATCTTGATTTCTTGGGCATCATTTTTTTCTGTGACGAGGCAAATGTCCAACTTATTGGTCATGTAAACAAAGAATATATGCCCTTTTGGGCTCAGGCTCAGCTGTCACCCACTTCATTAGAAATTGTGTCTGTTTCATGCAGGTTGGGTCATTATGGCATTATCGAGTAGTCACAGTGAATCAGCACCAAGGCGCTTGGATTGAGCTGATTATAAACTATTGAGCTGTGCTTGCAAAATGGAGGTATGCCAGTAAAAAATTAAACCACAAAAAACTTACATGTCTGTAGGACAGGTGAATGAAAAAAATTGTTTTTTTACTTTCAATAGAAAATGCTACTTCATCAAAAATGGACACATCTTTTTGGACCACCCAGTACATAAACATCAACTGAAAAATAATTAACAAAAAATCAAGAAAACAGCAACCATAATGCAACAGAAGCTATGGTCCAGTTAAGCGTGCTGCTGTTGCCATGGGGAACAGAACTGACCTTTCACCACCCCAATTATGACCATCAGCAAATAGGCATCAGGATAGAGCTGAGCAGTGACCACCACCCCCTGGTGGACTTTCTTTGCACGCAGAACTTCTTTAAGGACACTAATAACCACCCTGACAGGGAGGAACTTGGCAGCTCTGTACAGTATATCAAAAGGCGAGTAGTTAATTATGTACCTGGAATAAAACAGGCACCTGTTGTATTCTGTGCAAGGTTTAACATTTTCATTCTACATGCTGGTGAGCTGCCCTTTCAGTACAAGTGCTGTAAACACACACATAGTACTCAGGAAAACAGAACATGTTTATGACCTGAAGATGAATCCAGAAAACATTTCTAAGAAAATGAATAACAGCTCCCACTGGGAGCAAAATTTCAATGTGATTGAGGCATTCATAATATTCATACTGATATAAATATGTAGCAACTGACATAAATATAGTGGAAATAAAGACATAAGTTCACATTTTTTTTAAACAAACTGACTTCAACATATCACTGATAAGTTAATAATAAAGCCTTAAACAAATGTGAAAAACCTCAACACATAAGTGGAATGGATAGCCATTTACTACGTTATCACTGAAAAAGCAAAGTTGCAAATCTATGCTATGAAAGTTGTTAAGGAACCGATTTCAAGCTTATTTTAATAATTAAAATTAAAATTTCAACCGTGAAAACTTCAGTGACATAAGTAAATAACAATCAGTTTTATCACTTTGTGTAAATGTGTCATGATGAAGACTCATCAGTCTCACTGTCCCACTTATGGCTAAAATCAAATAACAAATATTTTTCACTTGATTTAGGAAAAATTGCTATAAAATGACCAAAATTAAGGTTTGCCCAATAAAGAGACTAGGGTCTTCTGTGTGTTAATATGTGGTACAGTGATCATTACAGTGTAAGTTAAGATGTTTACCTGTAGACAGGAGGGCACACTCCTACAGAATAAGTCACAAGCAATTATTGGTAACATTTATATATCAAACTGCTGAGTGACTTAAACCTTTATATCTCTTTTTCAAAAAAAAAAAAAAAAAAAAAAAAAAACAGCTGGAACACGTAACATCATTCAGTCAATGGTTATTCTGCATACTGTATTTTACTCACTATTCAATGCTGAAAAATCTACTCAAGTTCTACATCCTTAAAGGAACAATTTGCAAGACTGGCATGGATTCATATTTCCCTTTTTTAGGACACATACTAGTGCCACTAATAGTTTGGATCACAATAGGCTGAATGTTGAGAAGTTTTATGAAATTCTTTAAGGCCCTTCCCTAAAAAAAAAGATTATAATAATAATTGTGCATTGAAAATTTTCAAGCAGCATACATTCTTTTTAAGACATGTTTGTAGAAGACTGGGGGGAGATGTAGACCATAAACTCACCACACTACTGTTGCTGTTAAGACCATATCGTGTCTCTTGAATGCTACAATACAGGGCTCTCCCAACATCAGGTTGGCAAGGATGCTGCCTCCAAAGCACATCAACATGGTCGACACCCAGCATGATAAGGGATGTTTCCGCGAAAAAGCTTGAGATCCTACAAAGTAAAAAATAAATCATTTATGGAGTCTATGTGCATTGGTATAATAATATTATATTTGAAATCATACAGCAGGAACAGTAGTAATATTGTTAAATGCATGTCATGTTTGTTACATTGTTGAGATTATGGTAATAATAATGTTACATTATTGTACAGTTTATATTTCATATCTCACAGAAAACTGTACAGGGATTTATATGGATTTGTAGATCTGATTTCCATTTCTGGCAGTAACAGGTACCTACAAAATGGCTTAATTTCTAGAGCCCGTTACTGAGAATCAAGATTACTGGTATATCAAACAACAATGACATTTAAAATTGTGGAAACGACCAAGTCCAATTAATATCTCTTCACTATGAGGTTTACCTAAACACAGGCAGGGCACCTTTAATTAATCCCTGTTTCTATTTCAAATGCCAATGACCAAGCAAAGTGAGATAGGCTGCTGTAAATCATGTTGCTGAAGTTTCAAAGCATACCTGACATAATAATATATATGCTGTCTACATTTTCAATTAAGAATCCACAGCATGTGCTCAAGGGGAGGGGGGTTGAGGGGTGAAAATGAACTGCCCTTTTGGGTGGAGATAAGGTCACTTTTGAATAAAAAATTTATCTAGTTTTATGTACATGCATACATTTTATTGTGAAAAGGCCCACTTATCAAAAAAATGTTTATGTTTATTTTTATTATATATATATATATATATATATATATATATATATATATATATATATATATATATATATATATATATTTTTTTTTTTTTTTGACTGATGAACCTAACACAGACATAACTCTGATTAACATGTCATGGTGTGCCACTATAACTCACTTCAGATTGAAATCAGTAAGACAATAACCTTTGAGATGCCCCCTCCATATGGTAACAGGGCAACATCTCTCCAAGCACACATCTACCTGTGCATACCTGACATGCAGGCACCTCAGAATTTCAGCTAGTCCCACTCTATATCCCAACTAGCAACAAGTGACCAATAAAATATATTCAAAGAAACTTGAAAGACTGAATTCCAAAGTCATATCTATTTTATTTGAGGGGATTGCACAAGATATGGGAATATTGTTTTTTAATAAAAGATAAAAGATGAACATGTCATGATTTATAAAATAACTCAAATGCTTACCAAAACATAAATATGGTATTTCTATACACATAGAGGATGTGTATAACCACATTATCTTATTTTACTTTCAAAAGAGAACAATATACTTTTAAACCATATTTTAACATAATTTTACATTATATGTAAACAAAGTTATTTTATACCATTAAAACATCATACTGGATAATAGTTGGTATAGCACTGTTGCACTTGGATATGTTACTTTCATGTTAGTATTATACTTAATGTTGAGGTGTACAGTACATATTCCTTTTAACTGCCTCACTCTGTGCAGGTCCCAGACCTGCCTACATTGGGCTCTATTATTGTAGAGTTCACAGCTGTGTGGATCTTACTGTGCTACCTATATTTACATTTCCTAAAATATCTCACCCTTCCAATATCAGGTTACGTTTCTGCTAGTATGAGGAGTTGCTCCACCTCTGGCAGCCATTACTAGATCAAGTATTTGATCAGGTAGATATGCATGGATCAATCTAAAAGCATCTTATCCAAAAATTATACCATTTGAAAGGAATTCTGAAAAAAATATATGGATCAACTGCTTTGCCCTAGTCCAGTCCACTTCAAATCTAAACCCTTCCAAAATTATTCTTTTTCAAGAGAAATTGTTTTTTTTTACAAGATATTATCAATGCACAAGTATATCTAAAGGGGATATTCATCTCTGTCAACGCAGGTGTACGGTTTGTTATTCACACACACACACACACACATACATGTATACATGCACCACTGCAGACTGATGTCCTGAATGGTCCAACAGATCATTTTAAATCCACAAACCTATACAGAACCACAGAGATCAGTGGGACATTAATTACTGGACATTTCCTCTTAAAATGTTGATGTGAAGACATCCTAATAACCAAATTAAATCTTACTTGAAAGAAATTGAGGAAAAGGTCAACAAGACCAAGGATAAGTAATTTGATGGTTCAGTACCTGAAACATTTTCCTTGCTTCAGCAGCCAGCCATGTACCCCTCAAACAATACCAACTCGTTCTTGCATAATACTACAGTTGTGTATGAATGACCACTGGATAGCCCCAAGTGGACACTGATATATGAGACTATTCAAAACTCTCTGGTTAAATGGGATTGATGAGGTGTGAGACATTTCATACAACAATGATCGTAAAAATTGCCTACTGTGTGCTATACATGTATTTACTTCTTGTAACATTACATGACATGTAGTACAGTTTACAGATCCTAGCTCTGCCTGTCACGAAAAGAAAAAAATTGCACACACTAATACAAAATATGCTACGTATATTTTGTAATCAAACTTTCCTTGACAAGTCGTAAACTAAAGTGTTGCTTTTTCATTTCTTAACTTAACATGTAAATATGGGCCAAGTGAACATCTTTTAAACAGATACAGTAGTCAATAACCGTCAGAGAATGAAAGACCTGCAGAAGCCCTGTGTAAAAACAACATTCCATTGTAATAACTTACAATTTTACTGCAGCCATTATCAAACCGGTGATAAATAAAAACATGTGTGATACTGTTAACATTTACAAAATTATTTCTGGCATTTTAAATATGCAGTGAATGACTGTATTCTTAATATTGGTGGGGGCTTGAAATCCTATTTTACCATTCATTAACGCCTGGAACTAGCATCAGGTAGTTTCTGGCCTCTACCAAACATTTGAAACAATTCAGATATAATTTCATCTGTTTAACTTTACTGCAATTTTATGAAAATGTGTAATTCTAATGTGGAACATTAATAACAAGTTGCAGTGTTCCCCATAATCTGACCCAGAACAAAATTAGCAAAAAGGGCAAAAATACTCATATAATAAAAATATTTCAAAATTGTTCAATTTTAAAAGAAAATATTCCATTTAGCTAGTTAAATCACGAACTCAATTGTTCTTAAAGGTTAATTTGTAATAAAGATAACAATATCAGTATATTAATGGAGTAATGATTAATAGTCTTTGTTTACAAACTGCTTAAGTGACATGGCAAAGACAGATCTTTGCAAAATACACAGATAAGGATATGGTACATAGGTATAGCATAAACCAAACTGCATAATAACGCGTATGCAATATGTACTTTAAGATCTTCCACTAAGTAATCGCACTTTAGCACACGTAATACTACGGGTAGGCGCAGAGATTCCACTGCCAGAGCGCCGACTTACCGGTCTGTGGCGAGTCTTCACGGACCGCTAGTGCCATCAAAATATAGTGACAAACGTCAAAGTACGGCCACATTTTTAGTTTAGAGACCGTCGTCGCTATATTCATGAAGGTTTGTGGATCCATTTTGAAATTTTGTGGGAACACTCCACAAAAGGAGACGGCGAAAATCCTGCACCTCGACCGGAAATATCGAAAGAAAGAGAGCGCACGCGCGAGGGATTTCCCCAAAGTGAAAGGTCTTTGAGAAACAATGATAAATATGTAGACTAGCTGTATGTGCACTGCCTCTTACACGCATGTTTTCTTTCTCGTTGTGCAAGTTTTAAACCAAACAAAAAGTAACCAAAAAAAAAACTATAAAACTAAAATGTCATTACTAAATTTGCATTAACTTAGTAAGACAAACAATTAAAATTGAGTCTGCTGAGCTTGCTGAGACAGATCGGTTTACACTGTTGTGTAGCCGACAGGTGCAAAATGTGAGTGTCTTTACAATAGGATTTTTCCTCATTCACTGATATAATTGACGTAAGATAAAGATTAGGCATACCATGTTATTAAATAAAGCTGTTGTAACAAATATGCATCAGAGGGGAGGGGCTAAAGCGCCGCTTTAGAGGTGAAATCTGTAATATCGCTTTTAAACAGATATCCCTCACCTGAATTTAGCTACATGTACAGGAATGTACCAAGTAAAATGTTTCGCCTCAGTTTTCGTCAAAGGACACAGTTTTGTACAAAAATCAGCATAGGCAACCACGTGCTTTTGAAATGACTTGTATTGAACTAAGGAGTTTCAACTGTTGAAACTCCTTGATTGAACTAGAATCACATAACAAAATATTATAGTAGAAAAGAAGAAAAAAATTGCACCGAGAACCAAAATTAATCTGCATTTATCTGTATATTGATAGTATTTTTTTATAAAAGGTGACGTTGATTTTAGACAGGATACCTAAAACGCGATCATCATGGAGTAGCCTACATGTATTTCAATCCAACAACCTTTATCTTAAATATACATTATTCACCGCCTTTATCTTATAGGCATAGAGGTACGGTGAATTATCGGGGATAAATATTTTTCTAAATGTGTTTGATGTGCGTTTTCATTGAGCGTTTCACTCCATAAATTGCCATTTTTACATCTAAATTATTTTGGAGAAACATTTTACATCCGTTTTTATGGAGCATTTTTAATCAATAAATTGAATCCATTCTCAAAGCGTAAGGAGTGAATCATTAAAGAGAAATTAAATTTATTTAATAAAAAAGTTCCATGAAATATTTGAAACCCATAGGCCGACATTTTTTATATTTAAATGCATAGAGGTTTAATATTGACTCAAAATACTCCATTTCAAAATGGAATTTAAATCCGTTTTTGATATCATTCCATTCATACTTATATCAGCTTCACTCAAGACAATGTAGGTCTGTATACATGAGTTTCTAGATTCTTTCATAAAATTCGTTTGGGCCAAATGATCTGTGTACGTTTACACTATGAGCCATTTCATGTGATCTTGATTTATTAATCAGCTACTTTCGTTAATTTCCATTTTTTAAAAAATATTTTAACGAATAAGTAATATGATGGATAAAAAGGCTAGCCCTATCCGACAGGACAGTAGAATTGTGGTCTTGTGAAAAGTGTTTTTCATTAAAGAATTTTTATTTGACCTCAAATTCCGTTGTTTTATTTCAAAGCTGGTGCAAGATTAAAGTGTGTACCCAATATGCAGAGTTAACTTATTAAAGATTCTCTCTGGCATTTCTCACCTGAAATCTTCATCGATGATTGTTTTGTGCAAATCAAACTGATCCTACATTGTATTTGATATTCACTTTGCAAATGTTAATTAGATAATACTTGGACCTAAATAATACTTGGACCTCTATTTAGGTCCAAGGATAATACGACTTTGTCATTCAAGCAGTGGTACAAGATTTCTAGGCAGAGGATAGTGGCCGACGTGAAGAAGAGGATATCGAACGACGCCATGCAGTGACATACATATTAGAATGTGATATCTAAGCCAAATGACACACCGATTTAATTTCAACGAAAAATGGTCATTTTCAACTTCTTAATGTATAATCAGCCAAAGTACCGGACAAAAGAATCCACAAGATGAGAATAGTAATATAGCACCAACTATATAGTGCTCTTACCTTCTTTTGACACATTAAATTCATCTGTGTTTACTAAAAGGCACGTTCTTAATGAACAAATTCCACACTTATATAATGCGCCAGTAAGTCGTTAGATAAATGCATTAGAACATCTTATACTATATCTCTACGTTGTAACACTAGATGGTGTTTAACAATCAGGCTCTAATTGTGACGATGAGACCACAGTTTGACGGGTTCCTTGGGAGACGGGTGCGCTAGAGAGATGGACACGATTCCAAAGCGCTACTGTCTGCTTTATCAAGTCACTTTAGTATTGTTTGTCCTTGAGGTAGGAATCAGAATTAACGAGTAGATATAAATATGAAATAAGTTTGAAATTACATAAAATGTATTATTATTTACTTAGAAACACTCGCCACAAGATATGGTAATATGCTGAATATAATGGTATTGGCGTTGTTGTATTCAGATGATAGTTCCTGCCCGATGCTGGCATAACTTAGACAATGGTGAGTTCCATTGCTGGCCGGAACACGCAAGCGATGACAGACCAGAAACATATAACGAGTGTCCAGGTAGGGAAATTGAACGATGATGGCAGACCCAAAACGTCTTTTTCATTTTCTCCTCTTTTGTCTCACGACCATGTCAGAGACTATTTACATAACGTTTGACTCCAATTGACTCTTTTTTTACGTTTTTCTCAGATGTATAGACGTCAATTTGTTGAAAAACATCAATTATACGTATCCATTTGTATAGTCATTTATATCAACAATATGATAATCTATATTTATTTATCTATTTATTTGTCTGTGCTATGTTATAGTTACTAGTATTGTTATTGATTGTACCTTGTATATGAAGGTGTTTGTCAATAAAGAATCTGAATCTATAGCGGGGCAATGCAATTGATCTTGAATTCACTCTTAAAAGAGCTCCCTCTGAGCGTTCATGATTTCCAAACTTACACAATTTATCTCTACATCAGGGATAACTTTACGCTGGATAGATCCCCCTCCTGACAGCGTACGGGCTCAGAAACACTTCAACGTCACTTACGAGCTGTTAGTGGATACAATCTTCTATGAATGGGCAGAGGATAGGCAAATATTCGATGCGATTACGAATGGCACAAAGGATAAAAGGTGAGAAAAGCTTGAGGGATTTTGACAATTTTGGGTACAATTTAAGTCAAACCACTAAGTAGTTAACGTACTCCCATCTAAAATACTTGAATTGTGATATTTCAAAATGTTTTTTTAAACATACACCTCTTTCTCACATTTTTCCACAGGAAAGGTCAGACAGCAAAGCAATGGTGCGTTCACACGAAGTGTCCAAGTCCCAGTCAGGCTTCCAAAGAAAACTGTTGTGTTAATCACGTGAATGTCCATTCATGTCCCTTACACCTGACTCCTAGGATTTGCGGTCCCTGGGTGTCCCCCAATGGAACTATCTTTACCCACTCTGAGGTCATGGTCGGAAATGTAACTCAGGGGAACTGGACCAGTTTGATCAGGGGCCTATTTGAGGTTGGCCAGACCGAGTTACTGGCTCACTTTAAGCTGGGGAATATGCACATAGCTCTTCATAAGTCTGTCAAGGTGTTACCATCGACAGGTAATCGACCAAGGGCGTCTGACCTATGTTGGTAGCCTTAACATTTTCTCATTTTGAGTATTCAACTACGTTAGAAAAGATTTTTCATATTGTCATATTGAATGTACACAAAATACACAGGGAAAATTGCGCTCGCACATTTTTAGCATTAGAGGTTCATGAAAAGAAATTCTTGAGTCGACTTACATATAGCATCGATCTATGTGTGTGTGTGTGTGTGTGTGTGTGTGTGTGTGTGTGCTTGAGCGTGTTTGAAAAATGTCTCTTAGTTGTCATAACGTTTCAGTGTGCGGTGATGAAGTCTGTGAAGCAGGTGAGGAAAATTGCCAGGTGTGTCCACATGACTGCGGGCCGTGTCCGCTCCCCAGGTGGCAGATTGGTCTGATGGTAACTGCTGGGGTGGTGGTGCTCATCACCGTAGCCACTATATTTGGAGTACGTTCTTTTTATTATATCAGGAGCGGATCCAGAGCTATTTTCTGACAGTCTTCCAAATTATCTTTATTGATCTATCCTCCAATTTTGACCGTCTTCCAACAGAAAAAATAAGATACCTTTTAATGTAAACTTGAAAATCTGACCGTCTTCTGGAAGACCCAGAAGACGGCCTAAATCCGCCCCTGTATATTGCATTGTCAGTTTAAACTATATCGACATAAAGTACCCTAGCTTTTTTAGTTTGTCAAGATGAGGCAAATATTGTAGGCCTAATTGATCTGCATAATGGCATTTGCATAACTTTATTTTTACACAATGTTCGAACTATTTAGACACCCAAATACAAAACATCTTTTCTTTACAGTACTTTCATTGGAAGCAACAGAAGTTGCTATGGGATGAAAGTTGGATAATTTCCTACGGCGATGTGTTAGCAGGTAAAAACGATCTCAGTATAGATGTGATTTTTAATAATTGATCAATGAAGATTAAGATGTTTATTTTCTTGAGTAATGATCTGCGTAAAACGATCGAGTCCTCAAACGCAGTTACCATAGTATACTGCTCACATGAATGCATTAGATACGTCCACCAGTCACACCTACCTCAATTCACGCCAAGTCATGTTTTTTTTTTCAATAATGCACTCTGAGTGACACCTAACACATTGGACACCAAGTCACACCCAATATGCTGCACGCGGCTCCTTTCAGATACTACATACAATGGTTTACTGGGCAGTGAATGGAGCCTTGCTGCCAGCTCAGCCAGCTCTGTCAGCCAATTTAATGCTGATGTGGGAGAGAAGAACAATTTTGCAGCAACAGCCAGAGTGAAGCAAATCTTCACGCAGACTGGGATTTTGTAAGTACACTTTTGCCTCAGTTTTCAGCCATGCATGCCACGCAGGTACCGAAATATGAGACGAAGTGGTAGTATAGGCTACTACTACTTCTACTACTACTACTACTACTACTACTATTAGTTGCTAGTAGTTTGTATTCGTTGTCAAATTTTGGATTGTAAAATGCTTTTTATCACAAAGTTTATCTGACCAAACCTCTCTTTTTCAAAATGGAAAATGAAGTGCTTTTCCCCTCTTATTTTCGTAGCAAGAACAGACTGGTCTCCATAAAAAGAATAGAGAAGAGGTATTTCAGCTTAACCAAAGTTATCAGGTTGGAAGTCTCACAAGTCAGGTATGTGGCGCATGTATATATCTAGTATATATCAAGTATCTAGGAATCATGCTACAACCATTTTTTTCTATGAAGAGTTTTTATAGTTAACATTTTTTATGGAGGTTTACATTGTTTGAGATGCAAAATGATGAAAATATAAATTTCAAAGATTAAACTGAGGCAATATATATGAGCTGAATAATTAAGTTTTTTTTAATCCTTCCAGACAGCTGGATCATGTTAACCTGGTAAAATTTATTGGAGGTTGTGTTGAGATCCCTACTGTGGCCATTATCACAGAGTACTGCCCTAAAGGAGGCCTTAATGATGTGCTGCAAAATGATGAGATCCCTCTCACCTGGGCTTTCAGGTAATATTCTGAACTGCCTATAGAATATGTATGGATAGACCAAGCTTAAATATATCATTATCTTGTTAGATTTATGAAAAAAGAAATCACAGATTTGTTATATTCAAGATTTAAAAAAAAAAATCAAGTTATTAATGCTTTACAGAGTCTGCAGTGCCTGCATATAAATGTCACAACACTATCTGTAGTTTTTTGTTTGTCTTTTCAGATTTTCTTTTATACACGACATAGCTCGTGGTTTGCATTTTCTCCACTATAATAAAATAACCCATGGGCGTCTCAAGTCTCCAAACTGTGTGATAGATGACAGATGGACTGTGAAAATATCTGGTATGCCACACTTCATTAACAGCTTATCTGCACTGGCCAGAATATTTAAATGGTTATGTAATAGAGATTACGGTATAACCTCAGCAGATCTTCTAATTTTAATTATTAAAATAATACTCAGAATTGCAATATCATCATTGTACAATTGGATGCAAGTTTAATTCCTTTTTTTTAACAGTCAATATAAATATTCATGCTATGTTTTACTTCTAAACAATATCTAGGCACCATTGCTTAATTCTTTGTCAGACTTTGGACTTGCTACATATCGTGAAGATGTGGAAGAAGACAAGTACAGGAGTAAGGCCTGCAGAGTGTATAGAGCCCCAGAGCTGACACACCTTCCTGCTGCTCAACCAACACCAGAGGCAGATGTTTATGCATTTGCCATCATTCTTGTAGAAATTGCCACAAGGAATGGACCATATGGGGTAAATAATTTTTGTTTCTGTAAAAGTCCTTGCTGTAATCTAAGGTCTAATATACCGTTTATTAGATCTTAGCTGTAATATACCGTTTTTAAGAGAATGCTCCATGGCATATTTGAGCAACAAAAAGTCCTGTTAAAGTAGAAATTAAACAATTATTGGTCTTGGCTGAGGTCAGTTTGTTGTTTTGCAGATCTCAGATAAGTGATTTGTATAAGATAGCACACTGTCACTTGAGTGATATTGGCAGAACACCTCAAGCATCAGCTCTTCATTTGCTTATTAAACAGTGTAAAGCTAGACCTGTCCTTATGTGGCACAGATTCCTTAAAAGTTGCTGCACCAAAGGAATGTAATTTGCTTTCACTTTTATTACACAGGATAGTCTCTCCAAATTTTTTTATAGAAACTCAAAACATAGACTCGCCCTTCAAGAAATCGACGCCTTCAAGGAATCGACGAAAACCGGAAATGCGTGTTTTTTGCACTGTTTTTCCTGTCAGCCCATCGTGAACACTGTGTTGTCAAGTAAAACGAAGCGTCTGATACAAAGTATCAAACGCGGCATTCACGTGCTTGCTTGCGATGCGTTCAGTACACTTTGTTTACACTGAGAAGTCTAGGTCAGGAATGCACAATGTTTTTCTATGTAATTACGCAGTTTCAATTTTGATTAGTGAATTTTCTTTTATCTGCATGGTCATTTTCCGAACATTTGTATAAGCCACGAAATATTTCTCATCGGAAAATCACCCAGCAGCTTTCCAAGTACAAGCGAGTGACGTCATGACGCACTTCCGGTTTTCGTCGAGATCTTGAAGGGATTAGCGTCACGGTTTGCTGCACATTTAAAGCGTTCTGTCTCAAAATGTACTCAACTGCTTGGATTGAAATTTACAGAACTTATTCTTCACATGATATCACACATATGTGCTTATTTTGAGAGCTTTAGCTGTTATATGTTTTCTACAGTGCACATTCAAAATTGAAAAAGAGCTATTTTCCGTCGATTTCTTGAAGGGCAAGTCTATCTTTAAAAAATTGACTAGAATTTTTAATGGCTTTTTTCAAAGACTTGGTAAAGTAGCACTTTTAACTCTACATTATTTAAAATAATTTGTTTAAAAAATATTTTGCCTTTTTTCACTAGACTTTTATATACTGTATTCATATTGTATTGTAAAGCCTACAGAGTGTAAAGAGTCCCAGAACTGACACACTGCTGCTCCGCCAACACCAGAGGCGACGTTCTGGTAGAAATTGCCACAAGAAACATAATTGAATTTGACTCCTTCAATAATAATAATAATAATAATAATAATAATAATAATTATTATTATTATTATTATTATTATTATTATTATTATTATTATCGATGCTGAATAAATTACAGTTTAATTTGTTCCCTTGCAATTATCCTGTTCCAGGAGGAAGATATTGATGACCTACCTGACCACTGGAAGCCCAGCCTACCAGATTTACAAAGTTCTGGTAAAACAAGTAAAGAATACTCTTGTCCTTGTGGTGACCAGTACATTCAGGTAACAAAGTTAAAGAAATACTGCAGTGATAGTGCTGATTAAAACAAAATTCAAAACTAAAATTAAAACTGTGCAAGTGCAAGATAAGTACAAACATGTTGTAATTTGAATGGATGCAGGTTGTGAAATTAGCATATGACTTAGAGGGAAATATACAAAAAGACTTGAATGTTTGTTATAATGGGGTTTTTCCCATTTAAAAACAGTTTTAATACTTAAACAGAAAAGCTTTGTTTTCAGTTAATAAAGCGCTGCTGGAGTGACAATCCATTTGACAGACCAAACTTTGAACAAATTAAGCGACAAATCCACAAGATCAACCCCAATAAACAGAGCCCAGTGGATATGATGATGACCATGGTAAGCTGCTCTCACTTTTTTTTTTTTTTTTTTTTTTTTTTTGTAAGTAGGAAAAATACTGTGCTTTATAAACTTTGCTTATCATTCATTTAAATCATTTCATTATTAAATTTATTTTGCCTGGTAGTTGAAAAACAAAACTCAATGTACACTTTGTTTCTAGATGGAGAAATATTCAAAGCATCTGGAAGTGATGGTTGCAGAGAGAACTCAGGATCTGATGGCAGAGAAGCAGAAAACAGACAGACTATTATACAGTATGTTGTTAGATGTATAACATATAACTACATGTACCAGACACATAATTACATGTATATGGCATGTCTTTCATGTCATTCAGTTAACAAATGAGATATAATTTGGCAGAGAAGACTAGTAATTCTTATACTCAGTTATGGTAGTATACATATACTGGGGTATCTATGTATCAGCTGTTTTTCCAAAAGAATGATTCAATGGAACACAATGAAGGACTTTGATTGAAATTGTATCTCTGTGGAGATGAAATCAGTAGGCAGATCTATTAAGTTGAAATATATTTCCAGGCATGTTACCTAAAAGTGTAGCAGATGCCCTGCGTCTTGGAAAACCAGTTCAAGCAGAGTCCTTTGAGTCCTGCACCATTTTCTTTAGTGACATTGTGGGTTTCACTGAGCTGGCAGGACACAGCACACCTCTGGAGGTGGTCACACTGCTCAATAAACTGTACACATGCTTCGATGAAATCATTGACAGATACAGTGTATATAAAGTGGAAACAATAGGGGATGCATGTAAGTACGGTTGGTGTATGGTGGATTTTGTTGCAAAGTGTACTAGTATGTGAATTGTTGTAACACAACTTTTCTTTGATGGTCAAATGACCATGACTCCTATTTTGGTACAAAATGTTATTAATCAGATTAAACATAACAGGTTCATAAACAACATCACCAAATGTCATATGTTAGTATATAATCAGGTTATTACAACTTATACAAGTACATTGGTGATTATACAATGGAATGAATATATATATATATATATATATATATATATATATATATATATTCATTGTATCATGCATACAAAATTAATGCATTTATGAATTCATTGGATGTTGCAGATATGGTTGTATCAGGAGTTCCAATAAGAAATGCAAACCACCACTGTAAAGAAATAGCTAATCTGGCTATTGACTTGGTAAAGGAAAGTGAAATGTATGTTATACCTCACAAACCTTATGAGTCACTCAGGATAAGAGTGGGACTGCACTCAGGTATGTTAGATGTAGGATCTTTCAAACACAGCGCCATCTTGGATCAAAAAATAATAAAAATGTGCCATTTGAATTTTACAGATGACCAAATTGATCTTCAATGTGGAATTTATTCATATAAATGTTTTAAACCCCAGTACAATAGGCCATGTAAGTACACTGCCCTGTGTTACAATTTATATTGAGGTGGCTAACCCATCTTTAATTAAATATTTGCTATTGTTGTTTAGGTCCAGTGTGTGCAGGAGTAGTTGGTTTGAAGATGCCCAGGTACTGTCTGTTTGGTGATACTGTGAACACTGCCTCCAGGATGGAGTCTACAGGGGAAGGTAAGTATAGTCAGCATGGTGGTCTTAGAGCGCATTCAGAACAGCTGACTTACATATCTGTGGATTAAATATGGCTGACCCACTTGAATGCTTGTTGCATAATCCCCGTGGCGAATCTATTTAGTGTCTAATCGGAAATTAAGCGGCAATCTTTTTAGTCACCATATTTGATCTGCAGATCTGTTAGTCTGCTGTTCTGAATGTGCTCTTAGTGAGTATTACTGTACATAATTCTCATGACATGTCTATCATTCTTCAGGGAGCGTAGGGTCATCTTGTCTCTGCCCAAATTATTTTGTAAAAAAGCAATTAACACACAAAATGTGTCCTATTTAAAGATATACTGTACAATATTTTGGTGCAAGGATTTTTCTTTATGGCATAAGCCTTGCGATTGGTTGCAAGCATTCCTTGATTTTTCACTTCATGTAAAATTTTATTTTTGAGAAGGGAACAGAAATTCAGTTACTTAAATATGATGATAAATGTACTCGTTTAAAGATATTAGTGCAGGTCATCATCATTTAACAAAGAATATGGAAAGATTTAAGATGTTGGACATTCCATATGATATTCCTTTCAAAGGGCAATGATGCATAACAGTTACCATTCCTTATAACAAGCCACCAGAAACGGTTAATAAACAAATCAAATAAATAGAAAAGTGACTGGCTTAATCGGATAGTGCTAGTTAACACACGGTTCATGTGAGTGGTGTGCAAATTTCAGACACTAGAAGATATGAATTATGTTTTGAAGGTGAAGTGTCGTATGATACATTCCAGCTGGGAAAATCCACATAAGTGATACCACATACCAGCTGCTACAGGAGTATCAGGGGTTCTGCTGTCAATCCAGGGGGACCATCCCTATCAAGGTAGGTGACATTTAATTTGTATTCAAAATTATTGCTAACATACAAAAAATTGATGGACTTCGTGGTGATTGATTCCCTAGCTCAGAGTGAACAAATAACAAGATTTCCTCATTATGTGACATTTCTAGGGAAAAGGGGACATGAAAACCTGGTGGTTAGCAACATTCCCGGCAAACAGACTAGAAGAAGTGAAAGCTAACATTCTCAGAAATGACAGCATCAATGAAATACTAGGTATGTAATGTGTGGACAGGAGCATAGGCCCATACATATGGAAATTTGTATGTTTCAGACACTTGTTTTAATGCTGTTAACCAGTTCTACTCTCTTGCACATAAATTAGAAAAATATAAGACTGAAAAATTTCATAAACAATCCATTAAGTGTATAAAAACATCTTTTTATTAGGCTGCAAAAGAAAGAAAAAGAAGAAAATGAAAAGAAGTAGAAATATATACTCCAACTGTCCAGATTTGAGAAATACAGCTGACAGTGCATTAGGACAAAAGCCCACTCAAGACCACTGCCAGATGGACTTCACAATCTGCTGACCAAGTCAATAAAGACAGTGTATATTTGTGTATATTGGGTCAAAAATATGACAAGAAGTAACATGCAACTTTCAGTATGGTTTTTAACTTTCAACATGCGTCATTATAGAAGATCCTTACTGAAATGGATTTGTCAGCATATTTTAAAATGTATTCACAGAACATTCAAGACAAAAATTAATTATGGTTCTATATATATATATATATATTTTATTACCTTACCCAAGCTAACATTATTGCCTGTGTGTTTATACCCAGATGCTAAACACATCTAAGGAAAACATAAAAGTCGGTACCTGTATGATGAGTTACATGCATTTTAAAATTATGCCTTATTCCTTTCAGTGTCAGGGGAGTAAAACAGAGGTAGAAAAGTTTGTAATATGGGAGCCATATACATGTATGAAACCACAATCGGGTATATATGCATAGAAAAGCAGTAAGAAAAGTTTTTTTTAATCATAAAACACCTTCTGCCAAAAATTAATAACATTGAAAGCACTTTCATTGTACTGATAAATCAAAACAGGAAATGGGTGAAAAAGTGAAAGACACTGAATGAAATCAACAATCAAATTTCACTATTATTACAAAAGTTGGAAACAACTGTTCAAGTGAAAACAAGGCTGTGCAAGTCTTAAGTCTTCCTTGTTTAAGTCACAATTACTTGATAAAATGAGAGTCATTGTACTCTAATGAATATGCATTGCAATATTTACCTTTTTGAAACACTTTGTTTATAATTTTGACACATTGTGAACTGTTATCCTATAAACCCTTTGAAAGTAAACTTGGAACTAAAGTCCCATGCAAAATTGTTGCTGATTTTGACCATATCAAGAGCAAGTTTGGCACCTCGGCATCAAAATCATGTCTATAGATGTGTTGAGTCCACAGATCTTTATTCATTGCACTAATCTGTGTAAAAAATTGTCTTTCAAATATTTGAAAACATAGAATTAATGTTTCTAAAAAGGTCAAATTTTGTATGACCGTTGTCATGTGCCAATTCATAAAATAAGTCTTCGTTCACATGGAAAGTCTATTTTCTAAAAATCTATTTTCTATTCGCGGTATCTTATGATCACGGTCTGTGCCCTGAATATCCCGTGCATATACTGGCAGCGCGAGCCAGTTACTTATACAAAGCTGTAATTAATTCTCGGCTCTGCTCGCATTCTATAAAATCTCATCCTCCGTTGCCGCATCGCTTGCCATTGGATCATGACGGTTGCACTCGTATCTGTCGTGTTTATAGCTTCTTCATCTTCTTCGTTTTGTTGTTGCACAAAATCGACAAACACATTTTTCAAAGCAACCGCGACCACCATTGACTTTCTAACTTCCTACTGTGCATGCGTCAAGGTTTCAGAATCTCCTCCGAGCACAGCCGAGAATTAATTACAGCTTTGGAAGTAACTGACTCGCGCTGCCAGTAATTACGCTGCGGGATATTCAGGGCACAGACCGTGATCACAAGATATATCGCGAATAGAAAATAGATTTTTAGAAAATAGACTTTCCATGTGAACGAAGCCTAAGATATTGCAAATCTGAAATGTTTATGCTGAGAACAGGTCTCTTAACACATGCTTTCATACATGTATAATTCATGGTCATTCAAGTGAACCATGTGACAGCTCAACCAAATGCTGACTTAATATCACAGCTACAACTTTCACGTATATTGTTCAAGTGTCACTTTCTATATTTTACATCTATAACAAAATTCAATGCCTCCAATCAATTACCACTATGACTGAAACAAATGCAAGAAAGCTAAATCATGCATTTTTGTAAATGTATCAGCTTTAGTATTTCACATATATAACAAAATTCAACCCCTCCAATTATGCAGTAAATCTGTACAGAAAAACATTTTGTACAAATAAAATATCTTTATAAAATCAAACTGCATTTAAACAATAGTTGACAAGCCCATCCTTCAAATGGATTAGTCTACTAGTATCTGGATGTAATTGGCAGAAAATCACTACCCACTAAGCAGTGAGGTATAATGATATGTTATCTCTCTAGCTTTGCTAATTGTCATCTACATCACATAAAGCATTAGACTGCATTCCCATAGATTTAGATCGATCCATCTAGATTGACCTAACTCCCTGGGGTTCACGCTAAATCGATGTCAGCCGAGCGCGCACGGTAGTTAATTACCCCCTTACAGCTTTTAGTAGGCGGGACAGATGCTTAAGCCGGCTAAGCTGACAGTAATCTAGTGAGACTCCCCTCAGGGATAGATCAATCTAAAATCTGTGGGAATGGGGTCTTAGTGTTTATTACTCCTATGGTCAGCTACATCTAGCTCACTATGATCAGCTGTATGTTGTTCCCTAGGGTCCAGTGTGTCTACATTTTCACTCTGTCCATTGGATTCCTGGGTTGCTGCTGCAGCTTGGGATCCTTCTGCCAAAATAGAAGGAAAAGACAACTGTCATTTGTCACAAAGATTTGCATTTATTATAAAATTCAGGTCCTCTTACACTGTAGGGTCACTCCTATATTCCAGCCATTAGAGGATCTGAAAATGGCACCATTTCACTTCTCATTTGGACGAACATACCCCAGTATATTACCTAAGGTTGTAACATTCATTCAAAACTGCAACATAAATACCTTAAAATCATTTTACACCCCAATATTCCAGTCTACCTGGTAAACTTATGTGCAGAGATATTTTAAGATGTTGCCTCCCTATCTAATTACCTTTTAAGAGCGGGTTAAATTGTGAAAATTGTCATTTCTTTTAGTTTTATTGCATTTAATATTTGGATTTAATTGACAAGAATTACCTTCTACGTTTGCTCCTTGCTCAGGTTCCTGAGTTCTACAGGTATTATATGAGCCACAAGCTGCACACTTCAATCCAAGCACATGGAACAATACTCGACTCTCCTGATTGGAAAAAAAAATCACATTTACCCCATTGCAGATGCAATCTCAGTCGTAAATATTGTCACATGAATTTTAAAACTGTTTTTCCTGAAAACGTTTGTCCTTAAAATACTGTATGATCAATGTCTTAGGAAAGCTCTACCACTCAACCATATAATTTCACTACAAGGGACTTTGCTTCCTTTTACAAGTTCAGTTTGTTTCCGGTTTTTAAGTGGAAGTAAATAAATGACCATGTCGAGTGTTTAGGCTCCGTTTTGGTGATTCTCTTATGTAATGGTCAGGCCATTAAGTTGTCAGTTTCTCCAAACGCACTGGTACAGCCATTTTGCCATGAAATACCTCTCAATGTGAAAAGGTCTTCAATTTTTTGCTAAATGTATGCCAAGACATTAACTAATTTCACAAGTTAATCTCATTTCCCATATCAAGGTAACAGAAAAAATCCACTACAGATATCACTACATACCTCATGACAGTCCCTGCACAGAATCTGTACATTGTAGTCTTTGTATTCATCTGGCATAGGAGTCGCGGCTATCTCCTCATCCAGGTGCTCCCACACACCCTTCATGTCCACCAAACACTGGGCACATGTAGGGCAGGCATAGTTTCTAAGTAAGTACATAGTGTGCATAGAATTAGTCTTACAACATTAAAACTCCACCTAAATCTTTATATCGTTGGTGTCAAAATATATCAAGCTTATCGATTATGTCAATATGTCAAGTTATAGATTAACTTGTTGTAGGACTTGCATAAGTCATGTCAAAAACCAATTTACAACAGTTTTGGTGAATCTATAAAATTAGTAGGACATGCACTAAATCTCTTCAATGGCAAGAAATTACAAAAATGTAGATCAAGTCCATCTGTATTAAGTCTTTTTTTTTATCAGAAAATGTGTTTAGCATTAGCTTTGGAAACGCAATAAAAAAGCTTCAGTTCTGGGTAGGTGCTGCAGCACAAAATATGTCGATTGCTCAACAGTTGATAAATGTGCCAGTCCAATCTTAGTTTTGAGGAAATAAGAACTTTTTAAATAATAGAAAATGCATTGGGTATGTGTTTTGTAATAAAATCTTTAAAGTTATAAATGAAAAATTGCTGTTTCAGTAAAATTTGTCCTGCTTCTTCTACTGTTGTAAGCATAATAATGCTAACTCTGCTGTCTGGCTACTAAAGTGACCACTAGTGGCTTACCCCGTTTTCAGCATGCCATTCATACAGGTCCTGGAAAATAAGGTGATATTTCAGGCTGGACCAATTAAGTATTTGTCTTCATATCAGTGCAAATCTTTAATATCTCTTTCATTTGATGTTGTGTACCCTACACTTCCAAAGATGACCTCTTGTGAGTGGGCTTCAAAATGACCACCAAATTCAAAATCTGGTAACGTCACCAAGGCAATTTAGAATTACATACATTCATTCAACTAAAGAAAATTCCTTTAAAGTTACATATCAAGTCAAATCATTACCACTTAACCTGACCAAATACTTGGTTTCAAATAACTAAATAGCTAAATAACTAAAAGATATCAAATAACTTAACTAAAAGATATAACAAAGGTTCTCATCTCAAACTTCCCAAAAATTGATACCTGAACAGAAGTTTTCTGCTTTCTTTCTGTGATATGGTCATTTTTACCCCTTTTCATTTAAATACTGCTATTGTATGTTCGACAGTAATGCATAATACATTACTATGTCATCTGTCAGACTTTTACAAACTGGAGGGACAGATAAATAGGTCCAGTTTACAAGAAATTTGAACAAGGTCCAATTTTAAAGCTATTTTTTGGCTGACAGAGTGATTAATTTGGTTTATTCTTTGGCATGTCTCATTTATTTCAGTCGTTTAAGAAACTAGTCGAATTTTTTTTTTTTTTTGCATAACAGGAAATCTACCCTCGGTTCATATGCACTTTTAAATAACAATGTTTGGACTGCAAAATCTAACATTTTGCTAAAAATTTTTTTTCTCTTTCTTACTCATGTATAGGATGTCCACATGGTGGCATACACACACTTTCCCTAGATGTATGAAGAAGTTCTAAGCAAACAGGACAGTTAGACTTGGAAGCATTCTCAACACACTGAAAAAGAAATAGGGTCCACTATGTTAATTAGATTTTCGACTGAGGAAATATATTAGGAGAACAATGTTAGTTATTCACTAAAGGATTCCAGTTTAACTTGACCATTTATGACCACTTATATAAAAGTTATACATCAGATTGAATAAAATTCCCATTACCTTGTGGCTTTCCCTCAGGCCAACATGGAGGCACATATCACACTTTAAACAATGAAAGAAATTGTCTCTACCACCAACTCTGAAATCACAAATATAAGAACTTCTGAGAGGTAACAACTCTTTTATCCCTTGTATCTCATATATCATTTATGACGAGCATGTACATCATACCAGATATTGATGGTAAATAAAATCAGTATGCAAATGCCCAAAAACATATAACAATATTTTTTTTTATGAAAAAGCAATTAAAGAATAATATGACAGATGAGTAACTTAAGACATTTAAGTCTGCAGAGATATTAAACATACATATTTAGATAAAAACACCTCAACCTTAATTTTTGCCAAAGTACCTGCATATTCCACAGGCATCACAATGAAACTGCTTCTTATCCTGGTCATCAAACAAATTGCACACTTGACAGAAATACTTTCCAAACTGGACCATGCACTGTCTGCAATTACTGGCCACCTATATGTGAACATTTCTTTTTAAAATCAAAGTAATCCTATTTTATAGGCTATCAAGTTTCACAGAAAAAAGGTTACTAGTAATATGTTTCTGTCTATACTTCAGGTTTTTTAAAAAACAAATTTAATTCCATAACATATTTATCCAATTAAAACTTCACAATGCACATTAAGTGTTCCTTATATCAAAATTAAATAAATGAAGACAGAAACAAACAAACAAATAAATAAAATCTTGTGTTATTCTTTTTGCTTCAACCTACTGGTTGCTGTTCTGCACACTTGAGACATTTCACCTTCCTCACATCTTTGCGTTGTATTTGGTGTTGTTCAGCTTCATCATGGCACACACGACATGTGTAGATCTTGTTGCAACATGGTGTCTACATGATTGAAAAAAATGCAAGAATATTCTTTAAGTTCACTTATATTTACAATTAAAAATACTTTTCATTTCAAAAAAAAAAAAAAAAATTAATAGCAAATCTCAAATGGTCTTCCAACTAGTGACAATGAAACAGGGCCATGAACAGTTATTTTGAAGGGGAGATTCTATTCCTGAAAAAGTGGACCTTTTACCATGAAACTTTTGATTAAATTTTACCAAGCACAGACCATTTATTGGCAAAAGGGGGTCGTTCTACCCCTTCTCCTCATCTTGGGAGGGGGGGGGGGGCAGAGCTGACATATTAAAGAAGTATTACTCTTTCTTCTTTACATGATACCATGCAATGCCTCTTATTTAAACCTATGTAAATGAAGACAAGATGTTCTGGCATTCTGATTAATTTTATATATTTCCCTGGTGTACCCAGTGGTGGATTTAGAGGGAGGGGATGGTCAGGGGAATCCTGCCCCCCCCCTTTCGGTTTCTGGTCCCCTCTTGAAATAAGAATTTTGACTAGCTGAATCAAAGTTTTAAACCGTCAAAAAAGTTCGGGGCCCATGATACATGACACATGATAGTGAGGTGCAGCGGTCCCCTCCCCCAAGTTTACAGCACAGTTAAGTATAAGTGCACAGATTTGCATTATTATTTGATACTATGACAGTAATTTACAACTCCCAAGAATCAAAGATTTAATATGGCACTCAGTAAAATTCATTCAATCTTTCATAGCTAGACAAGCTTCAATAATTCTATGGAATAGCTGATCTTACAATAAATGCACATTTACGCCTGTAGTGTTCACATCCCAAGTTTTTTTCATCAGAATCGGACGATTTTTCGTTGACATCACTACTGCCATCTGCACTATCCGTGTCCGCCATTGGAACGGCTAAAAACCATCGGTAGAGGGTGCTGCAAAATGCGAAATGTGAGCAGACGTGTACAGCTTCGCGCTTTTGGAGCCCAGTCCAGAAAATGTCCAGAAAATATATCCAATGAGAAACAGTTTGAAGGAGTAGAGACTTCAGCGTATTTGGTGAACTAACCATTGCAAAAAAGGACAACACGTTAACAAAATAATAAATAAATAAATGATAAATAAATAAATAAAACAAACCCTGGGAATTCTAACACTTCCCAGTAACCACTACATTACAACCGTTTAACATTTAGTTTTTAAAACCAATTGAAATGTATATGAAGAGTCTCGTTTTATTGAACAGTTATTAGAAATACACATATAACACATTTCTGCGGCGCACCAATTTCGGCAACGGACTGAAACATTCCGGCATTCCGGACACTCAGAAGTAAGAGGGCGCTACTGTAAAGTTGACCCACTTTCATGAATTTTAATGACCCTGTTTAACTATAGACGGATGACCAGAGCCTACTTAGTTGACTCGTATCGAAGAATAGGGCCTACTCCGACTTCGGATACTTCATTTCATTTGCCCGATTTGCCCTGAATGGAGTCTACTGCTGAACTGTCTCAGTTTGCCAGTGGTGTGCAAAAGTATCCCAATTTTCTAAGAAGCTATGGAGACCAAGTCACCCGGAATCCGTATGACGAAGTCAACAACCCCCAGGTCAGTGTCAGGTAACATTTCAGATATTTCTTGGGAGTTAATATTATCCAGTATATTGGACAAGGAGACGGAACTCACCTCTCTAGACATAATTTAAGCAAGGGAGGAATGCACTGGTAGTAGAGGGTTGAGTCTCCACTGAGGGTTCATTTTACAACCGGACAATGGACAAGTTATCGCACCAGCAGGATCGACCTTCCTCTGCGGGGATTCTAGCTAAAGTGTAGTCATTGTAATCACCTTAATTGTCTGGCACGCCCCCTCGAATAGCTAGGGATTTTTTTTTTTTTTTTTTTTTTTTTTTTTTTTTGTAGGGGGGGAGAGGTTAATTGTCGCCGTTTCCGCTGCACGAATGTTAGTGGCCTAATTGCGAGATTCTCGAGGGGGCGTGTCCGAGGGTCACTCAAAACACAATATAAAAAATATGATATCCAACACCTGAATGCTCTATAAAGATTTAAAAAAGAGTGTTTTATTTTTCAGGGCATACTGAAGTTGGGGATTGCTGAGAACAAGCTGACGGAAGAAATCATTATCAAACGGGTGTGAGAAACAACACATGACTGTTGAAGTCTTTGGAGTCCATTATCTTTCAACATAAAATTCAAATTTTCTAGTATCTGTAAAAGGATAGAACGTATTGCAGTTTTAAGCCAAATGTTTTACAAGGGTGCAACGTGCTGCAGTTTTTAGCGCCAGTCAAACAATTTGATCTTATAGGGGCCTACATATATTTACAACGATCAAAATAAACTTGATGTGTAAATTTGGCACAAATATCAATTTTTTTATTATTCTTACATTGTTATGTAACATTTACAATTGCAGCTCTCTGCCCCCGACATGCATGTAGTCACCCCTGATATGCTGTATTATTTTAACTACATTGGCGAGAAGAGGTAGGCCTACAACGAGGGGGAAAAACGGGAAATCAATTACACTAGTGCTACTCTTTAAACTTGTAAAACAATAAAATGTATTTTTGGGCTTAGTTAAAATTAAAGCGCAATTCAGAGGAGTATCATGTAGGAATAGATGCCAAAATGTAATATGATATGTTTAATATTCCTCTCTTGTGTTTTTTAGCTTCAGGAACGCTATTGCCGAATTTATCACAGAAAGATTCCACACACGTAAGCCTGTTGACCCAGACGATGTAAGTGGTAGGTCTATCTGGTTCGAAGTTAAGTGATATGATTAGATGCGATAACTCGGCTACTAAAATGCTACACCAGTGTTTGTCTGCGTGCTGCGTTGCTCTGTGTGAATTGATGTCATTGTTTTATGAGTCACCGATTAAGGTGTTTTCATTTATTTTATTTGACCATTTTTATGTTTAAGGTGTTGGTCATCAATGGATGTGGTACTGCCCTGGAACAACTCCCTGCTGCTGTAGCTGACCCCGGGGGTGAGTGGAGCACTTACGTGTCTTTTGTATTTGTAATGGACTAAATTTAATGGTGTAGGTATATCGTAATATCAGTTTTTGACTATGTCATTTCTCAGATTATTTTCTTTTTACAGACTTCTTCCTGTGCCCATCGCCCGTCTACAGTTCTGTCCACGCGAACGCAGAACTGAGGATGAAAGTCAAGTGTTTCGATGTGCCATTAAAAAGCAAGGTTGTCTGTTTGTTGATGTTTGTCTTGTTAATTTTATGGATGAACAAATAAGTTCGGCTCTGCTGAGTTTTGCATTTAACTTTATTGCAGAAAAGTTAATTAGTCAAGGTAATGAAGGTGGTTTGTTTGTTGAATTTGCTTCTTACCAAAGGCTAGGTATGTGGTGACGGCATTTCTAATCAACAATTCGCTCACAATACAGAAATGAGCACAGAATTATTTTTAGTCAGAGAAATATAAATATCTAATGAAGAATCTCTCTGCGGCCCTTGTAGAAGGTAGCTGAGGTCTGCGTTTTCTTTTGATTGGATGCATAAAACACGCTTAATCGACTAGATGCTGATAAATAGGGGAGCTTCTGTCTCTGAGCTCCAAAGAACTGACGATGACTCTATTTTACCAACAATATGTTCTCCGTCATTGTTTTAGCATCTCGGGTAAAATTAGCTTACGCTATTTAGGAACCAGCAAACTAATATTGGGTCCTAGATTATATAGAGGAGTTTTAGAAAAATTATGAAAAGCAAACTGAAGAGATATTAATGAACTTTAAAGTGATTTTATCGTGTTTGATCTTGTTTTCAACCCATCGCAAAATATAAGTATGCTCTCAATTCCAGGCAAGTGATGCTGCAATAAGGCCATTCCAGCTTACGTTGGCTCAGATAGAAGGTTCATATAACGAGGCAATAAAACTGGTGCGTGCATAGTCATTAGGATAAAACTACAGAAAACGTGTGATCTCAATAAGCATTCTCTACATATTGATATATCATTGTGATAAACGTATTTTAGAAGAAAGCAACACGATACACGTTTGCAATATTACATCACCATGTCACTTGTGCAGTGTTAATCGGTCTCTTCAGGGATTGAAAGTAAAAGGCATATTCCTCATAAACCCCTGCAACCCAACTGGAGAAATCTGTTCTCGTGACCTGCTGACAGAAATATTAAACTTCGCAAAAAGGTATGATTCACCTTTTTTTTTGACCTTATGAATTCCTATTATACGTATATTTCAAATGTCCCCTGTGCCCTTTTCTGTTTTAGTTTTAGGCCCAAATATTTCAGCGAGGTATATGGTCCAGGGTTTAATATCTGTTTTCATAATATTCTTTGTTCTTTCAATAGTCGATGTCTTCATGTAATAGTTGACGAGATCTACGCCTTGTCCGTGTTTGATTCAGAGGCCAGGTTCCACAGCGTTCTCTCACTTCCAGATCTCCCAGACCCTCAACGCACGCACGTTCTATGGGGATTTAGTAAAGTAGGTAACTCCCATGCCAATAAATTATTTTCCACTTTTGCGTATTATTTTCTTTCGACGAAAAACTATTCAAAACACCTATTAAAAACGTTAAACGGTGGCGCTGAATCTAGTGTTTTTAAACCAAACAGGCGATAACAAACTTATTTCGTGCACATTTAATGTTAGTTATTGACAACCACGAGTGAATAAGGAGCGGGGCAGTGTTTTGTAGAGTAACTGAGTTGCTTGGCATGTCCTCAAAATACTTTAGCAGAGGAATGCAATGTAAACGGAGAAGGCCGCTTGAAAAATGAAAAGAAGGCGGCATGAGAACCAACTGGAAATAAAATGACATGAAAAAATATAACGCTGTTGTATTTACTATCTCATGTACATGTAACAACAGAAAGTAAAGTCACACACTCACACAAGATTTCTTGAATTAGTTCCGTGTGTTTTATCAAATACTGACTTGTTCTGAGAGTGTATGCTCTGACACATACAGTAGGTTGATATCACACAAGAGAAAATAAATAATGGTTGGTTCGTATCGCAACGTCGGATCGTTGCATTATGACTTTCTAAGACCAGCCCTAGATTTATATTACTTCTTTGAACAAGCTTGTCACCTCATTGAGATATTAGATGCTTTCTTTCTCAACATTTCTAGGATTTTTCGCTGTCGGGATTTCGCTGTGGCGTGGTAGTCACGCAAAATGTCCACATCAAGGCCCATCTGAATAACGTGGCTTACTACCAATGCACTCCGCCGATACTACAGAACATGCTCAGGATTATGTTATCAGACAAAGGTGTGAGAGGATTTTATACGTGCTTTCTCAGATATTTTGCAACGGCTATTTTGAATGAAATGTCTGAATAATGACTTTCTTGTCACCGCTACAATGCCTTTTTTTAGTTTTGATGAACGTTTTAGAAAGAAATTAAGAAAATAGTTACCTTTAATCGTTGCGTATTGATACCGAAGAAATCCACCGTAGATAAACGTGAAAGAAGGCGGTTATTTAGATGAAATCTTGCGTTTAGTGAATGTGTTAAGTGCGCTTGTGTATTCTTCACTTTGCGACCTTTTAAGTATGATTATTTTTCTGTAATTTTCAGAGTGGTTAGACCGAACTTATTTTCCGACAAAACTAAAACTGACGAGAGAAGGGTTTGCGTCTGCTGTAAAAGAGCTTAGTGATGTTGGCGTTAAATGTCATCCTAGTCAAGCTGCTTTCTTTTTATGGGCCGATTTTAGTGCGGTGAGAATTTTGTTTTTCAGTTAAGTGCAGTGTGTGTTTGTGTGTGTGAAATTGAGCGTTGCAATACAAAATCATTCACTATACATAAGAGCAGCAAAAACTGAACCAAATGTATCCAACCAAAATTTTAAATATTTTTTTTCTGTCATTCAGTTTTTGTCCAGTAGTGACCGAGATGGAGAGATGGAATTGTTTCAGCGTTTCCTGTCAGCTGGAGTGTATGTGGTTCCTGGAACAAGTATGTTTTGTACGGAACCGGGCTGGTTCAGAATAACATTCACTTTGCCAAAACCGTACTTTCAGGAAGGCAAGTTGCAACATTTATCACTTCAACAAACAATTATGTGGATCTTCTGTTGAGTGCTTTGATATTTAGATCTGATTTGGTATTTGGTTGACACCTTGATTTCAAGTAACAAAACAAAACAAACAAAAAAAAATGCCATTTTCGTTTCAAAGATTGAAACCTTAGTTCAAAGTAAATATAACGTGGAAGGCACTAACCCAATGCCAGTCCCAACCCCATAACTGCGTAGCATAATCCGCACAATAGTTTATTGTATTTGATTTAAAAAGTCACTTATTCCTCAAATTTGGTTTCCGCCATCTTTCAACTTCCGGTGGACTTCTTTTAAATTTTTCATTATTTATTCATTTGAGATAAATGCATTACATGCAAAAACGGATTCGTTTGGTCTGTTAAATGTTTTCCGGTAAGTAGGCCCTACAAATAACGATGGAACTTACCATTTCGATGGTTCCGAACTCTAATTTTGTTATGAAGGAGTACAATGTGGTTGAGTGCAGCTCAGATCTCAAACTAAATGGAATGTCAGTACCAAACCGATTGGTCCGATTTTCTACAGCAATGAGGAATGCTTTTAATCTCAAGAATCCTAACCCATGTTTTTGTTCATGGATCATAAATTTCTTTTGGTGATTATTGCATCAGGTGACATAAAAACCGTGCACAGTGGTGTAGGTGGGTCTTAGTCTGGAGTGTCTGCTAATAGATTCCTCAATCTCCTTATGAACTTGCTTTAAATGCTTTAACTCAGTAAGTCTCCGCAGAAGAGTTCTTATCGGTTCTTATGGACCTCCAATCACGGGCCCCAAATTACCACCTATATTTGTATCTATGTTTACTACCTAAAGGATAAGGGCTTTCTTGGCACCAGGCCCCTGAAAGGATTAAAAGCTCAATAGAAAAAATGTTTTCTTTTATCCAAATATTTAAAACAAATTTAGATTTAAAAAAGTACTCATATGGCATCATTATATTTTTTACTGTTTCAGGATTAAGAAGAATTAAGACCATCCTAAACGAAAGCCGGCAACATAGGCCTAAGCCTCCAAACATCTGAAGACTTTTCTGTATGATTTATTCATTCATTGACGATATATCCTATAAAACATGTTAAATTAGTACTATTCTATAAAACATTAATGTTCATTTATTATATCATTAGTTAACATTATTATATGATATCTGGGAATACGAGGTCTGATGAAACTCAACAATGACGGACGACATCGTTGTCTATTTTTTTTACCAGTCAGAGAAAAACAAACAAAAGATAGCAACTGTGTTGGATGCCAGAAATGTTGCAAATTTTGATGTTATCTTGGACAACAGTGACATTCAGATATTTCATAATGTAATAAAACTATAATGTGATTTGCTCTAAGTTAATATATTATGTTCAAGATCTCAGCCAAAGTCAATAATTATTCATATAATCAAAGAAGACGAGTTGTTTACTTGAATTACATAAAAAATTACCTTTCAAAATGTGAACAAATGCTTATTTTAATTTTTACTTTCGCTGTTCATCCTCACGGTTCTTTTGCGCCAGTTCAAATAAATGCTTGTTTGGTAACAGTGTCTACAAAAAGGTAAATAAAGGTTTTGCTCTGGATTTTAAATACCACGGACGAGGACGCTACGAAGTCTTTTTAGACCTGAAATTGGAAGAAGTCAAAACTAAAGCAGTCGTGGTTATGTTATAAAATCTTTCTTCATTCATAATGATGATTTGGATATGACACCCCCCCCCCCAAAAAAAAAAAAAATAATAATAATAATAAAAATAATTTAATAAATAAATAATAATAATTATATTATTTTGATTTTTACACAAAACAGTCCTGCTTACCCTCTTGCAAATAGGGCTTTTGGAGTGAAAAAAGGACCCTGAACCAACCAGGGTCTACGCAGAATAGTTCGGTCCCCGGTATAATATACACTCCAGCAGCAAACAACTTTTGGAATAGTTGCATTTCTTCCTCTCTGGTCTTTTCAGACATGAACTGTAGCGAAAACAAAAACGATTTCTATACAGCTGGTAGATTCTGAAGCTAAGAAATAGACAATTATTTACAACAAGAAAGTAAACTATGCACTGGTCGGAGCAGAACCAGAAGTTTGTGGAGCGAAACGAGACAAATGCAGTCTATACAACAATAGCATAGGACAATTTACTACGCGAAAAATTTAGGCCTACAGAGTCATGAGATATTTGTTTGAATGTTCGGCCCAAGAATAAAAAATCAATTGGGAGTAATTACGATCTAATCAAGTTTTGATTCTTAAGATCAGTTACAAGTTATCTGGAGGAAGGCCTATCTATTAATCACACGAAACCATAGCCGCGCACAACTAAACACGAAAACACACAAACACATATATATATATCGCAAATAGCCGTTCAAAGGGAAGCACTATGGTTTCAATCAGGATTGCTATAGGGAAGGCTCTTTTAAACTATGCACGACGACGTAAAATTTAAAAATTGACACAAATCTTTTCTTAGTTCTGACGACTTTTTTTTTTAAGTAAAAAAATCACGTTGGCGGAAAATCGAGGTAAACGGAGTTTCCAAGTATTTACCGTGTAACGTAGGATACAGGGATGGGAATTTGCCTAGTTTTGTCTGGTTTCGCTCACTGTTTCTTTAGTAGGGAGGAGAAGGGTTGCCTCAAAAGAAAAGGAAGGGTCCCCTGTGCCCACATTCCTGGGATCTATGACCCACCAAACAACTTTTCTCCGACCAGAGGTCGCGCTAGCAGTCTGTTACAAAATTATTGTATCTATACTTTAATTTTGTATGCTATTTTAGAGGCCCCTGATATCAGACGGTACGTGTACCAAACAACTAGCTTGGATCCACTACTGGGGGGTAAACTGTTTAGGCAAGTCGATCATAATCTGTTAAAGTGAGCATGTATTACTGTTTTGATGCGTGTGTCTAAAGTGGTCTGAACGGCACAAACCTTCGCGATAATGTTATATTAGAGACAAGCATACCGGTGAAAAATTTGCCCATACAAAAAAGGCGGCTTTGCTTGGGTGGCATTTGATCCCGAGATCTTCTAATTCATTCGTAACAAAAGTAAACATTTCTCTCATCCTTTGGCGGTTCATAGGAAAATACGTGGAATCAAGCCATTCTGAAAGGAGAAACGGGGATATTCACATAAAATGCTATATACGAACTATATGTACAGGCTGTAAACATTTTCCGATGTTCATTGCAAAAGCACGAACGTCACTTGCCAGTTTTAAATCTTACTTAAAGTCTGAACATTCACAAATGACTTGTAAACAAAGTCATTAGCTGCTTTGGTACCGTGACGAAACAGTACCAGACTGGTAATTTGTTCTATTGCGTCTTATTATATATGATTTACGTTTTAAAGAACGTCTCCCCAAGTTTAACCCGACCCTGACTATGCTGAGGTAAATAAAGTGCCTTTTTTTTTTTTTTTTTGCGCTAATGTTACAATGAATGGTCATTCAGTATGCTCCGATAAATATCAGATCCAACATGTTGGAGCCTAGGAAATTGTAATAACATTATGACTTAAATTTTATTTCCATTAAAAAAACATCTGCCTACTTTTGTCAGAAATCATTATCCTCATCATATTCTGGAGCAGTACCGGTGTGCACTGGTAGTAAGCTATATTGTCAATGAAAGTTTTCAGCTTCTTATTACTGCTGATTATTGTACCACACCTGAAACCTGAGAGAGCGAAGTCCTGAAAAATATATGATATTTCCATATTAGAAGTATATTGGATTGAGGTAAATGAATGCAGAAATAGTTTCATCGGCAATAGATAATTTGAATAGAATTATTCAGTATGTAATCATCCCATTGTGGTAATCTTCCATTTCTATATCTGTTAGTTCCATACCTTACTAAATCCCCATAGAACATGTGTTTTGTCAGGGTCTGGGAGGTTGGGTAACGCAAGGACACTGCAAAACTGGGTTTCTGAGTCAAACACCGACAAGGCGTAAATCTCGTCCGCTATGACGTGTAATTGGTGCCTAGAAATATGATTGACTCATTTTTTCATATTGTTAAATATTGTTTTAATCTTTTTCTTGGGGTCTTTTTTGTTGCACCTATAGCACACACATGTATCAAATATTTAAATAGCCTGACGGAGTCTAAGAACCCATTCAGAACAGATGATCAAATATGGCGGACCCTATATGAAAGCAAGACCGCTTAATCCACGATGGTCTCATCGCCTCCACACGCTCCATTAAACGGATTAAATCTCGGTTTCCAGGTTTAATTGCTAGGCCCCTGCAGGGACGGCGCGTGTGGAGGCGGAGAGACCATTCGAGGATTAAGCGGTCTTCCTTTTATGTAGGATCCGCCACATTTGATCCGCGGATCAGTAGACCCCAGTATCGTCTGTTCTGAATGGGTTTTAAGAGAAAAGAAAGAGTCCCCCATCTTCGCGTACCTTTTTGCGAAAAGCAAGATATCCATCAGCAATTCTGGCGAGTAAACGTCTCCTGTTGGGTTGGAGGGATTCAATAAGAAAATGCCCTTCACCACCAAACCCTATAGAGAAAAAAATTAAAATTTGGAATTAAACAAAACAGCATACATTGCGGAATTTCGAACATTGATTTCAGGCACATTTCTTTTTACCAAAATCGCATGGCAATACTTGTTTTTCTCTCAGTTTTCTTAGTAACATGTTAGTTTCCGTGTTAGCTATTAGGCCTACAGAAAATTACAGTGTCAGTCACTTTGTCTCTAAATGACCAGGCGACGCTCTGACCTGTCCGGTGGCGTCTTGGTACGCTTTCTCCACGTCTTCCAATGTCAACTGGAAGGGTCGGACTTTGCCATTCTCTTGCTAGGAAAAACGTAGATAATCACAGATGACCACCTGCACAATGTACCATCATAACATAGATTGCGAATGAGTTAGTAAACATAAGAGACGAAAGTTAAGCAAACCAACATATTATTTATCCTCATTTGCGTATTTGAGCTCTTGTATCTCAAAACTACCAGGTGGAAGCTCGCTATAAACGATATCACACAATCAACTTTATTAAATTAATATGTATGAATACGTACATATCATAAAGAAACTGAGAAAAATAGTTTTGGTGTTAAAATCAAAAGTTACGAATTCTATGTAAATGGGATATTTTTGTGTTAAAAGAAAAATTAATATAAACTTTTGATTTCTAACCTGGCTTGTCAGTGGAATATCGAAACAATCCACTTGGCCCCTGATATTGCAATCAAACTTCACCATGCTGTAATACGGACTTGGACACAGTAGGTATTCTGAAAATTATCACATTAATAAAATACGGTATAATATGAAAAAAACGGTTTACTTTATAAAAAGTGTATGTGATATACTAATATTTTTATATGCAACACTATAAAAAGGAAAATTTAGAACTGAGATTAAACGGAAGACAAAAAAACATACATTTGCCTTAAAAGACGGAAAGAGATTTTGTTTCACATCGTCATTAAAAAATGTGTCAGGGTGGTTCCCTCCCCTTACCCCCGGGGTCTGCTACTGCTGAGGCCACCTGCTCCAGAGCTGAACCGCAACCATTAACAACCATTACCTGAAATGTAACATGGAGTTCATGGCACGTACTCTCTTTGCAATGTACATGTACACAACACGCATGCATATTTAAATGCATATCTTATATATTAAAATAATCTTGGATCCGTTATATACATAATGAGTCCAAGGTTACATTTAATATCTTTAGATATATATTTACTATGGACAGGATAGTATTCACTATTTTTAAAGACTACAAATAAAACATCAATCTAAGAAAACAAAAAAAAAAGTAAATAGAATATAACATGTATTTTTACATAATAAGGATGTATAACACGATTTGCTGGTTTATGTGCCTGTATGTCATGAGGATTGACATAATATTAATATTTGTGCGCTTACATTATCAGGCTCGACACTCCGAGTTGTCCCAAATCTCTCTGTGATGAAATTGGCCAAGGACACCCTGAAACTATTATTGGTTAAATGCATTTTGAGAAATTATTACACGGCTTGTAACACCAATGTATAGATGATGGAGAAATAAATGCCCCATTGGTTGTGCGGTGTTTTAACAGTCGAAAAGACTTTGCTTCAAAACGACAATCGCATATTTCCATTTTGCATTCACATCTCCTAAATACGTGTACATATATATCAATGATGAGTATTAGGTTCCAGAATACTGCTCACTGTATCAGACTTTAGAACACTTTCAACATGAAATTTCAAATTGGTCTTGTATTTTAATTGTTACAAGCATTGTTAAACCAAGGTTGTTTTCATCATCATGAAATCTGGAAGAAAAGTTCCCGAAAAGTCAACATTTTTATTCTGACTACCCCCCCCCTATCCCCCCCCCCCAAGAAAAAATGTTACACTCCAGGCTACGTAAAATAATAAAATACATACTCTCGTGTCCCTGAAAACTTGAAGTAGTACAACATGTCTCTGCTCATTCCATGCATATCTGGCTGTGAGAGCTGAAATAGAAATATTGATTTTTAAGTCATCTTTTCAATCTTTTTCAACCATCTTTTCATAAATAAAGCGAATGTGACAATTTTAAATTACTTTCAGACACAGAACGCTTCACATGATGCTTGGCCTAATATTGTTGACCGAAATTGCAGTAGTTTTGCTGCCTTACCCTCTCAAAAAGAATGTCCTCCATTAACTTATTTTCAGCCATCCCCATGCTTACTATGCCCTGTTGATAAATAAACCTATCGGGTATCATGTTTGTAGACAAGACAAAATATAGTAAAAGGATTAAAATAAATTCAGTACGGATACATGTAGCTTCCCGTCAAACGAACACATCTTTACATTTGAAATGTAATGGAATCCGTGCTATAACAAAATCTAATAGGTTACTAGTAGCCTTTGAGGATTAGCAATGCCATTTGGAGTGTAGGCCTATTTGAACATTGGCTCAAACAAGGAATAGCTCAGCATGTATGTAATTTGTGTTACCTTGGGATTGTTTTTCTCGTCGTAGGGATTGTGTATCGCTTGGGCGCCATACTTCATTAGAAAACTATGTGAGTCCGCTATAAATGTCCCTCTCTTCGATAAGTCTGAGGCCATGTCGCCAGTCCTCGATAAAAGAAGAACAAAAGTATATAATACTTTATGTTTTGCTGTGTGCTAATCACACGGTTTGCTTAAAGGTATCCCGGAATTATCCAGCCAAATCGAATTTTCCTCGAAAATTAAGCAATTTCTCCCACTCACGAATCATTGCTCGACCCGTTCCTGAATTTCGATTCGATGTTTTATACCATTTCAAATTAAATAAATAGTTCTAAATGACTGACCAGTCATTTAGACCACCATGTCCTCCATTCCGTTTTCTTTGCGGGGTTTAATCGTTTTTAATACCATAATTGGGAAAAGTAAATGGCTTTGCAGGATATGCTTTATTCATTGTAACGTATGCATCTACATGGATAGATGAAAATGTACAAAAGAATGCAAATATATATAAATATGAATTATGATCAATAGTGATATTGTATGACTCCTTGTATGAAAAAAAAAATACAAAACATATTTAGCGGAGCCCAAATAGCTCTACCTACTCAACTGGTTATGGGTGCAGCACAGTCCCTTTTTTGGAAGGCTAACCATAAATACTTGGCAAGAGCAATAATAAGGATATGTAAACATGGAAAATGTGACTTTGGCACGTTTTCAAACGCGGATGGTATACTACATTTAAGGCTTTTGCCTTAATTCATCTTTTTTAAACATTAGGGCACACCCACGCGTACAGTATGTGAAAGTTAATTAAGCACAAACTACGTGGATGACAACGGGTAGCCTGCTCCTTGGCCTTATGCTGGATGCTGTAATACTTAAGTCTCGGGTCCACTAAGGGTCAGAAGTTTATGTAAATCTTGGAAAAATAAAACGTTTTATTGGTCCCAGTGTAAACAGAGTCCTTTGTAAAACCCCCTTTACACTGGAAAGCATCCTTTCTGCGTCCTTTTGTGCGACCATGTAACTGGCATCGCTGTGGTCGCAGAAAGGAGGCACAAACATCGCTTTGATTGCAGAATGAATGCTCGATGATCGGCCAACTGTTGGCAAGTAAAGTATTATTATTTTTTCTCTCAAAAGGGGCCCTGCTTCGGAACGCAGAAAGGACGCCGTCCAGTGTAAAGGGGCTTAAACTGTCAAAAGAATTACATATGTGGTTAAGACTAGCGAATAGAATTCCCCTCCGTTTCGGTTGACTGCAACCAGCTTCTCGCATATTGGTAACGTTCTTATTCATACACGATGGATGTTAAGTTCTCGGAAAATGCAAAAATTATGTTGGAGAATACTTGAATTTTTAGCATATGTGTGCTGAAACTAAAACGGGGTGTAAAAAAAGGATAGTTATCACGTTACTGACCAAAAAACAATGAAGACTTTTGGCAATGGGAAGTTTCGAGACATCAATAACACCATGGGCCGTTCCCCGAATAGTTTAGACTTTTTTGCCGTGGATCGATTGATCGAAGATTTAATTAAACGTAACATAAAAACCATAAGGGCTTTTCATAAACTAGAACCAAACCCTGTTTACCTTACCTGCAAGTCGAGTTCTTCCTGGCTGTTCCACGAGCAGAGCCTCTACGGTCCACGTCTTCAATGCAATGGTGGGTCCAGGGGGGGGCACTTATATTCTGATACATACCTTCTCTTTCTCTTTCTCTCTCTCTCTCTCTTTCTCCACCCCTCCCCCTCCCCCGCAAAACAGTATAATGAACAAAACAAGAAAGAACAAATTAATTTTCCATAGCTGCTTTATATTTTATAGTAAAATTTTCCTAATCCACAATTTTATACTTTATTTGCGTCGTTCGGGAATTTTATTCCCCCCCCCCCCTCCCCAGCACATTCTGGATCCACCACTGTAATGGGCGTAGGTATTTTAGCATCGATTATATGTGGTGTCACAGGATTGTAACGGGTGTTTTCATTAGGGGTGGGGTTGGTGGAGACGGGGGGGTTTTACTTTTACCCTTGAGCCTAAGTGTGTTCATCTAATCTATAACAAAATTTGAATAAGAATGGACGTTTGCCAGGACCAATGGGACCAATGGAAGATTCGAGACATCAATAATTTGTGTTGGACCCCCCCCTCCCCCAAACCTTCCTCTGCCTATTGTGTTGTTCTTTTGATAAGCTGAAACTCGAATATTTTAAAAATGGAACGATGGATTTTCACTGCGCCTTGCAAACACAACCGTAACCAAATAGAAAGATTAATTCCCATTAGCAAGTTGAAGCTTTATCGCCAGGCCGTCAGAATGGCCTGAACGGAAAACATGCCCAACTAACGATATCTTTATTAAAGTACACAAATTTGGAGGTAATTTTGTGAATTTTGAGCTTCAAAACACCTCTCTTTTAGCTAGGTTTGGGAGTTAATGAGCTACGTGATCACGTGGTCCGTTGACGAGAGCCAGTTCAGTAAGCTGTCAAACTGAGCTACCATTATCTACCTTTAAAATGACTTTTCAAACTACTGATAACAATTCATACCCATTCACCTATCTCTACGGAGGGGTTTATATCCATACGAAGCCAGGTGCCTGACTATTCAATGATTTGACTTGCATTTAATTACGGTTATCCCAAGTAGTGTAAAATACTGCATTCGAATGACTTTCATTCAGTATGAGGTCCATGTTATTTGTGAAATTCAATTCACTTCAATTTATAAAACCCTTGAGCCCTACAGCTCATCAGAATGAAATGCAGTAAAAATATAAAGTCATAACAACAACAACGAGAACGCAGACCTCCGCCAAGTCTCCAGCCAATGCCGTTTCACCCCCTAAATTTCCATTGATTATTGATTGATTATTGATTGATTATTGATCCGGATCACCACCAAAATGTAAGTAATGTTATGTTTTCACCCCTGTTTGTTTGTTTGTTTGTTTGTTCGTCTGTCTGTCATCAACATAACTCAAAAAGTTATGGACCGATTTTGATGAAATTTTCAGGAACTGTCAGAAGTGGGCCAAGGAACAGATGATTAGTTTTTGGTAGTGATCTGGATCAATAATCAATCAATAATCAATAATAATAAAAAGTCGCTGACTTGGCGGAGGTCTGCGCTCTCGGAGTGCTTTTCTAGTTATGTATGTTATTGTAGTCAGAGAATATAATTTATGTAAAAGGTTACATGTGAATATGTATATATTTAAGTGATACACATGATAACATATAAAAGCTGGACTACCAGAAAAGCAGATTAATTCAATAAAAGGTCATACCGAGGAGATCTCTTGTTGTTCTTGTTTGTGACAGTAATAATAAAAACTCATCAGACTGACGTTCATCTTAACTCCGATGCACATTTTAAAGAACTTACCTAAGTTGTTTAATTGTGATACATTGTTAAGTGAAAACAATTTAATTAGCTTGAAAACACTTTTCTTTGTATAATAAAATTTCTGATGTATTTCTGCCCAATCGTTCTCTAATTTCTCTAAATTCATCCTCGATGTCATTTAAAATACAGTTTACAGGTTCTTAATTTTTATTTGTGTCTGTTTACCTTCCAGTTTCTACAGCTAGATTGTGTGATGAAAGGTCTAAATTTGGCAATTAATTCCTTATAATTATGTGAAATTGGCTTAATAAAATAAAATTGCACTGTAAAATTATCAACAAGATGTTGATACAATAGCCCTCTACTCCTTTTGGATATTTCCCCGGTCAATGTTTGTCTAAAGTTATCTTTCACTCTTTGCTTTTTCAAAGACAGTATAAAATTGTCTGATATATTTTCGTGAAAAATAAATGACACGCCAATTGTCTCCAGTCCATTCTGTACTTACATTACCCGATCGAAATTTTTGTTAAGCAGATCTGTATAGCACGGTGTTATGTAATACAATTTTTCGAGGAGCGGATTTTCCACGGAAGTCTTGCCTGGGCATAGGCATGCTTCAAGATACCCTAGAGCGATCACTTTCATGAATGTTCGCGACCGTGTTTGAATTCATTGGTTTAAATATCGATAATAAACGTCATTTTGAAATACCAATAACATTACCCCATGAGATATATTGAAAAAAATATTAAAGCCCACCAAGAATCTGAGTTACTTGTTGTTACCTGGCTTGGGTAGTGCGGCGGTGCGTAATTAACAAGTAATATTGTTAAAGAGGTCTTGGTTAACTACCATGCATTTAAAATACATCACCTATTTTCTTTAAATCTCTCCGTTTACATTATATAACTTTACAATGTTTAACACCAAATTTCAATGGACTTCTGTAAGCAATACCCACTACCATCGGTTTAAAAGATGTTATCAAAAATTAATGGCACCGGGTATGTTCTTCATAATAACTACATCAATCTTGATTTTAACTGCAGCGGCCATGGAGTTATCCCCCGAACCGATAGCTATCTACGTGTACGCCCGACTAAGATTACACGCTTCCGGGCACTTCAACGGCTAAATAACACATGGTGACAGCGCCAGCCCTACCTCTTATCTTGGATTCCGTGTAGGAAAGAAAAAAAAAACATATATTTCAGGGTATTAATATATACGCCCAAGTAACCATGTGTGTCAAAACGTGTTATACCTATACATCTGATATAAGAAAACTCCAATTTATAACAGTGGTGGATTTAGGGTGTCAGGAGGGTCCTGCCCACCCCCCTTCGATTTCTGAAAAAAAATCACACCAATGGTCCCCTCTTGAAACTAGAATTTTGACCAGCTGAACCATAGTTCTAAACCGTACCAAATGGCAACGTTCTCCCTCTAAAATACCAAAATTTTTCGGGGCCCTTCAGTGTCCCCCGAACCCCAATCCAAGGGTATCCGCGGACCCCATATATAATCAAATAATCCTGGATTCGCCCCTGTATGTCGATAATCTTACTGGTCGCGAGCTGTGTCTTGTATAGACTTTTCCTGGGGTGAAAATTTAATTCTACCCTCTTAACTGGTTTACCCATGCTTAGGATTGGATAAGAAGAAGTCAAATATATGATAATTATTTACTTTTTTCACCTTCTGGTTAATACCCTTATTCCACACCGACTACAAATTCCACGAACCGCCACGAATTGATAAATCCCAGGGTTCTTACCTTAATTGTGATAAATTCTTTAAGCTCTGAACTGATTCTTGTTTACTCTTAGTCAGTTCTTGCAATTCTTGAGAGATCGTGAAATCGGGACAAACGTTTTGAGCTCCCGAATGCAAAAAAGTCCTTGGTATATTCTTATCGTATCTGATTCCTAGTACATTTTTGCCAGTCTTACCTATTCTTATCTTAAACTGGGAATCGTGAAGCATCCGTCTGACCACGATTTGACTACTATTCTGTAAAACAAGGTGTAAAATACCACAAAATAATATTCAGAGATAACTTGGAAGAGGGCAGTCATTAGATCATTCAGGATAAAGCAGAGAGATCATGACCGGTGTAACATGAAAATCTGACTCCCATGAAAATCTGACTCCCCCAGTCAGAATTTCATAATGAAAATCTGACTCCCCCCATGAAACTTTGACTCCCCCTCCACAAAACTTCATACATCTTATTTTATTTTGAGTATATGACTGTGATCTTGTAGTGTAGTATGTAAAATGGAGGATACATAGGCCCTTTTTTGTAGTTTGCAGGTGATAATTTTCATGAAAAAATAAGAAAATTAAAAGTGTGCACATAATCAAAATTTCATAGGGGGAGTCACATTTTCATAATGAAAATCTGACTGGGGAGTCACATTTTAGGGGAGTCAGATTTTCATGGTACACCGGGTCACCTCACACGACTTCACTTAGGAGGAAGATTCGCCTTTGAAGTCTTGGGGCAAGAAGTTATAACTTCTTGCTTGGGGGGAGATTCACCCCAGAAGGAATTATATCCGTATCGGTGCCGGGGAAGACAACGAAGGCATTTCTTTTAATTAAATGTTTAAAATTCCTGAACGATCTATAAAGGCTGCCCAGTTTCAAGTGAATTTCATATCGTGTTTTGGGTCTCTGCGATATCAGACAAAATTTTCTCTCTACAGGAAGGAGAGGGTTTTGCTTTAGTAAATTTCCGGAACTCTGTATGACAAAGTAACATTAAAGTTTTTATCTGCGTGCCTTTCAAACTGTACTGTTCACTGAATAGAACTCGCCTGACGAACACCATCGAAGCCAAGAACCTACGCATTATGATAGATGCCATAAAAACAAGTTTTTATGTCTGTCTTGAGGAACATTTTCGAAATTTCAAGAATAGCCAAGATAACATTTATAATGGTGCCAGAATCGTGGTGCATTCGGCAGATACTTAGCTTTCTCTTTAACTGAATCCTATACTAGTCGTGAAGTATTCGTCAGTCATTCTTGCAAATCGTAACTGTTTCTTGACCACATTCGTACTGTTCAAGCAGAATCCTACAGGGTCAAGATCTCTACCAGAGATGTACAAAATTCCACGATCCCTCACGATTTCTAAAATTATCAATTCTTGGCGGTTCGTATAATTCGTAGTAGGTGTGGAATAGGGGCATAAAGGAAAAGTTAGAGAAAACTACTTCTTAGACCTAGGGAAAAATACCGTTTATAGAAACCTTGCCTTTACGTTACTATATTTACTCATTCATTTATCTATTCATTAATCTATTTGACGTTTGACCAATTCTATATCAATTCAACAGTATAAAAATACTTAATTTACATTAACCAAACTGAACTTAATTCCACTTCTTTTAATGCATATATGTATATAAATATTAATAACACTGAAGTAAATAAATGGTACTTGGAGATTATTATTTAATCACAAGATGAAACGATTCGACATTGATATGAAAAAATGATGATGGAATTTTAGTCAGTCATATACCAACAAGGTACTTGATAATTTTTTACATGTCAATACAGCATAAAAATAGCATTATTGAAATGACATCAAAATGACATCCAAATGACATAATTTGACTGCCTGGTAAATGGTCTGGTGGATAATTTAAACTGACAGAAGTAAACAAGTACACAATGAAGTTCTAATAAAGCTCTAACAAATATATTGGGTATTGAAATAGTTTAGTAATATGAAGGGTATAGTAGCAAGTTACTATCCACTTAGCATTATGATAAAAACATTTGTCACCAAAGTTTTGGATCGAGAAACTAAATTATAATATGAAAGTGCAGTTGTAAAAAAATCATTCAAGCCTTTCTGGAATAGTATTTGTAGGTTGAAAAACAGTCCTTTTTGCTACAGTGTTAGAGTAAACTCCACTTTCATCTGCCCATGTGTTCCAGCCAACTCTTCTATAGTCGGTGGTATCTGTGAACTGTGAGTGCATTTTTCTGTATGACCAGGAATTGTCAGGGAAATCTGGTGGCCGCTCCTGAAAATACAGGAAATCTGTTGTTAATATACATTCTTGTATGATGCTTAAGTTTATAATATCATAAAACAAAATAAAATCACAAGAGAGAGAAAGGTTAGTATACTTACTGGTGCAGGTGTGTATGTGTAGGGTGGGAAGTAATCTGCCCCATAAGTTGTTTCTAAGTGATGCTTATTGTATTCAGGATGGTGCCTTGGCAACACAGATCCAAATCCTCTCTGAGGGTGACCAGTATCTCTAAAAATATCACAACAATAAATCAAGATCAACCAAACACTAGTCACTAACACTTCTACTTTAAAAATATCCCATCATATCATATCATATCACATCATATCATATCATATATTTCAAACTCCAGAGTTTCCAGCCATCACGGTTACAGTCTCCAGTTGAATAACTCATTATTTACCTGTCAAGATTAGTATGTGCAAAAGTTTCCAGGTTGACCATTGGTTTACTTGTGGCTTGTTCTTGGAAATCTTTTTTCAGGGAAACTTGTGCTGCATGGTCTTGGTACGTGGTATTTGGCAATGACTAAAATTAATAAAAGTGAACAATGAATGATTTACATTAAACTTCAATTAGGCAATAGTACTGCATTATATTTCTTTGTGTAAAAAGAATGAAACAGGCTCTAAATTAAGTGAATACTTATATGCTGTCTCTTTCACATTTCCCGGATATCAAAAGGGGCACATATTAATTAATACTAAAAAAGATTAAGAAAAAAGGAGAAAGGAATCCTACCCCATCTGTAACATTGCCAATCCTTTTGTAGGTTGCCTTGCTTAGATCTCTCCTTTCTGTCTTGCTTATATCAAAATCTTTTGGTTCTGCTTCCCTTGCTTGATGCCTTAAATCAAGATATGTAAAATAAATAAATAAATGCAGCATCTACACAAGAAACAATAATTTACACACAAATAAATATCAAAGTAGAAAGATGCAAAATACTGAACACAACCATGCTCGGGTGTCACCTTGATACTGAATCTAAAAAACATGAAACTACTTCCGAATACCATGCTTACCAGTTCGAATTGAGTGTCGCCCTAGCATAGTTCATGTGATTTGATCGCAGGAAAAGAGATCCTTTCCTCTCAATGTAATCTGGCAGGCCTGTGATTCCGGTAGCCATAATTATATAGGCATGTACATAAAATCCGTCTTGTAAATGTTATGCGCTCTGCCGAGCTCCACGGCGAGTTTCCTATAAAACGTGATTGAGACCGAAGAACTCAGTTGACAATAACAACAAGCTTCCATCAAGTAAAATAATCCGCACACGTTATACAACTATTCTTCATATCGTTTTGACTAAATAATAGATAAACAAATTTTAATGGTCTAAACTTCAAATTTATCTACAAAACTGCTGTTTAATGAAACATATATCTTGTTTAATCTATAGCGGATTAATAATTCTACATTCTACGTGTCTATAGTAACGTAAGATGAAAAGGGGGAAAAATTGCATCTGCCATGCTACAATCCAAAATAGGCTCTGCAACTGCATGCATTTTATAGCTTATACTGGGTATTAACTAGTAGTCTATAGTAGGCTTATGACATTTGACGCTTTGAAAGATTTTTTTCTTGTGTAAGTCTAATAATTATAAATTAATGAAATAAAGTACCGGTAAATGTTAAGCATGTATTCACTCGATAAACACGTACTCACTCTCAGTTTATAGGGGAAACTAGGTCCATTTGAAGGAAAACATAAAAGTGAAAAATGAAGTTTAAGATATAATTGCGAATTCTACCCTTTCTAAATCTCTGATGACAGAAAGTGATTAATCTATGATTTTTTTTATAAATCATTGAAAAATTTTAAATTCTTGCTTTGCTAGCATGGAGACGAAATAACGAAGGTTTAGCCTACCCTCTACCAGGGCGACAGATTGATTTTCCACAGATATTCACAGATATGTCTCTAGATAAATAGACAGTCATTTTGGTCTGATGTCGCTCCAGCCAAAAATGTCCACAACAATAACTGCGGCCCTGGTAGAGGGTAGGTTTAGCCTATTTTGGTAACGAAAGTTTTAAAAATAATCCCTTTTGGATAATATTCGCACGTTAGTAGGCCTAATACTAACAAAAATTATACCGCATTATTGGGGTATTACGAGATGCACATTTATTTTACTGACACATTTTGTCCTCAACCTCAAGTATATATTTTTTACAATGCCTGGTAACGAAGGTGTTGCAAATTACTTTTTATGAGAATGCAGTTTTGCCGTGTTTTGTCTAAAATATTTGACTGTGTCCTGTCACCATACATAAGGATGAACATTTTATTAATGACCTAAATATTACAAAAAAAAAAAAAAAAAAGTTGCAGATTTCCTTCTTAAATAAAAATGCACTAGATCAATAGGAAAATGTGCGATGGTTCTGCAAGAGACAGTAACGAAAGTTTCAAATTTAGTCCGTTTAAATGATTTTTGTGAACAGATATACATGTAGATAAAGCTAATAATAATTATTTTATTTTGTAAGTTGCTAGACTCTTGTTTGTTAAGTTCCACTTGGAGAAACAATTATTCCGCTTGCTTACTTTTAATAATTTTTTTAAATGTTAAATGGACCTATATATTGAGAATGAGTGTAAAACAATCAAGTTGAGGTTCAGTTTGAAGCCTGGTCGATTATCTTGGAGGATCAGACAGAGGGGCAAATTAGACAACATGGGTGGTTGCATACGCCTATATAGCCCTATATAAAAGGGAATTAAGTTCTTAATGAAAGTACTAGTGTTAGGCAACACGGGCATGCAAAATGCCTCTAATAACAATCAGCAATGCATGCTATTTAAAATTATTGATATTTCCAGGAATATCCAATTATTATTTTTTTCTTTTGCTATATTATAGTCTAACTCCTTATAGGCCTATAAAGGTTCTGCGCTGCACTCGATCCCTACGTATATGCTCGTTTTCGAACGTAATATACGCAAACGTAGCCTGTGCAGTGCGGTGTTTTATCGATAATTAAATTAGGGGACATCCCCTCTCTCTCTCTTTCAGAAATGTGTTATATAAAATGTTTTCAAATATGCTTTATTGGCCCTATCATTTTCTATTAACATTATGAATGCAATGGTGAAATACTCAGAATACCGGTACATACTTAAAAAGGGTGTACATGTACATACAGTACAGGGCAATCGATTTTATTTTTGTGGAAGTATTAATTTTTTCAAGTTTTAGTCTGCATATTTTGTTATCATGCTCAACGCACACGTTGTAGCTAATTAATCTATAATCTAATTAAATTAATTAAATATCAATTAACTGTTAAAGGGATAGTACCTGTTCGTTTTTATGGTAAAAAATGGATTTTCCTGGGGTAAACGACGATTTTCTTATACATACATGCACCAGTGGTAAATAAATCTATTTCGACATTCAAAGTAAGTCCATTCATGTCAGCAAGGGCTAGCCTGGACATCCATCGACAAGCTATAAAAGATCTGGAAATTTGATCTATCTCGACAACATAAAATCAATATATTCCAAACATTGGTCGAGCCAGTAGGCCTACTTCTTTACGGTTGTGAAACATGGAGCTTAACAAAATAACTTGAAAGACGTATTGGTGGATGCTTCACCAGATAACTTAGAGCTGCACTTAATATCAGTGGGATAGACAAGGTGCCAAACTTGGAGCTCTATGGCGAAATACCGAAAGTCACCTCTAAAACTAGAAAAGCACTCCGAGAGCGCAGACCTCCGCCAAGGCAGCGATTTCTTATTATTATTGATTATTGATTGATTATTGATTGATTATTGATTCGGATCACCACCAAAAACTAATCACTTCTAAGTTAACCCATTTCCGACCTACCTTGATAATTTCATCAAAATCGGTCCATAACTTTCTGAGTTATGTTGATGACAAACAGACAGAAAGACAGACAGGGTTGAAAACATAACCTCCTTGGCGGAGGTAATAAGAGACCACAGATTGAAGGCTGTCGACCATTTTTTTATCGTCACACAGAAGAAGCAGCAAATAGATTTCTGCTCTGGGTACTCACACATGGCTCATTGGGCACACGAAACAAAACTTCAGGTTCTCCTTGATGACACTGGCTTGGAACACATAAATGAGCTTGGCAGAATGAAGGCCCGTAGGATTTGGAAGTCTATATATGCTGTCGCCTAATTAATGATGTTGACAGTCGACTGCAGTCGATAAGTCCATGTTTTTTTCTAAAGTGTTTGGTTTCCCGTGCTAATCTCTTAAGAGATTATTACAGAGTTATAGCCATCTATGAAGGTCCATGTGGTCTGATGGCAAATACAGATTTCAGAATAACTGCGATTACCGCTGTATTGGTGGTAAAATGAAATTTATTATATTTTTATGAGTTGTTTACACTCTATTTATTGTGAAATATGAATTTCATATGAACAGTTGCTATCCCCTTAATATAATTGCTTAGAAAGTAACCAAATATAAAAAGCAACAGCTAGATCCATTAAAAAAATGAAGGAACATGTATTTCCCCATCTAATGATCACTTGTCTTTTTGCCAGCTAATTCAGATTACTTATTGTTAAGTACCGGTAAAATTGTTGATTCATTAATTTTTACTTACGGGCGGCTTAGCGAAAGTGTTTATTTTTTTTGCACCTTTCGTCGGATAAACATAAATAAACACCCACACCCTATATACAGGCGCGTTTCACATGCTGAAGTATCAAAAAAGAAAATTGAATGAATTTAAAGTTGTATTCAACTTTATAAAACATGTGTACAGAAATAAATCCACGGCTGTCTCAATTTTTACATCTACATTTAATTTTTAGAAAAGTCTATTATGTAAGGAGCCTAAATAGTAACGTACGTTCCGGTAACGTACTGTATGTTCCGGGTCATATAATTTCGATATATTTTGTAGTGATTCAGTCATGGCAAATTATATATGACGTAGATCTAAGGATGTTTTAAAAAATATTTTTACTGTAACTCAAGGGGCTTTGTGTCATGGCTAATACACGCATGTTCCCCAGAAAAATTGTCAAAAAGTTTCATCTTGCCCAAGTACTTGGTGTAATAGGAAACATGGGTTTTTGTTGCTGACTGACAAATATATTGTGATTCCATGATAGTTTGACATTTCTGATATACAGTAGGCTACAGCGTAATATTTGGACCACGCATGGAAAATGGTTTGTCAATACTTATTCTGTGATAGTGATAAGCAAACTAAAGTCGCTCAATAAATAAATAAATAAATAAAATAATAATAATCAATAATAATAATAATAATTAACTGCTCTGTACAGAAGATTATCATAATTTTTACAAAGTTCTATATTATAGGAGATATATTAAAAAACAAAACTAGCAATTATTGAATTTTCAAAGTGAGTAAAACGTCCCCACGTTTTGCGTTTGTGACAGTAATTAACGTTTGTCTTATTTTTAATTATTCATGTTTCCAGGAGAATGACACTTTTATACAAACTTCTTCATGTAAATAAATGCACTACATATTTTAAGAGCATGCCCGTGATTTGCACCTCAATATTGGGTTTGGGTGAAAGCGCCCTCGATCTACCGGTATTTTTAACAAGGTAGAGCCAATAATGAACTCAATTAAATTGCTGTCCAGTCCAATACCCAACCAAATATTACTTAAGTTACAGAAGAAATTAGAAACAGTGTGCTGTCTACGTATAGCCTAATAAATTGCATTAATTGTTAGTTACCACCCCGACCTACGAGTAGGTACATGCACATGTAGGCCTACCAACCTACCGGTATTACGCGTACTACTTTCAGCCTACTTTCCCCTCCCACTATACTTCCTTGAGGTAACTCACCCAAACAGACGAAGACCTAAAAAGTAGGTCAAAGCACCGGCAGTTAGTGAATATACCCTTTCAACGTAGAGCATTGTATAAATAGCCGTTTTATCTTCTAAGAATGCCACGAACAAGAAGAAGACGTGCTGTGCCAAACGCCGATGACGGCCCTCCAGCAACCAGAAGCAGAATGACTGTCGGAGACTCAGGGTATGGCAACTTTTGGTCTTAATGTTTAAATTTAAGTAAGGCACTATTAGTAAGAACTGGTGAACGGGGACTTAAAAAAGCAACTCGCCCAGTGAATACTCAGTAACCCATTACAAAAAGATCTTAAAATTTACTCCACTTGAAGCTAAAAATGTTGAGAATCCAAGTTATATGTTGCTTCTATTACTCGGTTATTTAGTGCAGCTACTAGTGTTACACAATAAGGTAATTTACGCACCAGTAGTTTTGAGCGCGAAATTTTTTGCACAGTATTTGTATGTTTTTTGTGTAAACAACAAGGCTGGAGTGATTGGGCAAAATGGAAAAATACAAATAATTATGTTCTTATTGGAATAAAGTTTTGATTCTATTTTAGTGTTAGTCTGTCAGAAGGCAGACACAAATTAGTTACAGATGAAAAGTTTATGGAAATGAACAAAGTGTTGAACAACATTGACGAGGAAAATGGTAAATATCTGTAGATAAACTGATAAAAACATCAAAATAAGGGATATATGTAATAAAATTTATGGCAAGATTTAAAATATTGAATCTTCATATAATAATGCCAATGAAAATAAACAAACCTGAACAGGGAATCTTATCATCTGGTTTAAAATACTTGCTTTTAACTTGCAGGTTTGAAATTTATTGAAGCAGATTTTCACATTGAAGACAACCGGAAGGACCACCATACTCTTGAATATGAACATAAAGATCTGATTGTTCGTAGAGGGCAGCCTTTTACTCTCATGTTGAAGTTTGATCAGCATGTCTATACCAGTGACCTAATAACACTACAATTTTGTATAGGTAATAGACTATACTATTGTGAAAGACATTATTTTCTCTTTGTAAATGTTGAGAATTTGATATTTCAGAAATTGCTGTGAAATTGAAATATAACATACATTGATGGTTATAGCTTTGTACTTATATGTTGTAATTTTGCTAATTGTGCATGTTTTTTAAAATGTTAAATTTTGCTAGAATCATTACTAGATTCATTCTAGCATGGCAAATTATTGCCAAATATGAAAGATAATTAGATTGTATTTACTCTAAGTATTGTAATATATAAAATAAAAATTAACTATTTTTTAGAATTAATACAACTTGTCTTTGATTAAATATACATTTAATACAAAAATTATGTATTACTGACCCTTTATTCATCAAAAATTACATTGTTTACAGGTTACAAATAAATAAATTAAATTCAAATTAGTTTTGTTTTAAGAATTAGTTTTCAGTAAGTGTTTTTCATCATGTCTTTGGGAACAGAATGAATTGAGAATGCATTGATTTCTAGGTGACCGTCCTCTGCAGAGTAAGCGAACAGTGGTTCGTGTGCCAGTGTTGTTTCACTCATCAGAAACTCTCTCCACAGCTGAGAATTGGAGTGCAGTGATTAACGAGCGGTCAGGGCAATCTGTCTCAGTGACTGTGACCCCTTCAGCAGAAGCAATGGTGGGAAAATACCAGCTGTTTGTGGAAACCAAGAGAAACGACAAAGAGAATCGTCAGCAAGCAAAATCCCCTATCTATGTCCTTTTCAATGCTTGGTGTAAAGGTAGAATATGTGAAGGAGTTTGGTACAACACATAAAAAATGAAATGTCAATTTTCTGAAGAAGAGGTACATTTGTATATGATGGTGTTGAATCTGATGATGATGATGATGATGATGATGATGATGTTGTTGTGTGTGTGTGTGTGTGTGTGTGTGTGTGTGTGCTGTCTTTCATATAGATGATACCATCTTCTCCAGCATGTGTTATTTGTTTAGGAGTCTACTTTAAAATTCAATATAATTTCAAATACTCATTTAATCATAGTACAGCACATTACTAGAATCTGTACATGTGGTCAGTGTGCACATTACTTCTGATATAGATGATGCTGTTTACATGGCCGATGATGACTTAAAAGAGGAATATGTGTTGAATGAGAAAGGAAGACTTTGGAGGGGAACTGTCAACAACTTTGGAGGTTCACCTTGGAATTTTGGACAGGTTTGTTACTTTGAATGTTAACAACAAATTTTAAACTTATGTCCCTGCGCCTAAAGCTTGTTGCATACTTGTAACATGAATTATAGTGATGAAGTATTTATTTTCATTCAAGAAGTATTTGTTTACTTTAATGCACCTATAAAGTAAATTAGACAGCTACAATGATACTTATTGACTAAAAACCCCAGATGTATGTTTGTGTTTATTTCTGTTTTTATGTAGAACTGTTTATTTTAGTTTGAAGATGTAAGTTTGGATGCAGCCCTGTATGTGCTTCAGAAGGCCAAGATTACAGGACCTGCTTTAGGCAACCCAGTCATTGTCACCAGGACTTTCACTGCCCAGGTGAGTATATAGACATTTTAGCACAGGGCGTATTGTTTTTGGAAAGAACAAATGCATACTTACACAGATATTAAATGATGCCTTAGATCAATTTTAAATTTATTTAAGGAGCTTATTTATGTAATTTCATCCAAATCAATTCCAAATTCTCAACATGAACATGATGTTGATAATGTTTTAATAAACTTTTAATGCAATGGTTTATGTTTCATTAATTAGACCAACAGCATGGATGACAGAGGAATACTTGAGGGTCGTTGGGCGCAAGACTTCCCCCAGCCATCTACCAAACCTTGGATTTGGACAGGCAGTGCAGACATTTTGGAGCAGTTTATGGAAAAGAAGAAAACTGTCAAATATGGACAGTGCTGGGTGTTTTCTGGTGTTTTGTGTACCTGTAAGTCTACTGATTCTTTACTAACTGTGGGTGTTGGATAAGTATTTGCATATAGAATCAGTGGGATATGTATGATTGCTGAAACATTTAGTGACTAGAATAATGAAGAATAGTTTGCTTCGAGATATCTGTAAACAGGTTGGTATTACTGGTGATGCAATACAGTATAATACATAGTGGGCTTAGTAATTATTTTCCTGCTGCAAGGCATAGTGAATAACCACTTGACATGTCAAGAATATTATTTTCATAAAGGTTATAAAAATAAGTATGCTATTTTTACCTGCTTCTTGAGTGATTCACACTTTATGTGGTGAAATTTAGTATGTTTGATAGTAATTTTATAAAGACATGTAGATCATGGCAGAATCAGTTGTATATACCCGCACCTTTTGTAGCTTTACCAAAATCTGCTATCCCAGCTGGTTTTAGTGTTGCAAGTCGGATGCTTCTGCTAGCAACCTTGCGCTAATGTTGCTGGAGTGTTACTGTAGCAGTGCTAGGATGTTCTGCTTTCAGTGTGTCGTGCTGTCGGTATCCCATGTAGAAGTGTCACTAATTTTGAATCTGCCCATGATTCTGATGGCAGTGTGACCATCGATGTGCATTGGAATGAGGCTGGGGAGCCTGTGGAAGAGTTAAATGATTCCATTTGGTAAGAAATGTCAAATAATGGAGCTGACATTGGGATAAGGATACATTGTATTTCATAAAGAATACAATAAAGTAACTTAACTAGCTCCTAAATCAGTTAAACTTCTGGCTATACTGCCCACAATAATGCTTCAGTTATGCATTAAAATTTTTAATATACATACCTTAAACCTTTTAACATGGATTCAGATTCAACTAAAGAAGCCTTAGGATTAAAAAATCTGGAATGCTGCTTGACATCCCTTCCTGATGAGAATAAACAGGATCATGTACTTACAGTTATGCTTCAATAACTTTCCTGCAGTGCCAACAATGAACACATACTGAATTTATTCATGCACCTCTACTGTCCACTTGGTAGAACTGTATTTATATATTTATGGTATTTGAAGTGTATTGTAATGATAGAGTTTATTTAGCATTATGTTATGCTTACAGTTTTTATTTATGTTATCAGGAACTTTCATGTGTGGAATGAGGCTTGGTTCAAACGTACAGACCTTCCATCAGGAAATGATGGTTGGCAGGTCATAGATGCCACACCACAGGAGTCCAGTGGAGGTATGTGCAGTTTTAAGCCATCAATGCTGATATGTAAACAGTGACAGAATATGTAAAAGCTGTACACATACACCATCAGCATTTTTTCATTGAACATTCTGTATTTAATTTGATGATCAGGCTAGCCATCAGAGACTGAAAAGTAATGAGGGGCCATTAGGCACACTCTCATGGAGCCTTATCACTTACACAAATCTAGGTAATTTTCATAAAGGCAAATATACATCAACTGTCTTAACTTTGCTTGGACCTTGTTGTTGAAGGTGCTCTAATTTTCTTTTCTAGCTCTCACCATTAAAAAAAGCATGATTATTCTTTTAGGTTTAATGCAGTGTGGCCCTGCTCCTCTGAGTGCTATTAAGGCTGGCAATGTGTATTACAACTATGATACACCATTTGTGTTTGCAGAAGTCAATGGGGACCGTATTCACTGGGAGGTAGGTTAAAATTATTATCATGCCTAACTTGCCAGGATTTTATATATGAAGTACTGGTCCAGTCAGGTGTACTTTGTGTTAAGACAAAAACAGACTGACAACATTTGTAATGCTGGAATGTTTTATGAAGCAAATGAAGTTTTATGCTGTTAATTTTGGGTCAGGAAAATTTTGAATTTAAGGTATTATTTTCATTAATTGCGTTAAAAAAAGGATTTGTTATACTTTAGGTGAAAAAAGATGGAAGCATGGAGTGCATTTACATAGAGAAGTATAAGGTTGGGCGGTTCATTAGCACCAAGGCAGTAGGTAGCAATGAGCGAGAAGATCTTACGAGTGCTTACAAGTTCAAGGAAGGTAGGTAATGCAATTATAGGACTGAAACTTGAGAAATATCATAATTAACCTATCTCATTAAGAGGCTAGGGATTTCTTAAGTGGACATAGAGTGAGGTATTAATTTAATTCATTCATGTAAAATTTACCATCAGTTACAACTTTTTAATCTTTGTTCATGTATAGTAATTATAACTGTACAGTAATAGGGTCACATTCTGACTTTCAGGTTCAGATGCAGAACGAGCTGCTGTACGCCATGCATTTAAGTTTGGCAGCCGCAGGGAGCAGAAAGTTTATAAACCTGAGGCAGAAGATGTTTCCTTCAAGATCACCATCCCACCTGTGGTAGCCACAGGGAAGGACTTTAATGTCCAGCTAGACTTGAAGAATAATGGTAACAGCATTAGGGATGTCAAGGCCACCTTGACTGCCCTCACTAGCTTCTACACTGGTGTGCCCTCAGATCGCATCAAATGTCAGACATTTGAAATAACTTTGGATCCAGATCAAGGTCAGAGTTTTTCACCTTTTTTCAGATGTGATTTTTTTCTTCTTCTTCTCTGTCTCTCTCCTTGCATTTTGAATTTTTAAGACTGGATTAAGCAACTAACAAAGAGCTACACTGTTACCTTCTTGCCCATTTTCTGTACATATTCATATGGCAGTTTAAATTCACAGGAAATTTGCTAAAATATTCTTTCACTAAAGCAAGTAGATGATAATGTTGTAACAAGGGTATTGCAACTGTTGTAGAAAAGAGCATTGACATTGATGTGCTAGCAGATGACTACATGGAACTGCTGAAACCTGATGCACTGATCCAGGTGTATGCCAAGGCCAGGGTGCAGCAGACAGGACAGGCATTTGTTAGAGAGGACACCGTGGATCTGTCACCTAGCATGGAGGTTGACGTGTTGAAGGTAGGTGCACTCACCATACTATATCACTTGCTTGTTAGCAAAGGTTACACTTGAATATTTTATTGCAATTGTATTTGTGATGAAACTATTTGAAACTTGTCACTTGAATGATGGAGTTGTAGAGATAAAATATACCAGTGTCTACCAATAATTGTGTTTCATATTTACAGCTACAAGCTCCAGAAAGAGTGAATAGATCTGAGCCATTTGAATTGCGTATGAAGTTCACTAACCCTCTGAAGATCCCCATCACTAAAGGGATGTTTCGCATTGAAGCTGCTCACATCGTACGCAGCAAGGTCATTCCTATAAAGTGAGTGGACAGTTCAATTCTAACTGAATGATTATTGATGACTTTTAGATTTGTTTAATATCTGATGCCTGTAATGTGGACATAGGTTTAGATTTCCTGTGAGATTGAAATAGATAATGAAAGATTGTATTTAGATACACAGTTTATGTTTGCTGCCTTTGTTAAATGCTTTTCACTGTTTTCAACTGTTAAAAAATTCCATTTGTTATACACCAACAAAGCTCATTACTAATACTATCTCAATCAGCACTATTAACCCAAGTTGGAGTTCTAAGCTTTTGACCACCTATTTCACTTTCAACAGTCAACCCATTCAAATGTAACAGCATGCAGTTTGTTAACTTTAGATAACTTAGAGTGTGTAATCCTTTATTTGAGTTTATTAGGACTGACATATGTTCTCTTCAGACAAACCATCGCTCCAGGTGCGGAAGTGGTGGAGACTTGTGTGTTGACGGCAAAGCTGCTAGGCCAGACAGAAATTCTGGTCAATTTTTCTTCAGATCAGATGGTTGGAATTTATGCCTCAACCAATTTATATGTCCACATTTGATGATGTAAGATAGTCGCTCCAGGTGCGCTCCACTCCAGATAGAATTTTTCTTTTTCAATTTACAAGACAAAAATGTGTATAGATATAAAAATGTCTTCTTCACAGGGAAAAACTACTAGAGGCATTCCAGTCCAGCTTAAGCTGATTTTGCACTTATCTACATTTTTAATCTTTCACATTATTTTTATCTGCATTGCGTATAACCCTTTTCACTTTCTTTGGTGCAGTTTATTTCTAGTGTTTTAAAGTATTGCATTGTTATGGTGGGGGTGAAAAAGTCAACCCCTTTTGATCTCTTGGAAAATACAAATGATGTTTGTCTATTATATTATTATATGGATAACACATGTACTGGTAATTTTTTTTTTTTTTTTTTTTGATTTACAAACCAATTTAAAGAAATGAACAAGGGTGAGAATAGTGGTGTTTTTCTTATCTTTTCACTTCATCTCTGTACTCAGCCAGCAAAACAAGCTGGTATCCTGCTTCTTTGAAAACATCTTTATTTTGAGAATAAAGAATGCTTTTTTAAACTTTCTTTGCAAATTTAAGTTTCCTTTTTTGGTTTAAATTGGGCATAATTTCATTTCTACCATTTAATTTCAATCAAGACCTTATATTTATTTATATAATTTCTCCATGTTTTTAGGAAACCTGTAGGCCCAGGGGCAGAGATAGAGGTAGTGACAGAGCTCACCTCAGCACGTTCTGGCAAAAAAGAAATCATAGTTGGATTTAGTTCTGACAAATTAGATGGTATCTCTTCATCAATTGAAGTGTATGTGCCTTATTCTTATTAATGGTATATTTGTAAGTTGGACATTCCCAATATAGTTTCATTGAAGAGTGAAAATTAAGGGCTATAGATATACAGAATCTCTTTACATTTCATCTCCTTATTAGTACTTTCTTTTTTTTCTAAAAGCATCTGAGTTATATATGCAAACATATGTACTTGTGCACATTTCAAGGGGTATTGTGCAGTAGTTGTGATTTTTAAGGTATCAGTGTATATGCGATGAAGGATGGTGCATTCAATTAGTACAATACTAGTAATATCTGATGAGCTTACATATCTATAAAAGCAATTTTTGAACAATTTGTCAGTGCTGTTTTTGGAATTTTGGCATTTTCCTAGTGTCATCAAGTTGCCCAGAACACACAAATTCTGGCTTTGTCAAGTTTACATGACTTAACTTTTTCAAGAAGTTATAAAGAGAAGGTCTCTTTTTAACTTCTTGACTTTTTGAAGACTGCTTTTTATCCCCTGGCTTCAGCATTATTTGGCTTTAGACAAGCAAATTATTACATGCACAATTTACATTTATAACTACACAGAAGCAGAGATTGTTATCTCACTGCTTCAGAAGAACGCATTTTCCAAATGGAACAGAAGTTCAGACTATATAAAACACATTTAAAATGACAAGATAATTACATCATTTCAGAATATTAAGGCAGAATATTATGGCAGCTGGTTAACATTACTAGACAATCAAAACTTGTGCTTTGGTTGCAGTAGAATACCATGTACTGTTTTTATTGAAGGGATAACAACTGTTCATTTGGGAAAAAAAGTTTTCCTGGGGTGAACGACAATTTTCCATTACTCACATATTGTTTATGAATCTATTCTGACATTCAAAGTTAGTTCCTGTTTTGTTTCTAAAAAGTTTTTTTTTTCAATAATTTCTTAAGAGATTATTGCAGAGGGTAGACATCTATGTAGATCACATGGTCTGATGGCAAGCACATTTACAAGAAGAATTGTGAAAACTGCAGTTTTGATGGTAAAATAGAATTGTATTTCTAGGAGTTGTTTACAATGTATTTATTGTGAAATATGGATCTCATAGGAAAAGTTGTTATCCTTTTAGTCTTTGTTAGCAGCATTTGAATTAAGAAAATTGCTTTTATTAGAAAATGCCTTTTATCTTTGTGTGTGTGGCTCAGTCTTGTAAAAATAGCATAGACTAATATATTTACTAATTAATTTTATTTTTAGTAACAATAAACATATTTTCTAGTAAGATTTGAAGATTACATAAAAGTGCAAATTTTTTTCATTCCACCCATGGTCTTTAATATCAATGAACCCATTATTTGCTTACGAAATTAATTTTTTAACTAATTGTCTCTAGCACAAAGTGTTACAAACCCAGTTGTAACAGTTATATTTTCCTTAATTTGAAAGAATAAACATGTTTGCTCTTGTATTTTTAACGAACTTGTCTATATTGGCCTAAAACAAGGCTGTTTGTATTGCGTGACGATATACAAGACTAGAAAAATGTATGTCATGTACTCTGAAATTTAAAACAAATTATTTATTTTAGACCAATAGCTATTCATTCCATTTGTTCATACCTTTATCATGATAAACACTGTCAAAGGAGTTAAATTGGTCCCACTGAATACACTTTCAAATTTACTGAAAGGAATGAAAAGAAAAACTCAAAATTGAAAAGTTGCAATGGCAATTTCAATGTGTTTGAGACATGCTTTAGAGCTACAAAGGATAGCATGTTATAAATTCACTACACAAAGTGTATATATTTATATATGTCTAAATAGATACATTTAAAAGGCTTAAAACATGAATTTCCCAAAAATCAGGACAATACATGATCTGGATGTAAAATTGTGGACGGTTCACTTTTACATCTGCTTTTTAAAAAATGAAAGATTACTGAATACACTTCCTGTTTGGAGCATACATAATTTTTTTTTTTTTTTTGGTCATTTCAAATGGCCACTTGTTTAAATTAATAAAACTGATGTTCGAATGACAGCTCATCTCTGCCTAAACTGACAAAAGAAAAAATTGCCTTTGCGCTGGTAGTTAGAAGTTTCTGACTTACTGGTGACACTATATAAGAAAGATCATAAATAAAGACAACATAAAGTGACCTAACAGCCTCAAGTATCTAGTGCAAAAAGCAATTTATCAAAATACTTTTCAAATCATAAACAATTACTAAATTACTTTAGCTTTCACAAATTAGGAATTCCAAATATTTGTGTTAAAGTTATTAAAGGCAATTCTACTGTTATGATAGAGGTGCTCTTTCATTTAAAGTGTATAATGAGGACTACATGTGTGCTAATTCAGCTCTGTCATAGAAACAGTAAGTGTGCATTTTTGTCTTACCCCTTCTAGGAAAGTGATGTGGACAAATTAAAAATGTCTTTTTCGATCATCAATTTCCTAAAAATACATCTGGGTTTAACAAACGTGTTGAACACCTTTTAACAAACTTAAGTATATATATAATTTAAGAAATTTAGATATAATATAAGTAACACTTTAAACAGCGAGAAAAATAAAATATGCATCTTAACATGAATTCTAAGACCTGAATGAATGCATATTTTCACAATAGTTGCAATATATAATGCACATTTTAAATAAATGTAAAGCAGACACAAAAGTTTGTGACCGACATGTTTCTTTTCACAAATCCCTTCGATATCATCCAAGCTTCCATGCGTTCTTCATCATTAAGTCAAAATAGGCATCACTATCTATAGATGCGCTGACGCCAGCATAGTAGTTATTAAATTCATCCTTAGTGATCTGAAATAACAAAAAATTAAATGCAAATTTTATGGCAATCGGTCAAGTATAAATATTGATACTTTCAATTTACATATCTTGTCCCAAAGTTCGTGTGAACTGTGTAATTAGGTCTCGCATTTGTCATATTAACATCAGTTTACAGAGCCGTAATTTTAAAGCTTGCAGTGCCCATTCATTTGCATTTGCAACAAACACTTGAGTAACTATACATGCACTATAACACACTTGCAGTTCAAGTTGTAGTTGTTTTACATTATAGAAAATATTTTGAAAGCTATCCTTTAAGTATGTACAGGTAGGGTGGGTAATATATATATAAGTTACAATAACCGTAAGTAAGCAGTTAACTTAGTGCCAAAAGTCTAACAAGTCTTTCTACACCCTTTCCCTTTTTCAATCCTTCAATTCAACCAGTTGTATGCTTGTGGCAGCAAGCTGAATACTTATGCAACTTCAAATTAACAATATCTGCCAACTGGATGGTCATGCACATTTAACTTCTTATACAACAGGGGCCGTATTCTCAAAACTTTGTAACTTACAAACCTTCGAGAATACCAACTTAGGTGAATGATCGGACTTACGTGAAAAGTTACAAGAATTTGTAAGTTACAACCTTTCGAGAATACGGCCTCAGTACAACATATCTAATCTAGTATTAGTAATTTTGATAATATTTGTTTCTCACTTGACAACCAGACTTAAGTTAAAGAAAAAAGATTATCCCACACACAAACAGGGATACCAGTATCTGTAAATGAAAAAATACTGAATGCATTTTTAAACACTTTCTGTACCAATTTGATAGAGGGGAAATGAAAAAAAAAATGATGAGAAGTTTCCATGACAACTTATTATTACGTACACACATTTCAGACACCTTTACACTTCATGGTGGTCAAGTGTAGTTTGTTACAACCTATGAGACACAAAGATGCACCCAGAGCACCACAAGCAGTGTAAATTAAAGCATACAATGATTCACCATAATATCATAATAACAGTGAATTGTACTGATAATTAAAGCTAGAAACCTGTAAAAATATTTGGTCTGAGCATGTTAAAAGCACTAAAAGTTTTCATAGGGGCATAATGTTTTGGTGGATGATTTTGGTGCGAAACTTAGGGTTTTTTAAATACCTCCTTGCAACTAATAATTTTAAGGGTTATAAGGAATATCTGTGTAAATTTGGAATATTCTCCTAGTCACCTATAAATCATTAGCAGAGCATCCTAAAGAACAGTTTATAAAAAGTACAGAATGAAGGTTTCATACCAGATATGCCTGAATCAGCCCCTCAGTATTTTTCATCAAATTTATTTGACAGCCTTTATCATTGGAAGAATTCACAATTGATTTCAATATCGGCATCTTATGCATTTAGAATTACATCTCAAAATTCAGCATGCATTAGCAAACATCAAGAAAAATGCATTAAATTATTGTAGAGACTTTCTGTTTAGAAGTTAAGACAACCAAAAGGCAGAGCACCAGTGAAAATCGATAAATTTCACATTTTCACTGACAAAATCTGACATACAATTCACATTAGTCGTAATTTTGATGGCATGTTTTGCAGTCCTCCCCCATGGTTTCACATAGTCTTTGAAACTATATGAATAGTTTCTTTGGTGACTGAAAAAAAGAAAATCATCTTCTCTGAAAATGCTGATATTCACATCAACAGTCTGATCGGGAAAAGGGTCAATACAAAATCTATTCTAAAAATAAGGTGAACTGGTACTTTACATTTGACATTTTTAATCAAAAGAGCAACTGCAGTCACCAAAATGGATGATAAGAAGTGCTACACTGCGAAAGGCAGAAAAAATGGTGCCCTTGAAAGCAGTATGTTTATGCCATCAATTGCAATCAATATAGTGATATATCAAGATAAAATGAGATTTTCACAAAAGTTGCAAATGCCTGAAAGGAGGGGGGGGGGGGTCTTTCATTTATTTTTTTTACATTGTATATTTAATGTAACTAATCTGGAGGAGGGATAGAATATTTGGAGGTGAAAGATTGATATTTAAAAGGCAAGTAACTATGTGAAAATTCTTTTATGCAAGTCTTATGTACATAATCCTACGTACAAATCTATAAAATGTGCATATAAATTAAGTTAATTAAAAAAATACAAGAAAAATATTTTAAGATTACAAACATACTGTCACTCTGCGTGTTTGTGAATGCTGATAAATAAAGACAGTTCAATGTGATTAGTAATAAGTATATTTACTAGGATCTAATTTGTTATTGCTTTTGAAATTCTAATTAAACTGTTATTACATATGAAAAAATATGATTAAAGGACAAAAACAATGAATGAAAGGAAAAGAATAATGGAATTCCATGCATTGTTTGCAGGGCTTCAATCACAGATCACTTGTTTTAAACTCCACTGCAGTTTTACATTCTGTACCATATACCCAACAATATTGCACATGGTAAGGACTGTTTTAAAACTGCACCTCTGACAATAAAGCATGTCAATAATCATGCCAGTCACTTCTTTGTCTGCTTCAGCTTAAAAGATATCACTTCAAAAACTCTGAAAAACATTGCATGGCCAAGTAGTAATCACACTCAATTCCAGAAAAGATCAAACTGAAGGCCTAATCCACCCGAGGGTATTATCCATATTTAGAAACCTTGGTGAATACCTGCATACAAGTCTACAAGAGTGAAAAGACATTTACCACATCACAACAGCTATGATATCTAGTTCATTTTGTCTGCAGGTCTCATTTCCTACCTTTTCAACCCAAATTTACTTTATCTCATAGAATTTTTTGGATAAAAAACATGACATAACAATGCCATTGACAGAATATACTCAAAGTGCTGAGAAATGCATTTTCAACAAGAAACCATGTGATGTGCTATGATTTCTACGCAAGGTTAGGTAACAAAAACATAGGCACTAATAACCAGAGTAATGAACTCCCAGCTCCACGTGAAATAATAATTACCATTACATGCAAGAGAAACCAGCCTTAAGGCTATAATTTCCATGCATTCTTCATCATCAAGTCAAAATAGGCATCCTGATCAATGGACGCGCTAACTCCAGCATAGTAGTTTTGAAATTCATCCAGAGTGATCTGAGTAGGAAAGCAACACAAGCGTTGTTTAACATTTAAAAACAGAAAAATGTGAACCAAACTGCACATCCTGGCAAACAACATGTACTGGAACACAGTGTATACTGGAACACAATTTACAATCAAACAACTTCAGAACAATGTGCACCTGTAAATCAAAATTCTGCAATTTGGTTGCTGCAAAAAATAATTTGAGTAGAGCCCTGTCTATTTAAAATATATGACAATTCAATAAATCACAAAAACAACAACAACTATTTAGCAGTGCATTAAAACAATGTTGCAATCTAGCTGTTAAAAATTAGCATAAGCGTTCACGACAAAGGGCACTATTATTTAAAGCTTGAATGCAATTGTTTTGGTTCTCCTAAATATAGGACTTCTGCAATATCCAGCAAAACTGTAAAACAATAACAAAATTCTATGAATGTTAACATCTGCAAATTTAAAGAAACTCACCTTGCCATCTTGTTCTATTGTATCAAAATTTTTAAGAAAATCATAAAGGCATTCATCTTCTGTTTTTTCACCATTCAAAAACTTGGGATGCTTGGCAACACTGTAGACTCCATGCAAGTCTTCAACAGTAACTACTCCATCACCAGACTTATCTAGTTTCCTGAATGCTTGATTTATCAGGTTTACTCGGTTCTTGGACATTGCAGGCTAAATATGAGAACATATGACATATATGAGAACATATTACAAAATGGCATTTTAAAAACTCACTGTCATAAAAACACATTTAAACACTATATTCAAAAGTAAATATATTCATTTTAAACAAAGCAATTGTACCAATGTTTTGAAAAATAAATAGTTATGAAAAAGTCAAGGAAAGTTCTATGGGTAACCACTACAATGTACCTCTTTACTGCTTCAACATACCCTTAAAGCAATGAGAAATTCATCAAAGTCCAATGTCCCACTTCCATCTGTATCGAGTTCTTGAAAAAGTTCTTGCTGCTCATGTTTATCAAGATCAACTCCATAGTCTCGTAACCCTTTAACAAACTCTCTGTATTCTATTTTCCTGTTTCCATCATCATCCATAATTCTGAATGCTCTGTCAAATAAAATCCTTTGACTTTATACAAAATCATTTCAAGACATATAATATATTTACTAAAATTTAAGGACATTCCAAAATATTGCAAACATGAAAGGATGTTAAACCACTGGTAGCACAAAATTCATGCATTAAAACTTCTGTTGATGATTTTTGATATGTATTAATTAAAATGGGTCAATAGGACTGCTAGTCATAAATTTCATGCTAGGCCACTGTCAGCAACAAAAGTCAAAATTGGCCAAATGTTGGCTCAATTTCTGCTGACCGACATTAAAAAACTCACATTGACCAAAATTGAAAAGCTAACACCAACCAAATGCCAACTAGGCAAACATCATCTTGCTATCAAGGTGGGATTAGTACATTACATGTCCATTGAATATCTCTTGTAAATTAAGCCGATCTTTATATCTTCATCTAGTTCTATAATTTTACTTTTTATGCATTTAAACAAGAAAATTTGTATCTTTTATAGAAGTACTTGGCAGATCCCTTATACATTTACAAAAATCTTGTACTGGAAACACTATAAAAGATTGATCAAGAATGACAATTGTTACTTTCCCACACCATTACCAACCTCCCATCCTAGCTACTGGTACTTTGCAGCACCATTAATCTGCCTCATCAGATTTTAATGATGCTTAAAAATGTTTTTGCTGCAGTCCTGGTATTCACAGTACAGTCACAGAACAACCCTACTGTACTTCTTAAGTGAAGTATATGTGGGCAGAAATACCAGGATATACTGTAAGTGTATACAGTAAACCAAACACCTAAAACAGTGTTTTTCATCAAGTTAATTTGAGGGATTCTCTCTTTCTCCCCCTCCCCTTTTTAAATCAAAATATCAACGCACATGCACCAAAATTAAGCACTTTCACACTTTTGTTCTTGAGACTGTGTACCCCACTTTCCTTAGACTAGACTACCTCTAAAAAGAATCGATTTTAAGTAGAGACTCTATAGGGTCGAGAGTCTACATAGTATACACACCTTCCCAATCCTTTTATGCCGTTTGCACCTCTAGCGAGACACTGAGCGCGCAGTTTGTCTAATGGCGTTTTTGCTGAGACTGCAGCCTTTTTAGCCTTTTCAATCAATGCTTTTTCTCCTCTGGACGTATGTGCCATCGCGCAGTGGTTGGCGATAATTTGTGTTTATTTTCAATGCAGGTGCTCGAAAGACTCGCTTTGCGTAGGGATCTCAGTGAATTGAAATCAAATATTTTCTTCCAGTTATAATACCCTCAAGCCTGTAAATAGTTTTAATTAAGTCTCCGGTGTTTTTGGCGTTCTCTGAATTCAACAAATGACAAGGAAATCTTGCGTTAATCTAGAATTTTCAAATAAAATGTCGTCTTTACCACGGAAGTGACGTCAGTAATGTTTTGTCTCTCTTTTCCCTGACAACAGCAGCTTAACGCTAGTCGAGTTCTTGTAATAGTATATCTTATCATATTATTCGTTGGTGTAATATATGTAATATAATAAATTTATTGTGACATAAGCATTTGCTTTTGTGAATAAGATATAAAAATTTACATCGTTTCACCACCGCAACCTGAATATTGGATGACCCAATTTATGGCGCGTGTTAAAACCGGTTTGTGACCTATTTACTATCATTTCCACATCCGGCGGAAAGTGAGGCACTGGGCAGCACGGTTGCATTGCTGTATCAGATAAACAGCTGGTCCCCTACGGCATCATGTCGAACGTTAAAGTAAACTTACGTCTAGCAATTTTCTTATCGAAAGAATTTCATTTTATCCTGCTCGACCCTGTTTAGATTTTAGTTTGAGACTGTTTGCGTGCTAGTACGTATACAACACTCATGTACTAGTACAAATGTACTAGTACTAGTAAACTAGCTAGTATATGGTATGTTACATACCGTACAGTACGATGTTAGAGTACAAGCGCTCCAAGGCAGTATAGAAAGCTAACATGCATAATACAGTAAATATGCAAAAAATCACAACTTAAAGTGTTGGATATTTGTTAATGTTAAACGTGCACGATAAGACAGAATAGAACAGTCTGAACAGAGTTGCCTTCAGTTCACCAAAGGCAACAGATTCAAAAACTGCATGCAATATTTACAATTAATTGTCTATACTGATTAGAGCATTGTATCAGACAGCTGGTGCCAAGATTGATATTTCATTTTGCAATTCATTAATTTTGTTATACAATGGTATATATATTCAGATAGGCATCATAGGAGGCTCAGGGCTTGACAACCCAGATATCTTGGAAGGACGAACAGAAAAGTCTGTCAATACCCCATTTGGAAAGGTATTAATATTTCTAGTGCTTCTAATGTTACATTAGTTAAATTCTGAAAATACAGGCTTATTTACTAATTCCTCACCCCTTCTCCCCAACTTTTCCACTGCCATTTTCTCTCTTTACTACAGTACTTATTAGGCTCAAGTGCTGTTATTTTTATTAATCTTCAACAGATTCACCAGAGCAAACATTTCGACCAATAATACTTAGCACTTCATTATGTCTTTTTTTTAGCCTTCTGATGTTTTGGTGGAGGGGAAGATCAAAGGTGTGGAATGTGTCTTACTGGCAAGGTAATGTGATATACTAGACTTTTACCAAGTGACACCACTCAACACACTTTTCATGAGTTTTAACAGCAACAAAAAAAGCTACTGTTGTTTAATATTAAAAAAGAAGAATCTTCCCCCCAAAGACAGCCCAACCACCACTTCCATATATTGATAAATTTTTACTTGCCCCTTAACACCTCTAATAATTGGTCTATTAATTCCAAAAAATTTGAACTTATTCACTCTTATGGTCTGGGAGAAATATATGAAGTTACAGTGTAGAAAATTAAAATCATCTCCCCCCCCCCCCCCCCCCCCCCCCCCCCCCC